CTCGCCCCGAGCCGTGCTCCTCGCAATGGGAACGTCGAAATTTAATCGAGATCCGATCGACCCGAACGCTTCATTATCGCGAGGCCACAGCGAGCTTCGGCGCTGTATTTCAAAATTAAATAACGCTCATTCAGGTTTCATTCGCGTCGTTATCTCGCCCCGCAGAACTGCCATTCCTTCTTTCGTTTATAAATCCAATAAGTTTCACCGTCGATATCGCGCGTCGGCTCTCGCTTCCCCCGGACATATATCTATATATCATCGAGGAAATTGAAAAAAAAAAAATAGTAATAAATAACATGAAAATCGCATTACGAATCAATCGACGCACATGTCTCCGAGGAGGAGACGGTCGCCTCGTCAAAATTAACAAGGCGTTCGACGGCTGACGCAAATAGCCCGAGGCGACGCAGATTCTTTCCTCTCCTTTCGTTCTCGTTCGCGCGGATGAGTGGCTTTGTCGAGTCGCGCGCGAGAAACTTGTGCCATTGTCAAGCGCGGGATCGCGCGCGCTTCCGGCCTCTCGTCGCATTGTCGTGCAGCAACGAGCCCCGCAACGCCGCCAAATAGCATCGTTGCTCGCGACCGTTTCTCTCGTCGGAGATCGGACGGACGATTGTTTCTGCCATCTCGATTGAGTCGCCCTTTCTACTTGTTTTTTTGTTCCCTTTTGGATAAAAATATCGAAGGTCACGGCGCTGCCGCGCGACGTACGCGAGAATGGACGGCCCTCGCGGCGACGTAAAAATCGAAAACGCGGTCGTGCGCGCGCGCACGTAGGCTGCGACCCAGCGGGCGATCGTAAATCACTCGACGCGGTCGAGCTCTTGCAATCGATGGCTTTCGGGGCACAAAGGAAATTTCCACAAACAAATTTCACACGAGAGCGGGGAGGGGGAAGACCGGAGTCCGGCCATTTGTTACGCTTCTTTCTTCTTCTTCTTTTTCACTGGTAAGCGGCTTTCTCGGTTCCAGCAAGCCTCCACTTCCCCTCGGCGTCGTTGCTCGTTCGGCCGGTCGAACGTCACGACGACGCGGTGTCGATCGAGCGAGAGGGAGAGAGAGAGAGAGAGAGAGAGAGAGAGAGAGAGAGAGAGAGGCTAATTCGCACGGGTCAATGCACCGATTGATTTCGCGAGCCGTGGCGGCAATTTGTCGCGCGAGTGCCCGCAATTTCATCTACGGCCGACAGCGACTGTTATACGTCTAATGAATCGAACGCGCTCCACTGAGCGCCTCGTCTGCGTCGAGATAACGGACGACGCCGCAAGTGCCAAATTGGCATTGCAGACAATTACAGCGCGATATTGAAATCCGCACGGGCGCATTTTGCGTCGTTCCTTGGTTCGAACCCCAGAACCCATCAGCCAGGTCGCGCCAGGCGGGAACGTTAAAAGTCGCGCGAAATTTGGTGGCGCGCGCTCGGATGAATTTTCGGCGATCGTGGCGGTCGATTCGTCCGCGGAACTGGCGAGCTGCGTCAAGCTTACCTTGTTTGCCGCGAGTACACGCGGGCGTGTGTAGCTAAAGTGAACCTTGATTATTACATTGAACAGAGCAATATAAAAATAAGCGGAGTGCTGCTTATAACAGAGTACTCGTATTATATGCACCGCATAGGGAATTTTGTTTGTCTGCCTACTGGATGCTTTTGGTGGCGAAATACATTCTCCTGGTCAAATTAGTATGGTACTTCGGTAACCTGCAGGCTAGAATTTCCGTCACGTCCGGTATGACTGATTGAAAAAATGTTGATTAACCTCTGGCAAAGTCTGACTCGCGATCCGTGACATCAACTTTTCTATTAACTTCTAATAGATAACTTCGATTGCTAGAGGATTTTCTCCGAGTCGAGCTATACTCGATCATGTAAAAATGTTGACTGCGCGTAATATGGCCAGTTTGAATGATAAGTATCACATGCGCCGTCGCTAGATTTTTTCTTTAATGCTATACGCGAGTCCTCTTCGAACTTCTTCACAAGGAAAGTCCATTTTTCCAAAAAAATTCGTAAAAACTGATTCATAATCTCGTGTTATACGCAAACATATATGAAGAACTTTTAAAAAACTATAAGCACACATTCACGCGAAGATACTTACTTGCTACTCCTGAAGTCTTGGCTATCGCGTTGAATTTCTTTTTTCTTAAATGAGATTTCTTCTTGTTGTTCTGTTGCCATGATTTTTCCGTGAAATCCATATGAATAAAAAATTGTAGAAAAATCTCACGGATATATTACCCGAATGACTTGCCTTGAGCTAAAAGGCAAGTAATGTTAATATATAAACGACACTAATAAGTAACGGCAAGGAATATTGGTAATAGTGAGCACTAGCTGATATAACGCTACGCGAGCGCGATATACGGGCTCGTCTTGAGTTCCATGGAGTACCGGCGATAACCCAGGGAACTTCGAGGTACGCTCGAAAGGCCCCGGTCCCATAGGTACGTAGACGGATGCGGACGGATACGGACGCGAATCGCAACTCTAGTAACATCACTAAAAATATCTAGTTCGATTATTTAGTACCAACACTACCGGTAGTGAGTAAAAGTGACTGTTGTTTAAAACTGTAGCGCCGAACGTACCACATTTAATGTTCAAATGTCTATGTAAATGTGCTAATGTAAAAAAAGTTTTTGGGATGATTAATACATATCATTTATATATATTTTCTTCTTCTTTTCATATATTCAAGTACTTCCATAAAATGAAGGCCTAATTCCACTAATTGTAGTTGAAAGTCTATCAATTCTCTATCGTTTGCCATCTTATAGACTGCAATAATGTAAGGGTTAGATAGGAGTTCCTTAAATGTGGTACGTTCGGCGCTACAGTTTTAAACAACAGTCACTTTTGCTCACTACCGGTAGTGTTGGTACTAAATAATCGAACTAGATATTTTTAGTGATGTTACTAGAGTTGCGATTCGCGTCCGTATTCGTCAGCATCCGTCTACGTACCTATGGGACCGGAGCCAAAAAGTCTCGAGCGTAGCCTCGAGAACGAGGACTAAAGATTGTCGAGGCGATTAGAGCGCCTCCGCGATTTTCCCCCAGCTATAGATCAGAAATCTAATCTCTCGATACCGACCGATTCGTCGAGAATGCGCGCTATGTAAAGTCGGTACGGTAAATTTACGTAACAACCACATTCTTTATGCGGTGCAAGCGCGTACTCTCTGTTACTTTATATTGCTTTGGAAAGATATTGCTCTGTTCAATGTAATAATTAAGGTTCACTTTAGCTACGAAATTAGGACTCTTTAATTCTTGTTTTGCCTTCACGAGCAAAGATAAGTATCAATCCGTACATACGACTATCGGAACGGAAACAACTGAGCCATTTGAATTTTAAAAACAAAAGCTTGCACGATCGTTTTGAAAACCATACCAAGTAGTATATCGATTATGTCCAATAGCTTTCGCGGCTATTATCGGCTCTGAATACGTTTCCGTTGAATGAATTTTGTTGTTAAACAATCTACAACGTGAGACTGTCAAGACTTTGGCAACCCTAGACATCCTGTCACCGTGAGCACAGAGAGTCGTTCGTTCTCTCGTTCGCTCGTAACACGGGACGTGCACGCTTGGCCAAGTTCCGGACACGTGCGCGCCGAGTCGACGCTCGTACGTTTCGGCGGATCGATTTCCCTTGTCGTAGGCCACGTACGTGCATGCGTTCTATGTTCCATACCTCCGAGCCATAGCTACAGCGAAATCGAATTAACCGGGCTGAGATTGCTCGTGTGGCGTAGCTCGATGATACGTTGGGATGCGGCCACGCGGATGCTGGATCTATCGGCAGTAGCGCGATTGAATTTCAGTCGCGCCACCTTTGGCGCTCCGACCGCTCCCTTTGTCCATTCGCTTATATGCGCACCTATGAGACAGTGAATAATTCTCAACGCCGTCAATTGACACTTTCTTGCGCAAACGCTGCTTCCTCGAAAATGGCAATTGCGCTCGGACAAATAATAGCATTCACGGAAGTGTAGACATCTATGCGCAAACGGCGCTCTGATAGACGTCTTTTATCATATTCAATGGCCTAATTAATCATGGACTACTTAGCAAAGGATGAACGAAACTTACGCAATGACGTTAACTAACGCTTGGCGAACATAATTTCAAGCTTCAAATACGCCAAATAGCTCGACTATAACGCGCAGCTGCCACGCGATCCCTACTTAAAACTGCTTGCCGGCGGTCGCGACGGATTTAGTGCGGAAGCCGCTTCGCGCGGGTGTCGACGTGGGACCCTGGCCGCGCGAACGAGCTTGCAATCGTAGCGCGATCGCCCTTCGTTTGAGTCGCGCGCAAACGGCTGATCGAGCGCACGGGACTGGTGCGCTCCCGATCGCGGCGGATCGACGGCGCCGCGACTAGCGCCCAACCGACGGAATGACAAACGCAGGCCGGCCGTATGTGCCAAGCGAGTCGGCTGCGGAGCAGTCCCGGCGGCGGGCGACCGGCTTTGGCGAGCGCCAAGTGCGACTCGTTGCGAGTCGCTCTTGATTGATTTCCGACGGCAGAGTGCTTTCGGAATAACAGCTCGGCGCGACGCGCTCCGCTGTTATCGCCTTCGCTCCGACGAGCTGCCGCCGCCGCCGCCGCCGCCGCCGCGATCGATGCACTTCGATCGCCCGGGTTGTCACCAAGTTCGAGCCGAATCAATTATCGTAATCGCTCGCAATCTCAAGGATGCTGCGCTCGGGGAAGAGAATAAAGTGGAACCCCCGAGTATATACTCGCTTAAGAGAATCTCGCAAGGTTTACGCGTCATCGGAGGAAAGAGAGAGAGAGAGAGAGAGAGAGAGAGTAGGTAGGCGTGTTGTAGCTGTCTCACTCGGGAGCTTTGGCGTCGGCGCCAGAGCCACCACTACACGGCGAGAGAGAAAGTCCGCCGCCGCAGTAGCAGCAGCAGCAGTAGCAGCAGTAGCTCAGTGGCTCCACGGTTTCCGGACTCTGCGCACTGACTGACAGGTTAGTCGCTCTCCCTTTCGCTCACCCTCTTCCTTCGTTTCTCAATCGACGTTCCGCCGTGCGCTCGCTGCGTGTCGTCGCGCCAATTGCGTCGAAACGGCAAATCGCCGCAGTTGCCGCCTCGACTGCTGCCGACAAAACCACGAGCGACGGCCGCGGGATGAGGCTCCGAACGGACGCGCGTCGAGCGAAAAATGGCATTAGCGGCGCGTTTACGTTCGTTCGGGCGCGAGTGCTGGCGTCGCGCGGCGCGCCAACGCGGGACCGACGGTACTGGTACTTTGCGCGTTGATCCTCGTCGTCGAGCGCGTCGCGAACAGGTTCTCGCTGGCCGTTCGGGAATCGAAGGTGCGTCACTCGGCGCAACGATTGTTTTGCGCGCGTCTGCACCGTTGGCTTTCACGAACGACGACGCGAGTCCCGAAGCAACGGCGAAGCGGGAGACGACGCGACAACGACGAATCGTCGCCGAGCACGTCTTTCCTCGGCCGTACACTCGCGTGTCGCTGCAGCCGGCGTCGCTCTTCGGCAATCGCCTTCGATCGGTTCGCATAGGTAATCCACTGGTCTGTGATACCTCGCGGACGCGACGTTTCTACCCGACGTTATTTCAAAAGAAGCTTTCGAGAATGTTCCCGCTAAAAGATCCGAGGTGCCTCCTTGCCGGTGTTATCGGAGCAGACGCACCGGAACCATACACCGTTCAACTTCGATCCTCGGAAGATTGCAAAAGTCGAGACTGCAAAGGCGGACAGCAATGATCGAGCACGAGGAGAAGTCGTGGGCCACGGCCACTGGTAGCCCGGCGTCGTCCACTTAATAACGTCATCGTCTCTCTCGCCGTAGTCGACGTCTAGGGGCGCGCGGCCGAACCGACGGCTCCAGTGAACGCTGCGCGGCCGAGCGCAGCCCACGCGCACGCCGGGCCACGATCATTCCGCGCGAACGCTATTACGGCGTCCGTGATTTCTCTGGCGGCTCCGAAGAAACGTGCGTGGGCCACTCGCTCCCACTCGGCAACGGAGCCGAGCCGGTCCTGCCCCCCGCCCGCGTAAAATCGATTCGCCGACAGCTGGCGCTGAATCGCGCGTCTTTTATCGGCTCACTTGTTGCGTGACGGAATGCACTACGTACTCGCCCTCGCGTGTGCGTGTCGTACGTGCTCCCGTCGCTCTCCGTGGTTTTTCGCGCGTACGTTCGCTTGCGAGCGCGCGCTTGGGAGCAGACTCGAGTCCAGAGCGCGCCGCCAAACGAAAAAGCAATATATCCGGCTTTACGAGTCGTCGGGCGATCGCTTAACTTTCGCGCGACGAAACAGGTGTTCGGGGAGAACTGTGCGCTCGTCACAGAGTTCTGGTCAAGGGGAGAGAGGATCCTCGTTCGGGTTGCCAACGGCGAAAAATGCCAGTTTCGCGTCCGCGTCGGAACGGTGACCCCGGCGCTCGTCGCCGCGCTGACGAATCGTTCGCGCGAGACCTCGTCGTCACTTCTGTCGAGTCGTTCGGCCGGATATCGACTCGGTGAGTTCTGGAACGTCCGCGCTTCGTCGAACGATACGCCTCGACAAATTCACGAGTCCGCGGGAATCGACGCAGGGCAAATTGATTGTTATACGTTTACCGCGGCGGCATAGAAAAGTTGGACAACCGTGATTTCCGCTCAAACTCCACGCGAAGTGCTATTACGCACATCTCAGCTTGAACATACCCATTCGAGAATCTTCTCTTACACGTATATTTTTCGTTGCGACAATGACGAGGGTCGATCGGGAGCGGGGTAGCCGGGGGAAGAAAAGAAAAAAAAAACGAACGAGCGTTATGGCAGACACGCGGAGACTACTAGAGCGACAAATTTGACACTCCAGCCTCGTTTTCTCGCTTTTCCCCGTATGTTGGCTTTTTCTCTGTCGCGCGTGCTCCGTTTTTTCCACTCTCTGCCTGGCGCGATATTTATCCGAGACAAGAGACTTCACTTTGAGGTTTCGACGTCCGTGCTGGATGTGGAAATGCCTCTTTATGTTCCTCGTGAAAATGTTTTCGGTGATTTCGCATTTTCGCTTTCACGACGCGTCGTTTCACGAATAGCCGCGTTTCGGATTGTTCCGAAGTTACGCAATGAAACATTAATGTTTATTCCGGGGCTCTCTTTCTCACTCGTTGGAAATAGAAAAAACGGCATTTTCTCCGTCGTAAGCCGTCGGCATAAATGAAGTATTACGTTCATTGGCGCAGCAGCCTTCGGGAAATTAATGAAATTCCGCGCGCGTTGGCAAACACATTTGACGATAGAGAGAGAGATTAAAAGGGTCAATTATCGTGCAGCAGGTATTTCAACTCTTCTACGCAGTGAGCGAGACTCATCGCAAGGGGTATAATAAGTCGCGTGCCGCTCGTGGCCCTCGATGAAATTTAATTTCCAGCGATTTTGCGCAATTAGCGAGGGCAAAGAGGGGAAAGTTCGGGGGACAAAGCAAAGTCCTCGCAAGTCGAATGCATCGATGGAGCGCCTGACGAATGAATCCCATTTGGGATTCATCAATAACCCACGCCCGCAGTCGGCCAACTTTCCCGCAGCGCGAGGTATCAAATTTCATCCGCCGGGAATCGAACTTTCCGTGCCCGAAAAAGAGAGGAAAAGTTCTCCGGAGAGAGATCGCCCGAGGAAGCTCGTCACCCTTCGCGGAGTATTGATTTATTCCGAAATATGCAAAGAAGAATAGCCCTCTTGTATATTAATAGCAGATCAGTCGAAAGCAATGGCTCGCAACGCCAAATAGGCGATTGTAGGGAAGCAATTGTTTTCTTCGAACGACAATGGCTGGAGGGAGCGAGCTGGCCGTTTTATTTTCGTATAGAGGCGACTTAAGTAAGGCCGCTCGGTTGTCCCATTCATTCCGTATCATGATTAAAATCGTGACCTGAATTTCCATCTTTCCTCCGTCTCCGATGCTCTTGTTTCCCTTTCGCCGTTGTCGTCTCTCTTGCGTGTACGTGTGTACGTGTGCGCTGCTTATACTCTCGTCGCGCGGGCAGACTTTGCTCTTTCCTTAGCTTCTTTCGCCTTTTCTCCTTGGCTTCGCGAGACATCGCCTCTGCGGCCTATATTCAGTCTACCGTCTTTGTCTTCGTAATGGCTAAGTAGTTTACAGTTGTTTCCTCTGTAGCTTCACTCCCTGGGTTTATCTGCCTTTGCAGCGTGCACGCGAGTTCGACTGCTCGAACTGGCCGACGTTTTCTCGACAGTTTCCATGATCTTGTCGAAGAGCCATTGTCGTCTATAGAAGTGCTCGACGTTCGACCGAAAGCAACTGGCGAGAATTGGCGATCGAGTCTGGCCTACGCGGACGCGGGATCGTCGACGCCGCACTGTACGCCGAGGCCGTAGTCGAGGGAGCGCTCGTCCCTCTGAAATCCGAATTTCGAGTTTTTCCGCTGGACGCTGGCGTCGGGAGCTCGCGCGCGGAGATTCGAAATCGCATCGCGAGAAGCCCCGGCGTTCGCCGCGCGAGGGGGGTTCGCGCGACTATCGGCCGACGACAGCCGGCGCGCGACGGTCGCCAAGGGCTCGCCTCGAAAGTCGAGCTGCCGAGCTACTTGTTGCCGCGAGAGAGAACATAGACGGCGCGCGTGAACAATCATCGATGAAAGTCGCGTCCGTCGCGGGACAGGCCTCTCTCCGATTATCGGCACCCGGACCCATGGCTCTCTTGCTTGGCCTAATAACCTCCGCTCGCCCCGAGAAAGCTCGAGGAACCGGAGCGGATCGGGACCGTCGGCGAACTCGCGGTCGAGCGCGAAATACGACAGTTCGCGCCGAAGACGCGTCAACGGGTTGCTCGGCCGGGAGCCTCGCAGCGCTCGCGCAACTGCGGCGAGCATCTCAAAGAGCCGCGCCAATGCGATCGCGCTCAAGCGTGACGCGCGAGACCGCGTCAAAGGGGCGGCGCTGTTTGCCTTCGGTAACCGAACCGCGGCGAACCTGATGCGCTCGTAGCCTTCTCTCTCTCTCTCTCTATCTTTCTTCTGACCTATTATAGTCAGTTGCGTCATCGCAACTTTCTTTTATTCGGCTCCTCCGTTCGTTTTCCTTCGCCCTTTGTTAGTTTTTATCTCTCTCGCTCTCTCTCTCTCTCTCTCTCTCTCTCTCTCTCTCTCTCTCTCTCTCTTTTGATGGATCCTTCTGCGCGTGGACTATGCGACCCACGGGCCGCTGCAATATGGCTATTATATTATCAACGGTTAGAGAGAATTTGCGACGTGGTCGCGTGGACTTTATTACGAACCAAAGGTGCGCGCTGATCGACGCGAGCGGTCGAACTGTCGTCGGACGCGCAGTGGAATCAGCGAGAATACGAACGCGAACGCGAAAGATCGCTTCTCGGACGCGAAAGACATCGGCGAGCCCCGCTCGGTCGGCTTGGGGAAGGGCATCGATGCCTTTCGAAAGCGTCGACTGCGATTACTGGCATTTTTCCCCCCACCCCCGCCGAGCCGTGGGCGCTATCCCCTTTGCCGAGTTCTAAAATTATAAGCGCGGCGACGGTCCTTGGATCGTTCCGGGAGAAAAAACCAGCCCGACGCCGCTTAATTGTCCGCAAATGACGCGTCTCGCGGCTTTCAGCTGGCTCTCCTTGCCGGCGGGAAACCGGAGCGGCGATTCCATTTCCTCGGCCTGTCGATATCCGCGACGTCAATCTCGCGTTCTTGCGCGCCCGCTTGTCTCGCGCGCCCGCCCCAAGGGATCGCGATTGCGCGAGAGCGCCCTCCTCGGGGAGAGACGGCCAGCGAGGAGCGCAGTGCTTTGGACGGCGCCGCGAGCAGAGCGACCGTGGAGGAGCGACGCCGATAATTGGCAGTATATCACGGTCCGCGCCTCCGGGTTCGCCGCGAGCGCACCTCGTCGATCACCGAGCGCCCGATCGGTCGTCGTCTCGTTATCGAGCGAGGGAGCGCGGCGCGTCGCCTGCTCGAAGTAGGTTAAGCCGGAGTTCGATGGAGCTCGCGACGCCGCGCGCCCTTGAGCCGCGGCGCCGCCGCGGCGAATGCCTCCCGTGGGCTCTGCGACCGGAGGACGCGGCGTACCTCGAATTTCGGCACGACGAAAAGCCTTGCCAGGCGCGGCCAGTTCAAGCGGTACGCTCGTAAAGGCGCCCGTGTCGCACCGAAATCTGCCGAGACGCTGTAAACGGTTTACGGCGACCACCGAATTTCCCCAAGGGCTGACGGACTCGCGCGACCTTCGATCTCGCCGAGCACAATCAAGAACAAACGTGGCGAAACGCGGCGAGCGATATGCAGCAGCTCGTCGTCGATGGCAACGCGAGCCGAGCATCGGTGGGCGCAGCGCGGGCGACGAGTCGTCGGCGCGCTACGGGCCGCAACGTCACCCGACAGATCACAACTCGCTAGCCAATCTCGAGAGCGAGTTCGCGCTCGATGGACGGCGCTGTCGGGAACCCGACGCCGATCGACCCGGTCAGCGGCGAGACCGGCAGCCAGTTGACGCGGCCGCGCGGAACGGCGACCAGCTCGAGCGACAGGTGGGAGGCGGACTCGTCACCGGACGGGAGCCGTCGCGCGCCTACGCGCCAGGGCATCCACCTCGACTGCGTACGTGCGCCCTTGGACCGGTCGCGCCGCGGCCGGGAGCGGGGTCGCGCGCGGCTGACCGGGCGCCGACTCGTACCACTGGCGATCTCCGGCGCCGCGGCGGGCCGTCGTTCAGGTCGAGCTCGATCGATCGGCGGCCAGGCGCGCCGCCGAGTCGCTAATGGCGCTCGCGCGAAGGCGTTTCGTCGGCGAGCCAAGATCGAGCCGCGTCGGACGGAGGCGCGTGCCAGTGCCCGCCCACGTGATCTGACCCACGCAGCGCACGTGCACACCTCGTGCGGCGTGCGTGCGCGCGGCTTAATTGGATTTCGATCGAGCTCGCGGCGGCGGCGGCGGCGGCGGCGGCGGCAGCGACTGCGCCCGCAGCTGCCGCTGGACCAAGCGGCTGGCGCACTTTTCGGCCGCTATACATGGCGCACTCGTTTACGCGGAGCGCCGCCCGACGCCTGACGCACTTGCGCGCTTTCGCTTGTCTTTGCAGAGGTGATCGCCGCACACCGAGGCGCACGCACCACGCAGACGTATCGTCCAACGTATCGGCCAGATAGGGCAACTCGATCGTCATCCGGAGCGCGCGAGACGCGCGAGAGCCGAGCCCCTCGACGGTAAGTACAGCCGAGGCTCGCGAGTCGCCCGGGCGGCGCGGCAGAGCAGCAGCCCCCGCCGAGGCCGGAGGGCGCAATGACGCGGTCGCGCGCTTGTCTGCGGCAGAGGATGCGCGTGGCGGAGCTGTGGACGGGCCTGCTGATGCTGGCGCAGGCGCTGGCGAGCGCGCAGTACGCGGGCCCGTTCCCGGGCCAGCGGCGGCCGGCCCTGCGCCCGGAGCCGCCGGCCTACGGCGGCAAGCGCGCCTCCAGCCTGGCCGAGCCCAGCTGCGAGGAGCTGCGCGCCATGTGGCGGTACAGCAAGCGGCAGAGCCGCGCCGCCGAGACCAGCAACGAGCTGCCCGTCTACCGGGACCCCTTCTCCTACAACGTCTGGGAGGCGTACCCGCGACACCTGCACAGCTCCGGCTATCGAGGTACTGCGTGCGCCCCCGCCCCCTCCCCCGCCCCCTCCCCCGCCCAGCCAGTTCGAGCGCAGCTTGTCTCCTGTGTTGCAGACGAGTACGCGGGGAGCGCGCCGGCGACCAGTCGCCACGGCGGCGGGGCGCCCATCTACGGCAAGGTCGTGCAGGCGCCCGAGCGCAGCCGTCTGCGCAACGGCAAGCTCGGCCGCGTCGGCTTCGACGACATCAACAAGTACTACGGCACCCTGAGTCGCGAGCCGCCCTCCAGGGAGGGCCTCGTCAATTCGCGCATGCCCGGCGGCGTCGCCAAGTCCATTCCGCGGCAGACCGGCCGCTTTCAGACGCTCAAGAACATGATACTCGAGGAGCGCGCCAAGGAGCTCAAGGTATGCCCAGACTTGTGTTCTCTCGCTGACCGACTGCCATTGGCGCGGACAGGGCGCCGCTTCGCGGCCCGATTTATCACCGAGCAGCGGCTTTTACGGCTTAACTTCACCAGCTCCACTTCATATTCGCGACACGTTATTCATTATCGAGCATTGATTGATCGCTCCTTCTCTCTCCCTCTGTCTCTCGGCGCTCCCTTATCCTTCGCCGCTCCACTTTATTTATTTATTCATTTTTTTTCGAGTCTTGTCGACCCTTTTTCCCTGCCACTTTTTCTTCGACGTCTCTTTTTTCTCTCTCCCCTGCACGTAGTTTAAGAGCCTTTCGTTTCGCGATAACTCGTCCCGGTGTTTGCTGATAACTTTGCTTTAAATGAAAAGCTTTAAGGGGCATTAGGGAATGACGCGTTGACTTTCGTTTTCACGAGAATACTGGGAACTTTGCCGGCGAGCATCACCTTCTAAAGTCAATAAATTTTGCTCGGTTGTCAATCGCCATGACGATGGTATTTCAATATTATTTTCATCGCTGAATACATTAAGTCAGTAACTTGTCAGACTGGATTTGCTCTTCTTGACTGCAATCGGATTTTTAATATTCTACGAGTAAATAGGATGTCAAACGATCGCCATTGCAATTTAAATCCGATTAACAAATATCTTTAGATCGAAGATATAAAGGGCATTTCGGAGCGCATCGAAAGACTCTTGAAAAAAACCTGGCAAAAGCACAAAATATTTTGCAGCTAGGTATTCCATTCGATATTTTGTTGCAAGTTATCGCCAATGAAGTCTGCAGTTTCTCTGTAAGAGGATTTTCGGATTTCGCATCGGACGAGAACGAAAGTCTACGGCAGAGGGCAGAAAAAAAAGGGAAAAATCATTTTCGATGAATTTCAAAATTACATCTCTTTCGCGAACGCATTTTGTCGTTTCGCGCCCGGTGAAGCGTGGCGCACCGAGAACTCAGCGACGAGAGCGAAACGGAGTGACGACACTCGCAGCGTCGAGTTAACCAGCGAGGAAATCAGATAGCGTATTGTCACGCGCGACGGAAACGGCCGCTAAATTGTCTTTTTTCACCGGCGTCACGATCCAGCGAGGCGCGCTCGAGACAGCTGTACTCGTTTATTTATTCGTCCCGTCCGAACGTTCGCGCGTGGCCGCGATAGCTCGTGCGCGTCGAGTACGTTGCCGACGTTTACAGCTACGCGGGGCTCACTTCGTGAATTTCCGAATACTTCGGGCGAAACGAGGAGCTGCGGTCGAGGGCACGTCGTCGACGAGCGCGGCACGCACGTGCGCGTCTTTCGTCGTTGCGCTTTTCCGTCCTTTCTGCCAGAGCACTCGTCGGTACGGCGGCGGGGGGAGGGGGAGAAGGCGCGAACACGCGCCCCGACAAAAAAGAAAAGCCGCATAACGAGAAGCCAAAAAGTAAAGTGGCTCGGAGTCGGGGGGCAAGCGTGAAATCCTCGCTCGAGCGGCAGAGAGGCAACCGAATGGAAACGCCGGGGGCGGGGGGGGGGGCTTATCGGCGTGGCCCAGGATCGCGACAAAGACAAAAGGCCTCCCGCGGGCGCGTAAAATCCACTTGGCGCGCTTGGCAAACAATGCGCCGGCGAAGCGCGTAAAATGCCCGCCCGCGCGCAGCTTAAAAGCGGCCGTGTACGCGCGCCGCGTGTGCAGGCTCCGGGAGTACATATAACTAGCAGCCGAGCTTGGCGCGAGCCCCGCCAACGGCTGACGTCAATGGCGTTTCGCGGCTTTATCCCGCTCTCGCGCGCACCTCCGGCGCAAAGCCTGCCAATCCGCCGCTACTTGTCCCCGTAGCCGCGAACGAGTATCCGTAATTGATGTGCCCTCGCGTACGGGGCACCCGCGCGCAACGAAACGCAGCCCTTGCCTTGCGGCAGCCTCGCGAACAGGCGGGTCGTCGACTGGACGAGGCGCGGGTGCGAGTGACGTCGCCGTCGGCGTTTCAGGAGCAGAGGAAGGCGGAAGACATGGCGGCGCGGGCGGCAGCGCGGGCGGCAGCGCTGAAAGAGATGACGTCGGGCGATCGTCGGCAGCTATCGGACAGCGGCAATGCCAACGTCGCGAGCTCCTTGGGGCAGCTGCCAAAGTCCGAGTACTTCGGGTCCGAGGGACAATACGTGGCCGACGTGCCGGACATCCAGCAGAGCCTCACGGTGAGTGTGACGGCGCTCCCGCGCTGCGGGCTCGCTCGACCGCATCCGACCAACGCGCGTCCGTCTGTCGCAGAAGTCGGACCACTACGGAGCGCGGGGGTACATGCTGCGCTAAGGCGAGCGGAGCGACGACGAAGAGCGCGTTGCCTTGTGTCCTCCCGGCCGCCCCCGCGAGCGAATCGGCGACCTCTCTCTCGGCCGGGACTTGGCCCAAGTTCGATCTCTCGCTGCTTTCTTCTCTTCCGGCGCATCTCCGCGCCGAAGGCTGGCCGATCACGCTCGCTCGACGCCTTCGCGGGGGACACGCCGTCTGCCACGGGGGTGGCCTTTTTGGTTTGTATTCGCCGGATGCCTGCGACGTCCTTCGCTTCTCGCATCCGTCAACGTTCCAATCGCTGAATATCGCTGTGTGCTCCGTATCTCGGTTGGATTTTTAGAGACACCCAAAGTTAGACAATAATTAGGTAAGCGAGTTCGAGAAGCTATACATGCTTGGCTGATTTTCTTTCCATCGAGTCAATTGATTCCGACGATAGTCACCAATCCACGTGTGTACGACAAATAAAAGCCGTGATTCGATATTGACAATAAGCCCTTTAACGACAGCAGACAAGACGCTTGCATTTAACTCTTTGTTGTACTGTATATCGGGATACGATATAGAATCAGAGATAAAAAACAGCCCCAGATAAAACCGATAAAAAAAATATATTGTGTGTGTCGTGTTCGCTGGCAGAACTCTGTAAACAAGACAATAATACTTTTAAGATATATATCACCAACGATTTTTCTTGTACAAAGCTTTCGTTGCGTGCGCTTGTATAGTAACGATCGTTCCTTTCGACGAGACCATGAGTCGTGAATTGAAATTTGCGATAATAATCGAGGCGCGGCGCGTAACGGGGAGAGCGAGACCCGGCCGCGAGGCGGAACGTCGAGCCTCCAACGCCAGAAATCATCGCGCGCGCGCGCGCTTCCCCTTGAACGGCTCGTACTCGCGACGACGCTGATTGCGCACGGTTCGTCGAGGCTCGGTGCACCCGATCGCGCGCTCTTTTCGCCATTCTTCCGAAAGCACGAGGAGAAAAATCAACTTGTAAATGCTGTAAGAACAATCGTGATGTAACTTATATGACTAAATAATGTACTTATGAGAAAAAAAAAATATATATATATATATTATGCATATGAATCAAGTTATATTTACGGTAGATATTTTTCGATATCCAGCGAAACAATGATTTTGGCAAAAGAGTAAACGGTAAAAAAAAAAGAAAACAAACAAGCAAGAGAAATACACGAGCATCGCAAAAGCCAAGAGCAAGCGAGAAAGTGCAAAATTCTCTTCGCTCCTTCCCGGTCGCTTTTCTTTCTCCCTTGCTCATCTTTCTAGTCGCGCACTAGGTCATTTATAAAGCGCATGCAAAAACTTACGTTGGCAGCAATGGTCGGCACTGCGATACCCCCCCCCCCCCCCCCCCCACTTCATTTTCGTCAAGGTACACGTGTATCAGCGGGTGCAGAAGAGCTTTCCTTCTTCGTTTTTCCTTGCTTCGTCTTTGCGCGAACGACACCCCGTCCCTCTATGACTTGTAAATATCGATGCGCATTTTGTAGTTTTTGATTGGCCGATGACGTGAAGCCGTTGTACGACGCTTTTTATCAGCAGCCGCCGGGATGATTTTCAACGTGCAGGACAATAAAGATTCAAAGAACCGCTTGAATTACATAAAACCTGATAAATCATATTATGAAAACAAAAAAAAATATATATATATATATAACTGGATTAATGAAAAGCGTAGGAAAAAAAAGAATTCTTGATATACGTCGTCGAGCGACAGATATACAATACATGAAAACTACATACGTGTAAAGCAGAATATGTATAAGGGAAAAAATTGGCGTTTGCGCCTATCACGTCGACGCTTATAAAGACTTGATACCTATATAATATATAACACACCCACACACCGAGACGCGCAATCCTCTCTAGTTCTCTCGAATGCGTGCGATCAATCCTCTTCAGAGTAGCCTTTCTCCCGTACAAGTAGCGCGCCAGTATGTATCTCCTTTTATAGTTGACAAAGCCAGAATAATGAAAAACAGTTGAGTCGATAATAGATATAATAATCCATAATGCAATAGGCACGCAACTGTTTCATTTGATCGCGATATCTATGTACATATCCGACGAAAGGGGGAACGACTTGGTGCTGAAACCTGACGCTCGATTAGCGCTTTGTATTTCCCGAAGAAAAGCATCGGCCTTTTTCTCGGGCGTCGGCGGCGAAATTGCGGAACTTTCGCCCGGCGCTGGCGTCACGGGGTGGGAAGAAATGCCGCGTGCAGCTGCAGTCAGGGAAGGTGAGCGCGCGCCGGCCAATTTCTACGAGCCATTGGGAATAGCGAGGCGTTGGCCTGCCCGAACGCGCAGCTTTACTCATCGTGCAAACGCGCGAATCGATAAAGTTGTGCGGAGCAATGAATGAAAAACCGATGGTCCTCTATATTTTACTAGATAGACTAGAGAGTAAAAGATAACGATAAATAAAAAGCTAATAGGATATATACGTACGCAGTATTGTCTGAATGGAAAACGAGGTGTAACTTTTGTAAGTGACCTATACAAGATATACATTCAGCGTAAACGTGTTCGATCGTAAATAATACTTATACGTATGTTAATACGGATACTATTATATTAGGCGAACATGCGGACTTTATGATCATTGAGCTACATAAGAATCGTGTCACTGAAAGGAGAATCAATACATAGGCCAATTCTGTGCTGAACACAACTAAATACATATATTCAACGTAGATAGCTCGAATACCAATTTTATTTTTATTTTTCTCTTCATTTTCCAAGTATAGTTTATCGATCAAGACAGAGGCGGACAAACGTGCATTCGCGCATTCACAGTTATTTCGTTAGAATTATTCAATGTTTCTGTAGATTCTTAACATCGGTGTATTGAAAAAGACTTTTCGTTTTGTGTCAAGAACGCCCTGCACTTTTCGGACGAAACGAACGTACGCAAAGTCAACAGCGACGTTGCGAATAGTACAAACGTCAACTTTCGTCTATTTTTTTCTTCAACTCAACGACGCGTTAACCCGCATTACGTGTCTGATTTATCTTTCTTTTCCGCTTTCCACGCGTACAATTATAATTAAGTGTTCGATCAATGGGTCGAATATCGTTTGGTTTATGTGGAAGCAAACTATTGTTCGTAAGTGTGGTTCCAACTTTTCACCACATTATCTTCAATCGCATATAGACAATAGAGATATATTGACAATAAATAATTAAAAGATGAATATGTAATTTTCTATTTGCCTTTCTGCCAATTTATTAATGTGATGTTTTTATATTCAAATGTATTGCAGAAATGATTATCTTATCATGTTCTGATTATTTATAAGATATATCATTGTGAATTCGAGACAAAAGCTGTAATTTACATGAGTTCTAATTTGTGCGTGTACATATCTGTTACTGAGGAAAGCGCATTTACAATTGCTTATACTGTTGCAATTTTCGTTTTGTTTTGTACTTACCGAAAAGAGAAAAGGTGTGTGACATCTAGACTGACTGATATTGCACTGATAATTAAGTTTTAGTCACTGCTGTATATACCAACAGCTATCATTTTTATTGAAAATTATTATATGTTTGCAGAATTCAAAGGGAAATATGAAAGTTTTTTTTTTAATAAAAAAAAGGATAAAGAAAAATTAACGATAGTAAATATTTTTGTACTTCGTTGTAAATCTGCAAAGCGATTCTGAAAAAGTAAATCTAATTATTCGTGTAATATCAAAAACGAATCGACAATAATGATATAGCTGTTTTTCTCTCCCCAATGTTATTTCTACAGCTACTATTAAAAAATAAAGTTATTCAAAGTATCGAACAATTTTCATTTCGAAAACATTTATGTACAATATTAATGAAAAAAAAAAAAAACAATGTTCTTCGAAGCATTTATATAGACTTTAATTGTGGAGAATGTGAACAACTCTTACATCTGTTCGATAAATAAAAATAAAACAAGGATACCTATGTAAGATAAAAAAAAACAATACATAAAATATAATCAATCAGTGACACAATAACAATGTCACGCTATAAATGTCAATAAAATCTCATTATATTTAACAGATGCGATGTGTACGTAAATGAAAATAAAAACAATGAAAGCAAAGCCAGAAGCAGAGTGCTTTATTATCCTCGCCATTCCATATCCCCGCGAGTACTTTAAAAAGCCAATTATGAGAAGGCGTAAGAACTAGAAATTTAGCTCATTGAAACGAAATTTTCTGTAAGATTAGCCGGTTACTACTTTGGGGCTGTGTATCATCGCTCCTCGGGCCAATTAATACGACAGATCTCACGCTTAATCGACACAATCGTATTACCGGTCAATTCTCTATAGACCGTATTGAACGCTTGCAAAATAATCTTCGTATCGTTCGAATCGTGGAATTGGGCAACATTTTTTTTGCCGAACTCATGAACAACGATTTTTCCTGTTGAATTCAGAGTTTTGAGAACGAAGCATTATAATGCTGGCGAGTTTTAGGATTGATTAAATAAAACAACATGAAATTCATTCATGCACTTGGCTCTATGCGGCTTTATTTACATTATTACAGCGTTCGATTTACGACTCAAAGTTCAACTACTTCACGAGTACAATTCGAGCAGTTCTTTTAAAATTTCAAAAACCATTTGGAAACAACAATTAGTTTATCAGTAATTTTCGTTCAATCAGTATTTACATGAAGAATAAAAAGGTATATCTAATGTGCGCGAGTGCACTAATAATTATGAATTTTATATTTACAAATGCGTATCTCGTTTCGCTCTCAACAATGAGGTTCAACGAATCTACTAGCATTGTTTAGCATAATGTAGTACAATCAAATTGTATTAAATAATCGTTATGAAAAAATTAGAAATGACGGTGTATTTCTTTGTGCCTTCATAGTATCAGTTTTACTGTTTGCACGAAAATATCCATTTTAACGAAATTTATCAACACAGTTGCTTTTTTCAATTCAAATAAAAACTAGTAGTTATAAAATATTAACCGAGAAATCAGCATATAGAAATTTTAATATTGACCTAGAAAACAGTTTTTTTACAATTCGCGTATATCAGCGAATATTTTTGCATTTCCAACAGTAGCAAACAGTTATAATAGATTTTAGTTATAGAGGACTGACATAATGAAATTTGATAAAAGTCTGACCAAAAACAATAATTACTTAACAGCATCTACAACGTATTATAGAAAGTTGAACATACAATTACTCGTTCCGAAGCAAATTTGTAGTCTACATTCTAAACGCGCAGTAGCCTATGCCTCAGTCGTTCATATCCTTTAATCATGCAGCTTTGCTTCTCGTAAAATACGAAGGTCAGACGCCATTCGATGTTGGTGCACTATTCATCGGTGGTCGGAGAAGATCATGATATTGGAGCAGAGCCTCTCTCAACGAACGTGACACTTGACTCGAAGCTGTTGTTACTGTGCACTCGACCAAGCATGGGTACAAGCCTATTAGTTGTTCCCAAACGGATCGCTCCACTGAACAAGTTGCAGAGAATCGATTAGTGGTGATAAGAAACTGCAGAAATGAATTTCAGCATCATAGCAAACTACCTTTATTACTGGGAGCTTTTTTCAGTGAAACAACAAGGGTTGCAACAGCTTTGAGAACGAACGATATCTCCGACAACCTGTACCTAGAAAATAATACTATAGTCACCTTTTTGGGAGAGCGTTAGTCTGGTTAGTGCGTGAGAAACAATCGAAGTGTTACCTAGGTAATGGGCACTTGCCACTTCGCCGCTCGTCCTCGATGTATCTTTTAAGGACTTCTTGGAATCTATGCAGCAGAGCCGTGACAGCGAGTCGACCGGCAGCCCCACCTTCATCGACTATACTCTCATTTTTATTAGTCTCGATTTCATTGTTTAGACCGTCGAGTAGTGAGAATTGCAGGAGTGTCTCAAAGCATGTTTTCGCGAACTCCTCGCGTAGTTTTGGTTCAGTATTTTTCTCTGGGAAAAATAATAATCTTTCAAATAACTTTCAGCCTAAATGAATCATCAAGAGCTCATCAAATTTACCGATATTTGAAGTAGCAGAGTGGATGGATCCTTTATTAAGAAGCATAACTACTCGTAAAATGAAATGGTGAGGTATGTGTTGAGAGTGTGGCAAAACTTCGTCCCTTAAAAGTTCCATTACTTGACAGTCTACAGCTTCGTCAGCTTGGATTTCTTCCACGCCACGATCAGAATTCATAACACTGCAAGAAAAACAAAAAGAATTCACGAGAGAACTGTGACATTGAAAAAGAACACATGGATTAAATTTATTTACCTAGAGGGAAATAAAAAATTATCTAAAGTGTCAGCAAGTTCCTGCCACATACTTTGAAAGTGTTCAGGATAGCTTCTCGCGAGTGGCAATCCAGTGTGCAAAATATCTAAAAGATTTGTTACAGCTAACTTCCATGTTGTTTGCGAAGGGCAGGCGTACTTCATAGCCAGAGGAACATGTAAAGCTTCGATAATATGTTTTAAGATTTGACCGTCTATCACAGCTTTCTCGTTCGCGGTCTTTTGGTATAAATTGACGACCATAGACAGAGCTTTTTCCCCGAAAGGCACGTAATTCATAGTTATCCAATCGGCCTGGAGATTGAAAAAGTAAATTATTACATACTCTGTAAAAATGATGCAGTAAGAAGACGAAGAATTACTTACAGATACGCCTCTGACTTGGGAGATATGCTTCGTAGGAATTTTTCCGTATGTAGGGGCCTCGCAAGATAATTTTGAAAAATAAAGTAGTTGTATAAAAATTGGGTTAATCATGCTTTGTAGATTATCAGGTGTAGCCAATGCTTCCTGTAACCAGACAATTTATATAATTAGAATGTATACTTTTGCCGTGCGCTAACGGAATAAAAAAATATTAATATTACTTTTTGAAGTAATTCCATCGAGTGAAGTATACCATCTTGTAACTGCGTGAGTACGACGTCTGGCACTGTTGGTATAATGTACGGAGTTGATTCGCCATGTACTGGTACCGCCACAGCATTTTTTAGAACAAGACACAACTTTTGCAAGTCACTCGTGGAAAATCTAAAAAACAAACAAGGAAGCACTTTATTTAGATAAATAAACTTTCATGGATATTCCTTCAGGACAACTTACTTATTTTTGACGTGTTGATAAACAGCTGGAAAAATTTGTACAAGAGCCGTTAGGAATGCCTGCGACGGAATGTAGGGTTCGATTTCGCCTTCTTGCGGAGGCGTAGTACTATCTAATCCGATACTAAGCCAAATCCGCCAGGCAACAATCCACAATGATTCAGAATCTTCAGATTGCGCGGGATCATTATTGTCAGTAGTTTTAGGAAGGTATAATATTTCTTGAAAAGATTTCAAGGCAGCTAGAGACACCTGCAAACAATTCAACACAAGAAAATGTAAAAAAATGAATTACTGGTATATATAAATATACGTTGTGGTGAATATTCATACCTCGTTATTTTTACTTAAAGCAGAATTTTCAATAAATTCTAAAAGCAAAGACCAAGCTCGCGGAAAATCTCCTAGCATTTGCAATAACTGACGTTTTGTATTGAAAACTCTTGCTACTCCACTCAAAGTTAATACCTAAGAACAATAAAAAATTCGAGCTTTTGTTGATAAACGAAAAAAAAAAACAAATCCAAAATAATTTTTTATTATTATAATAAATTACCTGGGTCTCTGCCCATTGCTTTTGAGCAGTGTTCCTGCTGTGATGGATAAGAATATTTCCCGAAGTATCTACTTTCTCGTTGCTTGCTGAGCTTGATAGACTTCTAACTTTATCAAGAAGTGGAAATAGAACTTGCCATAGCACAGCCTGCCACGTAGGTTGATGCAGTAGAGTACCGTGTGCAGAAATCGTTGAGAAAAGCGTTTGGCTCGCGGATTTGCGAACGGCAGGTCTCGGATCAACGCAAAGGTCACCCAAACGGGCGTACAAGCACATCCAAAGTTTATCGAAAGGTGGCATATTCGTTGTGCCAGGGAAGTCTGGAAATACAGAGGCCGAATCGCCTCGTAAAGAGGCACATATTTTTTCTTGATTTTGATAAAAATAGTCGCTTATGTTCCACTAAAATACAAAATAATATTTCATCAGTCATTGGACATACGTAATTATATTATAATCACTATATGTACCATTTGTCCGACAGCAGTTAACGAGATGTTCAACTCTTGAGTTTGCGAACCAAACTTTGCTGCAGTATCGACGCAAAGCGGGAGGCACCTCCAAGGCATTACAGGTAAGAAATCTGTTATTACTAGTTGCAGACATTGAAAAGCTATACGAACTAAAGCTTCCCTGTAAGTAAAATCATTTTGACGTACAAAATAATCATTGTTAAATTGTATACCTCGTATGCTTGAATAATTTACCCATGGTGGTCGGAAACCGCTCCAATGATACCTAGTACCAATGGCCAGCCGTGGTATAATGTTTCGCCAGCACCATGAAGAATTTGCAATACGCACTCTAGTTGTCTCTGTCTAACATCTGCGTGTCTTACAGAAGATAGTTCTGATAGTGGTCCTAAGAGTAAAGTCTGTAATTTCTGAAAAAAAATTTATTAATAAACCAAAATATTTAATTGTAAGAAGGTAATGTTAATCTGACAATTACTTGATTATCTCGTAACGGTTGAGGATATTTGTGCTGAAGAGCAGCTTTCACTAAGTAAGTTATCGCCTCGACGCCCCACTCCCTCATTCTAATGTGAGGGTGCTGACAAACTTCGAGCAAATGATTTGTCAGCGGTCTCCACAAAACTTCGACCCTTGGTAAATTTACTAAACCGGTTTCTAATAGCTTTGCTACAGCAAAGAGAGAAGGTTCCTGTAAAATTAAATAGCAAAAAAATAATTATCGTAAAAAATATTTTTATTAAAAAGGAGCTTACTCTATTAGTATACGCAAGTTCCATAGCTTCCTGACTAAGCTTGCAAAGTGCATCTATAAGGTGGTGGAGAGCAACGTCATCGAGATGCTGGCTGCTCTCAAACAGTCTACTAAGCATAGCACTAAGAATTGGTAAATCAGCCATGACCGCTGTGGTAAGGGTGGCATTCGAGTCGGCAGCAGTACGGCCAGCTTTGAGCGAACCACCTGTCGACGGTTTCAGTCCAAGGATCCAAGCCAAGTGTTGCAGTGTGGTCAGTACAAGATGCCAAGCACTTCCCAAGATACTACCGTGACAATGAGCCAACAACAAAAGAGCACGCATGCACTGTAAATTCTTCACGGTCAACATAACGGGACCTTGTTGAGCGCCTGAAATTAAAAAAAAAATCATTTGTCCAGCTAGTTCGGATTGTAATATGAGAATAGTTTACCTATGGGCAATGAAGTAGTAGGCAGAGGAGTACCGACAGCTACGACTTGTTGTCTATAATCTGACTCGCCAAGGTTAGCCGGATTGTATTGTGCACCAGAATTTCCAATGCCAGCATTGACGTCCTGCTGTTGCTGTTGCCTCGCGGCACTGGGAATACCTTGCGGTGCACTGTACAACACCGTAAGAGCATAGTGCGGTGGTAATGAGGCCTTGCAAATAGCTGTGATGAAAGCGTCGCGTGGAGTATGTAAATCGAGAAGGCCGCAGAGAGAGGCAAACGTTTGGATTTCTTTCAAAACATTCTCCGTGGCAGACTCGTCGGTGCTCGCGTCGATAAGTGGACTTAAAGCTGCGAGGAGGCCACACCAGCTTGAGTTTATTAACTGGACGTGGAGTTTGCGCTCGTCTTCCGTTGGATCGTACTTTTTCTCCACACCTTCCTCGCGAGGACCAGTGATTGCTAAGGCTATTGAACGAATTATATCCAAGAGACAGGCGTACGCGATGCTTATGCCGTAACCATCTGGGATTTGAGGTGGATCTATTTTGTCTAGCATCTCAAGACTGCAATTGAAATTGTATTTTTTATTGATTAGCTATATTCGATAGACGAATGATACTAAACACGACGAACTTACTAAGTAGATTTAGCCTGACCACTAGTAAATGTAGCCACAACAGGTAACCATATTCCTCTAGAATAGAAACCTGGCTGTGGAGTTATACCTGGTCCAATGGGCATTCCTGCTAACATTGCTGGGGCGGTACCCTGTGCTTGAGCTACTGGTGCTGCAAAAGTAACGAATAATATTTTTACGTTTACTTGTAAACTATCAATGTCATTTGACACAAGAGTGAGTTGGAATCGAATTGTTGGCGAATTACTGACCTGGCGCAGCCTGTGAAATGTGTGGATTTACGAAAAGACTATGTACGTAGGCGCCTAAACTGTTTACAATATCCTGAAAGATATTGGTTGCATGCGGTTTAAGGTCATAACAATTACAAAAACTGGTCAGTAGGTCGGCTTGTACGGTCATTTTGTGCAAAACTTCCAAGGCCAAAGCCCGTTGCCACGGAGGCTTATCAGGATCCAGAAACTTAACTATTAGAGATAAAAATATTTCGCATTCCGTCACCTAGAAAACATCGTTCAAAAATCATTCATACGCCGGCGCTTTTCTCAAAATTCACAAACGAACCAGAAAAACATTTAAAACTTACAAGCAATGAGTGATACTTTTGAATCAAAATCGATACGACTCTAAGTAATCTCATACTGATAGGGAAATAGGGCTTATCAAGAGGTGTTGCTTGTTGCACTGATGCTGGTACAGAGTTCCGATATTTAATATTAGGTGAAAATAACTTTATGACCAGAGCACATACTCGTTCTTTTAGAAGAAAACTGAATTCTTGGTGCTATACAAAAGTAATAAACTAATTAAATCATGCAAATGTAATTTTCGAGATTGAGTGACTGATAAAAGTTTACAGGCTCAAAATTTTAACATAACTAAAGGTATGTACTTTCTTTTGTGAATTTGTATCTTACCTTGAAAAATACTGAAGAAAAATTTATTAGAACAGACTCAAGTAATTCTAGACCAAAGGTCCGTGTCATTTCAGTAATGCCTATTAACCAATAGGGTTGATCGGCATTGACTAACTGCACTAGGTCCTATAAAATCAAAAATTATTAATTAATGTGATTAGTGCTAAGATAGTTTATATACAAAAATAGAATAAGTACCAGGTAAAGAAAAAAATGAATTTACAAGCTACTAAAAATTATAAACATTCCTCTTTCTTTGTGAAATTCAATGTATATTGAATTCGAATTTGTAACAAAATACTAAAAAATTTCTAATAATAACTTACTTGAAACATTAGGTAGGCATCAGCAGCACAAGGCCTAAGAGCCTTCGGTGCTTGATTCGTAGGCACTTTTAACTCTTCAAAGTTGCTCTCGTCTTGCACTTGTGGATCTGCATTTTGCTCATCTTCAGCAACAATTCGTTCAAAGACCAAAAAAACTAACTGACGTACAGTGGCTCCTGCAGTATTAATCGTTGTTGAATCTTTTGTAAAGTGAAGGCGGAAGCAAAGTACCAAATTCTGAAAACCCAATTTTATTTCAAATAGTACACTATAAACATTAAAAAATGTCTATATATTGAAATAATTAACATACCCTAGCTAATGTATCTCCATGAACAAGTGAATTACTCGTAAGTAATAAGGTAACTGTTTGTAAGACTTTGACTTCTTCAATTCCAGCTTCCATCAATGTCCATAACGCATCTGTGATATACCGTGCTCCTTTTTGATCAACTGCTTGTTGCGTTATCAGTCTCTGCATTGTGTTTAGGCAGAACTAATAAATATAAAATAACGCAATAAAGATATATTGGACAAAAGTTGACATTTAGTATTGGTAATTACAAGATTAAACATTAACCTTTGAAATTTTTACATCCTTGCATTCGCAGCCTTGGACTAGAGGATATAGAATCTGATTCACAACATAATAAACTTGTCCTGGTTGATTGTTTGAAGATGCTTGTCTTAATTTGACTATTCCTTCTTCGCATGACTATAAAATAACAATAAAAGAAGAATTATTCAAATACTTTTAAATAAAAAATGAATGATTCTATTTTCATTGGGGAACATTATGTAGTAAAATAAAGCTGAAAGAAAAATATCAGTCATAATAGAAACATAAATACAAAGCCCTGACCTCTTTGATTTGAGGATATTTCTTTTTAGTCTCAGAAGACAATGACTTAAGGTCAGCCTGTAAGGACTCAAAGAACTTGACACTATTCTCCTGGGCATTGCCCCCGACGATGTTTGCACTGGACATCTTCGTGGAAGCGTCCACGCCCACGACACAATTTATATTTGAAGGTGCTTCGGACTTCTGCACTCTAATATTTACGGGTGTTTACCCGAAAGTGGGTCTCATGTTTTTCTTTTTGTCCGTTCTCAGCAGCGACGAAGTTGAGCTGGCATTATCAGGTAAATCGACGACGAAGCAGATACTACTTCTTTCTCTGTCGCGCCTAGTTCTCCTTTTCTTCTTTATTGTTGTAACGCACCCACACATGTACGGGACGACAGATTAGCAGCTGTCAATTTTTATGTAAGCCGCTTGTGTGCGTGTATTATGAACCTACGTTACTACGTACATACCTTTTGTACATACGTGTAAAGTGTTGCACGATTTTTGCAAACTGTAGAGCTAGAGGTAATGTTAGTTCGACCGGACCTTAAACGATGACGCTGACGTATGCGTTATATACGCGGGCTTTTTGATGTTATTTGTTGCCTGCCTCATATCTTTCATCACATTGCCAGGACAAACCGATCTCTTTAATTTTTATTCTGTTCTTTCTACGTGACATTCGATAACTTCTGATGAGACTGGATAGTTTAACAGTTTATAAAGTGATACGGTGATTATTCTATTTACATCGCTTAGTTTTTTTTTGGTTTTTTAAATAATTCTTAATATTTAAATTATAGGTTAGAAATTATATTCAAAACTTTTCAACTTACAACTTTGCAACAAAAATCTCCGACAATGTATTAATTATTCAAAATAACATCATGAGTTCTGATTTGATCATTGAATCAGGCTTACAAGTTGTTACGAGATTAATCGATCGACCGTCAGTTGAAGATTTGGATAATGATCTATTTTTTAATAAACTGAGAAATACTGATGTTGTTGAATTGCGAGGTACTGTTTCTAGTAGACTTAATTTATTATTAACTAAATTAATCGTGAAATGTATTTTGCCACTGCAGTATAACGGTTTCAGTATAGATGTGTTACTTATAAACACAGAAAATCAATTTAGAGTTTCTCATCTTGTCAATATTTTAAAAGATGAAATATCTGCTATCCAAGGACCCATTAATGTAGATAGTATTGTAGAAAAATTGTTGAATAATTTAAAAATTATCAACTGTTATAATTATTATCAGTTTTTTGTAACTATAAATTCACTGGACAACATATTATTGAAAAATAAGAAAGTAGGAATGATTGTACTTGATAGTATTAGTGCATACTATTGGTTACAAAAAGATGAATTGTCTTATAATTCATATGTCATGAAAATGTTGAATATTATTAGAAAAATTACAATAGAATTTAAAGTAGTAACTTTATATACAAAGCAGTATAACTTTGAATCAAAGAGAGAAACTGTGGAATGGCATGAAGGAAAAAAATATTTGAGGTATTTAATATCATTATCTAGAAATGAGGATTCCAATGAACTAATATGTAATATTCAGTCAGGAAAAGATAAAAAGCAACTATATTATAAGATTAATGGGTCTAACATTGTTTGGGTAGAAAAAGCCAGTAAAAAGATCATAGTTTGTTAAAAATTTATATACAATTGATACTTGTCAACAATATCTTATCAACCACTTCAAGTGGGTTTAGCAGCCTTGTTCCACCTAACGTTACTTTTGGAGTGTTGGGGCCCTTTTTATTTACAATTTCTTCTACAATTCTGATTTCATCAGGAGTTATTCCTCCTAAAACATATATTATAACCCAAGAATTCTCACATGGATGGCTCTGTGCTTTGCCTGTTGTTAAATATCTAAAAATTGAAATTCATTACAAAATTATTGATTCCCATGGATGATTGAACTTATATATTGTTTCAATTCAGTATGATATGAAATAACTTACTTAAAACCAGTAGACAGTAAGGAAGAGTTTTTTTTAATTAAATCAGGAATGTCAGGTCTTTTTTCGTCAAGTAAATTTGTAATCAATTGCTCTAAAAGACCAACATGTCTGGCCATTTCCCTTGTATTTGGCATACTCATCACTTGTCTGTAATCAAAAATTTGCATAAAAATGTAGGTACATACATATATAGTTTTTTGAATAAACTTTTTAAATCATAAAAATTGTTACCTATAATTTTTCATTGATTCCCTTTGATGTAATATTTCATGTAAAAGTTCTACTACATTATCTGTTATTTTTATTGCAGTTTCTTTAGCAACTTCATCACCAGTAACCCCTAATTTTAATTCAAAATATTTTTAATCTTATAAAATCAAAATCAAAATTGCTTTTCAACATTGAAATGCTAATGTTATTCACCTAGTAGTAAAAGAGTTTGATAATATGCAGAAATCTCATAATTTAATTCCGTTTCATTGCACTTTATTATATCATCATATATTGCACTTATCAATGCTTCTTTTAATCCCTCCTCTTGTTGATCAGAAAACTTAATGTCTGGGCCAGCCATAGCATAAAGATAAACTAAAAGTACTAATAAATTTTCCATTTCCAAGCCTCTTGTTGCTCTAGTTTTTACAATATTGCTTAACTGTAAGTAATATATATTTAAAATACTCTTATAAATATTAATGAAAATCGCTCAAAGATTTATTAATAACCTGAGAAAGTATACTTGAAGAATCTTTACTGATAGCTAAATTTTGCAAAATAAGTTTTTCCAAACTAATTATAAATTCAATCTGAGAAGTTTTATTTGATTTGAGGGCTTGGACAACTGCGGAAATAAACTAAAAAAACGGAATATAAATGTAATAACTCTTTTAAAGGTTTGCTGTAAAATCGTATTAGGAATTGCATCTTGAATTAAATACCTGTAGATTTTTACTATTTTTGCATAGTGTCTCTACACTTTCTGAATCCCTGAACTTTTGTATTCCCTTTTCCAAACTATGAGCTGTAATTCTTGTTGTAATTTTACTTGGTTTTGGGCTTTCTTTGTTTCTTGTCATGTCAATTAACATTTTGTTTAAAGTTAAAAGTACTTCTTTTTGTTTTTTATTGAACAGTATATTCATAGCTTCATCATTTTTCGTTGCTAAACATCCTGGGACCATAAATGAAGATGAACATTCCTAAAAATAAAATTTTAATTAGCGTTTATCTTTATGTACTAGTGAATATAATATTTGATAAAATATAATTACCTCGCCTTTGAGACTAAGAGAATGCATCTGAACAGCAACATCATTATGATGATGAGGTAAATGAGGTAAAGTGCATAATATTCTTCCCAGAATTGATTCAGAGTTGTGCGTAGTAGCAGATGATAAGTCCAGTGTTCTATCTATTAATATTAATGACAACTTTTTATGTGCCATACTTCCCTTAAAATATAAATTAATAAAATTATCTTTCTAAATTAACTTTTTCAAAACATACTCAATAAGACAATTATAATAATTATTTACTTTTCTTCGATTTACGGCAGCTGTAAAGTTTTGTAATTTATCTGCTATACAGTTACTAAATTTTCCCATGGCATAAATATCTTCTTGTACATCATAGTATGAAAACAAACTATGGAATGAGCTTATCAAAAATTCAATGTCAACTTCAAAGTCATCTGTTAATTTTCCATCTATGGAGGGCATTAAAGTTCCAAAAGGTGGTGTAACAAATACGTTATCTTTCAAGCAAGCTATAAAAATTGGTTTAAACATCATTGTTACTTGCGAATCCTGAAAATCAAGTATGTCATAACTTGTATAAATTTAAATTAATATATGAATACTCTTAACTCATATGTCATGTTTGATTACCTGAGAACTTCTGTCATTCATCCATGATAAAATGTCACCTCTCAAAGTGTCATAACTATTTTCTCTTTCCAAATCACCAGGATTTACAGATATGTAATTTAAAATTTTTTTATGAGCTGTGCATACTACCGAACATTTTTCAAAATTGTTTTTCTCTATGATCAATTTTAAAGTACGCTGATAAAAGAGGGAGTCCGTTGACGTGGAAATAATAACTGCTTTACTAACATTTTTGGCTTTGAGATTCTATAAATGTTATATAACACGGCATTAAGAAAACCACAATATTTATATTGTTTTTCAAAACTTACATGAAAATTGTACAAAGATAGTTCATGAACAGATAAAGCACCAGCATCTTTTAATGTTAAATATGCCTTGTCTCCTGTGTGCCAATGCAGACATTCGGCAGCTGCATGATCAATATAAACAGCTGCATCGTTAATCATAGATAACACTTCTTTCCAACAAAAATCTGCAAACTCTTTCATTTCTCCAAACATTTTCAGATTATATTTCTCTAAAAATGATCACATTCACAGTCAAATTAATTTATTCGTTCGTATATTTAAAAAAACTGCCACGTCCCGTGAAATTTTTCATGAAAATAAAATTCCGTGTTTAATTACAGCACTCGATTCTCAAACAACGATTTCATTGCCAGATATATATAAAACTAATAATTTAGTGGAAATTAAAGTACGTAAGAGGTTAGCCACTATTGCAGCATACCACTGCAACATCTGTTCTCTACTGTTTACGTTTGAATACCAACGAACGCACAAGTGAAATGATGAATGTATTGTGTAAGGCCGATGTTTAAAACGTTAAGAAAAGTTGATCTCGGCAATGAAAAGTCGTACAAAGATAAAATTTCGCTGGAGAAATCATAAAAAATTGAATCTGTGAATTTGTAAGCAGTGACCGAAAAGTTCGAGGAAACGCCATACGACAAGGCAGCATAAAACGAGTTGTTATTAAGTGATTACCGCACGCCGTCGATAGTCGGAGTCATTTGAGAATAATTTTGAAAGATTGTCGGAGCGCTCATTATGCCAAGCGCGTACGACAACGTAAAAAGTCGCGAAGAAGTCATTGAAAATGCGAAGCCGTAACGCAGCCAGTTACCTTACCAGTTTACCTTTCGGATTACGGATGTTTATTGCAAAATATGTATGAAGGCAGGTAACGATGGTCGCCGCACCGCTCCAACGGTTTACCAACGAGAAAGAACATTATCGATAAACGTGTTCGTATACCCGCCAAGGATCGTACAAATTTCTGCGCACTTGTCGAGAAGCCGCAAGCGTAATTGCGAGGTAAGAAGCACCTGCGCTAAGTTGCCATGACCGCCGCGGATAATCATCCGATCTTGATTTAAGGGCTGGCTGTTGGACACTGGAATGCGTGTATTTTTAAGATCAACTTTTCCGCGCTCTAATTTCCATAGAGAAATACAACGAGCTAAGGTTTCATCGACGGCAAAACAGACAAGTTTTGAAGTAAATTATTTCGCAATGATGATAGCTGGCTTGCTTTTAGGATTCTTGGATTTTAGTGCTCCGCGAGTGTAAGTGAGCGTACATGTTTCGATAACGGTCGAGCAAAATATTTCTTTAATTGAATTGCCGTACGGGGAGCTCTTCGAGAGTATCGCGATAGTGCTTAAAAGCTTGACGCGCTTCGTTGCCTCCGTTTCATGCGGGACTTTTTTCAGACCCACGCATAATTTCAAATCTTTTGGACTTTCAAGTCTTTTTACACGAGTGCGTTTGAACGATTAAAAAAAATAGTTTTTGAAAATGCACGAGTGCACACGGATACAAAGAGCTCTGCACAATATGAACGAATGAACTTTTCATATTCGAGCTTTATATTTATTTGTCACTTTGTTCCAAAGAGGAGTGTTCTCAGGCTAAAATGTGATAAAAACCGGTAAACGAGTAAATATGGTCAAGACGAGGAGACTGCAAATGCATTTCATGGAAATGGAATACAATTGAAGGGCGCGTGGGAGAGAGAGAGTTGCGGCAAAATAAAGGGCATCGTTTCAAAATGTTGCATATAATTTATTATAATATAAATAATAACTAAGAGCCGTTCTCCATTTGATCGAAGAACGTCGGAGCCGCGTATCACTTAAAATCTATCAAATAAAATAATTAATATTAAGAGATTCGTTCTTCCTCATCCTCTCTCAGTCGGTCGCGTGTCTCTCGCAGTTGCGCTCAAGTCTCTCAACTAGCTGAAAAACAAGCAGAAGGCAACAAGGGCAAGGCGTGATTATCTCGTCCTCGTTATATCGGCTCGCCCGTCGCTGCTGCGCGACACGGCAGCGCTTACCATTTGGCTACGGTGAAGGGTCGGCACGACTCGGTGAGCGTGTCGTACGTGTAACCCGGCTGGCAGTTGACGAGCTGCGGCCTGCGGTTCCTGCAGACCACCACGCTCGAGCACGACTCGGTCAGTCTGTGAATCTCGCCGTTCTCGCACGGTCCCTGGGTCAACTCCTGAGGAATCGTGTGGAACACCTCCCAGGGACCGTTGGCCATCGTCGAGACCTCCAGCTCCTCGCCGATCTCCTCGTCCTGCCGATCGGCCATTTTCTCTCGTCAGCTTTCATGGGTTATTTAACAGCGAGAGCTTCCCCCCACCCTCTTAAGCGGATTATGCGTGTGCGCCAATTGATTTTTCACGAGGATCGATCGGCGGTGCCCGACTCTCTCTCTCTCTCTCTCTCTCTCTCTCTCTCTCTCTCTCTCTCTCTCTCTCTCTCTCTCTCTCTTGAAAGAAAAAAAGGAATGTTTACGAAGGAGCAGGAAAGAATCCGCGAAGGCGCGTCCGAGAACAAACCCGCGGAGCAAAACAGAGAGGAAGAAGAAGCGAAGGAGGAGGTGCGCGTAACGGGCTGTCCGAGAGTATCTGGCGCGATAAAAATCCACCTCCGCTGGGCGCGAGATAGCCGGAGCAAACGATCTCTCTGGTGCGGCAAAAGGAGCACGAGCCGGTATCGCGTATCGAGTAACGCGGACTTGCCAAAAACGAAGCGTGAGAGGCGGCAAGAGCGTCGAGTGGAGGGGGGCCGACGGAGACAGAGAGAGAGAGAGAGAGAGGCGCGCTCTCGGGGTTAACGAACCTTTTGGGCAGGAATGTCCTCGTCGAGACTGGCCTGTCGCTGTTGCCAGAAATGTTGATTTCTGAACAAGAAGTTGTTCGGGTTGTAGGGGTTCGATGGGTTGGGCGCCTGTGGTTGCTGAGGATACGATGGGTTGGGATTGTCACCGCCTCCATTATTGCTTCCACCACCGCTTCCTTGATTTCCACCACTGCCCTGGTTGCTGCCGCTTCCTTGACTTCCACCACTGCCCTGGTTGCTGCCGCTTCCTTGACTTCCACCACTACTCTGGTTGCCGCCGCTGCCCTGGCTACCGCCGCTGCCCTGGCTACCGCCGCTTCCCTGGTGGCTACCGCTTCCCTGGTGACTACCGCTGCCCTGGTGACCACCGCTGCCCTGGTGGCCACCGCTGCCCTGGTGGCCACCGCTGCCCTGGTGGCCACCGCTGCCCTGGTGACTACCGCCTCCCTGGTGACTACCGCCTCCCTGGTGGCTACCGCCTCCCTGGTGGCTACCGCTGCCCTGGTGGCCACCGCTGCTCTGGTGGCCACCGCTGCCCTGGTGACTACCGCTGCCCTGGTGACTACCGCCTCCCTGGTGGCTACCGCTGCCCTGATGGCTACCGCTGCCCTGGTGACCACCGCTGCCCTGGTGGCTACCGCTACCCTGGTGGCCACCGCTGCCTTGGTGGCTACCGCTACCCTGATGGCCACCACTGCCTTGGTTACCACCGCCTCCTTGGTTCCATTCGTTCGAAGGGGCGGGTGGCTTTGGCGTCGGCAGATTGCCACAGTTCACTTTAGAGGGCCAGTCGCAAATAAGCGTTTCCTGAACGAAAGAAAAAAAGCCCTACTCATTTCTTTCTCTTTGGTCGAGCGTAACACTGAATAATAACATCGAGAAAGATTGAATCGTTATTTACGCGCGTTTTCATGACTGAAATCGTCGATTTACATTTCGCCGGCGTGTATTTATTCAAAGTTATGCAAACTGCACGGACCATTAAGAAACTTGTCCGCTCGCGGCGGATAACGTTTTTAGCTGGGCCAAATCGCGTCGCGCATCTCAACTCGGCCGCCTTGCCGCTATCTCGGATCGACGAGGCGTTCGCTGGCGCGTCGCGATTTAATTTTGCTGTCCATCTGCGCGCGAGACAGCATCGGGGCTGACGAGTTTCGCCGTAGCCCGGAAAACCGTTCGCGCCAGCGCGGTCAGCCGAGTACCAAAATAATCGAGGCATTACCAGTTTGGCGAGATTTGCATAAGAGCGCGATACATCAGACGAAAGAGCAGAAACCTGCTCGCGCGGGCAGCGAATGACGATTGTTAGCGAGCTTTAAACGAGCGGCATAAACTTACCTCGCTGTAAACGAGTCCCTCGGGGCAATTGAACTTGATGGGATTTCCGGAGACGCACACGAAAAACTCGGAGCAGTTGGTCGGGCTCCTGTATCTGCCGAACGGATCGGGACATTGCTTGGAGCCACCGCCGGGCTGCTGGGGCTCTGTAGCAGCGAGCAAAGCGGACAAGAGGAGGTGAGTCGAGCAACAAAAAGAGGAGTCCGGGCTAACATGCTCACTCGTCCGTCCGACCTTCTTTAATATTTCTCCGTTTCGTTCGTTTTTTTTTTTTTCTTTTTTTTTCTTTTCTTTTCTTTTCTCTTTTCTTTTCTGCTCGTTCCCTTGTGTGCTCGAGCTCGCTTTTGGCATTCCGAGTGTATACGCGGCACGAAGATACTCGGAAATTAGGCTTGCGCCGTAGACGTGATTTATCACATAGACGCGTCGAGTTTTGTGTATTTTTTCAGCAGAATTTTTTCGCTCGCGTTCGGCTGAATCTCGAGCGAACAAGTAATACCGAAACGAAAAGAATCTTTTTTGCCCACGGACTTTGCGCACGGTTATTTCCGTCTGCTTTCGGATGCTACTAATTTCAATAACAATGCGACGTTTAAAAGGAATCACGATGGTCATTAAGATGTCGAACAACCGAAGAAAAAGAACAAATAAGTAGACAACTCACTGCCAGGCTTGGGTCTGTTGCCGCAGTTGACATTGTCCGCAAAGTCGCAGTAGGCCTTCTTCTCGTTGAATAGCAGCCCGTTAGGGCACTTTTCCTCGACCGAGGTGTCGTCCCAGCAGTTGACGTAGTGGGCGCAGCTTTTGGGACTCGGGAATTGTCCGCGATCTTTCAAGCAGCCTGGGGGTCTCTGTGGCTTGGGTTTGCCGGGGATAGGTCTGGGAATTTCGTTGTCCCCGTCGCCCCCACCATTGGTACTGGTACCACCGGTACTGCCGGTACCACCCGAGCCACCGGTGCCACTGGTGCTACCCGTTCCACCGCTACCGCCGGTACCACCCGAGCTACCGGTACCACCGCTACCGCCGGTACCGCCGGTACCGCCGGTACCGCCGCCGTGGCCTTGACCTCCGGTTTCGCCTTGATTTTCGCCTTCGCCTTGACCACCGCCGGTGCCTTGTCCGGGGTAACCGTTGCCGCCTCCACCTTGCCCGGGATAGCTGCCACCGCCTTGTCCGGGGTAACCGCTGCCGCCTTGGCCAGGATAACTACCACCTTGACCTCCGTAACCCGGGAAGAGGCTGAACTGACGCGATTCTGCAATCGCTGCCGCTGGCAACCCTTCCACGGGGCTTATCTGCGGATCCCATACTTGCGGCTCCGCGTTAACTGCCGAGAGAGGGCAAAATCTTTATTTTATCGCTCCTACGCAAAGCCTTAAGCGGAATAAGGGAATCTCTTTCGAAGAGCGACGAGGCGCTTTCGTCATCGAACTCGATCGGGAGAACTGGCGGCTGAGCAAATAAAAGAAGAAAAATTCCACCGAGGAAAGTCGCGCGTGGAAAAATAATAATCGATCGAGCTGGCAGAGACAATGCAACGCGCCCTCCGCATTCAATTCAAAAGCCATCCGCGAACCGAGGAAAAAAAGCTCCGAATAGAATTCGAAACCTTAATTACATCATTAGCTATTCAATTCCCTTGGCATTAGCATACGAGCGTACATCGCGAGCTTTTCAAAGAGCCAATTACAAGCGGCGCGTCGGGCTTATGGCAGCGAGACAATGGCCCATTACGAATCCCCGAAGGGGGAAAAAGAAAAGGAGTCGCGAGAGAACGAGCTGCGGCGAGTGGTTCTCCCTCGCGAGCGCGCCGGGCCGCCCGCGTCGCGGCACCGCGGGGGTGAACGCGGACGATCGGCGAGACTCACCTTCGTTCCTGCGCAACTGCCTGGCTCGGCTCCTGATGGCTCTCCTGGCGTCGGCCAGCGCCAGGAAACACAGCGCCGCGATCACGACGAGCCTCATCTTTGTGCACGAGAGCGAGGTACGGCGACCGAACGAACCGAAAGAAAAAAAACAACAACAACCAAATTCACAATGCACAAGTGTGTCGCTCGAGAGAGCGTCTCGGCTGAAGATGCGCTGGTCCATGGCTGACCCAGGGCTTAAATAGGGCTATCCCCCACCACGCTCGCGCACCGACTTACCGGCCCAACCGAGAGTCCTCTCTCTCTCTCTCTCTCTCTCTCTCTCTCCTCTCTCTCGCTCAGGATCCCAATTACGCGCGGCTTCGCGATGCTCTCTCTCTCTCTCTCTCTCTCTCTCTGCGAGTCGCGAGCAAAAAAATCAAATCAAAAGCTAAGGATTTACGGCGAGCGTCCTTTTGTGCGCTGCTCGCGCCTGGAGCTGCCCCCTCCCCCCTGCCGAGGCTTTCCGAGAAAAGCTCCTAAGTGCCGCGCGGCGTTCATCCCCGATAACCTGGCCGAGCGCTCGGCTCTCCCGACGGATTAACGAGCTTGCCTTGCGCGGCTATCGTCGTGGACGCGCGCGAACGCTCGTGCAGTTTTTCCTCGTCGTCGGGAGCCCCGCGTTGTCGTGAGAAAGCGAACGGCAGCGGCCGCGCGCACCTCGCTATCGTAAAGCGCGGAGAAGTCGCCGATAGGACGGGGCCGTACAAGCGGCGCCGGGCAAAGGGGAGAGAGGAGGACGGATAGGCCGCGGGATCGATTAGCGCGAGCCGCGCGGGCTCGCGGCAGCGTAAGATAATGCGCTAAATGATCCTAATGAGCGGAAACCGAGAGAGGGAGAGGATTTTATCTTCGGAGAATTCGTCCTCGCTTGTTTCTCCGTCGATTGCTCGTTTTCTTCGGGACGCGCATACGCGTGCTCTCTCTCTCTCTCTCTCTCTCGTGTCGCTGATTGACTTTGGAAAAACCGCGCTGCCAGTGGCGCACTCGCTCGACTGGTTTTCGCAAAGCTCCGGCCATTTAAGTCGCGTGTCTCTCGCGTGAGAAGCTTTTTTGCCCCCTGCCCCCCTCCCCTCCGTCGGCGTTCGGCAAAAAGCGACTTTTCGAGAGGGGGAGAGAGATAGCGCGCGCCCTCGAGTGTTTTTCTCGCTCTCGCGCGTATCGATGCATATGCGCGTCATAAAAGCCGGAGAGCTTGCCAAGGACGCGAGGCTAACGACACGCCGCGCTCTACGCGACTCGCGCCGCTCGGCGTAGCGCTTAGATTTCCGAAAAATGCGCGCTCGGCGCGAGCAATTAAAGTGAGCCGTCAGGCTGCCGTTGGCGTCGGAACGCCAAGCTGTAGCCGAGAAAAGGAAGGGGCAGGCCGACCCGGGGGCTTAATTGCGAGGCGTCACGTTGAGCCGCGTTGATCGGCCGGCGCCGACACGAGTCAAGACGCTCGCTCTCGCGGCTCGGCCGTGCGTCGGGGATTACGGGCGCACAGCCGCCGCTCGGGCATCATCCGCATTACCGGTGTCATGCGCGTCTCAGCCGCGATTAACGCGCGGGCATTAGCGCCGCTCGGCCGCTTTGTCCGAGCGAGCGCGCGTCCGCGCGGCGACGCGTCGTCGTCGTCGACCGCTGGTCGCTCGCGCTACCGTCGAACCGGACCGAACGTCGCCTTGGCGATTATCGCGGACCCCTTCGAAATTCGCTCGTCGCTTCTTTTCCCGGGCTCTCTCGTAGTTGGGCCGCCCTCTCGCGACGAATTAGCGCGAGCGCGGTCATTGCCGGCCGCGCCTCGTGGTTCGAATCGAAGCGAAGGGAGCCGGTCTCGTCCCCGACGATTCGCAAAAGTCCGAAAGCTCTAGCGCGAGTGTGAATCTTCGCGACGAGGTGCTAACGCGCCGATCGGTCGCGAGATGAAAGCGAGCCTTTCGCCTCGCGAGCGAGGGGGGAACCGAGCTTCCCTCATTAATAACGGGTGCAAACACGCGGCGGCTCGCGAGTTATCCGTCAAGTGTTACACGGCGCGTCGACGTTATTAGCGATGCCGCGAGGAAAATCCATCCGTCTGTCTCTCTCTCTCTCTCGCGCGCGCGCGCGTGCGCCCGGCAACTGGTTCTCCCCCCGGCCAGATTATATCCTTGTATTTTACACCGGTAATGAAGTTCTACGACGCTGCCGCGGCTAAGTTTAACGCGGCGTTAAATTAGCTACGCTTCTTTCTCGCCTGCTCCGCGCTGCCCGTTCCTTTTTTCGTTCCTCGCTCGCTCGTTTATGAGCTCCGCTCCGGCGATTAATAAGCCGAGCCGAGGTATGCGCTCTCGCCGGGGAGCAAGGGGCGAGGAAAAACGAGGGTGGAATAGCCCGCTATCGGCATGGCGACGCGCGATCGCGGCGATATGGGCGCCTCGCGCCTGCCGCGTCACGGCGCAAAACGAGCGAGACGCGCCGGCCAGGCAGCTACGGCTCCCCGACGCGCGGAATCGATTCGTCGCTCGCGATCGACATCCTCGACGAGCGCTCCGCCGGCGGCCTTTGTCCGCCGATATTTCGCTCCCGTGCCGTAACAGCGTCGTGTGCCGCGGTAATTGTTCGCGGAACTTTATTGAACGCGCGCGGAGGATAAATTCAATTACTTATCTCTGCGCGGCCGCCTCGACGCCGCGAGCACGTCGCCTTCTCTAAAAACGAGTTTACTCGCGGCAAGAAGGAGCTGCCGGCCGCTGCGCCGCCTGGGCAGATAAGAATTTTATTATCATCCTCGAGCTGTGTTATTCCCAAATAGAAGTAACAAAAAAAGGAGCCACAGGCATGAGACGATCCGCGCGGATAAATTCTTCGGCCGAGAGGGGGAAGGAGAATCGCGGGTGCGTTACTTCGCCGGATAGTTATCGCAATGGTTTCCGTATGCAAGATTCTAATATACGGACATTGTCAAAATAACCGCGACTACCCGACGTGGATAAATCGCGCGTCGCTCCGACAGGGACGAGGTCCGTCGGCAATAAGGAAGAGGAGCGCGCGCGCAGCGAAATGCCGATTCTCGTCTGCCAAATGACCGGGCGAAACGAGTCAGGACAATAAAAATCAGAACGGACCCGTTAGCCCAGATTCTCCCGAAAATGCCGCTAATTTGGCGCATCGGAACGCGTAGGCGCCCCGTTACATTAGCTCTTTCCTGCCTTTTTCTTTATTTCCTCGAAATATCTGCATACAGTTACACAACCGCGCGAGTGCCGTGCGGGAGAGGCAAGAATTTTCGCGCGACTTTATTACGAACGATGCACTTACGGTGAATCGCGATAAAGGCGAATTTACACTCGTCGATAATCCCGTCGGGAGTTCAATAATTTGAGCGAGCGCGGCTCCCTCGACCTTGACGCCCGTGCGCATGGTCGCCGAGGCCGCGAGCGAGCGGAGGCGCCGCGCGTCTCGCCGAGGGAGAGCTTTTGTGCCTCGCGCGTAAGAAACTCGGTCTCCTGTTTTCGCGAGCGCGCCGGCGCGGACGCCACGTCCAGAGTGGGCAAACAAAGGAAGAGAAAAAGAAAAAAGGAAAGGGGAGAAGGAGAGAAAAAGCAAAGCTCGCGCAGCCGTCGAAATTCGGGCGAGAGACGCGTGCGCGGCGCGGGGGCGAGGGAAGCCGCCCTCCCGGCGTATATCAAGCGTCTGCGCGCCTTGAGCAAACACATTACGCTATAAATAATCGCGTCGAATTGAGCGGTACATCCGATACGCCTACGGCGGCTAATCTCATAACCGCCGCGACAGATCTATGGCGCTCGCGTGCGAATGCGGCCTGCGATTTATAAGGGCAGCGCCAACCTGTTCCCTCTCGGCACAATGCCGGAGATTTGCGATGCGCACTACTCTCTCTCTCTCTGTCTCTCGGCCGCGACTCGGCCGTATATCTTCGCGGGCCAGCGGAAAAAAGGGCATTGGCAATTGCGCGCTGGCGGCCGTCCCCGAGCACACCTGTCTCAGCGGCCTTGCCGCGCGGCCAGATCGCGCGCGAGCGCGGGCCCTCGGGGCGACTACACCTGTCCTCCCGTCGGCGCGGACGGTCCGCCTACTCTCCTCCAGCGCCGAGCGCGGTAACGGTTGTCGCGGCGACGCGCGAGACTGACGTACTCCCGTGCGCGCCATCAGAAGCCGATCGGAAGCCGCGAGCTCCGAGATTTATGGCCGAGCGTCGTTGCGCGCCTCGTCCCTCGCCGCGGGTGGCTGGTTTTTCCAGCGCTCGCCTATATATAGGAGCTTCTTGCACTTTGACACTCGTGAGAATATCGCGGCGCGCCATTGTTCCCTTGGTGGACGTGCGGCCGTCGACAACTCGAGACTCGGTGCTGTCCGATTTGCATTGTTCGCCGCGCGCATTGTCGACCCGTTTGCCCCTCGCGTACGGCGGGAATGCCTCGCCAATTAATCGATGCTTTCATGCGCGACTTGAGATTTTTGCCCGAGGGCCGGGCGCCGGCAAAGGATAAATTAATGAAAGATTCGTGTCGCGCAAGTAGCTTCGGGGACTCTTCCCTCCGAGTGCTTCAATCGGCAGGCCGACTGGAGAAAAATACCAACGCCGTCGGCTCGAATTTATGTCATCAATTAAAACGGATGTTTTTGCTGCCCCCTCTCTCGCCGCAGTTGCACTCTCTGATGCACGCCGAGAGTATTTTTTGCACGCCAGAAAAAAAAAAAAAGAAAACGAAAGAAAAAATCAATGATCGAGATCGCAGTGTCCATTGTCGCTCCGAGATGATTCAGCAGGTTGGCGTAGCGGCGAGGGAATTTCGGCCGATCGACTCTTGAAATGAAAAGCAGATCGCAAAGCGCCGAGAGTGAAATATTGAGCTAACTGTGACTCGTACGCGCGCGTCTCCCGCCTTGCCTTTGATAACCGACCGAGCCCACGAAACGGTATTTCTCGTATCGCGAGTGGCCAAGCGAAAGGGCTTCGCGAAATTCATAAGCCGCGCCGCCATAAGGAAAATCCGCTCTTTCATTTTTTCCATTGGATTTATCTCGATTGCCGTAATAAAGTCCATCGCGTAATTAACAAAGACGCGCACGGCCGCTGCGTAAATACGTAACAGATAGCGGGACCGCTAGTTGGCCAAAAAAAAGAAAGAAAAAAAAAAAAAAGTCTCCACTCTTATCCATCCACGGGGATAAAGAAAGCTCGCGCGCACTCTCGTGGAAGAGAGAGAGAGAGAGAGAGAGAAAGGTTCGGCGCGCATACGCGCACGCGCCAGGAACGCAACGGTAAAAGAGGCGGCGGAGAAAGAAAAATACAGCCGGCCGAGTGATAAAGCTCGCGGCTTGGAACGCCGTCGCGTTCGGCTTGACACCCCATTGTGCTCGGCGACAAAAAAAGAAATATCAAATTGAAACAGACTCCGCTGCCCCGTTGGTTGCGTAAAGTCGAATTGCGCGGCGCGAGTTCGCGTGTTTCGTCGGTATCGGAAATAACAGTGTAAATGCCAGCTGCGAATAATGACTTTCGGTTTTAATCGTCGGTTACTCCCGTGCGCCTCGACACTCTGAATACTCGGTGCGGTAATTGCAATGGACGCCGGTAGCGCTCAGCTGATTGGCCACTTGACGAGGTACTTCCAGAGAAACCGACGATTGAAATGTGTTTTTCGAGGTCCGCCGGCATTTCCCTCCCGTAAGCGTGATCCACCCGGTTACATTTATTCCAATTATCGAGCGACATGGTAGCCGAGTGCTCCATTTACCAGCGTTAAAACGTTCGATCTTAGATGTACGCGCGCGAAGGCGAGAAGAAAAGCCGTCGCGTGCGTCGATCAGCGCCGTCGCGGACGACGCGTCTCGCACGCGCGCGAGTAAGAATTTCAACGCTCGACGAGCGATCGGTAATTAGGTGGCTGCGCGTGCGGCAAAGAAAGAAACGACGAAAACAAAAGAGGAAAGTCGAGTGCCTCGCGTTCGCGTGCACCGTCCGCGTATCATTTGACGCTCGCGCGTACACCCCATTGCCTTTTCACGGCTGCACTCTGGTCCGCGCGCCGAATTAAAGGCGAGGCGACTTTACCTACGACTACCGCGGCAGAGGCCGTAATTAGGGCCCTGTTGACGTCGCTCTCGCAAAAAACGGAGACGCGCGCGATTCTCGAGGAGGGCCCGCTCGAACGCGCGTCCCCCCTCCCCGGCAATAATAAAGACAGCGCCCGCAGTCGCCACGCTCGTTAGAGGAATGCGCCCCGCGTCGGAATTGAAAAGCGGCCGGGATAAGATATGCGCGCGCGGATCTCCAGGCGTAAGTGCGCTCGTGCGTCTTATCGGTCGCTCGCGGCGCGAGCGCCGAACGAAGGGCGCGCAGGCGCGGTCGAACGATCTCACCGCGACAGCCTCGCAAATCATATCGACGATCCTCGCGCGCGAGCGAAGATAACGAGGAGGCCGCGCCACCGCGACGGACCGATCGCGTCGCTCTTGTCCGCGCGCATTGTCGCGCCGAGGGCAGCCTGCGCGCGATTACCTCGTTACCCGCGCATTGACGAACGAGGAGCCGGGTACTCGCGTCGCTGCGTGCCTCCGTGACTCGGCAGCTCGCAGGATGCAAATGGATCCCGCGCGGGTGGCGCGACGATCGACACGTCGGCGAGAGCCTCGGCGAAACGCGCGGATGCCTCCAAATCTCGGCCGCTCTCGGTTTCCGCCGCGAAGCCCTCGCGGGCCGGAGCCGGTCTCCTCTTACGGCGCTGAGGAATGCGGCCCCTGGGCCTCGCGCGAGACCGACGAGGAGCTGCGCCTCGGTGACTTTTCACTTTGTGCGGATTTGTCTCGACGGGGGCCGCTCGTGCTTTGCCGCGGGGTGGCGACGCGTCGCGCCTGGCTGCCTCGATTCGCGTCGGCAAACGTGGCCGTCGCGGACCGATCGTCCGACGCAGGCGACGCGTTGTGGAATCGAATAGCAGACGCGTTCCGCCGAGGAAGAGAAGATCGGTGGCCACGGGGTGACACAAGTCGCGAAACCTCGAGTGACGCCGAGGGCTTCTGTCGTCGTAAACACCACGCTGCCACTTTGAGTTCGCACCGTGGACGCGAGAGATTATTTAGCAGCAAACGCGTGCGTGCGCGCGCGCGCGCCTCCTCTGCCTCCTTTTTCAGTCGGCTTGATTAAGTTTTACTTCGTTACGTCTGAGCATGAATCATCGTGGAACCAGTTGCCGCTTATATAAATTGATTGAACATTAATATCCGGTGGTATAACGACTCTGGCGCTCGTTTGATTTTACAGCCACGGCAAAAAATAAAACACCCGCGCGTCCACTCAATTTAAGGTATTAATGTCTTATTATTATTTATTAAGATTGGATTCTAAGGGTAACAATTAATTTAGCTTAGTAACGATAAAAAGAGAAGATGGACGAAAGGAAAGGACAATTCAATTCATCCGGAGAACCGCAAAGTCAGTCAAGCCGAAATTCAGCAAGATCTTATCGAAATCCCCTTCTTTTCTGTGTTCTTCTTGCCGAACTGAGAAGAAAAAAAAGCCAGGAATTTGACTAACACAATGGTACACGCCGCGGCTATGCTCGGCTCGCGTTCTCGCACGCTCGATCCAGACCGGAGGATCGTTGACCCCGCGCGCGCTTTGTAGGGCGATGAGTACACGACGCATGCCAATTAGCTCGCAATAAGAGGCTAATGACGCGAGGAGGCGACGCGAGCGCGGGCCTGATTTATCCTTACGGTACAGGCGAAACTGCAAGGGCGCGAGTGCGCGATGCGCGCGTGCGGTCAAGGTCGCCGCAGTCGCACGTGCGCGCGCCGGCCGGGCGGCCGAGCGCATTATTTCATCTCGTCAACGCGGATCGTAGCGCGCCGCGAGCGCTAATCGGATCGCCTAGGACGGTGCTCTCGCGCGAATACACGGGCCAGCGTTTGCCCACCTCTCCGACACCCTCTCCGCGAATCCTTGCTTATTCCTCGTCGTTTCGTTCCGCGCTTTCGTCCGCACTTCCATCGATCAGTTAGTCCTCGGCGCAACCGGTTGCTATGTTTTCACATCCGACCGCAGCTTGTTACGCAAACGACGGCTTTTAAAGTCAACTCTCGACCTTGCCGCGCGAGAGCAACGACCGACAATTACTGCTGAATGCAATGAATTCCTGGAGAGTCGTTGGATCGCTACGACTGGCGGATCGGCACTGTCAACTAGATCGCACTTAACCCTCTCGTTAGCCCCATGCCTGTGGCGAAGACTATACATCTGTTTTCTTACTCTTCTGCTCGGCTGCTGCTGCGTATCTACCCATCTTTTTCTCCCTTTCTCTCTTTTCCCGCTGCTGCCTTGGAGAACAAGGTACGAGACGTAAAGCCCAACGCTCGTCATCTTGTAGCTTGTCGACGGTGTGTCATCGAACGTCCGCGAGCTGCTGCTGCTGCTGCGCGGTGTATCGATCGAGGGGGTGCGCATCCCATACGACACGAAGCCACTGGCGACGGGGTTGCTCTCGTACCTGACAAAACGAAAAGAGACGAGCGCCCGCGGAGCAACATTTCGAACGGGAAGCCACCGACAAGTCTCGTCTTTTTACGGGTATCGAATGGAAAGACCGGGCGTCCGAAGAGCAACTGCTGCGTGCTTATGTCGGGCTTAGCAAGCAAGACAACGTCGTGTATACAACATTTATTAAAATTGCTCGTTTCAAATGTTCCAAAAAGTGCGCGTATGTATACTCAATCACATCGAAATTTGGATTAACAAATATCACGATAATCACGATCACGGTAGCATCTGCGTATTAAGTTGTCGTTAAAAGCATCATATAATATGAAAATGCTGCATTGAGAACCTAAACACATATAGTAGATTAGTCTTGTGACTGAAAAGTGTCCGAAACGAATTTTACCTACCATTGTTAGTCGTTGATGTCCAATAGGAAAGAATCCATAAGCTGTGCAATAGAATGGATTTTGCGACTTTATTATAAGCATGTACACATATATTCCAAAATTATAATCTTTATCCGTCCAGCTGCTGTTATAAATCGCGTCTCCTACAGCTCTTATCTGGCTCATGCGGAAAAGTGAACAATATCAGCGATCATTTGGATATGCGACACGAATGAACAATGTCGTTTTAAAAATAGCAATTACCTGCTGCGTAAGTGCTTCGGAAAAAATACAATAGAACCCGATTTCCAAAATTGTGTTAATCAACAGAAAAATATGAATTCCTGCAGTCGCATAGTCTTTAGTATTGATTGTCTAAGTAACACGAATATCAGTTTGTTTTAATGAAACTTTAAAGTAATATAAGTGACGATACCTCGCTCAGATCGAAAATGTTAACACAAATATTTATTGCGGATAGAATCACCGTAATTAGCACTAAGGGGCTATAAATGTCCTCGATTTGGTCGCAAATACTGGAAATTAAGTTATCGTCTTTCACCATGCAAATTGTAACTGGCATATTGCTTCATTTATTAACTCACTTTAAAAGTTGCTTGTGTCGTTTAATGAGACCTATGAAATTCCTTTTTAATGAGGCACTCGGCTTTTCCTTTTTCATCAATAAACCAATATCATCGCTTAATATCTAGAATTTTTCAGTGATAATCATCGGCAAGTATTTTTGAATAATTTGCGAATACGTCAAACTAACGACTCGACATTTATCAAAACTCACTTCGAACTGCAAAGAAGCATGCGTTGTTAACTGCGCAAATAGTATATCACCACAGGCCCAGAATGTAACGCAGCCAAGCAGTAAGTATTCCTCTTCCAGAATGATGAAAAAATAAGTCATCGGACTTTGTATTTCGAATGGATATGTTATGAAGAAAATCCTCTCGTAGTCGCAGGTGTTGTTTGCTTCGTTCCGATGCACGAACAGTAAAACTAAATTTCTAAAATCTATTCCTTTAGCTGCATCGGCATACGAATAATGAACGAAGAAAGCAATGCTATAAAACTGACCGTAATGAAGAGAAGCTGAAAGAAGGAACCCCGACAAATATCATCATGAAGAACAAGTGGCAAAAGGTCTTAGTATTATTGGCTTTTTTCAAAATGATCTGACGAATTCGATGCTGGGGCACGTATTCTCGCCAAAAGGCTGCTAATTCTTGCAACAGCGAATTGATCTTTCTTATAGCCATCACTAGCCGAATACCCTAAACTTGCGAACACGGTTGCTCGTGTGAAATACGCTTAAAATTCTTTAAAAGCAAGAGAATCGTTTTTTAATAGTACCTTGGAAAAGCATAATATATTGCTGAAAAAGTCACTGCAAATTCTAGATACCAAAAATAACTCACGATGTTCCATTGCATCGACGATCAGAAAAACTTGACAAACACAGCCGTATACTTCTAAGGCTATCACTATGAGAGCTGGTATTTTCTGCAGAAGTTTCGTCTCTTTGAAAATTTTACTTTCTCGTAAATTGATGTTGAACCCCATGCAATACAATAATTTCAAGTTCAAAGAAAAATATTGTTCAATGTCGACATTATGAGACTGTCCATTACCTAACTTACAGAAAACATTTTGTGACTTTAAGAAAGGTTCAAATGATTATTATAAATATCAAGAGTATACCGAGTATTCAAAGGAAACCAATTATAAAATTACGTATAATAAAATAACCTTTGGTGTCCATAGTGCTACAATATTTGGATTAACGCAGCCAAAGAGTTACTATTATGTCGACTGGTCAAACTGGAAGCCCACGTTGCGTCGTTAGTACGCGTACTCTCGTCTTTCCAAACCGCTCATTAATTGTTAAATATCAGAGACCACTTATCCATACTCTTCTTCAGTTTTTCTTTTTCTATGAGCACGTTGGGGGGCACCCTTCTAAGCATTGGACACATATACTTATTGTTGCCTCATGCATTTTTCAAAACGAAAAGGGTGAGCATTGTGCACGCATTTTATGCAAGAAGTCTGGACGTATACATTACTACCGGCATAGAGAAGCTTCATTAAATTATGATCAACCTTGCTCTATGTACGCTGCTGTCTTTTCTATCACGAAGACTGAACGTAGTAAAGCCGATGGAGGGGATCAGTGCGCTCTTGTATCTCTACCTTCGACCATCTGCTCCGAGTTTCGTACATCGTTTTTCAATTTTCATCTTTTTATTGTGTTCTTATTGTAAAAATGTATTTCGATCAAGGGTTATGTTAATCTTTCATTCGCAACGAAACCATATGTCTTTGATTTTTTCTAAGCTCTCGTGGAAATTACTGATACCCTCTTTCTCATATATCCCGAAGGCTTTTTTCACCAAAACTGAATTATACAGTGCTTTTAAAAAAGAAAATATGAATAATATCTAACATTTCTATTTTAATCGTGGATGCTATTGTAGATACTTATCAGTTAAAAATTCAATGTTTAAAAATTTTTGTATCTCTATCATTCATGGCTAATGAAATTCCTATAAAACAATGTAAATACCAGTTAAATTACATTTGATACGGGCAATTATTTTTATTACTGATTGTATTTTCTTTTTTTTTTTACAGGAATGCACAAAGTACACGAGTATAGAAAAAATCGTGACCTAGCAAAATTGAAATTCAAAGTTTGATAGTGTCAAAGAAGCTTGATTTTTCTTACTCATATTGAGTGGATAGCTACGTACGATAAAAAGTTCTTTGCACTTCATTAGTAAGTTTCTTTTATATAAATATAAGATTCTTCAAAATCCATATTAGTAATATTCATAGTAAAATGTTTGTAATACTATCTAAATATCAATTAGTCAAGTTGTTACTCTTAGCATCACATAGTATGAAAATGCTGTCATGAGAACCTAAGTGCACAGCAAAATTACATATAAAAATTTCGAATGAAAATTACCAGTTTGCTATGCTTACCATTGTCAGTCGTACATGCCCTATTGGAAAGAATCCAAAAGCTGCCAGAAGCTGTGCATTGAAACGGCTTTTGAGATTTTAAAATAAGCATGCTGAAGTATATTTCGAATTTATAATTTTTATCTGCCCAATTCATGTTGCACATTATGTCACCTATGGTACTTATCTATTTGACAATTATTAAAAATAGAAAGTAATGAAAAATTGGTATCTCGAAATTCGATAAATTTCCTCTTATAAAAAAGTGACGGATGTGTTGAAATGACATTTTATTCGTGATCTGATTAGCTGAGATATCGTCACGTGAAATACTGTTATTGCGACAAATAAGCGTATGGATGTTGGACAAACATCTGCCAATTGTTGTAATACTGCGTACAGTTCCGTGATAGTAGTTGCCGTTCTATAGTCCTAAACTTGAAATTATTGCATAATTTTGAAAGTCAAGCGTGAATGTTAGAATTATGTTAACGATACCTCTAATACTAAGAGCGCATTAAAAAAGAACTAGTACAGAACTTGCGTTGCCGAGTGATATTCGTGCGATTTCATTGCTTCATCTATCATAAGGATCACATGACTAACTTCCACAAACAATTCCAGAGCAGTTCGTATGGAAGCCTGTATCCTTTGCAAAGAATTTGCCTCTCCAACAACTTGATGCCTACGTATGCTGATGTTAAGCCAATATACATTAGCATTTTCGACTGAAGGTAGTTTTTAATAATTTTCTTCATTTTGAGTGACGCTGTTGTTTGTATTTAAGGAAACGCACACTAGAATCGAAATAATTGTCTTATTCAATTATAACGCAGTAGATTCTAAAGGGGAAACAGACAAGTTTTGCAAGTACAAGTGCTACGGACGAACCGTGGGTGGGCATAGCGTTATAAGAGAGCCGGATCAGTACAGCGAACGAACTTCTCAACTACAAGGCGAACATTTATGGTAAGCTGTATTACTTACACCATATTAAATTTTTAAGAGCGTCATTTCATTATTCGATTCGCGCATCCACTATATTTCTTTTGCTGCACTGTCCTTCCAATGGATTATTTACTAGCCTTTCTTGTATTTGAATATTATTATACACTGTTGCCTCGTGTATTTTGCTAAGCAAAGTGGTACGTGTTATGTATTATTATTTGAGTAGTCGTACAATGTTTTTGCGGTATTCTAGTTTCATATGCAAGCTACGTGGCAATTTTTACTGCCAGCGAGGGTGCTTAGTTAAATTTTTATCTGGTTCGATGTGATGCAGTACATTTCTTACTAAGAGGGAAATACATATTATTACATTTTGGCGTAGCTATTTTGAAAGATAACTCTGAAGTTGTAATATCGCATAACACGTCATTCCAGAGTAGTTATCCTTGGAAAAAATTGAAGTTAAAACTTAGCACGTTTCGATACACGTGCGAGAAAATAATGGTCAGCCTCGTGCAGACGTTTGCGCTCGAGCGAAGCGAGGGTGAAGAGACTACACGAGGCTGAAATTACTTTCTCGCGCACGTGTCTAACTTCGTTTTTCGATACCACGAGTGTGGAACGAGATTTTAATCAGTTCGCACGGAGTATCGCGCAAAGTTTGAATCTTTTGAGGGACAACGCCAATTTTCAGTTACAAGTGTTACTGATGCTTAAACTCGACACATTAAGAAAATCGAAATGTCAAGTAACACATGGATAAAGTATATCTATTTCAGAAATAGGTGATTTTGCGAAAGCAAGAAAGTTTACGCATAAAAACAAATAAAATGAGAAGTCTTTTTAAAATCTGTCTAAAATCAGTATGAGCCGTATTTTTCCATCGTCATAAGATTCACGCATTAGTATTAATAGCATAATACATATAAGTAAAAAGAATCTACATCTACATCTGTAGAAAGTTATTATATTATGGAAACCAATGTGCATTTGTAACATAGATAAATAGATCCGCTGGTCAAGTTGTTGCCCGTAGCATCATGTAGTATGAAAATGCTGTCTTGAGAACCTAAGTGTACAGTAAAATTACGAATATAAATTTCGAACTGAAAATCGCCACGCAGTTATGCTTACCACTGTCAGTCGTACATGTCCTATTGGAAAGAATCCAAAAGCCGTGCATTGAAATGGTTTTTGTGACTTAATAATAAGCATGTTTACGTACATTCCGAATTTGTAATTTTTATTTGTCCAATTGCTGTTGTACATCGCATCACCTATGGCACTTACCTGATTGACATTGAAAATTGCAAAAGAAAAATCAAAGGTTAACGTGTGAATTTTGAGAATTGAATCCAGTAATCGATGATATTTACTTGCGCAGTCAATGTTTCAGCGAAAACGCAGTAAAACACCATTTGCAAAAATGTATTAGTCAGAATAACTAAATGAAAGCATGCATTCACGTATTGCTTAGTATTAACTGTCTGTTAAGTATAAATATTGTGTTAATACTACACGATCTTTGTCAGGTATTTTTGATAGAGGGAACGGGCGAGAAAAGCGGAGTAGCGGCGATATGTTTCGCATAAAATATTTTTGTATTATAGGTTTATTGACATTTTCCGAGAGAAATATGAATCTACGTTGAAATCGGTTATGCGTCTTTTGGTTCGGAAGTTGTCATTAATATTGCTCAGCTATCCCGATTTGCCTACTCGTTCCCTTATCTGAATATAAATTGCTTTAATTACGAATGATTCATACAAGATCCTTTGAATATAAGTGAAATATCATATGCATATATTTATATATACCTCGCCGAGTTCGAACATATTAACACACATATTGATGCTGGAAACCACCACGGCTACTAATACTATAGGACTATAAATATCATCAATGAGATCGCAAATCCTAAGATCATATAATTGTTTTTTATTTATCACTTGAAAGGCACGTTCACAGAATGATTTATATTCGAATGCATACCTGAGGAGTCTTGAATGTCTTGTGATAAAACCAATCAAATTTCTTTTTAACATTGCATCGGAGCATTCATCATTCATCAGAGCACTGATATCGTGCTGTAGTATCTAAAATTTTTTAAATCGTAATTTCAAAGCATTATCAGACTTGTACTTATAAATTATCTGAAAATCTTTAGAAATCATTGGAAAATCGAAATACTCTTCGACTCACTTCAAACTGTAACGAAGCGTGCGATGTTAACTGAGCAAAAACGGTATCTCCGCAAATCCAAAATAAAACACAGCCAAAAAGTAAGTACTGTTCTTCCAGTACGACGTAAAAATAAGTTTTAGGATCGTTTATTTCAAATGGATACTTTATCCAGAAAACTCTCTGGCTATAATCGATTGTGTAATTGACATTGTCTCGATGAATATACAATAAAAAGAGTTTCCTATAAAAGCCATCACTTTGTAATGCTCGTAGATGCATTTTTTTTTTTTTTTGTTACCTTTCCAACTCACCGTAATGCCGGCCACTCAACACTCAAAATTCCAAGACAACACGCAGCTATGAAAATTCTACAAATCCACACGATTCGGCTAGCTTTTTGCAGAATGTTATCGCGTATTTGAGTTCGTGGTACGTGCATTCGCCAAATGTCTGTTAATTCGCATATGACTGTGTTCAATTGCTTGACGGCAGTTGTCGTCCGATAGCCCTAAACTCAAACTTATTATCGAATTTCCAACGCCAAACGTAATTATAGCTGTCAGGAGTCCAATTATGATACCTTCGACAAGCACAGCACATTAGAAAAAAAGTGACACGCAACCTGCGTCGCCAAGTAATAGTCGTGACTTTTCATCGTTTCCGTGATAAGGATCACTTGACTGAATGCTGCGCACGACCCCATAGCGATACATAGAAAAGCCGGTAGCCTTTTTAAAAATATTGTCCGACCCACAACTTGATGCCGCCCGCTTAAGTCGATATTAAAGCCAATGTACTTTAGCATTTTCAAGTAAAGATAGTTTTCGATATTTTCATTTTGGCCTAAATTATTGTCTATATTTAAAGAAACGTATATTAGTATAATTCAATTACGACACACTAGATTTTAAAAATGCTACGGACTGACCCTGGGAGACCATAGCACTGGGAGACTTGGATCAGTACTGCCAACGAGGGCCAATACGCACATCCACTACTGGGCTCGGGCTAGTGCCTGTTCAATGCATTATACATCGATGTTTCTTACAACTGAAGTGTATTATACGATGTTACCTCATGTATTTTGCGAAATAAAGGGATATGCTTCATGCATTACTCGAACAGATATACAATATTTTCTCGGTATTCTAGTTGTATATGCGAGACGCCGGAGAGCGTGCTTCGTTAAATTTTTATTTCATTCGCTGTAATGCTGCTGTATTTTTAACTGGGGGGGGGGGGGGAGCACGCGATGAAACTGTCGGAGGGGATCAGTATGCTTTGCGCCTCGACACTCTGCAACGCGCACCGTGAGCTTGCATCCTCGCATAATGCTCGAAATGTAGAAATGATTCGCTAGCAATATTCATCGTAGCAATTAACACTTGAGCCGATCACTGCAACTTCTCTCTGAAATTGATAGCAGGCGTACAGAGCGGAATCTCAAGTAACTGTCGCGTGAAGGGGACTTTGCAATTCCACGACGACACGTATTTTCGATAAGATTCGTGATTAAGCAGACGTATCCGTTTTTCGGACGTAATACGTTCGAGGGAGATAAAATCTTCTGCGGTTACTTCGTTTCTGGGGTGAGAATCGAGTTTTCACAACTGAATATCTCTGTTGTTGCATTTTCTTAGAAGCACGATATCGATTATTATTCCCGCACCATTGTAATACGTTAACATGTGCTTACTAGAATTATTTTTAAAGATCAAGTACGAGGAAGCAATGAAAGCTAGCTGCAATTTTTATAAACAAGAGTCTGTATCATCGTAAGTTTTAAACGGTACATGGATTACGTATAATGCTATACACCGTGAAATAGTTGTTCGTCGAAGGGGGATCTATGCGTGATATTTGTACACCATCAGCTGGCCTGCCGTCAAAGTGCCAATAAGACATATCGGACGTGGCGGCATCGTTTTCCTCGCCTCGACGCAGCCAGTAGCCGCGATCGGCAACGATCTATCTGGCCGCTTGACCGAGCGCCGGTCATTACGGAAATCTAGATAGCCAGTGTGCGTGCGCGCGTGTGGCTAACGAGCGATTTCGTCGGTCGATTTGTCACCCGAGCCGTGCAGCAACGCGTCCACGACTCGCCGCAGCGGGGATACAAGGAGAATGGAATCTCGAGGACGCGTCCGAAAAATGCGCCTTCCACCCGGCGCTCGCGAATGGGCCGTCCCACAAAGGTAGGCAGCGCCGAGGCGAAAAATTACCTGGCCGCGCGGATCGCTCGCATGCGCCTTGGGCGTGCACGGATTATGCTAATGCCTCGCGGACAAATTATCCGTTGCCTCTGCACGCCCGAGCCTTCAACGGGCGATCCGTTAACGAGGCGAGAGAGGGACGCGCTGCTTTTATTTTCGGAGGCCGCGATGTCAGCGTCTGTGCAAGCGCGCTCGTCGCGCGGTAGCCACAGATCCGTACGCATTCAAGGAGAATTACAGTTATCGTCGCGCTTCGGCAGGGGAATCCAAGTAGCCGGAGGTGGCCTTTGATATTCGCCGATGATACGGATGCCGAAATACACTCGGCCAACGAGGAGGAACAAGACGAAGAAGAAAACGTAAGGTTGCTATAGCGATCGGGAGGAGATTCCCGTCGAAGGTATTTCATATGAAACTGGTGCGCGGGCAAACGGTACTCGGGTTATCGATTCGGCAAAGAGTGCACTCCGACAGCGAGCGTTTGCTCGAGCTGTCGCTGCCGATTTGCCGGTGGGCAGGTTTCTCGAGTGTCCCGCTTATACGGGAATCGGGATCCAAGTTCGTTCCGGCCGCATACTCTTGGAAAAGCTCCGCCTCGGTGTCCGGGCGTCGGTGCATTGGCGCTTCATACCGAACGGTTGTTCAGCTTTGATTGCAGGCGATAAAAGGCAACGAGGCTCGTTGGGGAATCCCGTCGATCTCCCGAAAACAAATCTTCGCGATCAATTTCGAGTCCGAGGAGGCGAGGGACAACGGCGAAAAATAACGAGAGAGAGAGAGAGAGAGAGAGAGAGAGAGAGAGAGAGAAAAATGACGCGAGCAGATCGAGGACGCAGGCGCATCAATCAAGAAAGCGAATCACAACGCGGCGGAACGAGAGACGGAATGTAAATTCGGCAGCCCGTTATGCAGCGCGGCAAAGCCACTTAAAGCTCGCGCGGCTCTGCCAGCGCGTCGTTATTGCGAGCCGCTGCCGGCGCGAAGAATCCGGCTTGCGGTGCGGTGCGCAGCTGCCGATTCGGCGAGCGGCGCCGCTCAACGAAAAGCCGCTCGCCGATCCCCTTACCGTCCGAGGGGGCTCGCGACGATCTATTTAATTGGGCGCGATCGCGCGACGCTGCCGTCGCCGATTCGGCAATACAGCACCGCGGCGTGCCGCGAGCTCGCGAGCGCCTTATCCTTCGGTGTTCCCGTGAAAGTTGACGCGATCGCGCAAAGATGTCGCCCCGACTGCGCCGCCGAGTTGGTAAGCGTCTCGCGGCTGCAGCTCCGCTGCACTCGAGGCTGACGAATAAATAGCCTCCTCGCGGAAGCGCGGTCTTTTTGCTCCCTTTGCCGCTGTCCCCGCGGCTGGCAGCCCTTCGACTGCGGTCGCGCGACTTTGCCGATCTTAGCGAGGAACCGTCTTGCGGTCGAGCGTCAAATTCCAGCGTTGTGCATCGAACGAAAGCGTAATCGAATCGACAGTTGGATATCCTCTTTTTGTGGATGCAATAAGAAAGATCGGTAACGTACCGACTCTTTTGGAAACGATGTTATCCCGCCACTTTCGTACTAACGGCGCTCAAACACTGCGTCCGCTTATTTGATTGGCACAAATATTTCTACAACGTGTGACGTATCTAAATGCGAAAGAAATAAAAATAAAATACTACTATGCAACTCGTGTTTCGCCATTATTCAAATGTGCGGATAGCCGGCGACAAAGTAGCCCACATGTAAATGACTAATTACCGTACAATGACTCCAAAGGAAAGTCCAACAGTATTATTTGAGGAATGTTATAAGCAACTTTTGTTCGGTTAGCTCTTTTATTGCACAGCGGGCGTATGCAAATGCAAGCAACCAGAGGTGAAAATATTAAAAGGCCTCTGAAACTTTCTCGCTGGTCGAACTCCTCTTTGTCGTCGTATCGATATCGTCGCGGTCCCTCCTCTCGAAATCGATGTAACGTCCTCGCGGTTAGACAACCGGCCGCGAAGCGATGAAAACGAAAAAGCAAAACAAAATAAAATAAAATAAAAAATAAAGTCGCTCTAATCGCTAGAAAGTAGCCTCGAAACTGTGCATATTCGCCTGCCGCGTATTTCAATTTTCACTCGTGCGGCGCTCTTAATTACGCGCCGTTGGCCGCTGGCGTCCTTAATGTGCTTCATGCCGCAATCCGCGCAAATTAGGCGTAGGTATAGCCACTCGGTTTTACGGTCTTTTCACTCTCGTCGGCTGTTGCCGCGAGAAAAATAATATTCCCTTTCTTTTCTTCTGCTTCTGCGTTTTTTCCCGGACAAGGCGCGATAGCGCATATAATAGAGAAGGTGAACACAAGTTCGAAAGTCCCAGACGCCGAAAGAATGGGGCGCATTGGGAAACATCTGGCAATTCCAGCGTCGGCGACTGCTTGTCTCGTGCGAGAATCGTCCCTTTATCTCCATCGACTTGGCCAACACCATAGTGCTCGCCGCATTGTTCAAATTTGCTTTGCGCTCTCGCGACGAGATCCATTAGTCTCCTTGGCGTCTGCGCAGAGCCGCAGAAGACGGCGTTTCGCTTGAAAAGGCCGAGCCTGGATTCTAAGGTCGACTCTCAAAGGCCTCTCGCGCGCAAGATTTGTGGATTATGCGCCGGCAGCGCGTACGTGAATTACGAGGGGCGCGTCACGGCGTCGAAGGCGACCAAATCGACGCGGCGGCGAGGAGCGGTCACGTCGCGGACGACGCTTTTTCCTTTTTTTTTCGTTTTTGTTTTTTCCTCTGTCTTTTTTCACTTTTGCGAAAACGAGTTCCGCCGCTACGGGAATACGTCCCGTTCGCGGCCACGAACGCGCCTGGAGGAAAGAGAAATTGCGCGTTTCGGCGCCGAGAGAGCAGGAAGAATTGGCTCGCTCGAGGCGGACATAAATCGCGGCGCGCGTTGTGTACACAAGCCTCGGCGTTTTTCTTCGGCCGCTCCCGTGGCCGTGGCTCGGCGACAATTTGCCACTGCCGCGACCAAATTTATACGCGGCCGAGCAATGAAAATGTAATTAGTCTTCGGAACGCGCGGCGGCCGTTTTTCAGGCTCGAGCCTGGCCATAATTCGAGAGCCGCGAGAACGGAGGCAAAGCGACGCGCGACGTCCAATCGTCTTGTTTTCGCTTTCGCGCTGCTCGTGAATTCCAAGCTAATAGCCACGATAATGCACGTATAACTCGATCTAACGTATTCATACATAAATATAAAGTGAATTTTAATTTTGCCCCGGCGGCCGGCAATACTGGTTCTGCGTGCCTCGGCCGTCGCGTATCCTTTGAATGCCACATGGCGAGCTTCGATCCTCGTCATCCCCTGTCGCTCGCTCGCTCGACTGCACTGTCGACTTTACGGCCGATGCATTATTTATCCGCGCCTTTCCCCTGTTTCCTCGTCAACTTCCCGAGATAAGAGTCCGCGATTCGGGCTTTGCTTTGCCGGCCGACTCCACGGACTGCCTCGGCTCACCTGCCGTCGTCTTCGTCTGCGCGCGTCCTTCGCGTGAAATTGCCGGCGAAGAAAGTCGTCGCTGCTCGCTGTAGCGATCGTTGCACCCCCGAGCGAACCAAAAACCGAGAGCGCGAGCTCTCAGGCGGCTTTTCGCGTCCTCTTGAAGAAGCGAAATCTCGCGTCGCGCGCATTGCACAACGAATCCCAAGTGCGCGCGAGCACGGTGTCAGTGGGTAGCAGCCGCGCGTAATTGCGCACGGCTGAGACGATCAAGATGGGATAGAGCACACTGCGGCGAGGGGGGACGAGTACTCGGAACACGAGAGAGAGAGAGAAGAAAATTACGCTCGTCGAGTAATCACTATCATTAAAAGTGCGTTAGAGATCGCCGTTCCTTTTATTATTTTCTCAAAAGTCGGCAAAATGAAAAAAAAAAAAAAAAAAAAAAAAAAAAAAAACTTTCCAAAGTCCATCGAGTTTCGCGCGAGGCGCAAAATTGGCTTTCACGCGCGCGCGACCGACATAACGCGCACGGATGCTGGCGCCGCTGCATTTTCACCCGATATAGCTCTCGTTGATCGCAATTAAGCCGGGCGCGTACGGCAAAGTCGAGGCAAGCTCAGCGACCGAGCGGGGAAATAAACGCTCCGCGGGGCCTTTCCTTTTGCACCGATAGCCCGACGTGGAAATGCTAATGGGCGCGCGGGATCGTTGAATATTCGCGGCCAATGGAACTGGATCGAGCGACGCGATTACGCGAAAATCCTCACGGCGAGATTATCGGGCAGTGGCTAAGCGGTTACCGCGAGACGGGAGCTTTATTTATCGTCGCTGACGAAATTGCGATGTCCCGCAATTAGCGCAATAAGCCGACTCGCGAACCTTTGCCTCGCGACTCCCTCGCGAATTTCAGCTTCGTCGTCGGGTGTGTGGAGCCTCGGGTCGTGCCGACCGTCTTCGCGGCCGCAATTTTCGCGATCTGGCTCGCCAAAGGGAGAGAGAGAAGGCGACGTTCAATTTCACACGCCGTCGGTCGATAATGCGGAGGCGCTACGGAGACTTGATGAATGGGACAAAACGAAGCAGGGCTCGCTTTGATTTACGCGCGCCTCCTTTATCCTCTACGCCGTCGCGCGAGGCAGAAACCGAATGAATATTCATCGACGACTGCTGTGGTTTATTGCTCAATGGTCGCGCACGGCAAGTGCATGATCGTCGAAAATTGGCGAGAGAAAAGACGAAGAAAAAAACCAAAGCCCCGACAAGGTCGACGTAGAGCAGGCAAAAGGAACGAAAGTCGTGTTTTCTGCGCTGGCGCGGGTGCCCCGCGCGTAGCCGTTCCGAGAGGACGGAAAGTGAGTGGGGCTCCTGCGTGTATGTATGTGTGTGTGCGCGCGTCTCTCTCGCTCTCTCTCTCTCTCTCTCTTTCTTTCTCCCCACGACGAAAATCCTTCACACCCATTAAACTCTCTCTTTCGGTCGGCTCGCTCGTGCGTTGCACTCGTCAAAGCGAGCCGCAGGTATATCCCCGCGCGAGCGCGAAGAAGGACGACGACGTCGCTGCCGGGCGCTCGAGTGTGTGTGCACGATATATCCCACCTCCCGTTCGGACTGAACTCGCGGCGCGAGAGCGCCAGAGAGAGAGAGAGAGATAGAGAGAGAGAGAGAGAGAGAGAGAGCAGGCGCGTTTCGTTGTTCGGAGCTTTATTTCGTACGCTACTCTCGCCAAGACGACAACAAGCCTAGAGCGAGCCAGCGAGCAGCGCGCACCTCCGCCAAACAACACAGACGCTCCGTCCGCTCTTCCTCTCTCGTTTCATTCGTTGGCTCTCGCGTGGAACAAACGAGAGCGGAGCCATGCAGACTTGGCGAACGATACTGTTGCTGGGCATCGCTACCCTGCAGGGTGAGTCCGTCCCTTTGTTTGACTTAATCGCGACGAGCTCACGCCACGCGATCCGAACCGGTTTCACGCTCGCTCGTCTCGTTAGAAAGTTTTCGGCCCGTGCATTCGATTTTGAGCAGCGCCGCGGCGACGCCGATTACGTAAATTCCACGAAAATTCTCACGAGCATTACGTAAATCGCTCTTCCCTTTGAGGGACGCGCGCGGCCGCGGCGCATCCTCACCCTCTCTCTCTCTCTCTCTCTCTCTCTCTCTCTCTCTCTTCTCCCTCCGCTTGTTCTCGCGCGGCGCGAAATCAAAGTCACGGCTAACGAGGAAAGGGCTCGCTCGCTCGCGCCGGCGACTCCGCGCCGAGCGACATCCGCGTGGAATATCGCTCGTGGAAGCGGTGTCCGTCCGCCGTGAGTTTCGCGAAAGGAGGCACTTTCTCCGCGGCCGCCGCTGCCGCGCGATCGGTGAAAATATGAAAGTAGCTCACACACATGCGCTCGCGCCTTCGTAGATCCTTCGAGATGGACCAACGAGCGGCGGCAAGAGCGCTCTCTAAACAAGTGAAAAGCCGCGGCGATCGCCGATTCACGGGCTCGAGCGACGATTTACGGACCGCCGCCTCCTGCTCCAGCTTCCTCCGCGCGCAATAGAAACGACGAGAGAACGCCTTTGCCGCGCCTCGATTCTCGCCGAGGAGCGCGTTTTCTCTCCGCGCTCGCGGGGACTCTCAGTGGTGACGGACGAGTTTGGTCAGGCGCGCGCCGAGCGTGCGACTCGCTCGGGGGTGCGTCGACCCCGACGAGCCGGCCGCGGTCGCGCGCGGTGCGATCGGCTTACGCCGCGGCGACGCCTTTGCGCGCGGTGTCGGGTGTCGCGCGCACCTCGGGTTACGCTCCCCTCGGCCTCCGTCCGCGTACGTCAGTACGAGTCAGTCGTCCGCCGACGAGCCGGCATGGAGTTCAGCTTCGCGGCCTTCGCGATTGCGCTGATCGCGCTGGTGCTGCTCGGCCGCGTCTACGACCGCCTGGTGCTGGCCGTGTCGGCGGCGCTCGCCGGCGTCGGCGACGACGACGAGGCGGTCGCTGGGATGCAGCTCGGACGGCGGCCGGTCCGCGACGAGCGGACCAAGTCCCGCTAGAGCGAGGTGAGCTTCCGCCGCGTCTTCCTCTCCTCCTGCGGCTCGTTCTCGCTCGCCGACAACGCCTCGCGCGCCTCCATTGCGAAACGCGCCAGCGGCCTCTTACGCAAGGGGGTAACGAGGCAAGCGGTTGCCTCATGAAAAGTTCATATCCTCTCTCCGTCATGAGAAACCGACGCCGATTTTGCAACGTACCGCACCCCCGCCACGGAGAGGCCGATCGGACCCTTTGTTGAGATTCGATAGGTCAGCTTTTGTTGCGCAGCCCGCCGACGTCGGCACAATGGGATTCTTATAGACTCCGCCGCGAGTGACATAATGAGACGCTGTTCTCTCGCTCTGCCTCTAATCGCAGATATAATTCTCTGTCTCTCTGCGCGAATTATGTCCACGGCAGTTCCGGTCGCAGTTGCTCAATGCGCCGACTTTTACGACCTGTATAAAAGTTGCTCTGCAGCGTCGAAATAGCCATCTCCTTTCCCCCGACACGCCGCGCCGTTCGATTGACCCTTTTTCTTTTTTTTTTCCTTTTTTTTTCTTTGCCTTTCGCGATAAATAAACTCATTAAAGATCGACATAATGCGCCCCGAAGCTGCTGTAACGTAAGCGAACCGACATTTCAAGTTTCGGCGCTGCCTGGCCGATCCCACTTATTATCTACCTGCACAGGTTTTTCCGCCTCATTACGCTCTGTGTCGCTTGTTTTTTTCTCTCGCTTTTCTCATCGGGTCATTCAAGTCATGGATCGCAAAGACGCGTCCGTCATCTCCTAACTTTGTCACTCGATGGCGGTGCCGACTTTCTATTCATTTTAAGCAGACCCGTCAGCGTGAAAAACCGAGGCAGGGCTTACGTAACGAGCCTATCGGAACGCTTCCCCGAAACATTTCAGCTCCAAGTCGTTACCAACGACGCGAGCGGGAAGAAGCAAAGGAGCCACGACATCGACGACGCGCGTGCAAACGGACAGCGGCCGCGGTGTAATCAAGGCGTCGACGCTCACCGTCATCCGTCGACATGTGGAACGGCCGCCCATAGAAAGTGCTCGGCGCCGGTACATTTACCTCTGCAGTCGGTCCGTGCGTACGCGTATCCGAACGGAGAAAAGGAAAGGCGGCGTCGTCTAATTTCGCGGGTGCGCATCGATTAATCGCGGCTCTGCATAATGAGCGCGAAGGTTGCAAGTCAAGGCTAGAGAAGGAGAGAGAGAGAGAGAGAGAGCGAGAACTTTCACCGCTCCCCCTAAAACGATTCTCTTATGGGAGCGCTGCGCGCACACGCTTCCCAACATTTTTCAACGGGGCCTGCCTCGCGCCGACGGCCGCCGAAGATTTTTCCCGATTGCCCGCGCCGCGCGGAAGTGAAACGGCTTCGCCGCGGCGGGCAAAATGATATCGGCGACGCCTGGAAAATTCCCCGGTGAAATTGGCGGCGCGCGACGGGCGAGTTCGACCGGCCGAGCGGTGCTCGCGGGCAACGGAATCGTCGGCGGATATTTCGAGAGACGCGAGCAAGATGGGCTGCACACTCGTCGATCAGTGTCAGCTACGCCAGGCAAATTTATTCCGACGGGTCGACGCTTTCTTTTGGTGGCATAACACACGGGGATATTCAATCGAGCGAATGCGATCACGGCTGATTGAGTAATATGGAAAGTACAGATATCCGTCTAGAAAGAAGTAGAACGGGTCTCGCTCGAGAGAAAAAAGGGCCCATTTACGGCGCGAGCGCACGCGCATCCGGAGAAATCCTTTCTCCGGTAATCCACTTGCACCGCGGTCCGGTCTTACGGCATCGGCAGGCGCGCGAGCGAAGCCCGACGAGTCGCCTCTGCCGCGTCGTAAACTTGACCGCGCGGCTCGCGGCTCGCGGCTCGCTGCTCGTTGATTAGGCGCTCCGAGAAGGTCCGCTCGCGTCGGAGCCGGTGGCTGATTGGCCAAGTGCGCGCGCTCGGTTCGCAGGCACTGCGCTGGGGCAGAAGCAGCAGCAGGAGGACCCGTGCCAGACGAAGGCCCGCGTGGTCGGCGACCTGGAGTACTGCGACCGCTACTGGGAGTGCGTGAACGGCAGGGCCGAGCTGTTCGACTGCCCGAACGGGCTGGTGTTCGCCGGCAAGCACCGCGGCGTGACCGAGGGCTGCGACTACCCGTGGCGCGCCAATTACTGCGACGGCAAGCGCCAGGCGAACCCGCCGATCGGCGCCGAGCACTGCGACTGGCTCTACGGCATCTTCGGACACGAGACCAGCTGCACCAGGTACTGGACGTGCTGGAACGGCACGGCCACCGAGCAGCTCTGCATCGGCGGACTGCTCTACAACGAGCGCTCGCGATCCTGCGACTGGCCGGAGAACGTGGAGGGCTGCCAGAAGCACCGTGAGTATCTCCGTCGCTCCGTCGCTCCGTCGCGGGACGCCCGCCCCTGACGAGGCCTCTGTCGCGCTTCTGATTGCAGCGCTGTGCAACGACGACGCCAACGGCAACGTGCCGCTCGGCAAGTCGTGCAACCGCTACTGGCAGTGCCAGGGCGGCTACCCGCGGCTGCAGCGCTGCCCGGCGATGCTGGTGTTCGACCGGCGCTCGCTGCGCTGCGTGGTGCCGCCGACCGAGGACTGCGACGTGCCGACGACGCCGGCGAACCTCGAGGGCGACCTGCCCGACAACAACCAGCAGGACCCGGAGGAGGAGAACCTGCCACCCGGCGTCGCGCCGTTGCCGCACGGAGCCATTCCGATCTCGTTAAGGGCTCAGCAGCAGCAGCAGCAGCAGCAGCAGCAGCAGCATCATCAGCAGCAGCGCAACAGGAACTGAGTCCAACGCGCGAGCCCGTAGATTGTAGGCTGAAGGAGGATTTTCTTTTCCGATCAGGGTTGCACTGCCATTGGTTCGATCGGTTCGACCAGCGGTTCCAATGTGGAAATTACAGTGTTGGATGTACTACTGTCGTTCTTTCATTTGGACTCGTCGATCGATCGACGATCGCATTGTAAGCTTCTTCCGACGAGAGATCCCGTCAGAGACGTGCAGTTTTAACTTTTAAACGATTATGATGACCTTATCCAGTAGTTCGGATGTAACTTTAAGGACGCGACTGGACGCACGCACGCTCATTATCAACTATTCGCTGATCTTTGCATAGCAGTTTTATTATTTACCCTTCCTCTCATATAACACTCTAGAGATACACGAGGCTAATGTAAGATTCGAGTTCCTCCTATACACTTTTCTTTTGTCTCTTCGTCCGACGCAACGCGTCCGAAATTCCGACAATCTAAACACTTTATTATACCATATTATGATGCGTTTTCATTGTGAAAAGTATATTTATTTTAGTTACTTTTATTATTGTTTTTGTGTAATAAAATGATATATTTAAATTGAATCGAAAACAAACGACAAGCGAACGATCCATCGTACGATTATCATCCGTCATTCGAGGAAATGCTAAATGAGATTGCGCAAGCTGGAACGCTGCGCAACGGCGTATAATCCAACAGACATCAAAAATTTGTCGCCGTCTGGATAGCAATGGGAAAGAAAAAAAGTTGCCTAGGCCCGTTTGGCCGACGTTAAAACGTGCTCGAGTGCTTTACGTCACTGCAGATCGGAAACTCTCTATCTTGCGCAATGAGACTGGAATCGTACTTGCGGACTGCATACCCCGTTTGTTGGTTTTTTTTTCTCCTTTAGCCAATTTTCCGCGATTCACCAACTTTTTCTCGTTCTCGTGATCGCGGGATGAATTTACCGCGACCATTCGTTCTTAGCTTTATTGGACGGCGATTGATAAAGAAAAAGTTTATCGCCAGGCAGTTTACATAACGTAAACGGTGAATTTTATGCTTCCAGAGCTGTAAATAGCGTTTCACGAGGGATTAACGAGATAATATTTCGTTGTGTCGTGACGTGCCGGTTGTTGCGGGGAGAAGTGACGAGAAATAATGTACGCCTCGAAGCGAGCACACGCACCCGAGAGCAGCGTATCATTCTTCTTTTTTTTCTTTTTTATCTTTTTTTACTTTTATTTGAGTTTGTACTTTTGTTTGATTACAAGCGAACTCTGGGAACGAGTCCAGGTGCCACGCTTTCGCGAAATTTCTCCCATTGATACGAGTCCGACGCTGTCACGAAAAAAGCCCATCCGGCGTAGCCGCGAAATTTCTCCCGACTGTTCGCGTTGCGTTCGGGTTGGCCTTTATGCGCTGAAAAGAAAAGGGAAGCATCGATGAAGCAGCAATCGGTGAGCGATCGCTTGCAAATATTACCAGTGAGGCAGCTCGTCCTGGTCCAGGCAGCTGAGCGTCTCGGAATCGAAGAGCTTGTCGTCGCCGCAAGTGACGAGCCGCGGGTGTCCCTCGACGCAGGTAACGAGGCGACCGCAGTCGCCCGGCACCGGGAACCTACAAGAGTCATCGGGAAATTCAGTCGACGGAGCGCGGACCGGCGAGCAAGCCGCGGACGGCATGGCGAACCTGGGGAACGGCCAGAATCTGGCGGCGGCGCCGTTGGGCGGATGACTGGGACACTTGAAGCCGACGACGGCCTCGGGGTTACAGAGGGGTATCAGTTGGTCGGGCCAGACGCAAGTGTGGCTTTTGTGGTCGTAGGCGAGGCCAGGGTCGCAGTGGGCCTGGTGAGGCTCGCCGTAGGCGCACTTGGTGTAGGTGGTGCTGCACGAGTCGCTGTCCGGGTAGATGCCGAACTGGTACTCGCAGGCCGCCGAGCTCAGCGGAGTGGCTGCAAGGTGATCAGCCGAGCGTGATCCCCGCGTCGCTCCGAGTGCGCTCGGCGCAAGTTGGATGTACTCACGGTCGACGAAGCGCTTGCCGCAGTCCACGGCCCAGTTGTAGTTGCAGTGGTTGTGCACCGCGCCGTGGCCGTCGAACAGCAGTCCGTTCTCGCAGCGCTCGAGCGTCAGGGTGCCGTTGGTGCAGAGGAAGAACGCATGGCAGTCCTCCGGATGGGCGTAGGCGAAGACGCCGTGGGGGTCGGGGCAGCTGGGCGCGCCGGGGAGGAAGCTCGCCGCCTCGGCTGCGTCAGATCGAGGGCCGCGCGATGAGCGTGCCGAGCACGCCAAGCGCGCGGCCGTCGCGGCGATGAAAATTTCATGCGCGTCCGGCCGGGTGTATCAGCCGTTATCGCGATCCCGAGCGGACGTCCAACGCCTTGCATGGCAATCCGAGGAGCGTCTCGCTCGTGCACTCCGCGCGCCCGCGGAAGGCAACCGAGCAGCGCGTCGCCGCGGCCGCGAATGCTAATGCGCGTTATGCTCCTCGGGGCGACGCGATGAGTAACGTCCCCGGCACGCGCGCGCGCCTCGTGAATTATTGATGAGGCGGGTCTCTCGCTTCGGGCGACCGAATTCTCCGTCTGGCGCGTCGCCTGGACTTTCTCCTGCCGGCGAAAATGGCCCGTGCACGCCGAGCGAGCGAGCGAGCGCGAATACCGTGGCGTGCGCGACGCGCGCGATCGCCGATGCACATGCAGCTCCGAATCGGCGTCGTCCGACAGTCCGCGTCGCTCGCCGCTCCGCACGCCGAGCGTCGTCGCCGAAACGTAACGCGTTTGTCGTTCGCCCCCCGCGCGGCGCAAGTGCGAGCGGCGCCATATGGGCGCCAGAGTGAAAGCAGCATGGCGTTTCGGCGCGACAGCGAAGGCCGACGTCGGTCGCTTCGACGACGAGGAAATCTTACCGTAGGCAAGGGTGCCGGCAACGAGGACGAGGGTGGCGCAGTTCATGACGAAGACGGCGACGAAGCTGGTATCCGGTGCGCCGCTACCTCGCGCACAACTGATCAATTTCGTCGGCTCGGTGTACTGCGTTCCTGTCGGCTGCTTGGCGGCGCGCACCGCGGCCTCGAGCTCGGCCGATATCCCCTTCACCTGCGCGACCAGGGGACCAGCCACGACCCCACTCTCTCTCAGTCGCTCTTTTTATGCTCGTGTTTCAGGCTTTCGCGGAGCGTGGGTACCCTCAGGGCGCTCGATTAATTTATGCATTTTCATTTCCATTTTTCGGCAGTAAGGGGGGGGGGGGGGGAACGATCGTCTCGCGCGTTCACGGGCCGCGCGTTGACTCGACGCCCCGTGCGGTGGCGTCGAGTGCGGCAATCGCGGCTCGCGAGCATTTGGCCGTCGTGCTCCAACGGCAGCACGGGCCAATCATCCGAAGGCTCGTCGTGGCTCTTTCTCGCGGCAATGGAATGCGCGAGGCCGAGAGACGCAGACAACGGAGCGCCGGGCGCCGATGGGAAATTCACAGCGGGGACAATTGTTCGACAAGATGCTTGACACACGCATGTAGCGCAATTCAACTTTCACCGTGCGTAGGCATATAAGAATAGGCGCAGGTATCGGTTCGCATTCCAGTACCCCGTTGTTATCCCGGCGTATAATAGCCCACGACGCGCGCAGCCGCGCTTACGCAATCAATATTTTATGACTTGTTTTTTTCATCCGACGCACACGCCAGTACACGAATTCGCGTCTGCTTTCATCTTTTATTGGAGTTCTTTATTTCCACATGTATTATAAATAAAGTTACTTATGTATATAATTCGTGCGAAGTAGTATATAGTTCGAAGATGCACATATGGAATAACTTATTGGCTACATCAATGAAGTTGCACGTAACTTTCTTTAGAAATTTTCAGTCGGCCGTCGGGTAAATAACTCAGTTCAAAGTGTGGCAATGAAAGAGAACGATTGCGCAACGAAGCGCAAGCTTAGCGACTACAAGTTGGACGCAGCTGTCCCAGCCATAGCAGCAGCGGCAGCAGCTCGGTCACGTGTGACGTCTCTCGAGAGTGGCTTCGGCTTCCCTCGCGCATCCTAGTTTTTGCCCTTGTAGTAGTCCTCACTGGGAACAAGAAAAAGAACTCGTGGAGAGCGGGAACCGAGCGGGGCCAGGCGAAGTCTGGAGCGAGCGGCTGCTTCCGCGCGAGTGAGAATCGGCTCGAGAGAATTTCAAGCGGGAATATCGAAGAAGAAACGGCACTCGCCCTTGGCGGACCGCGGCCTTTCCCGTCCGCGAATAGCCGCTCGTCGAGCTCCCCCTGCCGAGTAGAGCCGCTTGCCGGCGTTACGCAAGCGTCGGCTCGAGTGACCGGCATTGAGGGCGATCCTCGAATTACCATCCAGGAACGATTTCAGGCTCGGTACACCTGAAGATGTCCTCGTTGTAGACGAGGCCTTCCTCGCACTGACCCTTCTGCGGCACCATGCCGTTCCGGCAGATGTAGAATTTGGCGCAGTCCTCGGGATGCGGGTACGTCGGGTGGGGCAGCACGCGACCGCCGGGTCCGATGACGTCGCCGACCGGGCAGCTGAAACCGTCGTCGAGAACCTCGCGTTTGGCGTCGTGGCACGGCCGCGTGGCGTCCGGCGCCCACACGCAGCCGGATTTCTTCTCCTCGTAGACGAGACCCGGTGGACATGGCATTACCTGTGCACGCGTGTTTACGTTTCACTTGCGCCACGATTAAAATCTTGGATCGTTCTCGTCTTTATCCTTACTTGAGCGACGCCGTCGATGCAGTTGACGAATTTATCGCAGGACGCGGGATCCTCGTGCTTGAAGTATCCATTGGCACGCGGGCACATTGCCGATGGATGCGGCTCCTCTGCGAAACGAGATCGGTCGATCCGTCGATGACAAGTTTTTTAAAGGAAAGGGTAGCTGTTGATGCGTCACAAGGATAAAAGGATCGTGCCACGTGCAGCTAATTTTTTTTACTCTCAAAAACGGAGAGGAGCCTTGGGAGGACCGGTTTGCCGCGCGCACAACAGATGGAATGGGGGGGGGGGGGGTCGTTCGCGAACTTTTCGCGGCTGAAACCGGCGAAAGTTGAGCGCAAATAACGTTGCCCCGGCGCAAGCGCGTGCGAATGGGCGAATGTGCGAATTGAAATTGGCTTTACCTCGGAAAACCACCGAACGAAGAAAGAAAAAATGTTTGTTTTTTTATTTCAGCGCTGTCGCGTTAAAGAACGATCTGTTGAAATACGCACGGTGGCGTTTGCGTGCACCGTGTCCCAATTCGTTTCCGAACGCAGTTGAATCGCAAGAAACGCGGGGAAAAAAGCATTACGCCGCCAAGAAATAACGTAACCGGCGAGGAAAGCGCATCGAGCGCACGTGTTGGTCGCGAGCAGCTATTCCATATGCGCGGCGCGCGAGTGAATCGTGGCGAATCGCACGGTAATACTTGACGTAATCGCGGAGAGAAAGAGCGTTCAACTCGCCGTGGCGACGAGTTTCGAGGGCCGCTCGTCAACGCGATCCGAGCGAGAGAGGCGGCGGGTACTCACGCAGAGCGGTCCGGTCGCCGCACTCGACGTTGCCCGGCACGTCGCAAAGCTCCTTCTTGGGATTGTCGTCCCTGAAGACCAAGCCATCCTTGCAGAGCCTCTCCTCCGGCTGGCCGTCGACGCAGGCGTAATAGAGGTCGCACTGCTCGGGATCCGCGAAGAAGCCCTTGGGCTCGGGACACTTGAACTGCGCCGAGGCGCTGGCGCAAAGGGCAAGAATGGCGGCGGCGGCGGCGGCGGCTGCGGCGATCCCCATGTCGACTTTTTTTCCCGGCTGTCGGTCAGTGTCGTGCTCGCTGCTGTGACTGCGCGCTGGTTTCGCTCGGCTGCGCTTTACACCAGCGCGCGCGCCTCGTCTGGCTCCTGCACTTCTCCCCCCACCCCACCCCCTTTCTCCGAATTCACCTATTTCCACCTATACAAGGACTTAGCGTCCGACGAAGGAGGCTGCCGCGACCGGTGTGCTTTCGGGCGTGTAGGTGTACGTGGCGGCGCCCGGCGACGCGACCAACGGGTTTTCGTTGCGATAACAACGCGAGCCGCGTAATATCGTCGCTCGAGGGACGATTCCCAGTCGATCGCATCGGCATCGCGGCGCGCTTCTCAAGGCCCCCTGTCCCTTTCCGCGCAGCTGCTTTCTGGAGTTCGCAAAGGCGCGAAAAAGCTCGAATTATTTTATCGTAAATTTACATTCCTGCGGTTCAGCTACGACATTAAAAATTCAGTGTTTCTTTGTTTTTCTTTTTTTTTTTTTTCGTTTCGTTTCTGCGCATACGAGTCGACTCGGATGCTGCATCGATTAGATAAATAGTTTACCGTTTGACTTGACTTAACGAGAACATGAAATGAGCAAGTTTGCATCTTATCTGTCCTAATGCAATAAAACATGCACGGTCTTATCGTGCGTTGCAGTTACCTGTGGCACTACGAATTCAGTTTTATTTTCGACAGTATTTCATAGTGATACATATTGATAATCAGGTTTTTCGTTGAATCACGTTTCCTCGTGGAACTCTTCGTTGATCTGCAAATGTAGTCTTGAAGCGAGTAGTCTTCCATGTTTGCGTGTGCGTGAGGAGGAATCACAAGGAGTTTACGCAAGAATCAGTGAAAATATAATAACGTAGTTTTTGTAACTTTTTCACGCCATAGCATGGGTGCTTTTACGCTTCTGCCGATTGAAACTCGCGGAAACAAACCGATACCGCACGCCCCTTTGACGGTACATTCGTTATGGCAATACGCGCTTATGCACTCGATCCGTCGAAAAAGTTGCCCGCGAGTAAGTTCAATCGAAAGCAACGTAACATTAGCCTTTCCCGGTGACAGCCGTGGCTGATGAACAAAAGATCTCGTATCAACCACAGGCGAACATGAATGATGATCGCAATTGTCCTCGGTTAGACCCGCCCGTCAAGGTCCGGCAGTGACCGCGACACGAAAGCGGAACTGATTGCGCAATTACCGATCTATCGTGCATCTGGAAGAGAGAAAAAAATCGAGACGAGATTATTATAGATATAGAGTCGAGTCGTACGTAGCAAAGCGACAGAAAACCGTTTTATCATCCGAGAGAAAGCTCGGCGAGTATCAATTCGGCTTGAGCGCCCCTGGCCAGAGATAAATACATGCACATTACACAAGGTCTCTCTCTCCCTCTCTCCCTCTCTCTCTCTCTCTCTCTAGCTATCCTTGGCAGTCGAGCGAGAGCCTGCACTCGGAAGTCAAGATGAGCGCCACCTTTTCCTCGGTTCTTTCTCTCGTCGCTCGTCGAAATGTGCAACGAGGCAATCGACGTGACGTTGCGGCCTTTGATTTCGCAACTCGCCGAAAACTGTCCTTGATTCCGACGCATTCTCTTTGCCGTGGTCGTTGCTCAATAAAAGGACACAGAACCTCGGACGAGTTAATATTTTATTAATTACAATAATAAAAAAAAAAAAAAAAAAAAAAAAGAGAGAGAAAAAAACAAAAAAAACGAATTTACAAATCTAGAGGATTCGACGACAAAGACGAAGGTACATGAAAGAGAGAGCGAGAGAGATAATGGTCACGTGGTAGGGTGTCCCGATGCGGGACAAATCGATGGTCCTTGCGACGATCAATTGCGATGGCCGATTTGCGGCTTCTTATCGTCGTCCTTGTACCAGTCCTCGCTGCAACATCGAAAGAGATAGATACATGTGTATAGTAACAGTGCCTCCCCCCGTTGCTCGGCGAAAGCTCAATCGAGTTCTCGAATCGGGCAGCGCGTGCCGGGGCTCCTCGGCAGTGGCGATTATTCAGGCGCAACAGTACGTACCATCCGGGCACGTTCTCGGGCGCGTCGCATCTCTGCTGCTCCTCGTTGTAGACGGTCCCGTCGCTGCAGCCTTGCTCGCGCGGCGTCACTCCGTTCAGGCAGACGTAGAACTTCTGGCAGTCCTCCGGGTGAGCGAACTTGGGGTGATCCACGGCGATGCCGCGACTGTCGACGCCAGCGTCCTTCGGGCACTCGAAACCGTCCGACAATTTCTTGCCTACGACTCCGCAGCCCTGCGTTCGTACCAAGGAGGCAACCGTTGATTCTTTATTTCTCGTTGTTCCTCGACGATCGCGTGCTCCCTACCTGTCTTCCGGCGCTTTCGGGCCAGACGCAGGTGCCGCTGTACTCGTCGAAGTGAAGTCCGGTGGTGCAGGTGATCTCCACGGCCTCGCCGTCGATGCAATTGTAGAACACGTTGCAGACCGACGGGTCGGGATGGGCGAAGAAGCCGTTTCTACGCGGGCACTTCTTGGTCGGCTGTGGTGGCTCTGTTGGCACCCGAAAGGTCAACCCGTCAGAATATCGCCGTCGCTCGTCCCGCCTCCAGTTCCGTCCATCCACTTACGAAGCTCGAGTCGGTCGCCGCAGTCCACGTTGAAGACGTGGTCGCACTTGTTGACCTTGCGGTTCAGCGGGTCGAACACGAGGCCGTCCGGGCAGTACTTCTCGATGGGCAGACCGTCGATGCACTCGTAGTACTTGTCGCACTGCTTCGCGTCCTCGTACTGGCCGTCGTCCTTCGGACAGTTGAAGGCGCCATCTGCGTGCAAGGGTCCAGGAGCGTCAGCCCTTCCCCGGGTACGGCGCGTCCGCCGCGGCGAGCTTCCGCGCGATCAAACGCGTTTCGCGCGAATTTTCCATACGTCCCGTTTGGCTTTCGATTCTCGAGCGGTTGCCGCCGCTGCCTGCTGCCGTAAGCTCGAAATTATTTTACGTAACTCTTACGGGCGGACGTTTACGCTTTAGAAAGTGCGCGCGCCCGGCCACGCCGCACGTACACGTATCGCGCGCACGCATTTCTGCGCGAGCGAACATGCCCCTTGGACTAGCGCTCGCGCGTCTATGTGCTTCGCACTCTATATCCTTCCTTTTTCTTTCCTTCGCGTCGAAGGTGAACGTGTCCAGTACCACTTCGAGTCGCCGATGAAAGTTTTTCGCGGAAATCGCCGAGCCGCACGCAAATTCTTGGCGTCGGCACGACGAGTCCGAGTATCGCGCGTCAGCCGGATTAGCGGCGAGCCGGGCGGCGGCGCCTGCAAATGGGTTTCACTTTCGATCCGGCGTGGCGCGGCTAAAAATGGAGCTGTTAACGGCGCGCAGTGTCATACGTGCGCGCTAGGCTAATGATGCCGGGGAGCGTTACGCAAAAGCGCGCAAACGAAGAGGAAGGTCGTTGACTCGCTGCGCTCCACGTACAGCCGGCGAAATTGCCTTTCTCCGCGCCAACTCTGTGCATCTTTTCTCCTCGGCTCGAGCCAGCGAGCTCTGTTCTGCGACTCGCGCAACACCCCTCGCGGCACTCGTCCGCGGCGACGCGGCGACGCGCCGTTCAGTTCCTCTTTCCAAACTGCCTGCTTTCGCAATCGCGTTCGAGGCTGGCTTTTCCTTTATTTTCTTTTCTTTGCTTTTTTTCAATTTTCGTTTATTCCATTTGTGCGAGTTGTTGCTATACGGCATTATCGACTAGAGCGATATTTGAAAAATGATACTTACGAGTCGACGCCACGACGGCCAACAGGCAAGAAAGGATTACGCACGCTTTGGTCATTTTAAGTCTTCTGTTGAAAGTAAAGAGATTGTAAAGTAAAAAATCGCGTGAATTTATAGATGTCAACAAGGTCAATCAATCAATTTAAAGACTTTTGCACATTGCACGCGAATCAGGATGAGAACGATAATTTTACGTAACATGAAAAAGAAAAAGAAAAAAAACATGACAAACGCATAAGAATGAACGGTAGCTACAACGAACAAAGCCAATGGTGATAAAAATGTATAACTTACAAAGGTAAAAATCTCTCGCTTCGATGATAAATGTCAGTCGGTCGAGCGTGAGAGATATAGCAAGGACGAGGCAGAGAGAGCGGCTAGTGAAAAGTCGTCTCCTCGCGCGAAAGACTGCAGCCGAGGACAGCCGCTGCGTCGGATATACTTGGCCGGCCCCCACCTTTTTGGAGGAGGCGAACCCTCCCAGCCAGCGGGCGCATGCTACGCACTGCCGCCTTATTCCCCACTTTCTACCGCGATCCAGTTGCCGCTGTCTAGAATGCTTTTTCCATCCAGTGAAATGACGCCTTTTCTTCTCCTCGTTCTTTTCGCTTGTCCGGCCCTTCGATCGCCGGCCAATACTTCCGTAAACAATTGTTTCTAGCGAGCATTCGGTTAGCGTAATAGTTTTGCCATTGAGTTGGAAAGAGAAAATTAAATCAAATGAGCAGTGTGCAGCAGAAAATGAATCGATACGTTGTTTACGTTGTTCACTCGATTGATTCGATGTTCGTTTCGGCGCCAATTGGCGATGACCTCGCTTTACTGATTCTGCCACGTACTAATTGTGCCGACCACTCAACATTTTTCGCAGTCTAGGCTAATGAAAACGATTGGTTGCAGGCAATTTAAAAATCTCCGACTAGAAAAAGACGTTTCGTCGCCATGAATGGAAAAGGTTGATTTTGGTGGTTGAATTGTTGCGAAATCAAAACGAAAGGCAATAATATCATTGGTCTCTCGACTTTTACTTTTGTTTTCTAATTTCAAGTTCCAGCCGAGATCCACTGGACCATGTAAGAAATTTTAGAAAGACTTTCACTTTCGTATAGCGTTGTCTCCCTCTTTTTCGAGTTTCCCCCTTCTCGTTCTCGACACTTTTCTATCCGATCGCTTTCCCCACTCTCCTTTTCAAAAGCTGTATAGGAAAGAATGACGAATGGACTCGATTATCGTGATATTTTTTTTCTTTGCCATCGCAACATGGTGTCCACACGTGGAGAACTCCGAATAAGCATTTACAATGTAGATTGAGTCGAATAGAATACATTTATTGGCCATTAAAGTCATCGTGATTTGCAAAACGAAGGAATCTCGTTTCTCTGTGTATATCGATTTCGGCCCACGCGTGCATTCAATTATTTACGAACGGCACTTAACAAAATATTCCTAGGATATACATATAAACTAACTATCTTACACGTACAAGCACGATGGACTACGATCAAGCGTAGAAAATAGTGCACTAAGATTCGGATGAGTCGTCGCTCGCGTCGAACGAGAAAAACTAAGATTGCATTGTATATGAGAAAAAGTGTCGAATAAAACGTATCAGCTGAGTTGAGTTCAGTCTTTGCGCGCGTTTACAACCGCAAGGCACAACCAAAACATACACAGACAATTGGAATTTGAGAGAGGGGAAGTGGGGTGGGGAAAATGATTCGTTAACATTGAGATAAGCAGACGTCGTTTGTCCACGGGGAGCTTCAATCCGATTCAGGCTCGGCCTGCTGGTTGCGTTTCTGCCCTTTCCTTCTGCTAGATCCGCTGGACTTGGGCTTGGGTGGGTTCTCCAAAGCGTCGAGCTCGGCGTCGGTGAGCACGCCGTCGTACCACTTGGCGCTGCAATCGTACGCGCGGTTAGTTTGATTGGCGACGCGCGGACGCGGCTGTGCGCTCGACGCTTACCACTCGGGAATCTTGCGAGCCCAGTCGCACTTGCCGGTGCTCTCGTCGAAGGCCTGCCCGAGCTTGCATCCGCTGCGCCTCGGCGTCTCGCCGTTGATGCACACGTAGAAGTACTGGCAGTCCTCTGCGTCGGGGTAGCGCGGGTGGGTGGCCGCGACGCTCTCGTCGACCTTGGGGCAAGTGAAGTTGAACAGCTCCCGCGAGCCGCAGCCGATCTTCTGCGCCTCGTCGGGCCAAGTGCAGATGCCGGTTTTCTCGGAGAACACCAGGCCGTCGGGACACTTGATCATGTTGAATTTACCCTCGACGCAGTAGTAGAAGGTGTTGCAGTTGGTCGGGTCCTCGTGAGCGAAGTAGCCGTGCATGCGCGGGCAGTGCGCGGTCGGCTTTGGTTTCTCTGCAAGTCGAGTTTGGGAAGTGAGTCGGCGCGCGCTGGGCTCGCGAGCGCGCGGTTCGCTGCGCGCACTTACGGAGCTTGGGCCTCTTGGAGCAGTCGATTCCGAACGGCAGGTCGCACTTCTCGTGCTGGGGGCTGAAGTCGTTGAAGACCAGGCCGTCGGGGCAGAGCTTCTCGGTGAGCTTGCCGTCGCGGCAGTCGTAGTACTTGTCGCACTGCTCGGCGTCGGGGAAGTAGCCGTTGGGCTCGGGACACTCGTCCGACACGGCGGCCTCGTCGTCGAGCTCGGTCACCGCCTCGTCTCCCGCCGGCGCTGTCGCGCGAGCCGGCGGTCTCTTGTACAGGTGTGTCTGGGAGGTCTTGCGCCGAGCGATTTCCGCTGCCTCCTCCTTCCGCGTCAGGGCCGATGCCGCTGCGCCTGCCGGTCGTCGGTGCATCGTTACAGTCGTCCCTCGGTGCGATCGACGTGGCGACGCGCACCGGAGCTCGGCGTCGAGCCCGAACCCGCGGCGCGCACGACCGATCCGCAGAGGGAACGAGCGGAGACGGAGCGGATCGCGGGTCTGGGTCAATGCCAGCTGTCGAACGCGCGAGCGCTCGAGCGTGCGCGGGTCTTCGCGCGTGCCAGGAAGGATGTCGACCTCGGGGACGTCCCTGAAGGAATGCGGACGACCTCGGGGGAGAAAGTGGCCGAAAGCAAGAGTCCGCGGAGTGGCCCGCCGGAGAAAACGAAAAAGTCAGCGAGGACCGGTTGTCCGGCTGCCGACCGTTCCCGCAGTTTGCGCCTCGTCGGACGGCGCCCGCGGGCCGTAGCAGCCAGCGTTTTCCCTTTTCCTGGAATGCACGTCGACGGCCCAAAGTTCAAGGTACTCGTACGTCGCCTCCGACGACAACGACGAGCGACGCGCCGCCGTCCGCCTTGCTTTTCGTTTTCTCCCGTTGTTCTCCGCGCGAGGCGCGCGAGGCGCGCTCGAGGCATCGAAAGCCAGCGGCGCACAGCGAGGATTAGAAAGGCGCGTGCGGTCGGCCGAGGGGAAACGCAAGTGCGAAAGAGCAAACGCAAGACTCACCGAGCGCAAGCAGGCAGCAAAGAGTGTAGAGGTTGCTCATGTCGACGGCGTTCGTCGGTGGCGTTTGGCGCCTGCGGTGGAGTCGCTCGTCGGCGGTAGATCGGCAGAGGCCACACGGAGCGTGCCAAGTGTGCTGGCACGGGAGTCGGTTTGGGGCCTTATATGCGTCCCCACTTACTACGCCGGCTGCGCGAGCGCGGTTCAAAAGGAGAAGCGCGCGAGGCGGAGATACGAGCGTGCATGCAGCGCGCGAGCCAGCACTGCGAGTGCCGCGCCGTGCCGTGCGAGCGCATACATATGTATATCAAAGACGACGCGCGCGAAAGCCGTTAGCGAGCGATTAGGGTCATTTAACGGCTCCGCGCTGCTCCGCCGGCAATACGCGGGAATCGTCTCGCCTCGTCGATGATTGCCACCAGTCTGCTCCCACGGGGCGTGCGTAACGATCGGACCGCGGCGTGCCGCTCGCTGCGCACGGCGCTCGGTAAATTTGCCCGCGGATTAGATCGCGCCGATTGGCGCGCAACCACTCGGCTGCGCGCGCTCGCTCGCATTGTTATTCGACTTCGATCGCAGACTCGTTGTTTTCTCCGCCAGCGAATTACCTTACAGCAATATGCGGATACTGGATATCGAAGTGCGATTCGGAGTCCGACGTAGGCCTTTTTTTTCTCTCCTCGCATCGATAATACAGTTAAGACAGCCGTGCGTGTGACGAGCGTGTTAATACCGATCGGTCGCGTCGCGCGAGATGCGTCCAGTGACGTGACGCGTACAGAGGTCTTTCGAATTCTTTCGAGGTCGGCGCAAGGGTCAGATATCGGTAGGCAGGCCTATTTATAGAAGCCAGCTTGATCTGGCTGGACCAGTTTTGCGTCCTGCGCGTTCGCCCGAAACGTTCAATAACACGTTTTATTTGCCTTCGTTGTGCACGTCGAGCGAAGGAATGCCAATTCCAGATGTCAAAGGCCTCGTCGATGACTAACGGACGAAATAATTTTGCCGAAAGCGCGCCAAGTTGGCGCGTCGCGGTCGCGTCTCGCTTGCCGACGGATCGGAGATCGCTGCGAGCGCGGAGCCCGAGACGAGCCTGCGCCGGAGGATCAGCACTCGTTTGCAAACATTCGCGAGCGATTCTTCTTGGCTTTCCCCCGCGTCCTCTTATCTCCGCTCTCTCTCTCTCTCTCTCTCTCGCTTGCGCGCGTATCGTTTCGTCGATTAAAGCGCGCAGCTCGCGAAAGCGCGGCCGCAGTGCTCAGTCGAGCCCGCGCCGCGGAACGCAGCAATGACGGTAAGGAGTCTCTCTCTGGTAAGGGTCTGGGCGATCGTCTCTCGCGAGCGACGAGATTGACGGGCACTCTCTTGTTTCATGCTCCAGTCGGCATTGCGCTACGCCTACAGAGGCTTGGTGGTCCCGGTGTTCACCCCGTTCAAAGCCAACGCGTTAGTTGTCGAAGGGCGTCGTAAGGAGCGGGACCAGGCAAATTTACCTCGCTAATGGAATCTGACTTATTTGTTTCAAGTGAAAGGTCCGTAAACGCCTATCTGATCCCACGCTACTCCGACTATCTCAAATCCAACAACATCGATGGCGTTCTCGGTATGGCATATTATCGCGATATCTCGTAGAGTCGGGAAAGGCTTGGAGTGCCCGGAGTGGGCGCTGACGAGAGCACGGCCTTGACCCTTCTCGGCGCGACGGATATCCATCGGTGAATGTGCTTTTTGTGCGGCAGCCAACGGCACGACGGGCGAGGGCATGACGATGTCGGTGAGCGAGCGCAAGGAAGTCGCCGAAGCTTGGGTCGAGGCTGCGCGTCGTAATGGGCAACACCTGATAGTGCAAGTCGGCGGTGCGCCGCTCGCCGACGTCAAGGAACTCGTGAGCATCAGGCACGGCCGAGGAGTTCGCTCGCCGCGCCACGAGACGAACGCACGATCCCTCAACTTTTCAGGCCAGACACGCGCAGAGCCTCGACGTTGACGCTGTTCTGTGCCTGCCCGAGCTCTACTACAGGCCGAGCGACGTCGAGGAGCTCGTCGATTACGTGAAGCAAGTCAGCGAGGCCGCCCCCAAGGTTCCGCTGCTCTACTATCACTTCCCTGACATGTCCAACGTGAGGGGTGAGTTGAACCGTCCTCGCTCTTTTCCTTTCTTCTGCCAATCAATGCAATCATTGTTCGCGTGCTCCTGATGACCACGTGCCCGTCCATAAGTTCACATGGGCAAGTTTTTGGAATCGGTGCGCGACAGAATTCCAAACCTCGTGGGCATCAAGTTCACCAGTACGAATCTGGAGGAGGGCTCGCACGCCGTCGACGTGGAGAACAAGCGCTACGTGGTATTCCTCGGCAGCAACTTGGTATGAAACCAAGTGGAGCAGGCCGATCGAGAGCCGATCGGGACAATAGCCGGAAAACACCGTGGATTTTTGCAGATCATCCCAGCGGGCAGCGCTTGCGGTATCGACTCGTTCATGCCGAGCAGCACGAATCTGTTTCCGGAGCTTCTCCGCAGCATCGTGAGACACAGTTCCGAGGGTGATTATGCAACTGCAAAAACAAAACAGCAGAGAGTCGTTTGCGCCTTTCGGAAGCTTTCCCAATTAGGTAACTATGTCTTGCTGTTCTCGTCGCGCGATCGACCGATCTTTCAATTTGCGCACAACGAACAAAAATTACAAATGCCTTTGCAGGTCCCGTTTTGTCGGCTATGAAAGCTGCAATGTCGCACATTAGTCCCATTGCAGTTGGCCCATCGAGGAAACCTCTGCGCTCGTTTGACACCGAAGAGGATCAGCGTCGATTGATGACGATATTAAAGGCTTTGATTTAATCTTTTTTTTTTCATTACCTTCCCTCTAAAACAAATTATTTTTCAGTATTTACCGTAGTTTATTGATTTTTTGCAATTTACTACCCTCACTGTAAGGTCCATTACGAAAAATCTTCTCACATAATCCGAAACTGGCAGCTAGTTTTCTCAATATTATTGAACCATTCAAAATATACGTAATGCAAAGTCATCCGATTATCTTTGAATTTATCGCGCGACCGGGACGACTTGAAGGTTATAACGTATCGTTTCGAATGCGGCTCCAAGAGCGCACGATGTATTCAAATGCTATTCGTTCGCCGCTGAACAGCGACAGCCAATCGTCAGTCTACCATCAACGTCAGAGGCTTGATACAGCCTGACTCTATAGCACGTTCTGTTACTTTATAGTTGGGAGCAGGCTCTCGGGGAAACATCAGTGAAATGACGGTACGCTTTTTTTTCTTTTTATCTCGCCAAACCTTCAAAGATATAGGCGACTTCGCGCAGAACATATCCATCAACACGAGTACATTAAACTCGGACGATTGAAATTGAAACGATTGGCCGAGTGCTTTTACAGAATCCTGTAAAGTTTTCATTCAAGGGCGTTATCGCAACAGCGTTCGCCCCGTTCGAAGGCCGCAGGTAAGCTCGGCAGGCACTCGGAAGTGCGTCAACGACTTCGATAGCCGTTGACATTCGCTCATTGCCACTATGACATTCCAGTGCAGAGCGTTTGAATTTGTCGGCGATACCCGAGTACGCGAAATACTTTGCGGAAAACCACTTCAAGGCTGTTTTGGGTGAGCCGAATAAGCTTTTGTTTTGCTCGCATCGGCGACTGATGCTGAATTTTCGCACAGTAAACGGCACCTACGGAGAGGGAATGGCAATGACAGTGGACGAGAGAATACAAGTGGCGAACGCTTGGGCGGAGGCGGCCGAACGGAACAACCAGCAGATTATCGTTCAAGTAGGAGGAACCAATTTGCAGGACGTTAAAACATTGGCGAGTTAACTTGGGCAAAGAAAGAAAAAACAATTAAAATAATGTGAAATGATTGGACGTGAAATACAACGAAAGTATAATACTTTTAGGCAGCACACGCCCAGAGTATCAATGCAAACGCTATTCTTTGCCTTCCTGAGTTGTACTACAAGTCTAAAACAGTCCAAGATTTAATCGATTATTTGGCAGAAGTGGCAGCGAGTGCCCCGACAGTGCCATTGTTTTACTATCACTCACCTGACGCCACAGGCGTTGCTCGTAAGTTGATAACGACGCTTGCTTCACCTTGACTTCCACTGTGGAACATTACTAAGAAATGTCTTGCTGTGTCAGTTAACATGGTTGAGTTTTTCAAGAAGGTCGGAGACACAATACCCTCACTGGGAGGAATCAAATTCGCTAGTACCAAATTAGACGAATGCACCCTGGCAGTCAAAGCAGCGGCCGATAAATTCCGCGTTGTCGTTGCCAGCAATTATGTAAAGCTCCACCATCAAGTTGCCTGGCTGTAAAATTTGCGTGACGGTTCGACTTGTTTCGTTATAGATCTTGCCCGCTTGTATTGCCATTGGAGTCGATACGTTTATGCCCACTAGCATAAACATTGCTCCGAAATTGGTCAATGGAATTTACGACTCGGCGATGTCCGGAGACATTTCGTCCGCTCAAGCGCTTCAGTTGAAGCTAGTCGACGTAATCAACGGCCTATCTGCGATTGATAAAAGTACGCTATCAGTACGATATTTTCGTCGTGACATTCGATAGCGTGTTTCAAAATCAATACTTATTTATTACAGATGTGATGCCGGTCATGAAAGCGGTCACGCGCCGTCTCTTGATGCCAACAATTGACATTGGAAGCACAAGGAAGCCATTGAAGAACTACGACTCCGTAGTCGCCAAATCGCAACTTGTTTCTGCTATTACAAATCTATTGCAATAAGTTTACTGGTATTATCAGAATAAAGTATCGTTATAAAGAATGAGAAAAATGGCGCTTCGATTGCACCGATCGACACGACGACCCACTGGACTTGACCAATTTATCGGATTCTCTGTTCGCGATTAGATTGTCCAGCTGCAAACTATCTGCGCAGCACAGCACGACAGGTCCCGTGTCGGCGTATAGCGTACACACGCGCGCAATTATATCTACAGGATGTACGCAGAGGCGATTGCTCTAGTGCGCGTCGCGCGAGACGAGTCCACACCGTCGCATTCAGAGTGACGGTAAACGAATTTCAGTTGCCCTGTTTTCGAGCTGTTTTACGTAGCGCGCGAGCCTTCTCGTGTAACAACCACGATTTGCGAAAGAAATCACATTTTGCGGCCGTCACCGGTACATTCAAGCCCATTTCTTTCAACAGAAGAACGCTCCAAAGTTTGCGTTCACCTGCATCATAGTCACCGCATTCACGCCATTCAACTCTGACAAGTAAGCGAATCCGTAATCGTAATAATTGAGGTTGCGGTCGAGCACGCGCAATCGACTATTTTATTCAAGGGCAAACAGTTTGAATCTGTCCGTGATTGCGGAATATGCCAAGTGTCACTCGTGAAAGGGTTTCGGAGCTGTGCTAAGTGCAATTATATTCCGGTAAATTGATCGACGTACGGGCGCCATTATTTTTTAACAACCCTTGAATTGTCGCCTTCAAGTTAACGCTCGTACGCATGACGGTCGAAGGGAGGATAAAAGTAGCACGATAAGTATCGACACGAAGCTCACGATTCGCGTCGTAGGAACGAATCTGCCAGACACGGAGAGGCTCGTAAGAAGATTTCCTTGGAGAAGCACCGTACGCGCGAGAGTGACGCCTGGTCTTCTATCATTTCAGGCTGAGCATGCGAAGAGCCTCGCTACGTTATACATGCCATACTCTGCTTTTCGAAATTGCACTACAAGCCTAGCCCCGCCGAAAACTTGATCGGGTACCTGGAAGAGATCATTTTAAGATTTATTATTTTATTATTATTTATTACACAGCCAAGGGAATATTTTCATAAATGATCACTCCACATTTAGATTTGCAGTCGACACGGCCAAGTTTTTAAAGAAAGGCAAATCCAGCATACCCAGCTTGGCTGGTATCAAGTTTATCGAGCGGGTGTGCATTAGCAAAATTTGATCGCCGAAATGGTTCTGTATTGTTTTGCCAAGCATGATCGTTGGAATCGACACTTTCATGCCATCGGCTGTCAGCATCGCGTTAGATTTGGTGAAGGAACTGTACACCGTAGCGATCAAAGACGACTATCGCGCTACCCAGGTGCATCAAACGAAACTGGCCACCATCGTGAACAATTTGGCCACACCAACAATTTGGACGAAGGTTAATAAATTCACTGTCCTTATTAAAACTTCAACTGCAAGTAATAGTACGTTTATACAGGTTTGAGAGCTGCGATGAAAGCTGTGACACGACGACTTTTACCGTCTTATATACATCAACTTGGGACCGACCAGAAGACCACTAAAAAACTTCGATACCTTGCTTAATCAATCGAAACTTGCTAGATTTATCACATCGGAGCAATTGGAGATGTAGCTCTCTGTCGATTTTCATTTGAGAAAACAATTTGAATGATGTCCTTTTTTTGTTTGTCACCCCGTTTGCAGGAAGGAGGGACGGGCTGTACTCGACCAGAATTTTTCTTGCATATATATCTCTAGAACGGTTCAATCGATGCGTTAATGGGTCTGCACTTACTTGAAACGGTCCTGTCTTATTATTGACTGGACTGGAGCATAAATGTGCGAGTTAATGCAAAAAATGCAGATAAAGTCGGCTGTTTTTAGATAAAATTAATCTTGTTTGTTTGTAATGAAGAGAAAAGCACTCTTAATACTTGAAAGCAGAGATAAGTAGCGACATCTGTGGTCGTACGATAATCCAGCGCCATCTGACAAGAGCGTCATCAAGCATCAAGCCAACAGAAAAGAGGAAAACGCGCGAGTATGGCGCCCCCACGCTATTTGCGCCTTACCATAAGAGTTGTATAGGCGTGGGACGGCGTCGACGCTTGATGCGTTCAGTTTCAGTAGGTGTATCATCGCCGGGCTTGGCAGCTAAGTCGCGTTTGATCGTCGTGTCAGCAGCAGCGAATGTCGGCCGAGAGAGCGAGCGAGTAAAGTGTGCGCGTTGTAAGTTCAGCCTCTCACCTCGAGGAGCGGTCAATCTCGTCGTCGTGAGCGGGCGAGCCGAGCGATTACATCTCCGCCAACCTGCAGGCTCTGTCGACAAAATAATAACAGCCTCGTCCTCGTCGCCTCGGTACGGTCTATTGCCGACGAGAAAATAAAATGGAGAACCGACCGGCGCCTCTACGTTCGAGGCGGGTTTGCAGATTTTGCCTGACCGAGGCAGAGCCGCTCACCTACATCTACGACCGCGAGCAGAGCCGGCCCTTCCAGGTGCCGCTTAGCCTGCAAATCATGTCCTGCGTCGCCATCGAGGTAATCTACGCGAAAACACTCGTCTGCCTTCTCTACGTCTACCTCACTTTTTGCTTCTGTTGCTCGCTTTTTTCTCACGGTGGACTTTTTTTTTTCCTCTCAAGAAAAAAGCGCAAGAACACCATGATTTCTTAAAGATTCCTACTTTTTTACCTTAGAGAGTAACTGATTGCACAATGCCCTGTTGCTCGCAAGATTTCAACAAAATTTTTTTTCTTTGCGCATTTTTACAGGATGGATGTCAGGGACATATAGATTACTTCAATTTATTTACTTGAGGGGAACTGCATTTCAATACACAAAATTAAAAATATTTTATGTATAATATTCTTTATTCAATTAGTATTTATCTCAAAAAATTGAGAGTAAATGATTCTTTTACACATTTTTTCAACGTTTGTCAAATTAAAATTCAAAACCACATGTAAAATAATAAAAATTATTTTGTATAATTGAAATATCAATTCAAAAGATCATCCACGTGACTAATTTGTGGATACGAAAGAATTGTTCTGAAATATTTATCTGCATAAAGTAAAAAATTCGGTTTTTAAGAAATATTATCGTTAGATTTGTCTCAATATTACGTGGAAAAGCGGACTGATAAAATAGTCAATTAACTCATAGGATAATGCAGATCCAGTGTTACCTATTAAGTAAATTCGTGTATCGATCGTTACGATTTTATCATTTGAATCATAGTTTTTATAAATAAATCTATAGCATATCATTTTTTATTGTTATTAATTACATCATCGTGTATCAATCAGTAAATATTGAGTATTAATATTACAATTATTTATAATTTTAAATTTCATGAATTTATTATTTTATATGAAAATTGTCACCATGATATTATGTTTTAAATCTAATCATTTAATTTATTTATTTCATTTATAGGTTTATTCTGCTGATGGGATGCCTCAAATGATCTGTCAAAATTGTCGCTGGAATTTAGATAGATGTTACAAATTCAAGCAACAATGCAAAAAAGCTGATGAAGCTCTACGTGCCTATCCAGTTTCAGGAGTGCTTCCAAGACCATTCCCACCTATAACTATTGAGCAACCAGAGCCAACAACAAAACGTAATTTGGATACCAGACCTGTTAATGAACCAATCAAAAAACCACGATTAGACAATGGTGAAAATGAGCGAAGGAATGCAGCTCATGCTGGTGAGTATTGCTTCAGTTAATGTGTAAAAAAGTCTATTTTTTTTTTATATAATATAGCAGAAATCATTAATATGACCCAATCGGATCACTTTATTAACATAAATGGAATAATTGATTAGGCCAGCGAGAACAACGAGAACAACGAGAACAGCAAGTCCGCTCAGAGAAGCAACAGCGTGACAAGGAACGCGAGTTATACGACGAGGACCAAGATGCCGGCAGTGAAGGTGATCATGAGTCAAATGACAATAAGAACGATTCGAGTCTTGAACCCGGTGAGATCCGTGTGCACGCTTGTACTCAATGCGAACGTACTTTCCCATTGCTGCAATCTCTGCAATTGCACATCCAGCGAGCTCATCGAGATCGTGACTACAAATGTACGGAGTGTGACCGTATGTTCTTTTCAAAATATGACTTGCAAAAGCACATGACTACACATTCGGAGGAGAAGCCTTATTCCTGCCAGATCTGTCAAAAACAGTTCTCGCGTGCCAACTTGCTGCAGCGTCACGAGAAGACTCATCGAGAAGAGTTGAGATACGGATGTCCTCAGTGCGATCGTGAATTCTTCAGCCCAGAGGAGCTGGAAAAACACGAGGAGGCAGTGCACAAAACAGTCAAGCCCTTCCAATGTAACATCTGCGGTAAACGCTTTACGTACAAGCAAGGACTCGAACGCCACGAGATGTTGCACAACGAGGACAAGTCGTTTGTCTGCGAGTACTGCAAAGAAGCCTTCCGCACGAGTACCAAGCTCGCTCGTCATCTTAGCACTCATGCTGGTCATCGGCCGTTCCTCTGTAAATTATGTCCCCGTAGCTTCCTCTTGTCTCATCATTTAACGCGTCACATGCGCAGCCACTCTGTTGAGAAACGCCATCAGTGCGAGGACTGCGGTAAGGCATTTAAACGTAAAGAGAGCCTCGATGTTCATCAACTGACTCACGTGAAGCGTCCGGGCATGGGTTTGACGTGTGATGTGTGCAATGAGTCATGTCGTAATAGAGCTGATTATGTTACGCACATCAAACAGCATATCGAAGCCGGTGAGAAGATGGGTCCAGATGGTATACCTCCAGAGAACAAAGACAAACTAGGAGATATCACAGAGAGTGAGGAGGAAGAAGATGAGGAGGAAGAAGATCAGTACTCGGATGACGATTACGAACCACCGCAATCGTACTTTATGTCCGCCAAGAAGCGCCAGAGTATCCCTAGAAGAGATAGCGAGGAGGAGGATCTTGAAAGAGAAGACAAAAAAGAGCAGGTGGTTTACGTGAGAAATAAGGATGGTAATGTTGTTAGAAAAACAATAAAGACTTTGATGCCCGTCACTCGTCAACAAGAGGCTAAGGCGACTACTGCTCAGATTTCCAATGCCAAGCAGCTTAAAGAGGAAACGACACAGAAAATTGGTAGAGTTGATGAGACTGAGGCACAAGTACAAAAGATCGTCGCCTCCGTGTTCAAAGAGCACAAGATTCCACTTAAAGGTCAATGTTAATCCAATATTTAAAAGAAATTTTTTTTAATCAGTAATTTATTTATATATTTGTTTTTCTTTCGTTTTTAGAACAAGGTAAGGAATCTCCACATACTGCTACAAGGCAAAGTCCTCAAGTGGCACCTAGTATCATCAAAGAAGAGAAGATAGAACCATCCGTAAACATTCCTCCTCAAAAGAACGTAAAGGTTATCAAACGGGTTATTGTACGTAAACCAGCGGGAAGCGTTGATGCACAGTCCGTCTCTACTCCTCTAAAGGAAATCGTTCGTGAAGTTACAACTTCTCAACAACAGTCTCAACCTACTCCGTCTACATCTGGCGGTCCTAAAGTAAGTTACTCTAAAATCAAGCTTGGTATATTCAATTTGTCAATTTTTAAGATGCTATATTGAACGTTATTTATAGGTGACCAAGAGAGTAATAGTGCGCAGGATCATTCGCCAGGGTGACACAACGCGTGAAGTCATCATGAATCCCGACGGTACTCTCATTGATCCAGCAGAGTTGGCCAAACTTCCTACCGGAAACGTCGTGAAGCGCGTAGTCGTGAAGAAACCTCTCGATAAAGGGCAGAATATTGAGGCAATGCTGCAAGCAGCCGATGCAAAGAGTCTTCTCCAGATGGCAGAGAGTGGCGAAGAGATTATAAAAGCAAGCTCAATGTCTAAGCCTGCAACTCAAGTGCGACGAGTTGAGATCGTTTCACCGGCACCCGATCGCGAGACGCAGCAGAAACTTGAATTATTGGAGAAGCGGGTTGAGCAGCAACGTTTAAAAATCGAGGAATTGCAAGCTCGCAAACAACAGGAGTACGAGCCGTGCGATGAAATGCTTCCAGAGCGTCATGACGAATCCGAAGATGAGCAGCAGTTGCCACTCAAACGTGTCTTCGTTAAACGTAAGCAAAGCATTTACGATGAGGTCAGAGACTACAACGACGAATCATGTGGTAAAGAAAAAGATGAAGAGCAGAAGCAATCTTCAACTATCGTTGTCACTGCTTCGAGTCTCGAAGCAATGGATCAAATTGAGAGAGCCGAAGATCATACCAACTCAATAGAAAACGCTAAAATCATTATCATTAAACCTGAAGAAAACCAGCCCGATGTTGATGAGATGAGCAGAGAACTGTGTAACATCCTTGAGTCAACTGAAACCGTAGTAAAAATGCATGAGAATGTTCTTAATAATCTCACGCAAATTACATCTACTAATGAGCAAGCTGAACGTCACACTGTGGAGGAAACTGTTGCCGAGGAGACTAATAATGGAAATATGGAAGTACAAGTTACTGATGCTACTGAGCAACATATGGAGACAGAAGAAGTTGGCGAGGAACAAGTTCATGAACAAGTAAGATCAATTCTATCTCTGAAATCATCTTATTTTTGTTTTAACTATTATCGCTAATATTTTAAAATAGGCATTATCCACTAACTAAGATTTAATTATGTTAAAGGACGTAGAAGAAATGAATGAACAAGAAAACGCTACTGTGAAGATTGAAGCTGAGCCCGATCAAGATAGCACGAAACTGAACTTCGAGCACGAGCATAATCAAGAAGTCGATGAGGACGAAATAGACGTGGAGAGGACGGAATCAGGACTTTCTGCTTTGAGTACACAAGTGCTTACTGAGACAAACGACATGTTCGAGGCGTCCGATTCTACGATGGAAGTTGAAAAATCATCTCATGAGCAGCAAAACCTCGATGAATCTGTAATCGAGTTGTCTACTACGAATGAGACTATTAATATTAACGAGACAGCAGATCAATCCAGTAGAGATAGCCTCGAGGACAAACTATCGCAGATGGAAGGTTGATTATTTCGAGGTATATTTAATAGTACATTTCACTACTAATGCAAGAAAGTGATTTAACCCTCGCGCGGACATTTGCGCCCAAGCGAAGCCAGGGTGAAGGAACCACACGAGAGTCAAATTACTTTGTCGCTCATGTATCTAACTTTATTTTTCAATACGACTTGCGCGAGACGAGATTGGAAAAACACTAACTTTTCCAAACATGTGTAAATCGAGTTCTTGAGCACGGAATGTCTAAAACAATTTTCATGTAATATAACCACAATGAATCATCTGGTGCGCAGATTCGCTTCCTCACAAATGATACTTTGTCCTCATATTTTTATGCTTGTCACTTTACGATTTTGAACTACAACTATTGTTTCCCGTACAATCTTTTTTTATCTTCAGTCTATAAACAGATTCCAGTAATTCAATGTCGTAAAGTACTCGTTAACACGAATAACAATAAATGATGAAGTTATCATTTGGCGCTCTTTACTTTACAGTATACGATTGTACTAGCAAGAATTTAAAAATGCATGACTAACGAACGTAATGTCATTTTTATTCCTCTGTGAATTCTTGCCACTGCCAGTCTCTTGTGAAGTCTGCTTGCCAAAGGCTTTCATGTAATGAAATGAATTTAATTACAATTGTATATTTTGATCAGTAGCTCGCATTCCAGAAATATTTTTACTGGTTTGTGTAAAAAATTCTCTTTTATTTAAAAATAGATAAGATCTTTTTCAACTTAACATGTAAGCAACGTATGGATTTATTCGTATATATGTTTGATACTGACTAATCACAAATGATGGGATCGATTATAGAATTGTAATGAAATATTTGATTCGGCAACATTTTATATACATTTATCGTTTGTATACTGACGTTATTACAAAAATTTTTTTGTTAATAAGCACTTATAATTTTGATTTGTAAAAAGCTACGTAAAAGCTATGTATTTCTTCAATTTTGAATGACATTGTGTGAGTGAATTTAACTGATTCGTGTAAAACAAATGCAAAATATTGGGAACAAATATGAAAAATAAGATCTTGAAAGTAATTGAGGTGTACAATTGCTAAATCGTATTTCTCCTTATAATCGGCGCTCGTACGCATCTTTGAAAATACGATATTCTTTGATGTGATTGAGATAAATTTATCTCAATAACTACTACTTTGAATATGTCAGATTTTATTAGATTAATTTAAACTAAAATGTAGATGGGCCGCGCGAATAATGTATATGCATTTTTTAATGTTATAGCAGAACAAGGATGATTGTATGTAGAATGAACAGTAATCGAAAGGCGTCACTTTTAATTTTTATTAGATATTGTATAAATGAATAGAATTTTTTTTTCAATAGAAGAATAGAATGGTAATTAATGGAAAACTAAAAAGAAATTATAAAATTGAACGATAATTATTGTACATTATGACCCTTTTCGATGGCTAAAGTTTACTTAATAGAATAGAATATCAAATTTGGATAATTTTAGGTAAACAGTGAAAATGATGCTGGTACATAGTGGTGTGTACAATGAAGCAGTGAACTTTTCAATTATACCCCTATATTTTAAGACATTTTATTGCATTAGTGAACATAATCAGGTACAATCTACATTGAGCTATGATTTCTACAGAGTATGAAAAGAAATGTAAAATGTAACTTATTTAAATATATAAAATTTATTACGTAATGCAATTGTTATAATTTAATGAAATAATCACGAAGAATACAATTTACTTTATATTGAGACACAACTCTCCGAAAGCGCGTGATTTTTCTGAGCATAATCATACATAATAAATAAGTATCTAAGCTATTCTGTAAATTAGTAACTAATCTACTGGTGGGTCAATGCGGTATAAATATTACAAAATATTTTTACCATATTTTACATATTTTTGAATGTTCGTTCAGCGATGGATCTATTTTCTACTCTTGGCTGTGGAAAAATACTTGAAAATATAATTTTTTCTTCGTAGTAGGTTGACGCGTTCAAAACGCGATGCAAAGTGACAATACATTTACACGTAATACATTAGTAAAAAGAAACTAAGATATAAAAAATAATCGTAGACGTACATATGTAGGCAAGCTTTTCAAAGGAAACTATCGGTCCCGTTTGAAATCACACGTACGCCAGGTTGAGTCAAGCGCCACGTGTGAAAATCAAACGTTTTGCGTACAAAACGGGAAGGAATGAAGGGAGGAGCGATGCGATTACATGTGTGCGTATCGTAGTCAAGAATGCAAAGACGTCGTCGTCGCCTCGAGCACAATGGTGATGACGATGATGAAGGAGAAATAAGAGAAGTAGGAGGAGTTTCAGGCAGACTGCACTCCCTTCCTGGTAAGCCGGTGGAGCTGCAAAATAACGGACGCGAATCATTCCACTGTGTGTTCGTGTGTGTGGGTTTTTTTCTCTCATTCTACAGGCCGCCCCGTCCACTGTCTATGTACTCGAAACGCTGTGGGGCAGAGATAATTGCGCTGCTTCAGTTTTGCTCCAGAGACTATTTGTTTTAACGTTTTTTCTTTTCTCTACATAGATCCCAAATATCTCTTTGCTCGATATAATCTACAAGGAGGATGTGCGAGAAACAGATTGAATTGGACTACTTCCAAGTGCACTTTATGACTAAGTACGTGTTTATATCTTACTTCGACACTTTTATTTTGCACGCTAACCGCTAGAGAGGTTCGCCCGTTAATGTATCTGAAAAAATGGCACATAAAAAGTCACGTTTCGTCGGAGAAGATGTACATAAAATCGACTACCACGGCGATAATACAAAAAAAAACATGCTCGTATGGCAAAAAGTAATCGCGGTTCGCGTAAATATGAAAGACGCGATAGCGTGACTTTATTTCCACAGCAATTAGCACGGATTGAATCGCGTTGGAGTACACGATACCGCTGCGAAACGTTATATTTTATTCATCGAATTAATGTTGAAATGCCGCGATAATCGGCAGAGAAGAGAAAGAATCGCATTACTAGTGACCACTGGCGATTCGCCAAGAGAAGAGATCGAAAATAAAAATCCACGGCGAACGCGAAAGCGAAAGAAAACAAGGCCTACCTCCTTCTCTTCGGTAGCAACTGTGGCGTAAGATCTCGACGATTCGGTTTCTTTGGCAGGTCCGATGGCGTGGGTGTAGATGAGAGCGCCAGCGACACCGCCGAGTATCGGACCGACCCAGTACAGCCAATGGTCGTCGAATACGCCTTCGATGACCGCTGCGCCCAAAGCTCGAGCGGGGTTCATGCCCGTGGACGTTCGTGGGATCTGAAAAGCGGCAACCGCGATATCAGCCGCACTCGCGAGTGGACAGCGGGTCGAGGCGCGTGGGCTTCCGTCTGTCGCGATAGCTTTGCAGGGCTATCGACTCGCCGCCGCGCACGCGTCCAGAAGGACCGGCCGGTCGGCGCGAGGCGTCCCACGCGTGGCGTGGTTCGCACGGCAGGACGACGGACCGGCCCGCGCGCGCGCGCGCCTATCGCGAGCCTGGCAAGGAGCTACTCACGCCGATGATGTGGCACATGGTGACGGTGAGTCCGATGATGAGCGGCGCGAGTGGCTTGCTCTCGGGCTTGCCGGGATCGGTAGCGCCGCAGACGACCAGCACGAGGATCAGCGCCATGATCAGCTCGACGACGAAGCCTTGCACGGGCTCGGTGTCGTTGTTCAGCTTGACGGCGCCGAGGAGCGCTTGCTTGCCCGACGCCGTGACGGCGCGCAAGATCGCCGAGCCGGCTATCGCGCCCGCCGACTGCGCGACCACGTACAGGATCGCTCGTATCACCGGAATCTGCAACGCGAGACTCGCCGTTATCGCGGCCAGGGGCGAGGCATGCGCGTGGACAGCCACAGCTGGGGGGGGGGGGGCACTTGCCTTGCCAATGGCGAGCATCCCGCACGTGACGGCCGGGTTGACGTGGCCGCCGGACACGTGGCCCATGAACTGCACGGCCGCCGCGACGGCCAGCCCGAAGGACACGCTAATGGTGAGCGTCTGGTCGCCGCCGTTCATCACTGCGCCGCAGCCGAAGAAATTGAGAAACAGCGTGCCCAGGAACTCGGCCAGCAGAGCCCTCGCCAGGTTCGACTTCTTGTCCGTCACCTCCTGGATGCCCAGCGTCGTCCGGAAGCTCGCCATCTGTCGCCGCGCGTGTCAGTAGTCGTCGTCGTCGTCGTCGTCGCCCGAGAGCCGCCGCGCGGCTTCGCAGCCTTCGAAAGCTCGCGCTTGCCGCGCATCCCGAGCGCACCCCGCGCTCTCGCTCGCGCGAATCGGCGCGCAGCTGCGTGACACGCTTTCCTCGCGGCGTCGCGCGCGACACAGCTGCCAACACCTGCGGCGCGTTATCGCCGAGCGTTATCGCGACGACGAGGCGCGTTGCGTAAGGCGCTCGCGCTCGGCTCCCCGTCACCCCCGTGCGTTCCGAGCGAGAGAACGAGGCGAGTCGCGCGCACCGATTGCCGAGCAGACTCGCCTGCGTTCGCTTCTCGTCGACGCGTGGAAGAGCCTCCAGCGGCGGTGCGTGGCCGAGGCGAGCGCGTTACGAGAGTCGTCCGACGCGCGACGCCGCTCGGGCGCAGCGATTACGTCGGATTCCGACGTAATGCGCGGCCGAGCCGGCGCCGATTACGAACGTATTTCTCGCGGGAGGAAATCCGAAAAGTGGTGCCTCGAGCGGCCAATCGAGTCATTCGGATCGATGCGAAGACCGGAGGAGGATGCGCCTGGTTAACGCTCGACTGACTTGCGCGAGGTCGCTCGCGTTCCTCGTGCAGCTCGGACTACTCCGGACTACTTGGATCCGTGTCGGGGGCAACGCCGGCGCGGCCTGACTGTTTACCTAAGCGGCTCATCACCGCGACTTTCGACCAGTCAACGATCGGTGTTTCGCGAGAGAGAGGGACAATGCGAGCCGCGTTCTTACGATGCATCGAAACTCCCGTTAAAGTCGCCGCGGCTTCCCTTCCTCAGCGAGAGCGACAGTCCGTAGAACAGCCCACGGTACGTACGGCAGGCTGGTATTGTGCGTCGCCGCGCGCACCGCGACTCCCCCGCATCTCGCCCGTCGTCTTGTGCGCTCTCTCTCTCTCTCTCTCTCTCTCTCTCTCTCTCTCTTTCTCGACCTCGATCTAAATTCGCGCGCGCGCGCTCTGCTCTCGCGCGGGCTTGGGAACCGCTAAACGAGTCGAGCGTGGGTGGCTGATTCCAATCGGCTCCGTGTGCCTCAACCCTTCGAGATCTCGTCGGGAAATCTCCGCTGACATAGACCAAGCGCTCGAGCGATCGGCTCGTTTTCGCACGGCGCTCTTCATCTACGTTCCGTTCACTTTCCGAACACTGCCGAGACAACGTGTCCGTTCGCCCACGAGAGCCGAGAGATAACTGGCGCGATCGACACGCGCAATTGCTCAACGCGATAAGTGCAAAGACGACAGCGGCGACGCGCGCGACGCACCGAAATTGCCACGGTGTAATTATTACGGCACTCGCGGATAGCAGACTGCTCGCTCGTCCGGCGCATCGCTCTCGCTGTGTCGATTTATAGTCGGCACACGTAAGCCTGGAAAATATGCCGTCTCTCGGGGCGATGCGGTGCTGATGCCGCGCCTCCGGTCGCTTTGTCTTCCCACGCGCGCCCGCGCGATATCGTTGGGACGACCGGTCGAATAGTACCGATCTTTCGCCCGCGGAAACTTCGGCATGGAAAAGAGGCCTTTTACGTCGTCTCTCGCGCGCTCGCTATTCGAAAAATCCCAACACCCCTTTTGCTTATATATGGCCAGAGGCCGTACGTTCTACTTTTGCTCGATGCAACGAGTGAAAGAGAGAGAGAGAGAGAGAGGGAGGGAGAGAGGGAGAGAGTGAGAGAGAGATGTTTTTGTCCGATTAGGTATGTTCGATGGGAAACCGGTGTACGCTCGTTCTACTTTTTCGGTGGCGATCGTCGCGAGCGCGTCTGCATTGATCATCCCGTCCTTTTCCATTTACAAATAATTGCGAACGAATCGCACGGAGCTCGCGGTCGTTAAAGTGCGCTGAACGGCGCGAGAGAGGCGCGGGATCTCCGTTTCACTGCCAAGCCGGACGATCGGTTCGAGAATTACGGGCGTTCGCGGAAAATCAATTGGGTCGCACCTCGGAAATCACCACTCTCTACATTTTTTGCCGTTGTTCCATTCTTTTTTTCTCTTTCTTTCTTTCTTTCTTTCGTTCTTTTTTGTTATTTTACGGAAAGCGTACGGACGTTTCAAGGATGCCACGCTGTCGCTTCGTTGCGCTTTTCTCCGTCTCACGATTCCACTGGAGGTTCGCCGTACAGGGTGCCGACGGACGGGGCAGCTCGTCGCGAGATCCTCCTCGCCATTGGCTGCCACGTCGGGTAAGCAGGTCTCGCTCGAGCTTGCGTAACGCTGCGCTGTCTCGAGGGCGGACGGGCGGGCCGCTGGCTTCGCACGCGCGAGTCGAGCCGCGACGATTAGCCAGGCGCCATCGATGGAGTCGCGACGCGAACGACGCCGTCGGGCGAAACCACGAGATATACTCACTTTTCTCCTCTTTCGTTGCTTCGCTTGCGAGGGAGAACGACGCGCGAGGTGCCTCGCACTGTGTGGCCTGTCGGAAGGGACGCGCGAACTCGAGGCACTCCGCGAACGGACTGAGCCGCGCTATAGCCCCAGCGAATCTCATATAGGTGTGTATAAGCGGCGCTGCTCTCCGTGAGCGCGCGCGCGCGCGCGCGCGAGAGAGAGAGAGAGGCTCGCGAGCCGTAGCGCGCGTTGCGCTTTGCTGACTTCCTTGATGCTCTTCGGCCACCTGCGTCCACCGTCCTCCCTGCACCGTGGGCGCGTTTTTTCCCGTCCACGAGCTGCTCGCCGAGGCGCGCGCGTCGCGCGGTAGCACTCGCCCGTTACTTTCGACGCTGGAATTTCGGCAGCGAGATATCGTTTTGCCGTTTCGGCGGCGACGCCTTATCGCTCGGTTGCTCCAGTAACCCAATCTCTCAGCCTTCTCCCGTAGTATCGCCTCGCCGCCCGCGTTCGAGATAATGTGCGAATACGAAATTTCGAGCTCGCTCGCGTCGCGCACTCGAAATTCCAGCGCGTCTCTCGGTGTTCCCTCCGAGCGATGCGGCCAGCGGCGCTTCTCGCCGAGGTGGACCTTGCCGGCCGCGCGAGCGCCTCGTCGTGCGATTTTCGTTAACGGATCGGGGACGAGAGCACTCGATTCCCTCGGGTCCGCCCGGGCAAGGAAAAACGCCGCGGCAAACAGAGAGGAGGGGAGAGCCCGGCCAGACGGAGCTCGCGGCTCGCGACCGGATAATGCGAGACAACTTTATAGGCACGCCTCGCCGTACCCGACTCGATCTACTTCTTGCGCGCGCTGCTCGCGAGTTATTCAATCCAGTCCAGTCTGAGAGAGAGAGAGAGAGAGAGAGAGAGAGAGAGAGAGGCGCTCTCGTGCCTATTTTTGTAAAGTCGCGACAGAATGGTGCAGAAAAAAAGAGAAACCAACTTGTATTGGTAATTGCGCGTACTTCGCAGTTCTCCACTGCATCTACTTCGGAAACGTCATTAATGTTTTTCATTTTCTTCTTGCTGCCTGTCGATCAACAGCAGCGCGCGATCACTCGAGTAGTCGGATCCTTTTTTTTTCTTCTTCGTCCTCTGCGACACGCAGTTAGGTCTTTTGAACAATGGTCACGAAGTTGCTTGCCGATATCATTGGTACCACTGCCGAGTTTTCAGGTCGCTTTGAGTAACTATTAAACTGACCGTTACAGCTTGCGAATGATTTCATAGTCGAAGTCGATTACGTGCATTTCATAATGAAGCTCGAACACGTCTGATGCTAATTGTGCGTTTCTACGAGTGGCAATTATAAGCCTCTACGGCGTTCCCTTTCTGAACGTTGCGGCGCGCGTTAATCGGCCGATGTATCCACAAGCTATTCTATGAAAATTAAATGAATCAGCTACGCGACGACCTCGCATTTTACAAGGATTCGGAATACAGGACGCAGCGGCGTTCGAAGCGAGCTGCATTGTTTGCCAACGAAAGCAGAAAGGAAAAAACCACGCGCACAAATCGGGCCTCAAGCGAAGATCTGCCGTGACGCGGCTTCGCCTTCGGCCGGGATTTTCTTTTTTTCTTTTTCGAAAAATCCCAACAATGCCGAAATAACGTTTTTCGCTCGCGCGACGTTATCTCGAGTAAACAGAAACGTAAACGTTTTATCGGCTATCGCAACAAAGCCTTCAAGGCCTAGAAATTATTGTCGTTGCGTATAAATAAGCCTGGCGAGAGAAAGCCTTCGCCACTCCGTGGTAGCGATGCGATAAAGCGCAGCGCTCGAGACCAAACGATTGACCGGCGCTTTTGAAAAGCTCCACATAATGAATCAAAAATAACCGCGACGTCGGCGTCGAGCAATAATAGCCTGTGCGCGCGGCGACGGCGGAACGCGCGCTGCGTCTCTAGCTTGTACACGCGTAATTAATACGCGTCACGACGCGGTGCGTGCGCAGAGAGAGAGAGAGAGAAGAAACTGTCACTTTCCGAGCGAAGCCCCCCCATTGTGCAGACACCGTGTCATTTTTTTCAAGTGTAAATCGTCGGGCAGCCGCTCCTTGCGGCGAAGAAATTACGATTCGCTTGCTTCAAAGGATGCAACGCGTTGCGAGATGGCGTACGAGATTTTCGCCAACTCTTGGCAGAGACGCCTCGAGTGGGCTCGACGAGCGACTTGTTTGCGCAGCTAGCGGAAGAAATTAGCTTGAACGCGTCAATCGTTCGCGCGGTATTTCAGCTCTCTGTCGTTCCATTCGAGTGGTGACGGCCGGCTCGGTCTGGCAGCGCACGTCTCCGTCGGCACAATCGGGGTGGACGAATGAAGAAAAGAAAGAAAGACGAAAATCCGACGGTGGGCTGGCCTCGCAACGCGTTCACTCGGCTATTTGTCGTGCAAAGGAGCCAAGGAGAGAGAGAGAGAGAGAAAGAAGCGACGCCTCCGCGTGTTCCACGAAGCGCCCGCTGCAAACAGCCAGCAACAACGCAACGACAACAACAACAAAAAAAGAATGGAAAAAAAAAAGGAAAAGGAAGAACCGGTTGAACACCGTTACGCCGCCGTGAGTCGGATCCATAGGTATATAGCGAGGCTGCCGCTGGCGTAGCTGGCCCCTTTCCCCCGCGGAAAAGAGAAAGAAGGCCCTTCGCTTCGAGGAGGAAGGTCTCCTCGCGCGCGCCGCCGCGCGCGACGATCGTGTTTATAAGGTCATGGACTCGTGGGCACGATCGCGTCACCGCGACCTCAGCCTTTGTTTTTAGATCGCTCTCGCGACGTGCCAGGGAGGATGCCCTATTACGCCGGCCAATTTACATGCTCCCCGCGCTGAAATATGTAGGCGCGGAGGACAAAGAGTCTTGCGCTCGGAAGAGTTCCGCGTCGGCTCGCGAAGCGATACAATGGAGGATTCGCTGGTTTCCCATGGCGCTACGTGCATTTCTCCGATCGACGGAGGTCCGATTCGAGCGGAGCGCACCACGCGAAAAAACCAAGTGGAAGAAAGCGTCGCACCGCGCGTTTCGGAATATGCGGGAAACGAGGCGATCCGAGCGCCCGATAACGCGCCAGAGCCGTCATCGCCGACGAAGGCTCGCTCTGCGCGGACCGATCGTCGGCGATCGGCCAATCGGGCCCGAGCCGTGGCTCGTGTCGACCGTGCACGCGAGACAGCCGTGCCGGTTGCTCGGTCGTCAGGCGCCCGGGCAGTCGCTCGTCGATTAGCGCTCAATTGGCGCGCGGGCGCCAACTGGTCGGGGACACGATTTCCTACTTTCGCGAGCGGCTGAGCCGAGCGTGGCGCTGCTCGCAGGTGAGAGGCGCAGGCTCGCGCGCGAGTTCACCGCCGACGCGGTGCACGCGCGCCTCATCGATCGACGTGCGGGCACATCGGAAGCCATTTCACGGGGATGACTCGCTTCCTCTGTACTTTCGCGATATCGCGCGCCTCGCGAGGCACTCCAGTGAAAATTGATGGCGATGGTCCGCGAAACGCTTACGGAAATAGCTCCGCTCGGTCGGCCCTGCCTCGAGCGTCAAAGCGGCCCATCAGCGTCGATCTGCAACCGAAATCTCTCACGGACGCCTAATCGAGACAGAGCGAGAAGCTCCTCCTCGATGCCTCTCTCTCTCTCTCTCGCTTTTTCTCACTCGCACACGACATCAAAATAAATTAGCTGTCCCGTTAGATCCTATAAACGTCCGTCCGTCGCCCATCGATCTGCGTCGGAAAATGAACGAGCCTCGGCGCTCCTTATCGCTCGACTTCGTGGCTCTGCCTTGGATCAGCGCCTCTGCGGCTTCTCGTCGCAAACAGGTCGATTTGCGCTCGCGCCAACAACTCGAAGCTCAATGGCTATTGACCGTGTAACGCCAAGTCGAAGGAGGATAGCCGCGATCGACGGAGCAACAGCGAGATAATGTTCGACAAGCTTCGTAATCCCGAGATTTCCCGGCCAGGGCAGCTGCGACTGCGTAAGCTCGCTTGACGGCGATTGCCGGTATTCTAGAAACACTCGATTTATTTCCGATACTCTTTTCTTTGAATGATATAAATAAGAATAGGAGAGGAAGCCAAACTGCGCGACTGGAACAAATCACGCAGATGATATCGTCCATTGCCGTATAAAATTAATTGCTCGACGAATTTACAACGCCGCAAGGCAAGTAAACCGCCTATATGCTTCCTTATCTTTCGCCTTGCAACGGATCCAACTGACGATATACATGACAGAGATCACGCACACTTGCTCGTAGATCGTGCCCTTATCCTTTCCAGTCCAACGCCAGTGGGGAAATAAAGGCAAGAGCAGAGGATGCGGAGAAAGAATGCCGTATTTCGAGCGACACCGATTCTACCCTCAAGGGGTTGCTCACTTTCGTGCACGAACGCGATCCATAGCCACTGCCCTGTTAATAAAGCCGAGGACTGCCGCGGCGAGTGACACGATAGCTCGAAAGAACGCGAAAGGGACATTAATCTAGAATCAGCCGCGGCGATGCGGCTTAATGGAGAGGCCGCGCTACTTCGGGAGCAGAAGCGCGATTGCGATTACGAGAACGCGAGACGTTGGAACGAGGCGCGGCCAAATTGCCCATATATCTCGCGGTGGCGCGCCCGCGCGACTTCGTCGGCTCGGAAGTGGCGAGACGGCCTCGCGAACGACGGAGGCGCCACGGCCTACGATTCGCCCGTCGTCATCGAGCGAATCGACGAAGTCGGTATCGAAGCGACGGAATACCCCAACGCGGCCCCGCGGTGTCGAGGTCGAGGGGCGCGCGCGCGCGACGACGACGACGAAGGTTAGCTCGACCGCGAAAATTCGTTCGCCAGCTGGACGACGACCAACCAGATGGCCCGTCCGCTGTTTTACGAGCAACTACATGTACAGTTACGCGACAGGTTACGCGCGGTGCTCGCATGTTCGACGGCGCAATCGAGATCGCCCGTGCGAGCGTGCGACGCACGGAAGTGCAAACCGCGACGATACTTTGACGAGCCAGCGCGAAACGCCAAATGCGCGCGTCCTTCGCGGCGCGGCCCGGACGAATTTCGACGCGAAGAGTGGCGATCCGTCGTTCGGCGATCGATGCGAGCGCGACCAAGTGGCGGACGCGCGCCGGGACGACGGCGAGATCGGTAAGGGCGCTGTCGCCGTTGTCGCGCTCCGGCGCGAGCAGCGCGCGTTCCCGGGGCGGAGGATGCAACGGTCCGCGAGCCGAGCGTCCATTGGTCGGCGCGCTGCCGGCGAAGGGCTCGCGAGTGGGTATGGCCCAGCGAGCCGAGCGGCCGCGCGCCACCAGTCTGCGCTCGCTGGCGGCGCGGCCGACTCCCACGCGACAACGCCAGCTCTGGCTCGACTTTGCCACCGACAGCCCGGTCAGTGCTGCCAACGGCTTCAAGGTCAGTTGGCTGCTCGCAGCATCCTCGTCGGCTCGCATCCTCCACGTCGGTGTGGCGGCGACCAGCCCCCCGACGACGCTCGGCGACATAGAGAACGAGGTGGGTACCACCGCGAGCGCGTTCGCCACGAATTTTCGCGCGCGATCGCTCGTCGCGACGAAAGCGAGCCCGGCGAGAGGAGGGTGAGCCGCATTCGTCCCGGGAGTCGCGAGCCCTTGGCCCGGCGAGGCATGCGTGCGTCGTCCTGCTGGCCAACATCTCGTCCGGGGAATCTTCGCGTACACGCGCGCGCAGTGGAGAGGAGGCACGGAATTTCGGAGCTCACCTCGCTTTCGCTGCACTTGATCGTTGTCTCTCGGCGCACGGAAGACGAACCCGTTGACCTCGGCGCGCACTAGGCCACTAGCTCTCGTGCTTCTTTGCCCAATCGTTTTTTCCTTTTTTTTTCTTTTTTTTTCTGTTTTTTTTTTTTTTTTCAAGATTCTTTATCGCTTTATAATTGCGTTGTTTGTGCTCGTACGGTGCGCATCGAAGTCGTCTCGTGCATCGACTACAAGAACGCGCGCCGCTTGCATGTCGAATTGACGCTTCGTTTCATCTGAATTATTGACAGCGGCTCCGTGCGCGATCGGTTGAAAGAAGAGCGGCGACCTTGTGACACGATTGTTCAGCTTCGTCCGTGATTTCATATGTATCGTCGCGGAGCTTCCGTGCGGGCTGTTAATCGATGATTGCTATTTGACGCAGCCGGTACCGCTGGGGAGTAGCATGAACGTGTCCACGGTCTTCCCGGAGGACTACCCCGTGCACCACCAAGAGCAGAGTGGCGAGCAGCGGCCGCAGGATCCCGGCCAGGAGCAAGCTAACGGACAGGCGCGGCAGAGTGCATCGCGTGAGTCGTGCCAACCCCCGCTGGATACCTGCGATCGCGCGCATGCGATCGCTCGGAGAGCGCGTTTCGAGCGTCCGCGCGCGCTTAGTCACAGCGACGTCGTGCGCGCCGCTCTGCTCATCCGTGTACGCGATACGTGTACGTCGAATAATTGTTGGTATCGCGATCGAACGTGCGCGCGGAGGAAACAAGCGGCTATTATCCGAGTCGCGGACGCGTCAGCCGAGTTTAATTCCCGAGCGAAACAAAAAATTGCTCTTCGACGTGGAAATTTTTCCATCGCTCCAAGTGGCGCGTGGATGCGAGAAGGAAAGCGTGCCGGGGATCGATCGGCACGAACCGACGCGACTCCTTGAACAAATTTGCACCCCCTATGCAATTTCATTCCTGGCCACGCGTCAATTCAATTTTCAACGCGGCCGATCTTATCGCGTCCAAGGAGTACGAAAGCAATTTTCCAGCTTTCATCGCGAGGTCGAGTATTACAGGCGGAGGAAGGGTCGCAATCGTCGTTGATCGAAAGAACCGCCATCTTCGATTGGTCGTCCTAAGCGCGACGAATCGGCGTTCTCGCGGAAGCAGCTCTCGCGGTTTAGGTCGCGCGCGGTGAGCTGACCAAACGAGACTCGGCCTAATCGCGCCTCGGCGATCTCGTTGCGCCGCGATAATTGCACACGCCGCGCGCGTCGCGGATAACGCGAGCGAGCGAAACAAAAGGACCTTGCGATATGCATCCCAAGGCGTCCGGAAGAACAATGGATAACTTTAATCGCGCGGGAGCCGCCTCCCTCTTCGCTCCTTCTTTTTTTCTTCTTTTCCATTTCGAGTAGCCTCTTTTTACGGTCTCGCCGTTCGTTACGGATTGCGGCTTTGTGCGTATCCTGCCTTTCCCGGCGCGAACCCCGTAAACGCCGCTTTCCTTCTTTTCTTCGTCGTACAATTAGATCTCGAATAATCAGGCAAGTCGCGTTGCGAGAAGATTGAAAACCGAGAGAAAGAACGTTTCTCCGACAGCCAAATGATAATGAAAAGGCAGGAGCTTTCGACGCGCTCGCCTAATGGCAAAAGGAAATGAAGCCGAAGGATGAAAACGAGAAACCAAATCGATCGACGGACGACAATTTTCCGCGAAACCGCCTTGCCTTTTTGTTTTTCACCAGACTAATCTCCCCTGCCACGCCAATAATTGCGATGCACTCGGGAGTTACGCCTTCGCGAATAGCAGGGATGATGTAATGAGATTGTAATGAGATAATAATGCGAGACTATTGTGCTTATTCCAGCAGCGTGATGCATCGCGAGACGCGCCGAAGGAGTTGCGGGTAGCGGTGGAGTAAAACTGAAAAAGAAATAAAACGTAAGCGTGTTCGTGAACTTGACTCGACCTATGACTGAGCTTCGGAAATTCCAGATCGCTCAAAGTCGATTGTCTCGCAAGATGTTAAGCTGCTCGTTAAATTGCTTCCGACGACTTGCTTTTTTTGTCCTTGTTTCTTTAATTCCTACAAAGTGCCTATCCATTTCCGTCGCTGTTTTATATCGCCTCGCGCACGCAAACGTGGCAGTTTTCTCTGATTATTTCCGCATTTCTTTCGTCCGCGCATAAAGAAAAATGTCTAACGTGCACTTTGCAAGCACAGCCGCGGACAACGTCAATCACAGGTTGCTCTAAGAAAATCAACGCTACATTTGCATAATTGATGCGCGGAGGCTATTTCCTACTTGTACTTTGCTGAGCTTCCTTACACCTTGTCGGCCCCCTACGCGCGTTCCACGGTGGCAGCGAATGCGATGTAGCGGCCCTTGCTAGAGACGATCCCATAACTGTTTGCATAACGAATGCGATCGAGTGCGCGAGGTAAGCGTGCCGTGCATTTCGCTTCCTCGCGCGCTCGGAACACTTATCTTACGTCACGGTGCTTCCCGCTTTCGTTATCGAAACGATTGCGGTTACTCGCGCGCGCGCATTTTTTTCCCCACCACCATTTGCGCTTTGAAAAATCTTCGGGACACTCCTGATTCGAGCGAGAGGCTTACGCGAAGTCGCGCAGAACCAATGAACATTGACATTTTCTTATTATTGCCCATATCAGCGTCGAACACAATGAATTACGCAAGTGGCATGCGAGGTCCTTCCAGAAAATTCACACGGCGGACTACATGAGCGACGACAAGACCGTGAAGTAGGACATGGAAACCTTGACTATCTGCAAGAGATAACGCGGTGGCTTGGGCGTGAGCAATGCTCGACAAACTGAAATTACCAATTACCGCGGCGAAGTTCTCCAAGCCCAGGATGTAGAGTTTGCCCGCGGTCAGGTGGCACGGCTTCTGGCTCCTCAGTATCACGAGCTTCATTAGCTTCCTGCACTCGTCGCTGACCGCCTCGCCGTACCACTCGGTGGCGTAGCTGCAACGAGCGACCAGATCCGTAAAGTCAGGCGGACGACCAGATCCGTAAAGTTGGCCGCGAAGCGCGCTCGTCGCACCATGACTTGTACACGAGCCAGCCGTGGTCGGTGATCTTCTGACCCGGCCAGTTGTAGTAGAACAAATGGACGATCTCCCCCAAAGCGAACATCAAGAAGCGCAGCATCTGTCCCAACTGGTTTTTGTTGGCTATTACCTGGCGACAGACATTCCACGCTCATTCGATGCGCGCTTTGTCGTCGTTACGTTATAGGTATAGAAATCTGCGAGTCTGACTTGAAATCCAGTCAACGTCAGCGGTAGCATCGCGCAAGCAATCGACAGTAAATTCAAAGCCGAAAAGGCCGACTCTATTATCGCCACGGACCTGCCGATCATCGTAAAACGTCAACAAAATTCATTTGTCGCGCAGCCCATACTACGCTCGATCGCGGAAATACTGCGATACCGAACTCCAGGACGTATTTGTGCAGGAGGATAGTCTCGACCCAGTTGCCATAGACCACGTCCTTGTATTCCCTGCGCGCCGTGTCCAATCGTTTGGCCCTGGGCTGCCCACGGTCGATAGTGCCTCGCATTATCCTGCACCTGGAACGACAGTCGGTGCGTCACCGCCATCGGGCGACAACGAGAGGCGCGTAAAGTCGACTACTCACGTGACGACGTTGAACAGAGCGCAGGCGTGATACGCCAGAGCGAAGTACAGGGTGTCGAAGCCAATGATGAAGACTATCGCCGTCATGTCGACTGCCATCCCGTGGATTATGACGAAGAAATTGCTGTTGTCGAGCTTCTCGTTCAGAAACGTCGTGAGCCTCGGCTGGCCTTGCAAGCGCGTCTGGTTCGCAGCCAAAGGGAACAGTACGTCGGCAACGTGCAGCGTCAACGGTAACGTACTGTAGGCCGCCACCGCTGTGTACATGTAAGCTGGGCAGTCTACTGGTTAACGCGCGCATCCTGACTCGCGGGACGTTGTTCGATTCCGCACTGGACGTACCTGTGTACAGCGTATTGATCTTGTAAGCTTTCGCGGAGTACTCGCGGATCACCTCGATCTCTTCGCCTTCGAAGGTGCGAAAGTCTCGTTGGACCATGTCCAAAACCGCTCTGATCTGCTTGTCGTGAAAGTGATGGTCAAGAGCGTTAAACGGGTAGCTCGCCGAGCAACGTTAGCGTTATTTACGTACGAACCTTGCGTGTCTTCATAGCGCAGAATATATTTTTGAACGCGAATTGCGCGTAGAACAGCAGCGACGGCAAGCCCAGGATTATCATCCCGAAGTCGTTGCGTAATTGGTAGAGCTTGAGGAACTGAAAAAAATGATTTATCGGGCTGTCAGAGGTTTCCCCGTTCGCGCGATCGGCCGTCGCGGAAGACGCACTTGCGGCAGGATTACGGTAGAACAAAGTAACGCCATGAGAGTCGAATTAATCACTCTGTTGATTGTCTCTTGATGAGGCCATTGCCCGCAAAATCTCAAGTATCTGTTGCAGCGCACGTAGTAAATGCTCTCCAGTGCGTCCATCGCGAACGCTTTCCGTCCTGCTCGACTCCTGATCTTCGATTGACGGATCGACGCGCCGTTTCTATCTCCCCTCTATCCGCGCGTTTTCGTTGCATCAATAATTCCTCCCGTTTCGAGGTGCTCGAGGTGGTCGAGGTGGTCGAGCTGCACGCTATTCAAACTTATGTAGCCTCGGCTCATTTGCATACTTGATCGGGGTGTATCTTAGCCCGCTTGTTGCATACTTTTTATGCGCGTCCCCTCGCGTGTTGCTAGGTTTCTATTGTTGTGCCCATATTCGTACGCCGCTTATCGCGGAAAGCTTTCGATGCCGTTACTTTGCTCTCTGGCGTATAAAAGTCTTGCGTTTGTCGATTGATAATCCAAAGGAGAACGTCGACATTGATTTTCCCGAATCTGTTGCTTTCGAGCCAAAGAACGTCTCGCGAGGTACGCAACCGAATTACCGTTATTTTGCGCAATATTAGCTGAAAATCCATTCGATTCCCTATTCTACGAAGCTCATGGTACAACTCGATAGCTGGCGCGTTGAAATTCAATCATTCGAATGTTGCGCGAATTAGCTTGGACCTACGTCCCAAACTATTTGTCGGTCGAAACTTGCCGCTCGTGCCAGAATCATACGAAGAAGCACGCGTAACGCGTTGTTGCGCGTGTTTCCTTTTTCCGCGCATCTTGCGCAGATTCATAAATCAAGTTGCGTGTGGTTTGCGATGACGAGAGTCGTGCCCAAGGCGTCGAGACTGCACCTAGCGATTTCTCGTGCGTTCACGTGTGCAATCCTCGTCCACGATTGATCTACTTGAATTGCTGAAACGAAGCCTGCGCCATTGCCGATGCAGCTAAAGACAGCCGTGAACCAAGAAGCGCCAAGCAGCTCAACCAATCAATCGACGTACGTTGATTCGCGGTTCCTTGAACTCGACTCCAGAGCACCGCGATTACGCAAGAGAACGAACTTGACGTAACGCGCAGCTGTGATCTTGGCGCGAGCTCTTTTCGCCGAGCGCGCACCTGCTAACGCTTCCCGCAGAACAATAACGTCCTTGGGACCGCTCCATTTCAAGACTAACGATAATCGTGGCTCTCTTCTTCGGCGCGTATTACGGATCGATCTCTCTTCTGGCGGCTTTCGATGTTCAAATGGCATGGCGAGCGCGCAATCTTGCATTTAACGTCTGGGAAGCGACAAATGCGAGATGAAAAAGTAAAGTCGGCGAGCGGCAAACTTGGAGCATAGATGAGGCTCCATGATAAGGTGCCGTGAAAATCACCGAATCTCGGAAGCGCTTCCTCTGCACGCGTTCGCTCTCGGCCAGAGCGACGGAGCTGCGGGCGGCTCCTAAAGATCCTAAAGCTCCTAAAGCTCCCACTGCGCCATTCTCGCGGCGCCGAAAGCCGCGCTTTCACCCGAGTCAGCTCTAGCCGCGAAGCTCGTCGCTGCGTCCTCTCGTCCGCTCGGAGATTCGGAGAGCAGCAGTCCTCGCCGCGGCTCCCCGCGAGCGGGAGATACACGGTATTGCGCCGCGAGGCAGCGCGGCCGCGGTGATTTTCGGAGGCGCGCCCGCGTCGACCTTGAATCGGCGAGCGCGCACGACGTGCCGTATCTCGTCGCTCGTCGGCCGGCCGCGGCGCGTCGCGGAATTCCGACGAGCGAGTCACGCGACGCCGATCGCGCCGCGCCGCTCGACTCCTATTTGCGATTGTCCGGCCGGTCCGGCATGAGCGTGCTCCGGACATACGTCGAGGTCCCTCTCTTGTTAACGCGTCGTCGCGCGGCCCGCCGTAAAAGAATTTATCGCGTCAGGTGCGGCTGATAAGGAGGCTGCCGCTGCAACGCGCGAGCGAGAGATCGACAATGTAATGTTTGGGCAATTAAAATATCTGGCTCTGTCGTTGTGCTCGTGAGTGTGCTACGCGCGCGCCATCGCGAGAGCGAGAGAGGGGAAAAGGGAGCGTGCAGATCGAGGGCACGCGGTCTGTTTATAAAGTATAGTTGAACGTTTTTCTTTACGGCAATTTTGCGTCGTTAGCAGCAGCAGCAAAAAAAAAAAATACAAAATAAAATTTCAAAAGGCGACTATTTTTTTATCCGTCAAGCAAATTAAAAGTCAAACGTGTATGTTTCGTCGGCGAAAGTGTTTGGGAAGTTTCGCCGAGTCGATGTGCATATCGAGTCGAGGGAATAGGGAATAAGGCTCAATCAGCGCAGCAGCGCGGGGAGAAGAATCGTCGATTATTCGCCAGGAGCGCCGGCAATGATCGAAAGTCGGTCAATACGTGCAAGCCGCGCGCGCGAGCTCACGGCCGTTTGGCAGATCTGTACTTTCTATGGCGAGCGCGAGAGCGAGAAAAAGATGACGACGATGGCGACGACGACGACGAAGAAGAAGAAGAAGAAGAAGAAGAAGAAAGATCGGCTGTATCCGGACGGACGGATCGACGAGCGAAAGAAGAGCGAGAGAGCGCTCAATGGGAAGTGATTGCGTCGCGATCGCGACTGTCGCGTGCGCGACGCGCCATCGTCCGCGACTATTCGACGCGATTTATCTCCGAGGTTTGATCGGAGAACCGTGGCAATTACGAATTTTGCAACGATCTCACACCTCTGTGGGAGAAAGAGCGTTCGACTCATCGACCGGACGCCCGCGAAGGACGGGACGCGCGTGCCTTCGAATTTCGTGACCAGGAAGACCCACCTGCTTTTCACATCGCCTAACTTTCCTAGGCCTAATTTCTCGTCGAATTATTTGTCTCATCGTATTTCATAAGGCAAAATATGAAATACCCTGCCCGTTAATTGTCGTTCAATTTCTTGCTCCGCGTAAACTTTGCCAAAAACACTTGTTTACCTATGATTCGTATGTTTAGAATGTTTTTGTCGCGCATTGAGCTGGTAACGCGAAACCGATGTTTTTTCTTCTCGTTCTTGCAATTCAATTTGTTACGTCAATTACCACTGACGTTAGAAAGATTTCCACACATATTCATTGCTATTATCACCCGAGAGAAGTTCTTTTTTTTCTTCTTTTTGCGTCAATTACCATCAGGAGGAAGATACCAACTGCAATTTAGAGAGACGCGTTGGTATTTGGAAGTAGCGGAAGATTACTCGAATTGCCGGAACGTGGAACCGATTACAGAACTGCACTAAGCGAGCAGATTTTTCAGCGTTCACGTAGATCTACGCTTCGCCCAACTTCTCCATATTTGAATGCCCGACAAAGATTTATTACTATGTGGCTTTTTTTTCTTTTGTCAAGCTTGGATTTTCTTTATCTAAAATACTTGTCACTGCCGGGAATAATTATAGATTACGAATGCAAAGTTTGCATAGGTGGTACAATGCTGTTGTAAAAGATTGACGCTCTTCCCGATACAACCGATAGATACATATAATATTCGGGGACTATTTATCTAGACAATGAAAATTGATCAGCATTAGCCGACCACTAGTCATCGATACATTCTTTTTAATTCCAACTGTGTCAAATACACAGTTTCGGATCAATGGGATTAGTCAATCGGGACAGACAAGCACCATCATCTGATCTCGTTACCTTGCTCACCTATTCAAAGGAACCAAGAGCTGTGACCCATTTAAACCGAAACGACAATAGAACTTCGCAAATCCACTAACCTCTCCTCTACCGAGCGTAACATTACGAAAAGCTACCATATTACCTAACACCGAAATTCATAAATCTCAAGTTTATCCCGCGCATGAGTCAGCGGGAGAGAGGTTCATTTATTTCCGTTGGTTCGCTAAAGAGCGCGCGCAATTTCTCGAGCAGGGCACTTCAAGTTCGCCTCGGCACTTGTAACAATTTGGCTCGCTAGATTCGGTTTACCTTCGGCATAAGCCTATAATTTCGCTCTCTCGCCGATTGATACAACCATAGCCTTGATGCTTTTCTGAAAAATCGCAACTACGCCGTGATCCTTGCTGGTGCATTTGTTTTTTGGAACTAAGCCCGAGTTCCCTCTCCTTTTTTCTTTCTTTTCTCTCTTGCCGTGTGATTCATTGCGTCTTACGGGCGCCCGACAAGGAGATCGATTCCACGGAATCTCCCTCCCGGCGTTATCGGCGGTTCGTCGCGCACAAGTCTCTGTGGCTTTGCTAGCGAGGATCCGTTTTTACGAGCGTTGCTAACGAATTCAACTTTTCAATGCTCGAGTACGAATAATCGCGTTGACCGCGCGTCAGACTCGTTTGCTAACATAGGACCGAACTTCACCCCAGGCGAAGCTGAAATTCGCTCAGTTCCGCGTATGTTCAGACGATGAACCGCGAGCGATCGTCAATATTTGCGTCGACGATTGAATTTCGAGTACATCTCGCTGAAAGTCAACTTGCACGTCCGCGCGTTGAGTCGAGCGCGAGCGAACGCACGGTAGTGCTGATCTGCCGGCGAAAATCCGCGTGCAAGGCACCCCCTCCCCCAGCGGGCGACACGTGCCGAATCGTAGGCAGATGCTGTACACATCGCGGAGATATACAGATACGTTTGACAGTCCTTGGGCACTTGAGCTCTCTCGCCGCGCGTACATAGGACGTGTACGCGCTGCCGCGGCCGGGCGGTTAACAGGTGGGGGAGCGCGAGCGCAAGCCGCGATATAACCGCGAAACTCGGCTCTCGCGAGCTCAATAGTTAAGCTTCGCTCTTCGCAACAAGATTATTGTCAAATATACGGACCTTACGCCTCCCGGCCGATCGCTCCCCATTCGTACGCAGATCACGCAGTGAAGCGAGCACCAAGTGCGAGCGACGATGAGTAAATCGTGGAAGGGTTTGTGTCCTTTTGTATCTCTCTCTCTCTCTCTCTCTCTCTCTCTCTCTCTCTCTCTTTGTGTTTTTACATTTGCGATGTGTAATTGTCCATTTTTCTGTGTCGATTGTTGAACAATTTTTTGTGAGAAAAAAATGCGAGTTCGGTAGTTACACACGGTAATAAAAAAGGAGTAACCTTATTCGCCCGAAAGAGTTTTTTTTTAAAGAAAGAAAAAAAAAACAAGAAACATTAAGTTTTAATCGTAAAAACGCCATGAAAGAGCCGAACGGAATAAGAGACAGTTGAAAAACAATGTACCAATGAGCGTTTAATTACAATTGCAAATGCGCGCAGGCTCACGCCGGTGCTGATAAAAAAAAGCGCGAAGAATCGGCGGAAAAGAACGTCTCGTAACTGTTGGAGCTTTGATCGCGCGCGACACGCGCGCGAGGAGGCGAGTCGCACGGCGGGCGGGGGGAGTTACGAAATTACGCTGAACTTAATTGCAGCCCCGCCGAGCGCTCAATTATTTCTTTTTTCTCTCCAAATCTCGTAATCTCGAGGAAAAATTTGTGAAAGCACTACTGTGCGACGCGTCGGGCGCTTGCCCAAACATTAACGCTGCCTCTATCTTATCGAGCTCGGCACCGTTTGCCGCGCGGTGTTTGTTTACGGGCCGCTCGAACTACGCGCGCACACTTGAGTCAACCAAGGAGCTCGATCGTATCCGAGGAGCCGCGTAACATTATTGCCAGTTTGCTTGGCCATATGAATCAGCCGTCGCCACCGAAGGCAGTCGATAGACGAAAATATCGCGCGCGAGCCCGCGTGCAATTGTATGTGTGTCACCTGCGATACGACTACGCCGAAGCGAGGCGACGACAAAAAAAAAAAGAAGTCAGCAGTAGTGTCAATTATCAGTCATTAACGGATGACAATTTCGGTCGAGGATCGACCTTAACCCGATCAACGCGCATCCACCCAGATTTTTCCTTTTTTTCCGTTGTTGTCGTTCTTTCGCTGTAACATAAAAGTCTCTTTTATCTGTTTTTTCTCAACTGCAAACTGCTCTCGCGTATGTGCGTGTGTTTGTGTGCGTGTTTTAATTCCGATTGCGTTAGAAAATGATGGTTTTTCTCCGGCTCATACGTTTCCCAGACATTTTACGTATTTTAACGATGCCTATTTGCTTTAAAACAAATGTTGATTATGGTATTTTGAAAATCATCCGAGACTTTAATTAGTCTGCTCATCACCTGTAAAGTATACAGGACAAACTCAAGTTAGATAGTTGATGAACGTATGCTTGGTTAGAACGAAGCTTTACATTACTTCGCAAGAGTATTTTCAGCCACTCGTCATGATGTGCGTATTTCCCGTAAAATCGTTCTATATTTTACAAAAACGCGATGTATATCAACAAAGGCGGCGTCCTCCGCAAAGTGCACGATCATTTGCACTGTGCACTCATTCGTTACGCCGCTGTGAAGTATTGTATTCAGATTCACATGAAAGAGTGAGTAAAAAAAAACACACACAGACACACAGGAGCGCATTGACTGATCGGAAAAAGTTTGTTCGTTGCACCGCCGATCGGATGTTCGTTTCTTTGTCCGACCGTGCGGACGACGAAATAAGAAAAAGGACGAAATAGAACGAGCCGCAAGCTTGCGCGACGCGCGGGACAATCGGCACGAGCGAATTGTCGCCATTACGATAAGGGGCCGCGGGAAATCGCTCGGCCATTGATCATTCGTTTTAGAGCCGCGCCGCACAATCGACTTCTCGGCTCTACTACCGTCGCCCGACGCTTGTGGCGCTCACTCTCATTCTTCGCTCTCCTTTACGAAATATATCGTACCCGCGGCGCAACTTATGCAATGTTGGTTTCGTCAATTTACGACCGTTTGAAGAGTCGGAAATAATTTGCGGCGTAGGAGTCGCGTAAAAAGGAAAAAGAATAGGAATGGAAGAAGGAACGTCGATTGAATGCGCAATGCGTTATTAATGTTGAACGCGCCTGAAACAGACACGTTTGCAAATTACAATGATAGTGCTTGATAGATGGGTAGGGGGGTTGCCAATGCGGAAAACTACGTATCACGAGGGAGTTCGCTGGCCAAAAGGACGCGAGAATGGGCGGGATACATTTTCATGAGCCGCTGAACTGAAAATGATATATTTTAAAATTTAATTTATGTGCTTTCGCACGTTCGCGTAAAGTGAACCCTTCGCGATTGCTTACCGAACATTACTCGTGTTGCGTCAAGCGCAAAGTTATTATTACTTCTGGGAACTTTCGGAACTCCAACAAAGTTCAAGGTTCGTTGCAAAACTGTCGGGTCTTTCTTTCGGCGGCTTCTGTTCTTTCTAGATTCTTGCCCGATTAAAATACACCGCCTTTAGCGGGCATTTCGGTTGCGCAACCTTTGGAATAAGTTGAAAATGTATAATTTGACGGTTGATAAGTCATTTCGTTCCGTTCGCGTGGCGCAGCGCGAGGCGACGCTCGTTACGTAGCGCTCTTTGCAAGAATATCCCGGAGTGGCGCGCGTCGCTTGCAGTGCGCGCTCGAGCTGCAATCGGCGATAGCTTAGCGCGCGAAGGTACGTTGCCGTGGCGATTGACTTTGACGCGATTTTCTGCGCAGGTGCCAAGGACTGGGTGGGCCTCGACGAGGTGACGAAGGTTGGCTTCCTGGTGCCGCTCTTCGCTGAGGCCCTGGGCACGTGTCTGCTGGTGATAATCGGCTGCGCGTCGTGCATCGCTTGGGACGCAGCGCCCAGTGTCTTGCACATCGGACTCACTTTTGGACTCGCAGTCGCCAGTCTTGCCCACGTGAGTCGACACTTGCACATCGCGAAGCTCGGATTAGAAAGTCACGAGCAATCGAAAATCAATATTGAAAACATCGCGACGTTGTAAATCCATGGAATCTTCATCTTGCAAAAGCATAAAAAATATGATTATTATTAGTTAATTCGTGAATCGGACGAGTCGTTCGTACGTAATACAATTCTGATTGCGCGCCCGTGTGATCAAGGTCGATTGCGAAACGTTTAAGCGTCGAGAGGATCCGTGTGTGCATCTGAAAAGGACGTGGGGTCAAGCAATCGAGGCCTACTCGCAGAAAGGTGAAAATGTATTCGCCAGCGACTGGGTTCTGTCGACAAAGAGAGCAGAAACGCGTGTCCACGAGCTACCGGAGCTGAAAGCGCACCGTCCGCTATCGATCGTCGTCGGTCGCCGTCGGGATCGAATTCGACGAGCAGCCTTTCGAAATGAGACGAGCGATCGATCGACGAGACCGATGAAAACTCGCGCTCGAGCTCGAGTTGCGTCACAAGCGAAGTCGCGAGCGACGAAGAAACGAGAAAACGAGCATCGGGGGGCGCCCGACTTCGCGTGCTTCCTCGCGCGAACCGCGGTACAATAGGAGAGCGTTGCGTCAGAGTCGCGGGTCGACTCGAGCGACAAAAAGGCCGCGACTGGCCCGAGGGATAAAAAGCGACGGCGCGCCGCCGCGCTGCGAAAGGCCCAAATTTGGCGTCGCGCGCGTCCTCGGGTAGGCACGAATCATTTCTCTCGCTAGGAAAAGAAAGGAGAGACCGTCCACGCCTCGTTGTACGTTGCACCGGCGAATCGCGCGCCGCTGCTTCCGTCCCAACTGTACTGGCGGGCTTTGATCCGATCGTGAGATGGGTGCGCGACAGACCGACGACGGATGGACGGACGCATCGGCTCCCGAGCTTGTTTTGCACCGAACCAAATGCATTCGCATTTTCGGTCCGATGATTTTCCGCTGCGCGGAGATTTGCACGGGAGCGATTTTGTCAAGCGGTCGCTCGATCGAGTCGCCGTGTCATTAAAGGTGCTGCTGACGTTTCGGGCGGATTTCATAATATCCGTAGCTCAACGTTTTATCATTAGATCGGGGATCGTTGTTAGCGCTAAATGATGCAAATTTCGATAGCTAGCTTTCCTCGGAAATTGAGGAGAAAACGATTGCGCCGATTCGTCCTTTTACTGTACGGCTTGTGGCGAGTACGCGCGAGGTGAATTTGACTGGCGAAGGTTGGGCAATTATTCATCAAAAATAACAATCCTCATCGGCTGTAATAAAGGCAAAATTACCTTGCGAATCGTTGCACAACGTACTCTCGGCCCAATTACGCTGTTCGTTAAACGGATCTTGGGTGTCGCGCTCTTAAGGCGCGTATAAAATAATACACTCGAGTCGGACTGTCGGGCATTAAATGCACATTAGACGCGCGATATTCAAAGCGATGGTTTTTAGGTCACGCGGGCCGCTCTCGTTCGAATATCCAGCTGCGGGCACTCTCTGAGCGATCGCAACTGCGAATCATTCTTTAAATATTCCTCTTTCGCTCGGATGCGCGATCCCGAGCGACGCTTGGAATTTCATAATCGGACTCGCGTGTTCCCACGATACCGAACGCCGCCTCGACTCGGCGGCTGCGCGCGAAAACCAATCGGCTGAATTTCCGATCGGGCGACGGAATTGGACCGATTACCGCAATTATAACGATCGAGAGGCGCGGACGGCGTTGCGAAACCTCGCGCGGGATTTCGCCACCTCGATCCCCGCGATCCTACCGATCCGGCGTTCGGTGCTGCGCGCGGGTTCGTCCGCGGCGGCGAGAGCGAGCGAGACAAAAGCTCCGGCGCCGCGGGGCAAAGGCCGCGAGACCGCAGGTCCGACGCGGCGACGAGTGCGCGCGCGGGTCCCTCACCTACATGCGCCGGCCGCGACGCCGCGGGCCATCGCCGCCTCGAGATGCAGCTCGGCCGAGCGGACCCTTCTCGCGCCGGTTGGCCGAGGCTCGGTCGGGGGGATCGAGCAGCAGCAGCAGCAGCAGCAGCAGCAGCAGTGCCTTCCTGGCCGGCCCCGTCTCGCGAGAAGGAAAACGAGCCGCGCGCTTATACGGTCAAGGTGAGTCGAGGGTATCGAGAGCAGAGAGAGAGAGAGAGCGACTAGAGTGATGTCGCCTGCGGCTGATTGCAACAGCGCCTTTCCGTCGCACCCCGCGGGCGAGCGGCCTTATTTTACCCTTCGCGAATTCAGTTTAGAGCACCGACGAAAGACACGGATGTGGGACGCGGGGACAAGGTCGGGGGAAGGCTCGTCGCTCGTCGGCGCCCGCGCGACCTTCGACTTTTCGCCGCGCGAGATTGCGCGACAGGAAGATCGGTAGGAGGGATCGACGATCGCCGCGACTCCCTCGTCGACAACGAGCCAGTCGAAGTGCGACGAGTCGACGCGAGAGAGGAGTGGAGAGGAGAGCGAGAAAAAGGACAGCAGAAGCCGCGACATAATGCAGCGGTAGTCGGCTTCCCGCGAATGAGTCATCTTTCTCGGTGGCTCCCGTAGGCACTCCGCTGATCCACAGCCTCGGGCCGCCTGAGCGAATTCAACGGAGCTCTCTTTTTCGAGCGCCAAGCCGTCGAGCCGCTCCAGACAATTGTGCAATACGCTTCGCGTTAGCATGTGTAACAAACGAGCGCCCAAACGAAAGCCCAAACGAAAGCCTCGTGGCGGATTTTGCAATCGGACGTCGTCCTGTTTCATCGGCGCACTGCTCCGCTGACGATCGTTCTGTTTGGCAGGTGTTGGGGCCAGTTTCGGGATGCCACGTGAATCCCGCGGTGACGCTGGGCCTCCTTGTCAGTGGCAACTGCACCATACTCAAATCTATCTGCTACATCGTGTGCCAATGCTGCGGTGCTGTCGCCGGCTCGGCTATTCTCAAAGTAAGCTCGTACTCGCCACTTCGACAATGTCGCTCGATCATTTGCGAGAAACAATCGTTAATCTATTCGCGACTTTTTAAGCGATAATATGATTTTCATGTGATCGTGCAATATCGCTGGTCAATATTTTTTCCGATTGAAGAGCTAATGATCGCAGATTACGCCTTGGATTTCATAGCGTTTTATAATTCAATGTAAATAAAAATGACAGGCGGTTATTGTCTGAACAATTTAGTTGTTATCGAAGATAATGTAGATGTAAAGATAATGTAAGAATGGATAAAATGTTATTACGATTGGAAAATCATTTTGACAGGCCGCGTTGCCGGACAAGGCCAGTCAGCAAGGCTTGGGCATGACGCTCCTCGGCAACAACGCGAGCTCCGGCCAGGGCGTCCTGATCGAAGCGATCGTGACTTTCCTGTTGGTGCTCGTGGTGCACGGGGTGACCGATCCGAAGCGCGAGGACTGCCGCGGCTGGGCTCCCATGGCGATCGGACTGACCATCAGCGTGTCTCACTTGGCGGTGGTTCCCCTCACCGGGAGCAGCATGAACCCAGCGAGAAGTCTGGGCCCGGCCGCGATCGTCGGTCTCTGGACCGACCAGTGGATCTACTGGGTCGGCCCGATCGTCGGCGGCCTCGTCGCCGGGGCGCTCTACAAAACCAGCCTCCGAGCCAAGAGCAAGGACGACGAGGAGGCCTCGTACAATTTCTGAGCCGATCGCCCTCGGGAGCTCGGAAACTCTAGTCAGAGCCACTTTCCTCGGCCGCGTGCCCTCGGCTCTTACGCGCGCTGTCGATTCGAGATCGCGCCGCGTCTCAACGGCTCAACGTCCGCATCGTGGCGATTTTTATGTGTACGCTTCGGCATCGAAATTCCGAAACTGACGTACGACGCGCGACGGACCTTTACGCTCCGTGCATTGGTAATTTATGCTTTTTAATGCTGGTGCAGCTCTTTCGAAATTTCCCAATTTTCCGATACAAGACGACTCAAGCTGAAGCGATATTTCTCAATCCGCTCATCATTGCTTTGGCCGATGTCTTTGTCACGTTTATGTGTACTCGAGTAGTTGTGTCGTATCATTAAAAGATCTTTTTGTAGTTTTCCTGATATGCGCTCTTATGAGTCTCGATAACATAGTTCTCTACAAATTAATATTAGTATATATCATTGTAGATTGAAAATGATCGTTGTAATAACAATTTTTATCGGTAGCAGGTCTACTCTGTAAATAATTTTAGTTACCGACAATTATCTTTTAACCAAGAAAGTTGATGATATTATACTGTATTTTAATTGTTAGAGTGTTATACATATTGTATGCTAATGAAAAATGTATTACTTTTAGCTTAAGTGTTGGAATAATATAGAAATTTGCACGTTTTATTTGTGTGCATTTCCGTTGGAATTCACTTTGCGAACCTTACTAAATGTACCAATAGTACCTTTCCTTACTTTCATGTTCCACGCCCTATTTCATATCGTTTCTTGTATTTTTTAACAACGAAAATATGAAAAATAAATCGTCAGTATCAATAGCTAAATATTTTGAAGAAAAAAAAATGGAGAGATAACGCGTTTGATCTTCCTTACGAATTTCTTTTTACACACAGAGCAAGGGGAATGAAAATTGACGTTGGCGCGTGGACTTCCCAAGACAAAAAGTGCAGGGGCAAAAATAGAGCCGTCGAAAATAGACCGAAACGCCGCCGCCGCTGCTGCTCGCGCGAGGAGGCAAACGTAGCTTGCGGACGCGAGAGCTGCGGCATCGTGTCGTTTACCTCTCCGCAGCGAGGAGTCCATCGCAAATTCATCGTCGTTACAGTATGTAAATGCGATTGCGTGATTTCGCGTCGCTCGGAGTTGTTTTCTTTATTTTGTCGCTTTACTTTGAGATTTGATATTTGCGAAAGTTACCGCGCCAGCTGGGCCGGAATTGCGTTGCCACAACGTCGTTCCTCGTGCACGCACAAACGTTTGGCGTACGATTCCGGAATATGTCAGCCGAACTGTATTTTTCACTTTCGTAAAGCAACGCACTTTCCTGTGTAATAGAGCGGTGCACTGATTTGCCGTTTTTCCCGTGAGCAATCGTGTGATTTTCACCTTTTACTCTTGTTGCGTAAATTACGTATGGTTCGCGACGCAAACGATCGGGTATTCTACGTCAACTTGAATCACGATCGTTTGTATTGGCGATTGGTTGCGGTCCGTACAAACCGTTTCGTTCGCGCGCAGCACTCGAGCGTTTTTTGAAATTTGCCGTTCTCCGCGTTCTCCCCGTCGGATTGTACGGCGATCGTGAAAAGTAACGATGGCAAACGCCACTTGGCGCAGATCACTTGGCAGCGGAAGAGACGATGGACGATCTGGATGAGTTTTTCGTGGAGGACGCGCCGAACTACAACGAGGTGGACGACGAGTACGAGGTCGGCGACTTTTTCCGCGGCAACCTGCTGAAGGTGCGCGGCGCGGTGTCGGAAAAGGACTTCCGACGATTCGCCGCGCTCGGCAATAACGGCGACCGGGTGGGCTTCGTTCTGCAATACGAGGACGCGCACGCGCTGCCGACCGAGGTGGTGAGCGACGAGAGGAAGAGCGCGAGCGAATGCGACAAGTGGAGGAAGGAGGGCAACACGGCGTTCGGCGTCGGCCACTACGAGAAGAGCATCGAGGAGTACAACAAAGGCGCGTTGGCGGCGCCCAAAGAGCGTAAGTTCGATTGTGTTCCAAGCGATCGCGAAAGGTCGAGCCGACGATGCGACCTTTGAACGAGCCAACGGTACCAGCCAGCGAATCGTCGCTCACGACCAAGTTCGATTTCAGAGCTGGGCGTGCTGCTGGCAAATCGCTCAGCGGCCTTCTATCACCTGGAGCGCTTCGACCTGGCCCTGCGCGACTGCGAGGAGGCACTCAAGGTCGGATACCCCCGGCACCTTCTGTACAAACTGGAGGAGCGTCGGGCGAGATGCTTGCTCGGACTCAATTATCACGCGAAGGCCATGGAAGCCTTCAAGAGTGCGATTCGCGCTCTGGACGAGGCGAACGTGCCGTCGGACAAGAGGACGAAATTGGAGTCGGACATGCGAATGATGCTGGCCGTGATGGACAAAGGTCACGAGATGAACGAGGCCAGGCACGGCATCAGCAAAGAGAGGATGCTCAGGATGGAAAACAACAAGTAACGTTGCTTCGGTTGTCGCGCTGCTCGCGCTTCACCCGCGCCTATTCGCTTGCGTTCGCTTTCGTAGCATGAAGCTAAGGGAGCTGGATCTGCTGCCGACCATCAAGGAGTGCAACGCCGCTTATCCAGCCTGCAGCAAGGCCATCGAGTTCAGGGATGCGGGTGGCGAGGTCGGTCGCTTCGCTGTCGCGACGAAGGACATCCAACCGGGCGACCTGCTGGTCATCGAGCCAGCGCACTGCTCGACCACTCTCGGCGAGTACAGGTGATTCATTCCACCTCGTCCGTTCGCCCGTTGACCAGCTGACTTTTACCTGCGAAGCGCGAGCCAACGCACGACTTTCGACTGAAATCGCGATCTCTTTGTCGCGCGACATTTCGTATTCGGGCTCGCTGCGGCGTCTTTCAAATAATACGAGTTGTAGCACTTTCAAGCGAGCCGCTTCTTCGGTATAGATGTAAAACCAACACTATTTGTACTTTCTTCAGAGCATCTGGCCAGATTGATCGCTTAATACGTGGTCTAAATAAGTAAGTGCTTCTGCGATACAATATTAACTATCTCTTTTAGCACCCCGTAGAATTTATATTATCTGCTCCACCAGCTTTGTTTTCACATTTCTCATTATCCGCTTAGCTCTTCTCTCCTGGTTGAATACACGCACAGCACGTTTCCCATGAAATTTTAGCCTCACTGGTTGATACTGCTGTCACTTTATCACTTAATGTCTTACCTACAGTACGTTGGAAACAAAACACACAATCTACGTACATCGAGACTTTTCCGAGTAATTGTTTTTTCTTTTTGCATAAATATATGACTTTAATTTGAATTATCTCTTATAGCACTGTACAATTAATGTTATTCACTTCAGCTTTGCTGTACATATTTTCTCTATCCGCTTCATCTTATCATGCCTATTGAAACTTACGAATATCGTTTCGGCATTTTAGCCTCACCACTTGGCAATGATATGATTTTATTACGGTTCTGTCAAACGTACAATCTACGAGCTCGAGACTTTTCCGAGCAAATTGTTCTCGAGCACACGTCTGACTTTACTTTGACATTGTTTACTTAAGCTATGTTTCAACACCGTAGAATTAACATTATCCCACTGCCCCCCCCCCTCCCCCCAGCTTCATTTCGCATATTTTTTTACCAGCAGCTTCATCTTATCCTCCTTGGCTGAACCGAATCTACTATTTTTGGAATTCAACTTTTTTCTAGCCTTTTTGGCATTGCAGCCTCGCACTAGTTGGCAAGGCCACGATTTCATAAATTGATTTTACAAGTAGTTTTTAACAATGAAAAATCTACGTGTACACTTGAGCATCTTTCGAGCAAATAGTTTTTGACCGAATGCCTGACTTTACATTGACATTGTTTACCTGTGCATTATGCAAAACGTCGTTGTTTGCATTAGCGAATTCGCTACTGTGATTCGCAAAAATGGTCTCCGTTCTCATTCGCAAAGGCGAATTCATAGCCGTTAGCGTCAAGAATGGTGCGATTAAGTCCGCTTGCTGGCAACGATTATTGCAGAGTAACTCACTGTCATCGTTGCGCGGTAAGAATCGTCGCGAGCTTTCCGGCCAGCTGCATGCTGTGCAGCTCGGTCGGCTATTGCAGTCCCAATTGTCGGAATGCGGACGAGCCGGTGCACAGGTACGAGTGCGTTCTTCTCGGGCCGCTGTGGTGTTCGCACGCCTCGGTCACCACGATTCTAGCCGTGCGCGCGGTCATTCAGCAGTCTTTCGAGGAGCTGTTCGCCACGAGGGACGAGCTGCGCGAGACCCACGGCAAATTGGAGATATCCAAGGCCAAGCCGTATCTCTCGAGGGACTACAGGTCGTTTTATAATCTGGGTGAGTTGTCGTGGAAAAGTGGCTCGCGGGTCAGAAAGTTTGCTCGGAAGACGCTCGAAGATCGATTGATTTGCCAGTGACGCACGAGCACGAAAGGACCGCCGAGGATTTATTTCATCGAGCTTACGTGGCAGCTTGGTTACTCCGATTGATTAAAACCACGTCCTATTTGCCGGCGGCTATGAGAACGCCGGACGCCCCGGAGGTGCCACTATCCGAAGGCGAACACTTCCTGGCGGACATCATTCTGCATCATCTCCAACTGCTGCAGTTCAACTGTCACGAGGTGGATGTCAGAGCCGTTGATCGCCGAACGTTGTACTGCGAATTTCGTCCCTCCTATCACTACGTTTACTATTGCAGCTGTCCGAGTTCGTGAGGCCGCGAAAAGGAAAGCCCAATCTTGCGAGAGGAAAGAATTTATTCGTTGGGGGTGGCGTTTACCCCACGGTCGCACTCTTCAATCATTCCTGTAATCCAGGCGTGGTCAGGTGAGAAAATGCTGACCGAACGAATCGATATCTTCTTTACGTTCGCTACACTCGGATTGCAGATATTTCGCAGGGAATACCATGATAGTGCGAGCCATAAGGTCGATACCGGCTGGTGCCGAAGTTTGCGAGAATTATGGGCCGATATTTACCGAAGAGGAGGAGAAGGAAAGGAAACGAAGACTGCGTCTTCAATATTGGTTTGATTGTAACTGCGAGGCGTGCAAAGATCACTGGCCTCTTCTGGAAAAAATAGACCCGGAAATATTGAGGTAAACGATCAAATCAGTTTCTTTTCTGTCGCTACTTAATTGTAAATCTTACAATTTCAATGTAGGTTCAAGTGCGAAACTGGTCCCTCGTGTGGCAACGTATTGCCAGTAAATATAAATACCGACATGTTTATGATACCTTGCGTAAAATGTGGAAAGAGCACAAATCTGTTCAAAGGCTTGAAAGCAATGCAAGACACGGAAGCCCTTCATAAGAATGCAATGAACAATTTGGAAGCTGGCAATCACGAAGCTGCGCTCAAGTCCTTCCTCGAGATTTTAAAGATCTTAGACGAAACTTTAGCCTTGCCTGTCAAGGATTACCACTTATGCCAACAAAATATCAGGCTGTGCATGCTTGCTTATGGAAATTCGGCGTTTGTTTGAGCTCTCTTCAGAAAATTAAAGAACAAAAAAATACGATGATATTTAATTTCTGAAATCTGTTAAAATATATATCGAATATAGAAAATTAACTTTACTAAAATACCGATAACTTAGCCAACAAATTCTATGGTTGGTTGCACGTCAATTGGTACTTCAAAGTTGTCGTTTCAAAAATTATATCAACGCTCAATAAAGTATTTTTAGAAATTAAAAAATGACTGTTTTTTTTTAACTAAAACTGCCAGCTATAATACAATAGTCTCTTCGACTATGTTAAAATATTTCATTGTACACTTATAAAAAAATTTGATATAATTAATATGGAATTTTTACCGCTATTTAAAATTTTTAATTTTATCAAATAACTCCTACAAGAGCTGATTAGGTGAAAAATTTACACAGGTTTTGGAGAAATTTAAGATAAGACATACAACTCCTTGTAGAATAGTGGAACTTTATTTGAAGCAATTTTCAAATTTATCCCTTAGATTTCGGACGCAAATTTTATATTATATTGTTAAGGCTGATCAGAGGATGAAGATAGTATTTGGAAAAGACAATCTTAGAAGAGTGTCTCATCAAAACTAAAGACCATATATTTCTATTACACAGGACAATTTTATTTTGCATGAATTAATATTTGTAAAATATGAAATTTAGACAAATAAATAGGTTTTATAATAGTAGATTCACCAAAGTTTGATAATCGTATGGGTTAAACAAAGATCGATTGTGGAAAAAGAAAAGGATGTTAGCTTGACGTGAATGGGACATAAATTGGTATTCTCGATAAGGTTGACGAGAGTAATCTCAATGTTATCAATTTACATGGAACTACCATATAATTAATAAAAATTTATATATATTTATTCAAACTAGACAAATCAATTGTAAATATCATTGACTGGATTTACGTCATTTTTATTTATAGTATATACTTTAGCGAACATTAAATGTAAAAAAGAAATTCGTAAAAGTTTTGCTGCTAGTCTTGGGCCAGGTACGAGTTTTCGGATCTCTAATTCTGTCCCTTTTTGAGTATCTGTTCTTCCTCTCTAAAGGCTGTGTTATTCTTCAAAAACATGAATTAACGCTAATATATTATTGAATTTAAGTGTATGACAACATTGATTAATTCAAACCTATATATTTTTAATAAAAATAACAAATCGCAATACAGCAGTTTGTACAATGACGCAATTTATCACAAAACATTTTGATGCAAATCATAAAAGAAAATCTCTATAATCAAATGACATGCTTATTAGTTTTTATTTTTTTAACGCATAAAATGAAAAAATCCAAGCATTTGGCTAGACGATACTTTGCAATAATTCAGTTATAAATGTTGATGGAATAAAAATATCTTCAAGAAGTCCTGCAAAAGATAAATTATTTATGTAATGTACTCAGACTTACAAAGAGTGCGTTCACCGTATGAGAGTCAATTTTGATGAATCTTTAGAGAAATATTTGCGAAAAATCAAAATATCCTTGATTCAGCATTTTTTAATATAGTTTTTTGGTTGGATCTTGTATCCAATATACAGAAACTTCAGGTTCCTTTAGAAATTAAAATAACTCACAAAATAATAGTTCTTTGATTGTCTATTATGAATTATAATTTTTTATAAAGAATATTCCTCTAAAAGTTCATTCAAATCCAGCATCTACAAGTTTGTCACTCTACTTATTGGTATAAGTAGTATCTTGAAGAAAAAATAGTGAATACTAACCTGTGACGTCACAAAACTCGTCAAAACTTGCACAAGGCAGCAACTCATCCCGATAAGTCACGAGAAGTTTTTCTGAAGCTTTTAAGAGTGCTTCGTCATTGTGTCTTATATACTCAGCCAAAACGATAGACCATTGGTCCTCGCTCAGAACATTAATTTTCTGTTAAAAAGACACATTTAAAACTTACTCTTATTTCTTTTTTTAAAAAAAAAGAAAGTGCAAAAGCTACCAACCTTGAAGAAATGTGCATAGATGCTGTCGACGAGTCCGAAGAACACCAGCACACTCTTGTAAACTGAATAATCTTTGACAGTAGTGTCGACTAAAGTTTTGGAAGGGACCGACGGCGAAACGTATCGTTGATGCGCCAAGATTATCAGTCTTCGAAGGTGTGTCAGTTTCGTTAAATTCCAACGTGTTGGCGTCAAAATCAACATTGATAAAACACACTGGTAAAGCGGTCCTTCAGCCTCATAACTACTATCTAACCAAGCGGACGATGGCGGCGATTCTATGTATGTGAGCAGTGCTTTCTCTTCTCTCGATGCCGATCTCGTTCTAAAATAGAAAATAAGTAAAATTTTAACAAAGCATATAATATGCACTTACTGATCTACATTGAAGCATATGTTTTCAAATCTTACCAAATTTTTTGATTGCAAAACAAATGGGAAAACTTACGTATTAATGACATAAAGAGCCATATGAATAAGGTAAGGTACAATGTGTAGATTAGACTGTGGCCCACCACCACCTGTATCATCGTGGAAACTTTTTTCTTGAGCGAAACGCAGTAGCAACAACTTGAGATCGTGAATTGTCGATGAGTATGAAATATCCCGATGACCGGTGCATTCTTGCAAGTAGGTATTGTGCCTGGCAAGACAGCTAGCAAATGCGGATTCAGGTACTTGTGGTCCCCACAGTGGTAGCAATCCGTTGCATTTTGTATTCGCGTTTTGCAAAGCAGCACTTTCCCATTCATCTCGAGCACGAGCTAATCGTACGGCAGACATGTGACAATCTACGTGAACAACATTGAAGTGGGAAACCGTCGTGTAACCAACTGTTTTACGCTGATTCGTCTCAAATTCTTCTACGTTACAGCGCTTCGTGAATGTATAAATGCCAAGAACCTTGAGGGTGCAGATGGAATTTTATAATTAAAAAATCCAAAACGAGTATTACTTAATCGTAAACAATTAGGTATTTACCATGTTTGGCTTAAACTTATAGCCTTCTCGACAAATCACACACACCAATCCAGTTTCATCACCTAGATCTTCCATTTGCTGCAGTACCGAACTACTGGCAGTGACTTGACCTTTGTCGTTGGTGCGCATACCAAGTGCACCAAGCTGTCGTTTTCGCATTGCCATAGCCAATCTTTTTTTCTCGCTACGCGTATGTTGACGCGCTTCTTCAATTAACTCGGCTGTCTTCTTATTGGTGCACAATGCTTCTAACAGATTTTCTGCTAGCGAACCTACATGTTCGTTTGACGATACTTGTTCCAATCGGTGAATAATGCTTATCGTAAATTGACACACAGCATTCTACAAATATTTAATAGTTATTGTTCATTTAACGTTGAATCGAATAAAAACCTTTTAATTTTTTTTTATAAACATTACCTGTGTTGGTTCGTGGTGTGTAGCAAGACCCGTAAGTAATCGTAAGATATATTTGAGAGCCGGTTTAGAGATGAATTCTTTGAGTTCGTCGCTATCTGTTCGAAGAAGAGTCGGTTTAACGCAAGGTGCGTGTGCCTGTTAATATAGAATCAAAACAAATAAGGATTACTTTCATCTGACGATTGAAAAAAAATCTAAGTTTTTCTATTCACCGTGATATATTCAAATGCATCCTTAACAACACCCATTTTCATAATATAATCTTTCAAAGTGTTTCCAATCGCGTTTCTTTCAATGCCCTGAGTAAGCACGCAGAAAAGCTCAAGCTTCTGATCGTCTTCGGGAGTGTGCTCAAAATCAAATTTATAAAAGTTGAGTACGGGTTTGAAATATTCACATAATAATTCCATCTTCTCTGTATTTCCATATGTGAGTGCTGCCAAAACTCTAGCCAGATGTTGTAGCACATTTGCACTCTGTCTTACAGCTTGCGACTGTGTACAGGTGAGCAAAGCTTTTACATGTTCTGGGCTGCCAAGTGTACGTGAAAACTCTTCGAATTGCTCTAACCGTTGTGAAGCTGCATTCGCCAAGATGGTTTCCATGATCTAAAAGATTTCGAGAGTCATTAGTTTTAATAAATTTTTTATATTCAGCAAAATCTAAACTTACATCAAGCAATTGCTCGGTAACTTTCGATTGCGAATTCTCAATATCAGGTGAAGCAAGACATCTTTGTAGCACGTCGAGCAAAACAGTAACAGCTCCAAGCTCCGGTTGGCTGAGAACTTCTTGATTCTTTTTTACTTTAACCGAAATTCTGAAGAGCTTAAGCAAGACTTGCACCAGAGGTTTGGCTCTATTCACATCTTGTATGGCCGACAAACGGTCGATCATTACTTGCAATCCACCACAGTCTGCTAAGACATTGGCCATTTTGTAAACTTCCTCGTTATTGACTTCTTGCTCACTATTGGCGTTGAGAGTTTCGATAAATTCTTCAGTCGCATCGCCAAGCAAACCTCGCATCCTGTACACGACTCGCATTGCGTCGCACTCGCCACCTTCAGCTACCCAGACCTTCTTGTAAACCTGTAAAACAGAAAAGCTCATTGAAGATTCATTCAAACATATTTTTAATAATTTAAGGTTAATTGTACTTACATCTTTCACTGGCAAATCCAAACTGATAATTTTATTATTAACGAGTAACTCCATTCCGTTATCGTCTTCAAGCAAAGCGACTAGTTCGCAATCTTGGCAAATTTTGTTTTTGACGTCGCGCATCAATGGTCCTAAACCAGGTTCCAAACTGCTGTAAGGATTGCCTAACATTCGTCCTTGTAAAAAGTCTTCCTGCTGTGGATCTTTCTCTAGGGTTAAGAAAAATTCACCAACATCGTTCTCTTCCGGATAAATAATCGAACACAGTCTCTCAAATATGAACACAGGAGTGCGTATGTCCTCAGGACTGCACTTTTGCACGGTTTCCACGCAGATTGCCATAAAGGCTTTAGTCTCTTCCTCAGTGCCTATGAACAGAAAAAAATATAATGTAAACGAATATAATAAAATATTCTATAAATATAAAATTAAATGTTACGCATACCAGAAGTCATTTCTTCGAGCAATTCCAATAGTTTCTCCTGCGTCTCATCAATCAATCTTGTCCTTTGAACAACGAGTCTTCTGAGCGATAGATATCCATTTAGAACTGCGCCAACTAATCTGCCCTTATACTGCTGCTTGATAGTTTCCTGCTCCAAGAAAGTAGATAGTAATTCCGTTAACATTTTCAATGAATACCCCTGAGCCAAATCACTAGTCAATGTAGTTTCTTCTAGTCTATGAAGCTCTTCGATCTCTTTCGTGAGTAGATCAGCTAGTATATTCAACACTCCTCTGACCGCCAAGAATTGTTTCCAAGGTGCAGTTCGTATGAGACTCTGGTACAAGGACAGGTACTCTGCACTGCTCTCGCCAGCTACACACAGTTCGTCCAAGTACCCAGTCAGCAAAAGTAGTACTTCTTTTTTACGATCTGTGCCTTGGCACAAGTTTTCCACCATATTACAAACTACTTGGCGAGCCAAACGCGAGCTTGGATTGAAGATCACTTCCTTGAGCCACGAGCCATTGGCCAATTTAAGTGGTTGCACGCCTCGTTGTCGCAAGCAACGATAATACCAGCGATGAGCGTACTTTTCACTTAGATAAAGCATTCGAGCTTCATCTTTCTTCAACGGTTTGTTTTGATGTGACTCTGATTTTTTGCCTGGCATACGCTGTAACCATTCAGCATACGAATATTTTGGATCGCCGCTCAACCATTTTTCTAAATTAATGCTAACTCCATCAGGTGGCTGAACACTTGCAAGTGTATCAATTGTTTTATCCTTGTTCTTTTTTGATATTGGTTGATCTGGTTTTAAAAGACTCTGCAGAATTTTTAAACACGGTAAAATAACACTTTCCATTACCACAGGACTTTTTGAATCTTTGCATGCCATTAGAAACAGTTGCATGACACTTCGGAGTTTTTGCTCCCAGCACGAATCATCTTTTTGAATTAATGCACCTAACAAGGACATCTCGTGCCTCACAGCCGTTGATAAGTCAGCTGTCACTACTCTACCTTTAAGATTCATCGTTACTCTGTTCGTCAACATTGAACATAATTCCTTGGTTGATTGAGCATTATCACGAGTGACTAGACACAACAATTGTCTAACTTCTTCTTGGACCTATATTTTAAACATAAATTTCATTGAAACATAAATAAAATTTTCATTACTTTAATTTTATGACTTTCAATCTCTTACCGAAATAGTTCCTCTTCTCAAATTATACTCCACCAATTCTTGGATCAGTCCCTGCTTACATAAAACTTCTCTGGCAACGCTATTAGTCGCAAGAGCTCTAAGTAAAGTCAAGCAATGCTCCGTCGCGGAAGATGCGCATCCGTAACATCTACCATTAGCTGGTTGTGCTCTTACATTTGTATCTTTCTCATTATCACTGGCAGTTCGTTGCAGTTGGTAAACATTTTGGCCTCGTTGGTTCCGGTCGTATGCAACAAGTTCGCGTCTGCAGGCTAACACACGCTGAATAATCTTGCTAAGCTCTTCGAATGACGTTTTGCACTCACCGCAATGCTTTTGCGCAAGTAATTGTATGGCCCGATTAACCTGTGTGTTTCCACCAGAACTGGCTTGGGCTACCACGCCATCATCGAGAGATCTGTCCAATCGATGTTCAGATATTTTAACAAGTAACATTTCTAGAGTTGGTTTATTAGCAATCAGAGTTTTGTACACCCTATCGGCTTTTTCTAAAAGTGTGTTAATTGTAGAAACGGTCTTCTTTCGATCCTCATCATTTTCAATAGGATCTACTGCACAGCAAGGTCGACCAGTTAATGTGTAGTCAAATTTAGCATATTTGCAGAAACCACAGGCATGGCAAAGGAATGGATCTTTTTCGTCGTAGTTGATAGCTCGACACTTGTGACACTGGAATACGTTTTCACCACAGTTTGCACACACGCCTGGGTTAGCTGGTACACTAGCTGAGCAACGTGGACATTGAAGCGTTTCAGATGACGCTTGAATATTCTCGTAGAAGTCTGCGTATTCGATCATCAAATTGCACGCAACTATCGGCAGAGGGAATTCCATTTTAACTTCAGTTTGGCCTTGCACGAGGTTCACTTTTTTAGCTTTGTGCCATATAGTTGATTTGTTCTTTAGCTCAACTACTGCTTGAACCTACAAAAATAAAAATAATTATATTAATTTATTTTATCTTAAAAAAATATTTCAACTTGAAAAAATAAATACTTACCGTACGGTTATTGTAGAAAACATTAATTGTGCGGACCATTTTTGTTCGTTTTAGATCACCAATGCGCAAAGTTATGCGACTAATAGTATGACTGCCAACCAGTTTGATGAACTGCGTAGTCGTTGTGAATTTTGAATCAACTTTGATAGAGGATAGCTTAATAGTCGTCATTGGCACTTCAGGGTTATTGCAAACGAGGCAAGGCTAGAAAAATTATGTAATATTGAAATAACAAAAGCTTTTCTGACATGTAAAGTGTTTTGTGAAAGCGTACCTCGCTTTCCAAATAGTAACCGTCAAGCTCTACAAACTGAGCAAGATTGGCGTACAAATTTGCATTAGGATGACGCGAGAGCAATTGATTTTGAGTATGTAGGACAACGACTGCTTGCTCCATGTAAGTATACATTTTCTTGCCTGCCTGAGGAGTTCGAAGTGAAAAGTAGCCAATAAGATCAACGAACTGTGCTGCTTTACGTCCGTACATAGGTAGACGTGGCCAAAGACGCCACATATGGTCAAGCAGAACTTCTTGGTCAGATGGACTAGAATTTCTAGAAAATAGATTTAATATTATAATTACCAATATCAAGTTTTGTGAGATGACCCATAATGGACAATACAACTCACTTGTAAATTGCTAGAACCAGCGAGTGAGCTTGCCAACGAATATTTGTGTTGTTTGTTTCTAGAAGGAACGTTTGAATAAACTTGGTGATGAGAGTCGGTGAAACTTGTTTCTGAATCTGTTCAATCAAATTTATGCATTGAGTTTCTTCGAATTTAGCTTCGGTGTCAGAGTCCTCAGATTTTTCGCGATCGCGCCTCTCTTTAGAGTTGATAGCTGATTTCAGTTCCTGATAAGGTTGAAGCAAAATATAAATAAGAGAACGCTATTGAAGTTTTATAATAATGAAATAATAAAAAATGATACTTACTTTTCCCTTTATATCTTTTGATTTTGATGATGAGCATATGGCACATTGGAGAAGCTGTAAAACTGTTGGACTGACTCCTTCGTCAAGTAAAGTTGATATCGTGAACAAGTATGACAACACCGTATTGTGCTTGAGGCAAAATCGTTGCCAGTTACCCGTGCGACTAGTAGCTATCTCAACGCAACACTTCAAATGTTCAATCAGCTCTACTAAAGAGTCATATGGTAGATTTATTGAATGCGGCAACGGCTCAAGTGCGTTATAGCCTCCATTGTTACAACACTGCTGAACTGCTTTCACGTGAGAAACAAGTGCGTGAAGATCACGAAGCTGCATATATTTTTCTTTATTGCCACATATGAATAGCAGTAGTTTTCGGACTTGACGGCGGACGAATGGTGTTTGATAAAACATCATATATTCACAAAGATAAAAGTACCAAGCTTGCTGTAATGAACATTATTAGATTCATTATTAGTTTCATAAAATATACTTGTTAATAGTTATGAAAAAGCTTAGATAATATAAGATTCTTTTTCATACCTGATCAAATGCTGGCTGAACGGTATTACTATCAGCATACTTATGAACTTGATATGGTAGTCTTAAAGCCATTTCAGTCAATAACTGAGGATAAGGTTCGAAAACGTCGTTCGCATGACCTTTTACATACAGGCGTAAGAAAAATGGTGACATATCAGGTGGGGACGAAGTGAGATGTTCTTTAAGCAATTGCCCCCCGATGATAGTTCCAGAGTCATCAGTTGATACGCTATAATTATTTGAACATTATAACTATCGCTTGAAAAGTGAAAAATTACAAATTTGATAATAATACTCACGTTTTCCAATACTCCAACAAAGCCTTTAATAAGTTCAAGCAATAATCGATAAGTCCAGATTTGCTTAAAATAGCGGCTGTCATTTGAGATGTAAAGTTTGAACTTTCGGATTGTCCCTTTGTATTATATTTCGATCGAGACATTAATACACTCAATAAACGCATAATGACCAAATGAACTTCTCTCTTATTCTCTCTAGCACAAATATCGTACATGTCGGGCTTTTCCATGTGAAGTTCTTTGACAAATAAATTCAATAAGTTCGTGAAACAAATTCTATCCCTTTCATCTTGACCATCGAGATCGGAAGTTAACATCAAAATCACCTGTGAGACATTTGTTAATTAAACAGTACGTCAATTTTTTTATAAAAAATATTGTAGAACTATCATTATTTTTATATAAATTACCTGCATGAAGGGAATAGCTCGAACACCAGGAACATTTGACAATTTGAGAATGAATCGCATTAGTCTGTCTAATAGCATAAGTCGCACGTCATGTAAATTTGTTGTTATTTCACCGGCAACATCATTTTCTTGCTCATTTCCTTGTTCCTGCTCTACATTTCCATCCTGTCCGGTGCCCTACAATACAAGAATATAAACAAGAATTATTTTGTTAAAATGTAAATTTCTCAATTCTTGCATGAATTTTAAAACGTTTAACTTACAGAAGGAGCATTGGAATTACTATCAGAGCGTGCTTGTTGTGTAGATCGATTACCACTATTGGAGATGGCATCGCCTTGACCGTCACCGTAAGCAGAGCTACGGCCAGAGACACTATGTTCGCCCATGATACTATCAACGACGCTACCGCCGCTCTCACTTCCGCCACTTTCGCTTCCTTTACTACCACCACTTCCACCTTGTTCTGCGGGTGACGTTCTAAGTGTGCTTCCATCGGTCGCAGCTGTTGAGCCTTCATCGTCTGACCCACCAGCTGAAGCTGTCGTATCAGAGTAGTGCCCAGCTTCTTGACCCTATTAATATTTGGCAAATAAAATTAAAAATAAAATTAACGCTGAAAAATTTACGATTAAAAAAATGAAAATAAATTGTATGCAAATTAAAGAAAAACTGAAATGAATATTATATTTCAATCATACCTGAGCACCACTTTGAACCTGACCCAATCCTTGAGCTGCAAGAGCTTGCAAGCTTTGTAGAGCTTGTCCACTGAGATTCTGTAAACCTTCTTGTAAATTAGCCAAGCTTTGTTGAAATCCTTGTTGCAAAGCCTGAATCTGAGGACCACCCTCGTGATCTTGCAAACTTAAAGCAATTGCAAGCTCGACCATAGCTTCGTCATCTTCAGCCTGAGGCATATCCAAAAGTTGAGGGAAACCATCGGGCCCGAGTAGAGCTTCCAGTGGATTTACGGCACGAGCAGCTGCTGCACCAGGTTGATTTATTCCTTCGGCACCCAAAAGAACCATCGACACAACGTTATCCACATCAAAGTTCTCATCTGCTTCAACAGGTTCTGCTGGCGGTGGTGGTGCTACTATTGGTAATGGTTTTTCTTCTTCTAAAGTTGAGTCTAATTGAAGATTCAATTCAATTAACAATGAACATAATTAATTTGGAATAAGAAAGTCGCAAAAAAAAACTTTTTTTCTCTATACTTACTCTGAGTAGTATAGTGAGGAGGACTTGGTATATAAACTCTGCGTCTTTTGTATCGCGGCCGTAATACCTTAATTATCGCTTGTTTTGCAGTAAAGCTAATGGTCGTATCTGAGCAGAGCAAGAGTTGTAAGTATAATTTTGCAGCCACTGGTGTAAATTCTTCAACATCGCAGATGGTAAATGCATGAATAATCTCAATAATGGCGTGAATAACCGCTTCAGTGTGGGTGAGTCCGGGCACGACAACAGGTGCTAAGGCTAAATTTTTGGGGTAAGACGCATGCAATAGCCATAAAACATTCATCAATTGAATCAGCAAGTGAGGACTCTCGTTTTCTATTTCTGATAATAAAACTACTTTTCGCTCTGATTCAAATATAAAAACTGAAAATAAATTATTAAGACATGAGTTACGATAAAAAGTAAAGCATGATTATTTTTCTACAAACTGTAAAACTCACTTGTACTCTCATCAATGGGTTTAGATGAATGTTGTTCGGCAAATTTATATAAGTTTTGCGGCCGAGTCACTGCAATACTTCTTACAATCAAAATCAATCGATAGAAGTTTTCAGCATCAATGTCGCATATCTCTTCAGTTTCTCTCATTGTTTTGAGTGAATCTAGCACGTGTGACAATAACACTTGGTCCTGGGAAAAGCAACAAAATGTTAATATTCTGTTCTTTGAAATGAAACGTGAAGATAACGTAATATCAATACTTTATGTGCATGATATGCAGCTTTTGAGCTGTGCAAAGCAGCAAGAAATGCTGTCGTATGAATTTGTACTTGTGGAGGTGTCGGTAGAATCAATAAATTGGAAGCAACTTCAATTGCAGTTTGCCTTAAAGTCGCTTTGGTTTCATCGTTCGCTAACATGAATGACGACTCTAATACTTCGAGGATACTCGATACCATTCTATAAGAAATCAAAAAATATAATAAATTTTTACATCTCTTCATAAATTAAAAATATTACTCAATATTCTATGAGCCACATCTACTAATATTGAAAACAAAAATACGACGACGATCTACTATACGTAATGACGAATTACGATCTCTTACCTTTCGATATTAATCGACTCATCCTTTGTCGGTCTGATAGAATTAGAATAAGCAACATCGTTATAAAATTTATGAATATTAATGTTATAACACGACACAGTTTCACGTAGCATTGAGCTAACAGATTTTTATAGTGAAAGTGCTTTTCTAACTTACTTGTCGACAGAAGTCAAAGGTGTAGGAGAAATAGTTTGATTTTCTGCATCATTATTGGTTGTGATTCCTCCAGTAGCTTGCGTTGACGTCGGCTGCCCTGTCGAGATTTCTTCGGGTTCTTCTGGCCATCCAAATGAGTCTTTTGTCTTCCCGTAAATTTTGATAGAGTCAACCATGATGACACTTTCAGGATCTTGCGAAGGTCCAAAGGTGATCGTAAGTCTCTTATCTGCTTGCAGACTTTCATCTCTCGTAAGAGGTATATCGAACCATCTACTGCGAGTTAATGTCGTTCGGATACTTCTGCCAAAGATTTCGACGTATAGTGGAGCTCGTTGAACATCTTGAGTACCCAGCTGAACTCGTATTCCAATCATGACCAAATTAGTGTCATTATTTATGACTTCAACATTGAATCCAGTAGCTTTTGTTGATACCACGTACATACCAGTGGTATTTAATCTGTGCTTAATTTGAACAACGTTATAGACCTGTAGTAAGTCGTTGCCACCGAATTCTACGTCGTTCATTACTTGACATTGTTCGAAAAAATCGATAGGGAAGTTAACCGAGCCTGAAGGCTTGCTCGCCTTAAGAGCTTTCTTTTTCTTCGTTTGCTTCATCGTGGAAGTAAGGCCTACGGGTTGTACGCTTGACGACATCCAGAAGCCGGTTTGCTCCATTGATGCCATGTATATCCTGAGACTACCATCCTCACATAGTAGAATCAAAGTCGTACGATGCTCGGCGTTGGAGCTTGGATGTCTAATTGCCATCATGTCCATAATTTTTGCCTTTACCGGGACGACTTTGATCTCCTGAATCATGATTATTTCAGGCTTGATCATCAAGATCACGGGATTATTACTACTTTGAAGGACAGAACACACGAGACCAGGATGATTGGCTACTTCGCTCCACTGACATAGTGGTTGAGGTTGATTATTGTTAGATTTATTGCCGCTACCGCTTGTTCCAGTTCCATTAGTTTTGTTGGAAATAGTAATCATATTAACGAGATCGATGTCGTCGACATATTTCATCGGCGCTACGAAACTCTTACCATTTGCGTGGCTGAAAAACAGTAACTGCAAAGCGTGAGAGTAGTAAATTGATACTCCACCACCACAGACCATGCCATTGTCTTTAATGTCAGAATGATAGACTTTTAAAGTGTGCGTAACGTAGAATGGCCCATGTTTAGCTTGGCTATCCTCATCCATAGTTTGACTGTATATGTATCCAGCCGAAGACATTAACAGCATATGGAACTCATTGTTCTCTGTATGTATAAATGTACAGTCACGTATTTTTCCAGTCGGCATCAAAAAGTAATACTGTGGACTCAGAGCATCTTTACTGAGATCGTAAACCTTGACAAAATCAGCAGTGACAAGTGCTAGTTGGGTCTGAGATCCTGGTAGCCAGATTGCCTTAATGATAAAATTGCCAGTTTCAAGTTGAGGATGCAGCACCAAATGATCGGACACCGTGCCTGTGCTATTGAAGGTGAGTACGTGACAATCTTTGAGACCACAGACTGCAAGGAAATCTTCATTCCACTGGTTGGCTGTCATAGAAAGTACCGTGAATGGAATTGGAGCTGAGGCTAGACGTGTCAAAGTGAGTTTTCGTTTTGAAGAATCGGCTTGCTTAAGGAGTGTGCTTAATTGAAGAACTGTTATTTTTCCTTTTTCATGAGATACAGCTAAAAATATTATTTGAGATAAAGATAATAATTATTAAGTTTGTAAATCTTAAAATATAAAAATTGTACCTAGATGTTGTCGTTTACCATGTGGAGAAGATAAACAGCACATAGCTACTCTTCTGATCATGTGAGCCGATAAGAGTTGCCGGATTGTCTGGCCTTGATCACCGGAATAGTTCATGCGTACATTTTCAAAGGCTCCTTCTTGAGATCCAAGAGTTGGTAGCTGCAATTACAAATATATCATTAAATAACCATTTAAATCAATTAAAAAGTTTCAAAATAACTTACCATTAATTGATCGGTGTATTCGAATTTTTTTTGAATATAATGCAGCTGTGAAAGAGCAGCTTGAGCTCGGGCATGACAACCAACTGGTGAGAAATTTTCGCATGACATTTGTACTGCTGGGATTAAGGCACGAGTTAGTTGTACCAATGACGAGACTAGACCGCTCCCCCACACTTTCGACAGAATCCAGTCTTTGGAACCTTCTGAAAATTAATAAATCAAGATTATTAATAACATTTTATAAAATTTTGATTGTCTACATTGGCAATAATCATCGACAAACCTAATTGCTTGGCTAATGCCACCTGTTTCTGCTTATCTTTGCTACTCTTATCGTATCTTTCACCAAAATGTATTGGACTCGAAAGTCTACGCCTCAAGCTACTTGTCAACAGCGTATGATTGTCGCCACCGCTAGAATTATGATACGCTACACCACTGTTAGATTGATTCTCATTGGTTTGCGGACTTCTTTTGGTGAGTGCCTGGCATGAGGCATCCTCTTTGGCACCGCAATCGCAGAAAAAGTTGCCGTACTTGGCGTAAGTAACATCGTGACCTCGATGGCAGACTTTAGCGCATACAGAGCAGACACCCACGCCGTCGATCATGTTACAGGTATGACAATGATACCAGTGCTGATTCATAAACTCTTTCTGGGTGATAGTGAAAGTGCAGAGTTTGTTGCATAGGTTATCTTCGTCTGAATCATCGGCGCCACTATCGTCTTCGTCGTGCACGATCTCGTCGATCCAGTCGCTATCTGTTACGTCGTTTGCCGGTTGTGCACCTTCCCAGGGTGGACTTGTAGCTCGATCTTGATTAGTAAGGAGTTTCTGTGGACATACTGCATTCACTATGTCTGCTATGTAATTCAGCACGCAACAGCCAGCCTCGATGTAAGATGAACATTTGTCAAGATTGTGAGGGTCTTTGTTGAGGAGTTGTTGCTTGCTAAAGGATAAATATCAAACGTAAAAAATTCTATGTGTACATTCAAAATATAGTATAACATTCATGCACTTACCATAGTTCAATCCATTCAGTGGCAGATTGGAAAAGTAAAGTGTGACCTTTATCTGATCCAGCATCAGCAAGAGTAGACATCACTTGCATTAGTTCGGCGAAGCTTACACCTTCAGTCGCAGATGATAAGATACGATAAGCAATTGGTATCAGAGCTTGCAGAATTGTCACTGATACTCCTTCACTGACGTTGCTATAATTATATTTAGAACATTATATTTGTTTTTATTTAGAATATAAAAAAAATGATAATATATACCTCTTTTCTTTAACTATGTAATTAGTGAGGGCTCGCAACAACTGATTATTTTCCTTCAATGACTGCTGCTGTTCTTCGTTCGAAGTTGACGTTTGATTGGTGGATGCTACTTCGGGTACAAGTGGTTGCCACTGACCTTGTACTTGCTCATTATTTGGTGCATTATTTGATGTATCAATTTTTTGCGCCTCTTCTGCTGGTGCCAGTGCAGATGTCGTTCTACAAAATGAATATTAACGATATTAATAATACATAGATATACAAAAATGGAAAACTTGTATGATAAAGTATGAAATTGTTCTTACGTTGAAGCTGGTGTTGGAGCTGATACAGGAACATTTGCCGGAGGAGTACTCGGAGACAAACTTGTACATCCAAGAACAACATGAGCTAGCCAAGATTGAAGTTTCTCGTTTTCCACTTTTGCGAGATTTGAAACCGATCTGCATAATCTATCGAGTGATCCGTCATTGTCTTTTTCAGCTAATTTTACACAATAATAATCATTAATTGTTTAATAATTAACAAAATGAATAGTGTTTCATACAATAAAATTTACCAGTCTTAAATAGTTTATTGAAAAAATGTAAAACGTGACTGCTGAATTGTTGTGAGGACTGAGGCGAAGCTATCGAGAGGAGAACAGAAACTAGTGTTCTGTTTGTGCTTGGTGCGAAAAATTCGTCTAGAGCTTTACATCCCACTGACTTTTCTAATAGTTGCTCCCAATATTTTATACACTGTTTCAGGATTTTGCCGTCAATAGAAATGCTGGAAATAGAAAAGCAACTAATAGATATTTGTTTTTTAAAATACGCTGAGGAAATATACACTTTTATTTACTTAATGGCTTCATCCAAATTGCTGGTGTAATCAACTATTAAATTGTATGTATGATTAAGTACGAAAAGGTGCTCTCGAATTTGACGGGCTTCAGTATCGGGTTCACCAATCAAAGTATTAAGAGTTTTTGACGCCATTTCGTGAAAATATTCCGTGCGCAAATCCATTGTTAGTGAAATAAGAATATCTATTGCATGATTTCTGATTTCAGAGTTCTCAGGAGCTGTCGTTGAACTATGAATTGAATTATATTGGTAATACTAGCATTAATCATCTAATTTTCATATTAGTTAAGTTTTACTCACTTTACATATTCCATAATGAATGATATCAAAGAGTAAAGTAAATTTTTCAGTGACGGATTAATTGAAAATGAACCATACTCAGATAAAGAACTAATATGATGATCAATGGTAGATAAAATATAACTTTCTGCGGGGATTATATCATTGGCGTATGTGTTCTAAAATATAAAAAGAAGATATAATGTGAATCTCTTAAAGTAAAGACCGATTTACGTTAGTTTTTAATAATATACCCAAGGAACATGAGCCACGTTTATAGCTTTCCACTTATCCAGCACAGATCGCACGTTATTTGGGAATAAACTAATCAAAGATGCATCTGTCGCCCAGGATGCACCACTCATGCAAATAACTTCATCCAAAATAAGAAAATCTCTCACAGTATATTTTTTGCCGCTGTCAGAAGTATCTTGAATTTGGTATAAAATGCTGGATCGGCATGAAGCCAACATCGCATCTGTCAACGATAAAATATGTGGCAATATCTCTATAATTAACTTATTTACATTAGAAGCCGCTGATTCATTAGTTTGTTGAACTCTGAAATAGACGTTTTATTTATTGTTTGTAAAAATATTGGTACAAAAATAATAAAACATCTCATTGAAATACGTACTTTGAGGCTTCCATGTTATCGATTTCGGTTATCGGTTTCCATATATTTTCATCCATTTGAACTTGTAATTTTCCTACGACTGCGGACAGTATGCAAAGAGAATTTAATTTTGGCAAAGCTGACTTTGGTATAATTTTCTCTGTTGTGCTAACTTCCGGTTTCAAAGACTTGATACAATTTTTCGCTAAAGCTACATCGTATTTCAGAGAATTAACGGTCGATGAAACGGTTTTCAATAAATTTTCAGCATACTGAGTGTACATTCCTTGTTTTACCAAACAGTCCTGTAAATATCAATTTTAAATAAATAGTTTTAACAAAATTTTGTTTGAAAATATTGATCAACGTTAGAACACACCTTCATCCATCCAGTAAAAGTTTTATACGCGGCACGTGGTCCCCATATCAAAGAATGCAGTAATAATGGGCCTGCTGGAATTTCTTCACCTAAAGCAAGTTTATCCATGTAAGGCGTTGATGGAGGCAGCATTAATAACAATCTGAAATTTAGTTAATGATATTATTTATAATATATATAACAAAATAATCAAATTTATTCATTTAAATCAATTTTACCTCCAACAGATAGAAAAACAGTATTGTATTGCACATAAGCCAGTGAACGTCATTTTTTCTTTACCGTCAGGACCAGTTTTTTTAGGTAGACTAGTCTGATTCAAGATATTCAAAATATCAATAAGAGCATCTACTAGTAGTGGATATTTCATTTTATCCGGTGTACCCAAAATAAAGTTACAAGCCTATTTCAAAGTTAGAAAAACGTTGTTTTATTTTTATAGTCGAATTTCCAAGATAGATAAAATTAAACTTACCAGTCCATCTAATTTGGGTGTATCTTGATTATTGAAGTCATAAACGGTCAAGTTATAGAACCGCGGTTTCATCGAAAATTCTTCTTGTGGTCCGAATTTCCGATAATTATCTTCAATTTCTTTCCATGGAGTGTAGATTCGTGATGCTTGTTTGTTTCCTTCTTTAGTATCTGAGACTAAGCTTGTAGCGGAAAACAAATTCCAATGTACCTTGAAGCATTATTTATATTATTGAACTTAATATTGAAAACAAAAATTATGTTTCTGAAAATCTTATGTTAATAGTGAAAGAAATGTCTGAGACTTTTACTACCATTCAGTTTGTACTACTAAACAGACGGCCCTGGTATCTCAGATTAGTTATCAAACTAATCAACATTTTTCTAGCATTGGCAGGGTCTTATAAAATGAAGTATGAATGAAATAATGAAGAGAATGAGGTATGAATGAGTTGCATGATTGGTATTGATAAACCATCACGTGACACTGTTCAATGCAGTAAGCGAAAAAAAATTATTCATAACTAATATTCTAATACTTACTTGCTCTAGTAAAGTTGAAGGGGCATCGTAAAGATGTTTCATCATGTACTCAAGTAGAATAAGTAATCGAGATAAATGCAAAATTTGTGAATCCTTCATCGGACTTTTAATTGCTTCGCTACACCGAACAGCTCCACTGCCGGTTACAAGAAGTACAGATTTTTTCTGCATGAGATTTAGCGAATGGAAAAGGAAAAGAACCAACTGTGCATGCTCAACATTCAAATCTGAAATACAAAAATAAAAATATTCATTTCGATCCAAATAATAATTCAATAGGTACAGAGGCACTATATTTACCTTCATTGTCGGTTTCAAAAGTTGTAGGTGGATTACAAACATTTTCAACCATCGTTGTTACCAATCGTTGCCAAATGCTAATGCAAGCTGCCTCTTTTTCTGATTGTGGTTTCAATAAAAGAATCTGAGCGAGAACACCAAGAGTTCTTGGGTATACTTGTAAGGGCCAAGATGAAGGACTGGCGTTCTCGGTCGACCATGGACTTACTCCCAAATGATGTAGTAAAGTGTTTTGAAGAGTTTCACTCAAAGTATTTCGTGCAAGTAAATTGTGTGTGTACCGGCTTAAAGCTTGAGAAAATTCGGAATACATTGCACCTAATGTAGCTCCGTAAAACACTGATATTGTGCCTGAATTTTATTTTTATTTATTATACACTTTCTCCACATAATTATTTAACATGGAGAAGTTTATTGTAATTTACCTGTTTCGGTTCTAGCTGCTTCATGATCTAAATCTCTAATTATTGCAGCTAGTATAACCATTTGTTGTTCTACCAATCCGTTGACAACGTAATCACGGACGTATGCACTTCTGTTTCCAATTAGATGTTGATTCATGAACTGGAAGATTTGAGTTGCCAACGAAATGTACTGTGTAAGGAAAAATTAAATAAATTACTATTATTATTGATGAATTAGACCATACATCTGCTATATCGAAAAATAAACTTACGCCGTGAGGTTCTCGATTATCGGGTACAACTGTAGCATTACGTTCTGTGTTGGCTTCTTCATTAGTTTCTTTCGAGGTAGTTGTTGGTGGAGCATCAGAAGAATCTAGAGTTTCCTCAAACCAAGCTCCTAAAATAGGTTCGCTATCCTCTTCTTGATCCGTAGAGCTCTCAGAGCAACTGTAAAGGTCTTCATAGTATGTTGTAGAGTCTGATTGACTTAATGTATCTCCTTCAAGAGGATGTTTTTGTATTCTTTTAAGTGTACATGCCTATAAGTTGAACAAATTTTTTAGTACATTTTATGTCATAACATTAACAAAAATAAATAAACATAAGTGATATTCACTTTTCTGTAACTGATGGTAGCTAAATAAAATAATAAATGATTTAATGGAGCAGCTTGGAAAAATGTCGCTACTCTCTCCAAAGCTGTAGCAGTAGCTAAGATATCCAATGGAGCTGACTCTGGCTGAGAAACTTGTTCATTACTAGCCTCAACGGAAACATCTTCTAGCAGAGCACCCATCAATGTGAGAGCATGTGATGCCAGAGCTACTGACAAAACTCCAAATCCTTGTTGTCTGTTTGCAATAGAAAATTAATTAGATAATTTATAAGTGAATGACAATATTTTGCGCATTTGATCATATGAAGAAAATCGTAACTCACACTTTCATCAAATTAATACGTCCGGTTCCATCACGTGCTTTACTAGGCGATTTGCCCTTTTCTTCTTTTCCTTTATCAGTTACGCTAAAACTGCTGACAGATAATTGAGCTTGCAAACCTGCTACCAATAGCCATACCCCAATCAATAAATGATTTTGAAATATCTAAAAGAAAAAATAGATAAATAAATTCATATTCAATCGTGAAATAATAAGGAAATAATAAAATTATAAATTTTACATGTCCACCAGCTCTTGTACTATGTTTAATAATATTTGATACCAAAGTGAAAATTTCTAAACTTCTTTCTACAACAGTAATTGCTAGAGTATCGTATTCTTCCTCAGTACTTTTAGTACTCTGAGTACTCTGTGGATTCGAACCAGTACTCAGACAACATTTCGGCGAGATAGCATTAGTTATTCCAACAATGCTTGACGCCGTCGCATTAGCAATTGAACAATAGAGACAAGACATTGTTATCAACGATAATTTCTCTAACTTGGCTGGTGTTAATGGTTCTAAAATCGGTAACGACACAACACTATGTACAATATTTATATCATTGACAAGTGAATGCAAACTGTGACGAATTGTATGAGCTTCAGACTGATTGGCTGGCAAGCAGAAACTTTTTCTGTTCAAATATGCTTGATACTTTCTGGCATAGCGTGATAAGTGATGTAAATTGGAGCACATATTTAGAAGCATGTCTCCTGCACCCATAGTCTGAAGTGTATTTATATTGTTTACTATGAACATCATCTGAAAATATAATCAAATAAAAATTTAGATTTACACACTAATCATCTTAATGCTAGCTTTAAAATAACAATCTTTTGTAAATTTATTTTAGCAACCTTTGTATCAGAATTCTGTTCAATATTAGAAATTTCTAAATTTGTTTTACTTGCTGGTTCATGAGCTATATCATTTGTAATAGCAAAGTCTTGCAAAGGCATAGTTAATTGTTCTATAATATTTGCTGATAAATCACTACGAGCTCTTTTTGTCTCCTTAATAGATTGTGGTAGGCTTTCTTTTTCTCCACTTGTAGGTGAACCTTTTACATATTGTGGAAGTTTTGCATTCTTCAGAATTGCAATAAAAGTCACTTCCTCTGATTTGGCTAACAGAGATTGGCCTATACATAGTGCTCGAATTGGTAATAACAACTGTCTTGTAGTCAAGATTGTAGGAGCACTGCTTTCTCCTGGTTGTGAAGATTGCTGAGGCAATTTGCCAACTAAATATGTTAGCAATATTCTACATGCTTGCCAAACAAGAGGTACTTGACTCTTGCATACTGAAAAATAAAGTATTATTTTGATAGAAAATAATAGGATAAAGGAATAGAATACAAAGATGAATTTAATTAAAAATACATACATGTACCTGCACAGGAACTAATATAATCCGCTGCCAATGCAGCAAATGATATGTAAAAAGCTTCATATTCTTTATCATGTGACACCAGCTCTGGTTCGCTAGAATTGAAACATTGAAATTTTTTAAATACTAAGTAACAGATGTAATAAGAAGAAATATATTAAAAACAGTTTTGTCATAAAAATTATTATTTTTGAACATGATTAAAGGTTGAATTTTACAAAATGTTTTTAATTGAAATTAAAGTTCAATTTGTTTTGCAGTAAAAGCATATATAATGAAAATTTTTTACTGCAATAATTATTATAACTTTGTTGAGAATGGATAAACTATTTCCAATAATTAATCATACCATAATGCTAACGCATTTAGCTGTATATATTATATATAAGGTTCACATTCAAAAGATTTTATAAAACTTATAATAACAGTAAACCATTCCGGATACTGATCATAAATAAACAACGACAGTTTAGCGAAAGCAAAGACATAACAAAATGTTTAAAAAGTTCAATACATTAGTGAAAAAGTAATATAAATCAATTATTACAATAGATTGCATAAAATTTGTTAGTTTTCCAACTAATTTATACATCTTGAGACTTCCATTTCTGTTTCGTCACCTTGAAAGGCGTTTGGGAAATTTGGATTTTCTCACGTATTAATTAATGCTTCAGGATAAAATTTTTTTCCTACCTTTGAATGATAGCTTTGACTAGCTCGATAACATCAGTTTTGTTAAAAGATCCATAAGATGCCGTTAAAATTGGTTTTATAATAGAACTCCAATCGACAACACCACCGCTTTTCGCCGCCATCTTGAATATTCTGACTGCTCTATCTTCGTTGATCTGTCTGCGTCGACTAAATAATGACTTATATATTAAGCCACGGAGAATAACACGCAGCTCCGCGGGAGGTTTATTCGAGAGGTCGAAATAAATATTCATTTAAAATAGGTTGATGGTTATTATATTGACTGATTGAACATAGAGAATGAATAATTTGTATATTGAGTACAGTATTATAATATTGAACTTTCATACTATAATGTTCCAGGTAATTTGAAATATAAAGAATAATTAATTAATATTAAATTTTGTAGATGTTCAGAAACCTAATAATTAGTTTAAAAGAAATAAACTAGTGAATTTGTATATAATAATTATATTTAAAAATATGTTTTTTTACAAAATGTTGTCTAAATAACATTAATTATAAGCTTAATTATTAATACTTTTGATCACATTATAAAGCTCAAGTTTTTGAATTTCTAAAATTACTTTTGCAACAGCATGTCTTAACTTGTGAAAATGAGGTATTGATAGTTCAAATGTGTAGCTTTTTCCATCACTCAAAATCCATTCCATCAGTATGTAGGGTTGCAAAACTTTTGACATTAAGCTAACAAAAAAATTTCTATTCAAACAATTTCAAAAGTTCATGAATACTTGAAAATCATAAATTTACCTTGATGAAATTATAATATCTAATCTCCATTTACACGCAACTATATAAGGAAAGAATTCAACTTTTTTTGCAAAATTTCTTATTAAATTTGGCCTTTTTGCTCCTGTAAGCACTGCAGTTATATCTTGAATACACTCTGGAGAAAACCTAAAAAATGAAAAATTTAGAATTCATACATTATTACAGAATAAAATTATATTTGTGTTATTATATTTATATTAATTATTTTTTACTTCAACTCTTGTAAACACTGTCTGAATTCAGGAGGTTTAATATTGATACTAGGTGAACGCAAATGTAGCTTCATGATTATCAGTACAGCAGCATACCACTCATCAACTAGTGCCTGAGGTATATCAAAGTTTTCACTAACAATTTTTAAAGCTCCTTCTTCAATATATTCTAGTTCAATAGATTTCACTGCAACTAAATAATTTTCAAAATTAAACAGATCTAAATATCTGCATATATTTAAAAAATATAATAGTCATTTATAAATAATACATGTATATACAATATCTGCGTGCTTATAGTTTCCAACTATAATAATTATTGCTAAACTTACGCTGCAATAATGGTCTAATAACGTCTTGTTTCAATTCGGATAAGTGTTTGGTATGACTACCTAACATAGATGATAGTTGCAACTGAAATTCCATTATTACAACAAAATACCGAATCGCTAGTAGCAGTTACAATGATTAACAATCGCACTGCAAATCATATCAATTTCATTTACATAATCTTAGTACGTGTGTTTTGACAGCAAGGTTAAAAGAAAGCTTAATCAGCTGCTTATAAACGCCTACACTCTATATCTATACTATGTACACGACATGGCGGCAAGTCGATCACGCAGGAAGTTATTCGCAGTCAGTCACTGTTTTTGCTACTGCGAAGAAAGTTGATGAATATTGGTAGTGACTAGTGTGAAAGGATTTGTTGATTAAAAATTTGCCTTTGTTGATTGCTATGTCTCTGTGGCGAGTTCTACCACCCAAGCTCATTGAAACATCTAAGAATGTTTTCGTAAATACATCTAGTCTTTACTATCATCCAAAAGTAAGTAGAAAAAATGTAATATTTTAGTTTCTAACCTAAAAATATTATCTATTTGTAGCCGGTGTTAATGTCTCAATTAAAAATTAATTTTCTTTTGTAATTGACATATAGAATATGCTTTTGTTTTATCTAAATTTGATAACGCTAATTATTTAAGCACTGTTATCAAATATGATAACTGACTTTTAAAAACTAATATAAAATATTTCAACAGATTGTGTAAGATTTTTTTTAAATATATGCATATTCATATTTATATAAATGAGATCAGTTAATGAGCTTTTTTTAGCATGAAAGTCATCACTTTCTGATAAATGACACTTCGTTGTAAAAACCATAAACTTTGTTAAACTTTCTAAGACATTATGATTATTAGGCAATTTTATAAGTAAATAGGACTTTACTGTTATTACAAAAAATTTCAGGTTTTAGATCACTATGATAATCCTAGAAATGTAGGAAGCCTTGATAAAAATGACAAAAATGTAGGCACTGGTTTAGTTGGAGCCCCAGCATGTGGTGATGTTATGAAACTCCAAATCAAGGTTGATGGTGATGGTAAAATCATAGATGCTAAGTTCAAAACATTTGGATGTGGTTCAGCTATTGCATCCAGTTCACTTGCTACAGAATGGGTCAAGGGCAAAACTGTAATTATATTTCAGTAATTTACAATTCCTTAAATTGATTATTAAACTCTAATTATAAATGAAACAATGTTATCTTCAGTTCTAATAATTCAAATGGCATTCATTCTACAGGTAGATGAAGCTTTAAAACTCAAAAATACAGATATAGCTAGAGAATTGTGTCTTCCACCAGTCAAGCTGCATTGTTCAAGTAAATAAAAAAATTAAAATTTGTTAAAGTGTCTAATATGGTTACTAAGATATAAATTTTTTTTGTAGTGCTTGCAGAAGATGCTATCAAAGCAGCTTTATCAGATTACAGAATCAAACAACAAAATCCAGCTAAGAATGATAGCAAATCAGAATCAAATAAAGAATGAATCTTAAATCTTTGACTTTATTAAAAAGATTGTAGATTAATTTTTTTCTGATGTGTAAAGCTTTATATTTTATTTATACTTTAGTGTTGAATAAAATTAAAAATATAACAGTATGTTGAAATGTATATTTTGAATTAAATAAAACATATGTACTAGTTTGTAATTAAATATTTATAGTTTATTTAAAAAGTCCATTGCTTGATGTCACAACTGCATTTCAGTACAATTTATATGTACAAATATTTTTCACTAAATACAAAGAAAATTCAATAGGATCTTACTAACAACACAAGAAATTACACTATATTTTTTTGGACTTTAACTTCACAACAATTTATTGTTGGACATATTCAATATAAAACTTTTTCTAAAGCTGTAGAAATTCACTTAGAGGAACAAATATTCCTTAAATCAATCTTAATACCTCACAGTTTACACAATAATAATCATTATATATATTTGCTAAAAGGTTCACTTGAATATGACTCAGAAGGGCATGAAAAAAGCTACAGATGTGATTCATAACAATCAACAGTGACGAGAAGTTAACATTACTTCGCTGACCATTTATTGTACCTTCAGAGTATAGCTGCTTGATAAATTCGTTTTTCAAGCAAATACGAAAAAAAAACTGGCATTTTTATTTCATAACGCGCGTTGTTTTAATAATTATGGAATGTGATCGGCTAACTCACGTACAACACGTCACATTATCGGCATCTTATGTATAAATAAAAAACGTGCGAACGATTCTGATCCGTGTTCATGTGCACAGACAAATGACATTTACATTTAAAATATTTTGTCACGGCAAAGAAGCGTTCGCTCAATTCACATAATTCACATCTCGATTATTATACAATATAATTATAAACGTATGGTCCAACGACATAAACTAGCATTTGACCTCAAGCCTCGCTATAACAAATAGTTTACAGTAAAATCAATTAATATTGTTTAATCACAAGAAGCACTTATACAAGTACAAAGTTTTATAAAGACCCTTTTGCAATAAAAAAATTTGGGTCGAAATATGGTACGTCAATTGGAGTATTTTATATTTAACAGATGCTTCTGTATGATGCACCAGATTGATTGGAGGACTTCATTTGATTATAATTATTTTTACATCGAGGTAAGATTGGAGCGGAAATTTCGATTACTTCTTCCCCGCGAAGTTTGGTTTTCTTTGTTTTCTTTCTCGATTGCACAGTGCATGGTGGATCATACTAATATAACCTTACTTTTTTTTTTGATAAAAATGAATTTATTCTAATTTTAACGTTTGTCAATCAGATGATGCCTTTGTGCGTCTTCGATGATGGTTACGCGCTAGCGCATGAATAATTGTCACTAAGAAATAGCACACCATCAGGATTACAAACTTATCGAATAACCAGGAAATCGTTGTACTGTGCTCCTGCAGACAAACAACGATCACAACATAAGAGTAAGTAAATTAAAAAAAATTGTTCGCGAAAAAATTAATACATACAGCAGACGATTTATCGTGGAGTTTTCGTTTTTGTTCAACCAAATATGTCTTTAATGGTTCTTGTAATTTGGTACCTATCCATGGTATATAAGCCAAGAAACTAATTGCTTTATCTAATAATTCTTCGTTGAATGCTACTATCACAGCCAATTGCTGTATATGCATCTTAATAATGGCTTTTCCTAGAAGTGTGGCACCAAAGAACGTCCAAAATGGAATAAGGTAGTGACCACAAGTCAAGCCAGCGAGATCAAACAGCGGATTCGGAATCTAAAAGTAATACATTCAAGATTTTTCTTTTAGTGATTAAGACTGCATTTGTACATTATAAAATTATTTACTACTCACTGATGCACAAGCCATTATTCCTAAAAATCCTGCCTTCTGTACAAAATGCTTCATTGCCAATTTGGCACGCATAATAATTGGGACATTTTCTCCACTTTCAAGGGCTTCAAGAGCTTCTAATTCTTTGAGTTCATCTTGATCAAATTCTTGATCTCTACTACTTTGTCGACTAGTGCGTGCCGCTCTTGCCATGAAGTAGGGTGGTAATTCCCCAAGAGCAGTTCCAGCTCCCCACATTATGGCTTCAATGCGTACCTTACTCATTATATTAAATATGGTGACTGCCCATGTCTTATCTACAGTTGTTGGACAAATTATCTGATCAGGATATGGTGGTTCTGGAAAATTCAGAGCTCCACATTCATATGCTGCCATCGTTACAGCTGCTATGTGTGGACCCAAATACAGAACAAATGTATGCAATCCTGTTCCAAGACCAACACTTGAAAGTACTCCTAAGCCTATCCAGTATAAACACCATCTTACTTGAGCTTCCCAAGTTTTAAAAAGCTAAAACACCATTTCATAATACAGATTGTAAAATCAAATTGATAGGCAAGCAATATATTTTTTTTTAATTTTGAATATTCTCACTTCTTGTTGTGGTCCAGAAAGTCTAGCCAGAGCAAAGAATAACGTAAGTAAAGATACTATACAAAATACACTTCTCCTGTATTGAAAAGCTTTCCTTGCAAAACTAAGGCAGTCAATGAGTAACTCTCGAATAAAATAATTGAGAGTTACAATAGGATGTTGCCACAATGTCAAATGATCTGGATCAATATCACTGTTTGATCTTGGTGTTACTTGATCATCTTCATTATGAACTGATCTTAGCCGAGCACCATTTGTCGATGTTGATGGCACATCTTTTGTTCGACGTGTAGCACTTGTAGTCCCCAACATCGTGACTCCTAGTTTATTTGTCTAGAAATATAAATAATATGTAAATTTTTGTCAGAACATATACATAATATTAAAATAATAATTTGCAAATAAAATATAATGCTATGCAACCTAAAAAAGTGAGAGCTTAAGTTAAATATTTTAAATGTTTTTAATACAAATTTAGACTTTATGATGCTAATTGAGCTTTGAAATATTGGTTAACGTTACTTCATTCTCCAGGAAATTCATGTCTATTATAAGATAATTTCTGCCATTTGATTTCAATTCACTTTTATCCATTGTGTTTCTTTTATCAGAGTACAATTTTTAAATGAATGACGTAAAAGTCTCATTAACACTAAAAAATACATGGATATTCTCATCAAACAAGTTAACTTTACATATTCGTATCAAGAAGTTAACTTTACACAGCTGGCTCATAAAGACCTAATTCAGTTATCAGTGATATGAGCCAACATAAACACATGGGTCACTTGGGATCAAGTCTCTCTCCTCATTGTAATTCATTATCATATTATGAGTATCTTCTCGCATATACTGGTGTTGATATTTGACTGTGTGTGAGTCTGTGTAAAGTAGGGGATAGTGCTTCAATATAATACTGCTGTCAAGGATATTTGAAGATTTATTATTTGTGGAATATTTTTTCAAACAGATTTTATTAATATGAAAAAGTAATAGATCTTGGAATTGATTAACATTGATATAAGAAACTGAATTTATTATAAATTTAAAACTGATTGTACAGAATTCATACATGGTAACAGTGTGATATTTATAAAGTAGTAGGAAAAAAATTAATTTTGTATTTTCCTAGCTCATTAATTTTTATCTCCAGTACAATTGTATTCCCTGATAATGGCATAATGTTAATAGCTGATTAAGAAAAAATATTGCACAGTGTAAGTGTAGCTAAATTTCTAGATTCTTGATGTAAAAATGTACCATTCCACATATAAATATTAAAAGTATATGAAAAAATTATTAACTTTCTTGAAAAATTGACATTACATGATTATTGCAAGATTAATATTTCGGGGCTTATAAACAAAAAATTAAAATAAAACAATGCAATAGATATAAGAAGGAAACAAAATTGAAAATTAATAAAAATAACAGCATAAAAAGCTACAACAACTTTAGTGCACTTCTAAATACCATAGTGATTTTGTCACTTGCAGGATTATCTGATAAAGGTTGAACATGTCTCTTTAGAAATAAGCCAAGATCATTGTGAGTCATATCTTGATCAGGAGACAGTTTTTTGACACTTGTTAAGTCCTTGTTATGCACTTGTGTAGAATTTTTTTCACTGTTTTCTACAAGCCCAGTGTTATTTGAGCTGCTTGTAGCAATGGCCTTTCGCTTTACACGTTTCCTCACCATTGGTTTGATGAAATTAACTATAATCATGGTTATTTAATTTCTATTTCATAATAGAGTAAATAAATTTTACAAATTATTCTAGACTATTTAGTGAATTATCACAAGCTAATTTTATTCCATACAATTTGAATAATGCTCAAAAAATTTAATGATACATAAATAAATTAAGGGAAAGAGAATATATCAAGCCAATTTCTGTTCAACTTGGCACAAAGATTTTTATTGACAAGAAACTCATTTAAATGTTAACAAAAAGAGCCTAAAACTAACATAATTTATCTTGCCAAAACTTTAAAAGTAGTTTGATTACAAAGAACATTCTTACATAGGAGAATATTATATACTTCAGTTATATATATTTCCACCTTTGTATGCTTAAACACACATATGTAAACAGAGACAAAAATGTTTGTACAAGTGTACACTACAAATTTACAATAGAAAAAACCATTAAAATTTTAATAATACAAAAATATACTAGCAGTGCAAAGGAAAATTTTTAAAGAATTAATCTGAGGGAAAATTTTTTCTTATTTAAAACACTATAAATTATAAAATCAATAATCAACTGTGTAATTTTAATTTGAAAAGGTGTTCAAGAAAGCAGATAAATCAATGTGTTCAGGGACATTTAACAATTATTTTTAGAAAGAAGCTACTTATACTAGGCAGCAATGTTGATATTTCGAAAAAACAATAAACGCAGCCTACTGAAAAATCAATCTCAGAAAAAAAAACTTGAAAAAAGGTCTATGAAAAGAAACAGCTTCATAGCAACACAATGAAAGATCGTCATACATGATCCACGTAGCAGACCGATTAAAGGCTTTTTGCTTGTCATCAATTCATGCTCCCCAAGCGAAAAACTTACGATGTTTTGGTTTAATCAGCAAAATATAAAAAAGAAAAAGCACGGAGGTGCATCTATAATTAAATTTTTGTAGGTTACGTAAAGGAAGAACGATAGGAAAAAAAGAGAAATTGTAGATGGCATGTAGATTAGAATCACGTGAGTTGGGAGAGACAATATGTATACTTAACGCTTAGGAAACCATACAAAGCACGCGATTTTTCTATACTTCGAGTGTTGTGAGCCACGTAAGTGCTGTCTGTTTCATTTGAGGCCGATATACTCACACACGTCGCGTTCATTATTCGACAATAAAAACAGAACAGCCAAACTAGTGTCTACAAGTTGCTACTTACGTGTGCTTTCAATCGAATTGGCGTTCCTCTCTCCGCGACATCGTATGAGCACGACAATTAATTTAATATTGAACTGTCAACTCGACGCGTGCTGACTACTATTCGCATACATACAACGTGTCCACTTTGTCGCTCTCCGTGGAAAAAAAGAGATCACCACCACCCCACCGCCGCTGCCGACGACGTCGAGAGCATCCAACACAGAAACGCATCGCGTGAGCACCTCGACAGTGGCAGATTTTAGTCGGCTGATTTCCAGCAGTGCTGCCAGTCGAGCGCAATTTAAATTGTCTTGCAGGCTGCAGCGTTACCGCTTGAAAAATCTCCCTCGGTTCCCTAGAAATTCCATCAAATATTTGCTATTCAACCCGAGTTCCTAGTTCCATTGATATATTTTCAAATCGTGTCGTTTGCTCAATGAGTGCCTCAATCGTACCTACATGTTGGTTTCAACCGTTTTCGACTGCTGATGAGCTTTGCATCAATTTCATTATTTATTGATTAAGTAAACTAATTATGGTAATAAAAGTGATTGTATTAAACGAATTTACAATTGGGCTGTACGGCCGTGTTGTTCGTTAATTAGATAAGGTAGATAAGGTAAGTGCAACCTTTTCATGTATAGTAAATAAATAATAATCAAAAACTATTTACCATTCAAAAAGTAAATAACAAGTAATCAATAAATAATAAACTTTATGTTAAATACGGCTGAGTATAGCCTAATAGGTTGGCTGCACTGATCGAGCAGACAACACAGTTTGAAAATATAATCTTGAAACTAGGAACTCGGATTGAACCGGAATAATTTGGTGGAATAATTTTTAGGGACCCGAGGGGGATTTATCGAGCAGTATCGTTGGTGCCCTGTCGCCGACTTTCTTAACTCTTTCTAGTTACTTTCTGCACTGCGCCGCAATTAATTAACAAAACATATTATCAATAGACAGTACATAAATTTTTCTTGCATAGTTTTCTCACGTTTTTATAGTTCTTACTATTTCTCATGCTGGGTAATTTTTTAAAATCATATAAATAAAATGGTAACATAATGGTCGCATACGACGAAATTCAAAATCGACAGGCCATAAATTTCAGCTTGAAATAACACAGTTATTAAACGAACATCTTTATTTTCGATGAGCTGGAACTTTATGACTTTTCAGGCGAAAGGTCTGAAGATGCTATGTCAGTCTTTTTAGTTGCTTTGGCTGCATGTCTGCATTGTACACTACACCAGAAAAAGGAATTAGGAAAAAAAGATCTAAGTAAGAAAAAGGGAGAGAAAAGCGGCCTCTGATTTATCAACGCTACGAGAGGAAACGCCCTTCTTTCTCCTATGCAAGGGTATGCAGTAGCGATCAGCATCGAGCGGCGCATCGATACTGCATCACCATGTCAATATCAATCCAACTATTAACTACTTAATTTCTCGTTTAAAACTTGTTGTTTTTCTCTGCATTTTGCCTTTAGTTCTATTATATACATAAGTAATCGTCAGAGGTCCCTGAAAAGTGTTTCCTTCCTCCCCATAAATCCCGACTCTCCCGTTTTCAGTATTCTTGTATAAAATTTTTTGAAATTTATAGTGTACTCACCGTTAGAGATTTTCACTACAAAAAAAAATATTTTTTTGTTCTTGGCCCCTCCTCATTGTTAAAAAATTGCTCCTCCTGTTTTATCGTCGTGATTTTTCGCCCGTCCCCTTCCCATCCCATTTTAAATGTTCATTGTATTTGTTATTATTTCTAAAACAAAATAACGCGCCATACACATTAAAAGTATGAAATACTTATTTTGAGAGTAGAGATCAAGCGTTTAAGTTTTTCTGATACAATGCGTCCAATGTATGGTGTAGAATGTACACCAACTTACATTGTGATAGAGTATTACACATAAGTCGTGTAATATGGCATATGCTGAATAGAGTAGAAATTGAATTTCAAAATTTTGATATTGATTTGATTGAACATTTCGATAATACGCGCTATGTACAAATTCCAGAGGGTACAAATTCCAAAAAAGCATTTTTCTGATGGTAGAAATTAAAATGAAACTAGTGGTATTTTTTTCTTTTAATATATCAATCATTTTTCTGCCAGGAGTATGAGTTTTCCGAAATATTTTTTTTTTCGCTTTTTTTCAAAATTTGGAGGGGGGGGGGGGGGACAAATTCCAAAAAAGCAATTTTCGGGTGGTACAAATTAAGACGAAGCTAATGGTATATTTTTTTTTAAATCAATCATTTTTCTGTCAGGGTCGTCTCGATAATACATATAAATATATAGATGTTACAGCTGATTAATAACTTTTCTACGTAACGTAATTAAAATATTCCGTATGTTATATATACTTTATAGTGTTTAATTCAACTGAAACAATTTCGATCAACAATGAACATAGTAAAATCAATGTCTAGTAGTAGCGTATCATATTTAAAGATGGTACAAAAACTCAAACCGATACAAGGAACTATGGTAGTTGACATTCTTGTAAGCCATTTTATTGATTCTTAGCAAGTAATTAGCTGCAAAATAATTAATGTTTTGGCGTTGATTAAACTGTTCAAAATAACAAAATAAGAGATTCAGTTTCAAAATTATCTATAATCAGTTTACGACCACCGGTCGTGACATATATGCACGTGTATCAGGCATGCGCGCGCAGCTCAATTGACAATTAGAACGCGGGAAAAATGTCTGAATGTTAGATCATATATAATTTTGGTACTATCTTTTTACACTAATTTACAACAAATATAATATATCTAAAGTTTCTATCATTAATTCTGTTCAATTCGCGTTGAATTTTATGCACAGTGATCATGAAGTTGCAGTGAGGTCTAGTAGATACATAATTATTAGAATTTAGGTTAAGTTCATCTGTTTTTTTGTAAATATAGTTTTTAAAAGACTTTCTATGAATGTGAAGCCAATTTTGGTGCTAATTATCAGTGGAAACGATTGTTAATTACTTTGATAATGGAGCGTGATACTAATCAAACGACTTTCGACGTCAATGTGCATTTTGTCGTGCTTGATAAGTATGAAACTGAAAAAAACTGCAATGATGATATGTGGGAAGCTTATAATGTGAGAACTGTTTTGAAATTGTTTTGAAAAAATGAGTTCATAGTAAGTACTTTCATTTTTTACCTTAAATTGCAGAAATGTCCTGACTTAGATATTTTGCCTGAATGGATATCAGAAGATCATTGTTTGCAAATGAAACCCAACAGAAAGGATGTTTTCATTTTGGAAGAATTTGATGGAAAAGCATTTGACTATTTGCTAGGATTTCACTGCATGTAAATTTTTTTTTATCCATCAGCTTAATACAAATTTAAGTATATTATCTTTTTTGTAATCAACATTTACCTTGAAGGATTATTGGACCTCGTTGTTTACTATCATGTTTTTTGACTGGAGAACCTATTCCTGATGGTTCAAGTCCAGTATTTAATACTGCGATGAGAGATGTTATTGTGAGTGCTTCAGGATTTTCTGGAGCTAAAAAAGTCTGTTACATTATTTATCATTAATGATACTATTTCACTAAATGTATATATAGATACATTCAAATTGAAATATCAATTATACTTTTAGAATGAAATACAAAAGAAAGTTGAGTATATGGGTGGACAGTTCACTAAACAATTGAGAAGTAGTGTAACTCACTTAATCACAGATACTGTAATTTCTGCTAAATATGAGGTATTCTAACATTTTTTACTATTCAATCTTTAAATATAATGACCAGTAATGAGACATTTTTCAATATATATTTTTTTAGAGAGCAGTTGAATTAAATATTAAAATAGTCACTATTGACTGGATAAAATCTGTATGGGACACTAATTTACATGAAATTATACCAGCGACTGATTCAATTTTCGATAAATACAGGTGTCCAGTATTCTATAATTTAGTTGTAACTTCTACAAGCCTTAACAAAAGGCAAAAGGAGGATGTAAAAAGATTAATTACTAAGCATGGTGGTGTAAGTATATTAATCACAATAATTTATTCGATTATATGTTAAAAGTGTTTTTATATTCTTTATTTTAACAGGAATTCATGGGCATATTAGATGGAACAAAAGTTAAAATTGTTATTACTGTAGAAACAAATAGTTTAAGTGAAAAATTGAAGTATGCTATGCAAAATGATATTCCCTGTTTGAAACTTGAATGGGTTCATGATAGCATTGCAACTGGCTATTCTTTGCCCTTTATCAAATATGTAATTAAATCAACTCAAGCATGTTCTACTCCAGAGAAATGTTCAGGTACTAATTATTTTAAATTGTATATTCTTATTACAGAGTATTTTTACTTTATTAAAAATTTAAATTTTTTTGATATATTCATAGATCTGGAGCCTTTTGATCTTACTTCTATCAGTGTAATACCTGGTGAACATAAAAATGCATTTGTTGATGAAACAATGGCATCTGCAACTACTATGAGTTCTACTATGATGAGTTCAACTTTAAACGTTCCTGTAGTTACAAGAACTTCTTATATTACAGTTGTTGAAAGATTAAATGCAGCAGAAGCTAAGAAGGCTGGTCCCTTTTTAGATGGTTGCAATGTTAGTCATATCTTTTAATTAACTATTTACTGTGAATCGTTAATTAATGGTGCATTAATTTACAGATCTACTTGACAGGATTTTCATCAAATTATAGAGATAAACTAAACAGGATATTGAATGTTGGTAGCGCCACCCGACTCGACGAAATATCAGATGCCTTAACTCATGTGATAATTGGAGATCCCATGAAAGCTGAACAAGATCTACGAACTATTAAATCAAAAGGTTTATAGTAAGTATTTAAAATTTTCTTTTCATGAATAGTTTTTGAATGGATTATGAAAACTAGTTTTTTAATTTTATAGTCCTTTTTTGTTGAAAGTTGAATGGTTAGAAGAATGTATAAAAATTCAAGCACCAGCAACTGAGGAAAACTTTATTTTTGATGGAATTGTTAGTCGTCAAAAGTCAATTCCTGAACCCCCATCACCGTTAAGTAAAAAAGTGAGTCAAGTAATATAGTTATCATTCACAAATATAAAAACACCTGTTGATTACTAGACTGTTTTCACATACTATGTCATTCAACATCATTTCAATGGTATAAACTTTTAGAATTTACAACTTTTACAACGACCAAAGATTCCAACTGTTCCATTGTTTGACGAGCCTAAGCCTGAAAAACCCGTTTCAGATGAACACTGCAAAATTGTTGAACAGTATCTTCAAAAGAGTACTTCAAGTTTGTATTCCTTTCCATATCTACACGCTCCTATAAACTAAAACGCGCAGCTGAAATCGAAAATATCTTATTAATTGATACTTTTGCAGAACCAGACAATACGTTACGTGAAATATTGAAGCTTCCAAGCACTGACAATTTGAAAAGCACAATCAATGCGTCAAAAGAACAAACGTTTGCAGAACGTTGGAACGAGTCTGTAAGAAGACAAATTGAAAACACTTCTAACATGGATCGAGATGACAGCGCGATACCAATCAGTCAAGAATCTTTTGTTAGTCAAAAAATATTTCAAGGTAATAATGCAATTTTAATTATTTAATAATCATTTATATTGAAAGTATTATTTTCGTTATATTGGAATGATGTATTAATATGTTCAAAGGTTTAACTTTCGTCCTTAGTGGTTTCAAAGGCGATGAATATACACAAGTATTAACTCAAATTCGCGGATTGGGTGGGAAAATAGTTGGTGATAATTATTCTGGTATACCCGATTATGGTGTAGTACCTATGTTTGGTGCCGAATTCAAACACACAGTCACGGAGATTGTCACGGATATATTCATCGTAAAAATCCATTATTACTGATCTAATCTATCAACAACACTTTATTTGTTTTCTATTAACGCTCTTAATAATCGTTATTTTTAGGAAGATTGTATCGATAACGAAAAAGTAGTTAGAGTTGCGTATTATCACAGGCCTATTCAAATTCCAAACAATACAAAACCTTTGGAAAATTGCGTTATTGGTATGAGTACATATTCTGGAGCCGAGAGGACCTACTTATCTCAACTGTCCGAAGCGCTTGGAGCAAGGTATTTTTAAATATTTTAATCTGCAAATATAGTCAATCAATATTAAATTTTATAATTCAGGTATCAGGATACTTTTGCTCGTAAAACCAATCCTCAGAAAAAGACATACAGCAGCACGCACTTAATCTGCCCAAAGCCACAAGGCGACAAGTATAGTGCGGCAGTCAAGTGGAGATTACCCGCTGTTAATGCGGAATGGTTACTTAGATGCGCCTCGGATATGAAACTTGTTGACGAAACTCCGTATCTCATTGGTGAAACTATGGGTAATTAATACTGTAATACTAGAATAAATACGAGACATCTAACTATTTTTGAAATGATATTTTTTATAGCGCCTGAACGATCTAATACTACAACAAAAGGTAACGAGACAAGCACTATGAAACCACCAACAGATCCTACTGCAAAACATCCAGTATTCATTGTAAGTAATTAATTTGAAAATTAATTTTGATATATAAAATTATTTATAAAAAGATTATTTTCATTTTTCAGAACGCTGAAGAGTTTGGAGAAGGATCCAGTGAAACGCCCGTCATTAACAAGAGAATCAAAAGTCTTATTAATGGGAAAGTGCCGAAGTCACCATTCCATATATCTACTCCTGACACTCCGTATGGACAAGTGTTTAAAGATAATCCTTCGCCAGCTACCCGAAAAGGATGGGTCAAATGGATAGATCATTTTCCTGAAATACCAGTTGAAGAGCCACCACCCAAGCGAAGAAAAAGCACTGTAACTATTTATTTATATGTAAGATTTTATATGTGATACGATATATGATTTATTAATTTTATCTTTGTTATAGCCTTTTTCGGAGGTGAAGAAGAAAGCCTGGGATTGGGTTACAGGGCGATCAAATGAAGATGTAAGTTAGCAAATATTTAAAAAATTTAAATTCAAAGTTAATTTTACTAATTTCTTTCATATAGCAGGATGAGGATAATGGTAGAGATGAGACATACGACCAAGACATAAATAGCGCAGGCACAGAACCAGTAGCTACGCACATAATGACAAATAGGAGACTTTCATTTTCGGATGATGGTAGTCCAAAAAAACCAGACCCTGAAATAAATAAGTAATCGTATTTAATTTATTACTTTTTAAAAATATTTTTAAATCTTATAACACGAAAATAATCTTTTAGAAAAATGGCTCAATTAGGGGAACTACTTCAAAAAGCTTCGAGTACTCCTGAAGCGAGACAATCATTGAGTGCTGAACATACAAATCCATACCACCTAGAATCTAATCAACCTTCGGGAAGATGTAAGTTATCTTATTCCTAAAATTACGAATTAGATCTTCAACATTTCTTTATATTTTTTTTAATTATTTTGCAGGTCTAATTAAGGACTCTCAACCTGATTCCGTAGGCTGGGAAGATCCTGTAAGAAGGGTTCCTCCTCCTCAAAGACAGGTAAATCGAAAATGGATTTTGCAAAATTTATTGGACTCTAGTTATTTATAATTTCGAGTAATGCTTTTTAATAATGTAAAAATTTTTATAGTCTACTATTACTGAAGAGCCTGAAGCTACCGATTTAACCAACGATGACGATGAAAACGAATCTGACGTGGAAGAATTCAAAAAACCAAAATTCATGTTTTCCGGCATAAAAGTGCGTATTGTAAATTAATGTTTATATACGAAATAAATAATATGTGTTTGATTAAAATTATATTTTAATATCTTTAGGATAAGGGTATTGCTGAAAAATTTATAAAAGAACATGGTGGAGAGGTTTCTACAGAGTCATCTTTCGATCCAACAGCAACGCACTTACTTTGCTTAAAGCCTGCTAGAAATGAGAAGATTCTTAGTAGTATAGCAGCAGGCAAATGGGTTCTTCATTATCATTATATAGAAGCTTGTATCGAGGAAAATAAGTTCATAAACGTAAGTGACTGAGATTATATTTTCAACATGAGACTTTTAAATAAATGGTGTTTTGTTTATAGGAAGAAGAGTATGAGTTAGGTAACCCTAAAAGTCAAGGCATAATACCAGATCCAAGCAGTGAAAATGAAAAAGTCATAATGGCTGCTGCACATAGATGGAGGCTTAAGCTTCTAAAGGATCCAGGAGGCGCTTTTCAAGGCATGATTGCTCTACTAATCACCCAAAAAGAAAAGAAAGAACAATTTGTAAGATTAATTAATGCTGGTGGTGGAAAAGTAATGGAAACGAAGTAACCTATTTATTTTTATATCATCAGCCATTTTATCTTATAATTTATATCGAATGCAAAATAATAATATTAATTACAGACCGCCGTACGATAATAGTCCGAAAAGTGGAAAAATCTCACACTGTTTTATTCAATTGAAGGGTATTGATCAACAAGTGGATTGGGCAATGATGGCAAGTAAAGGAATCATGTGTTATCCACCTCAGTATCTGAATGATCATCTGATGACGGAAAGCCCACTGAATCCTCGCGATTGCGTATTACCAGAATTTAAAAAGTATTTATCTCTCATGCCAAAATAAGTCGATTTATATACCTCCATTTTTTACGTTCTTTATTGAACTCTATGAGAAGTATTGTAAAATATAGATTGTGCGTTTGAGCTTACTTATTGCAACGTAAAAAAGAATTATTGTCGTGTTGTGGAAAATGTGAGCGTGACAGTAATAATTTACACAGAATTTTTCTCAAGTTATTAAAAAAAATAACATTACTGAAAGATAATTATTAATTACCGGTGATTAGAGACCTAAAATTCAAATGAATTCCACACGAAGGAGCACCGAATAATTTTCGGATATCCATTTCACTTTTGTACTTCGGATCCTATTTAACCCCATTTAATCCAATAACCCATGAGATTTCTTATGCTCGAAGAGTCGTGATCAGTTCAACCATACTTATCAATATATCTGTGCGTTTAACTACATAAAAAATATGATTTTGACAATCTATACTTTTTAATTAGCTTCTCGAAGAAATATATTCTTTACCAATACAAATTCATGGACCGTCTCCAAAAGACATAAAAGTAAATGGTTTGATCAATTTTTTTTCTTTTCTTCATTAAACGTGTCTGGATCGTATGCCGTAGAATCGGATGATGTCGAGGATCACAGTGCGACTCCAATAAATTTGCGAATACTGTGGTACTTCTCTCAATAGCAGCGTTGGTATCCGAAATTCGAGTGAAATGAAATCGCGTCCAATAACTTCTCAGTTATCTCCGACGATTTGAAGAATATTCGCTCATCTTGTAATCTTTGACAGCAACTCTATTGAAAAGTGGAGCTATCGGGTGAAGCCACAGCTTTTTATTGATCGCATGTTATAAGCAAATATCCGATGTCTGAAAGATGTTCGTAGATGAACTGTTGCTTGTTGAGTTTTTGGCGCAGCTCTTCGTGTACTTTGTCTTGAATGTTCGGATGCTTTTCGAGCTCGCAGTAACGTGCGCATCTAGATCGACCACGAAGAATTCGTGCGATTGTGCCAGCAAGAGGTCATCGTCGAATGCTGCGAATGTGCGGCTTTTTAACGTTTTGTATCCCCTATTATATGTATACAACTTTTTATAGCATTCTTGGGTTTGTTGCTCGCTTTGAAGCTCTGCCAGCATGTCTGTGATATTCCCTCTCTTTACTCCAGGTTTTTCTCGATCATTCATCAGTTTCTACAAAATCTGCCGAAAGTAGTAGTCATACGGTTAGAGCGCTTCAGGAGATACGAAATTGTAATTTTTGGAAAGATAAAAGTTGATGAATAGCTTTGCTAAATGACTAAAGTCGTTAGCGAGTATTTCTCGACCTAAAAATATAAAGTTGCTGCTTCTCACTTGTTACTTTTGCAATAAATTCGAGTGTTGAAAAAAGAGTTGTAGGTTTGAGTTTCCGGGCTTCTCGATAGTACCTTAAAAAGCGAACGAGCAATCTTATCGTTTGATCAGAGCCAAACGTGAATTGAATATTTGATCCGCACATACACTTATCAAAGTGGAATAGGTTCGTGGAAAAAAACGTCTACTTAATATTGAATGACAGGTCTGACAACTTATTACGTAAGTGTGGCAAGTGCAACGTTTAGCTTACTCAGGGGTTCGTCGACCGAATTATCTCGCAGAGAGCTAGAAACTCTTCTCGATTCAATCGTGATATCCTCGCCATTCGCCATTTTGCCTTTCAGATGCTCTTTCATATTTCCAGCACTTTCCAGCATCAATTCGAACAATTATTTTTTCGTTTTCCGGGCATAAAGGGATAGAGGCAGGTGCGAAGGTTGGCTGTAAGATGTCTTACGGGTAACGCGTGGGCGGCTTTAACGAATATTTGCTTCATAATCTCGTGGTCGCGAAGCAGGAGAAATGGCTTTTGCCGAACGTGAAATCCGACCGCTGGTTTGTCATCTCAAATGCGATATAAGTCGCTCGCAATTCGTTGTGGAGAGGTTCGCATGGCTAAAAAACCAGTGGGCTAGTGGCGAGTAAACGTCTTGACCGAAACAGTAGCTTTGTTTATACTTGGCGCTCGCGTAGAATATGACTGCTCGAGTTGGCGAGAAACATACTGATGAAATACTTGAATGAAAACTGATTCACCGAATGTTAAATTTATAATGTTCACGTCGTCTTGTACAACTTCTTACGCGTAAGCTATTGACGCCGTATCCGAGAACGGTGTCAATAAAAAATGTCAATTGACTTTTTTTTTTCAAATATCAATTACAACGACTATTTGTACTGCTGGCTCTTAAATGAAAAGTCAATGATAGATATAGCATTAGCACGACTCGTTCCAGCGCAGTGCATTAATCGGCTGCGAGACGAAGTTGTGTCTTTAATGATTCTCATATGTTATTCATGCATTGTCATGAAGCGAATCGGTGTCAGCAAATAATATTGTTATCAGAATACTTTTTAAGCTACATACTCACGCAACTTTTCCTAGTTTGGTAGACATAAAAAAATGTATTGTTATTCATAATTTTATGCACAAATTAATTACTATTTCATGCTTACACTATAAACTTTCTCTCTAGATATCATGCAATTGTGTCATTAACATGTATATGTAAAACTAAGTCCTATTCTAGTATTACACCTTCAAACTATACCAGGATAAATTGTAAGTCTTGATAATGTACACGGTATCAATTGATATGCAGAAGTACATTAGTGCGATTTTATCTATCAAGCGTGGTTTAAAAGTTACTCTTTAAACAGTTTCTAAAACATAAAATGTAATTTATGCAGCTTTCGAAATGGATATCTTTGATACATCAATCCTAATTGGAGGGTTGCGTGGAAACAACGGTATAATTTGCACGGGGCCTCGACGTATCCCTTTAATCGACGGCTCAAAATTTACTACACTATAGGTTTTGATTATGTCGGACGAACTCGAAGCCACCGTATTTGTGAAGAACTAAATTGTACTGTCTGAAGTGAAGAGGATCGGCGAATATCCTCTTGGTATTCTCGTTGGAAGCAGCCATGAACCAAGCGGGCAGAGTCTCGTAACCGGCAGCCGACGCCAAATGGTTGTAGTAGAGGAAAATCTCTTTGTTGACGAGATGAGCATCCCTGTTGCGTTTGCCAGCTGGGAGCGCCGCGGATTTGAGCATCGCCTTGCGACTGGGCAACTTCAGCTTGCCCCTCAGCACAGCGATAAAGTAAGCCGACTGAAACGTTCGCATCGGGCAGTGGAGGCAACTGCACGCACGACACCCAGCAATGGTTAACGGATTCAGTCTTACCTGAGCGTGAGATTCTAGAATAGCGAGACGTGGGTACGGCACGTTCAAGATGGCCATGGTCGGGCGCGCAACGTTGATCAGATGCTTGTACACGTACCGGATCTGTTTGCCGACCACTTTAATGCCGCTGCTCTCGTCCAGGAACGGAAAGTCGAAAAGGAAGCCCGTGGCGTAAACCAACACGTCGACTTTCAGTCTCCTACCACCGTTCAATATCAACTTGTCACCGTCGGCGCCCATCGCTGCCGGCACTTGCTCGATGTTCCACAGTAACTTCGTCTTCAGTCTAAGACATCGCCGTTTATCAATATATTTGTTGACAAACGAAGACGAACGTATTGAAAGCTCGCCTACTTACCTGTCGTGTCGGTGACTGAGGTAGATCTTCTTGGCGTATCGGCTGACTTGAGTGGCAATCTCTTGGCCGGAGTAGCTGGCACCCAGCACCAGAACAGTTTCATTGGCAAAGTCCTGGGGTCTGCGGTACAGGTGACTGTGCAACGTCCTCCCGGCGAAGCTCTCGATGCCGCGGATTTTCGGAATGCTTCCCTTAACGAAATGCCTGAAGGAGGGATTTCTTCGAGATTTTCATTTGCGATCAATGGACTCATCGGTACTCACCCTGTGGCGAGCATGACAGCGTCACAAGTTACTTCGTTCAGCTGTTTAGTATTCAAGTCGCGAGCCTTGATGAGCCACTTGAGTTTTGGCAGAGGAAGTATTTTTTCCACGTTAGTGTTGAACTGAAAAGTAACGGCAGAGTTATTATTTAGCAAAAAAAACATTGGGCGAGCTGGTGCTCATACCTGAATGTACGGGCGAAGCTCGTAATATTCGGTGTAGTTTCTCAGGTACTGCAACATGTCGCTGTGTTTGACGAAGCTGACGTTCTCACCCCCGAAGCTCGGGTAGTCTGGAAAGGCCAGAAGCTCTTTCGGTACGTTCACCCTGCAGATGTAGCCAATGTATCAATGCCCTAAATTACCGTAAAAGTGTTTGGTCACGGGACTGGAATTGGAGCCTGCATACCTGAGATACTTGTAAGCGCTGCTGTGCACGGGCAGGCCGTGCTCGTCGACCGTCGTGCTGTCCGTGTATATCCACATGCCGCCGACGTCCGAATTTTTCTCGAACGCCACGCACTCGAACTCGTGCGAATACTCGGCTAGGAATTTAATGGCGGTTAGACCGGCTGGGCCCGTGCCCACCACGCACACTCTTCGTCTGGCTGAACCTTCGCCGGGGGCGGCGATCACGAGAACGGCCAGCATCAACGACTTCCACCTGTAAATGCGCAATCGGTCATGCTATCGACTATTCCAAAGGCTACGAGCAAAATTCACGTAAACTCACATGTTTTCAGTAATGTTGGGCGGCAGCGTCTCAACTTTGATCTGCCGCTGCAAGAGCTTACGCGGTCGCGATTGCTCGCGCTGACTGCGCGACACAATGAATTTAAAGTCGATTTATTCTAGGACTCGACGTAGGGCCGAAACACGCGAGTAGCTCCTAATCACCGAATGAACTTGAACTGGCGACCAAAGACGCTCCTCGATGCTTCGCAAGCGATTCGTCTAGATCGTCGTAAAAGTCGCGTCAGCTCGTACAATGGCAATGGTTACGATCGTTTGGAAAAAGTTTTATGCACGACGAAGCAAAGTGTCGCAGGTGATGAATGGCCGGACAATGAGCCCATTTTTCCTTGTACGCGCGCGTTACAGGCAGGGAATGCGCCGCGCGGCAGCGTGCTGTTCGCCTGGATTATTCGTGGGCTCTGACAAATCGAGGAACGAGACGAAAGCTCGCAGACCCGGACTGCTCCAGAGCTCCGCGGTTTGAACTCCAGTGCGGGGCGGCGACGCGTTCGTAGCTGAGCCTCATCGTGACCGGGCTCGTCTCCAGATCCACCACGAAAAAGATGGCCGACCGACGAGCGAGTCTACGCGCCACGCCAGCCCTTGCCGAACTCGTCGCTGCGCTTCCCGTTCTTCAGCCGCAGCAGCAGCAGCAGCAGCAGGTCGACGATGTCGCCACGCTTCGCGCTCGACCTCTCGACAAAGATAAAGATTTCCATAAAGATGTCCCTGCTCGAGAAGGGACGCCGCCGAATCAGGTGTGCTGCTTTGAGCGCGCGCCGGTCGCACGGCAACGACGGCTTGGGCCGGACTCACTACGCGCGTAGAACTTCGGCTCGGGCTCGTCGCACGAGTTGGTCCTGATGCCAGAACTCAGCGAGGATGTGGCGCCGATGGAGAATTTTATACAGACCCTTCTCGTCTCTACGCTGCTCTCACCCTTGCTCGGCACTCTGCCCGCGAGATGAAGCCGAGCGAGAGGTTCAGCCTCGGGAACTTCTATCGCGGACTGTCGATGGAAAACAGATCGGTGCTGCCGACCACGAAATACCTCTCCGGGAACGCGTGGAAGTCTGACGAGGACGGGGTTAATGGTCTCGCTGGCCCCCATCAGCAGGAACGGCTTCTGCAGGATGTAGGCCCCAACCACTGCCTCGCGCTCGCAGCTACGGTGCAGCTCGACCAGGACGTACTCGTATGGTGGCAAAGGCATGGTGGAAATGGCCGAAAAGCCAATGAGCCGGTGTCGCGCTGACGCCGCGACGCGACCAGTAGGTTTGCTTGTACTTGGCCCGCAGGTATAACCGATTAGGATGAGTAGTATCTCGCTTGCCAGGCTCGCCAGTCCAAAGTTCGGAGATATCGCGAATGCTTGAAGAAAACAAAGTAGCGATCGACCTTTCAGCGCAACGGCACCAACGGAGCATAGCCTTATCATCGATCAAAGGAACATCGATGAATAAATAAGTTGACAGATGCAGAATAGGTTCTTGAATTCAAATGTGCAGCCGTTTTTTTTATTATATGTGCGTTGGATAGGTTCAATTTGTTGGGCTCATTTGAACGATTACGCTTCTAAGATGATCCCGTTTCGTTATTGACTTGGTTGAATTATAACTTTGCAAGTAATTGTACAAATCATTTTGATGCTTTTTTTCAATTTTTCTTGTTGAACGCATGTCAACTTCGGTGATATAAGACTCTATCGATTTCCAAATCGTTTTTGCAGCTCGAAAAAACTTCACGTTCTTACGTTTGTTGCATACTCATACTTTGAGAACAAGCCTCGTTCATTTAGGAGCTTTTATTGCAGTGCATAAGTCAAATGTAAAAATTCACAGTTTGGTCAGATTTTCACTTGTTCTGAAAATATTGACAAGTAACAAATCTTTGTTTCGTCGCACACTCAAATCCATACACTTGACTTCTCGGTTAAAAATATCGAAAATTAATAATCAAAAAAAAAAACATGTATGATTACTGCCAGGAATCACTTCGAGTCTGCTGATAAAATTCATCAATAAAAATGACATTCCATCTTTATCGCTTACCGTCAATCTTCAGATGGAATGTTACAATCGCTTTGCAATTGAACCATACGCGTTACTACAACAGGTACTTAAACGATGCGTCATACTAAGGAAAAACATTTCAGTGCATTAGCATAGTTAGCCAAGCTGGAAGTATTCTCTGAGTGCCGTGGAGAAAAAGCTAATTAATACTTAGTCTCACGCAACATGCGAGTTTTATTCAATTTTGTCTTTTTTACATTCTGTCAAGGCAACTCGCAGCATTCTTTAGTATTTGAATTCGCTATAACTGAATTCCACGTTAAGTGCAAACGCGAGGGCAAGATTTTTACCTCGTTTCTTAATCGAGATATATGATCTGTTTATATTGTCATCAAGATTTGTTTCGTGAAATGCAAAAAACAGTTTAATTGATTAAGTTCATTCTTTTTATTACAACGGTGTTATATACAACTTAATTGTATACAAATAATTTGCTAAGTCATGGTTGCTTACTTATGATTCGCTAAACGAGTCTTATTCTACAAATAATTCTAAGAGCAATAACATTTAGTATATGTAGTTATGAAGTGACAAATGTGAATTTGCAGAACAACACTAAGTTTTTAAGCATACATGTTTGACGAGGTAAATTCTAAGCAATGTCTTTTCGATCAATCGATTTCACCAGACTTTTGTCAATCAATGCTACTCGATGTCGTTTAATCGAGTCTTACATCGTGTCGAACAAATTCTAATCTGCCGTCCTCGTGAAGGACTAAATGGTACTGTCCGAAGTAAAGAGGATCGGTGAATATCATCTCGTCGGAAGCAGCCATGAACCAAGCGGGCAGAGTTTCGTAACCGGCAGCCGACGTCAAGTGTTTGTAGTAAGTAAAAATCTCCGTATTTATTGCGTTTGCCACCTGAATGTGCCGCGGTTATGAGCATCGTCTTGCAACTTAGTGTGGAAAATCATACACAAATCCCGTGGCCTAAATCAAGACGTCGGGTTTCGCCCTTCTGCCGTCCCTCAAAATTAACTCGTTGCCGTCGGCGCAGGTCCTCGAGAACGGCCAGTATCAACAATTTCTACCTGTAAATATGATGGATTTATTAAATTCATACAGTAAACGGTTCGAAAAAACACGCAGCTTCAAAAAAAGATGTAGATCAGTATCATTAACATGATATGCCAGTATTTGTTAGTACTTGAATATTTAATACTTTTTACTTTACATAGACAGCGAAATCCTTGTAGACTCATCTGCATAGGCTAATCCAATGTTGTTTTATGCTTGTGTCTTTGCTTCATTCTATGTCTGTCAAATTTAGCTTCATTCGTTCTAAGAAAATAAAGAGTTAGGGTGACGGAAAATAATGATATCTTTTGTAAATATTGCAATCTAAATTTAGTCAATTCAATAAATACTAAAGTGAGATCAATATAATTATCTGAAGTAGAAGAAAGATTGTGAAAAATCATGATCAAATAAAAGTATAATTTTATAACATTACAAAACTAAACAAAATAATAGTTCTAGGAATATTTGAATTTAGTATTTAGACCAAATTGCATAATCTTTTTTGATTGTTTGCATATTTAAACTATGCATTTTATTTGAGTTGCCGTAAAATATTTGAATTTTCAGACACAAATCACCAATCAATCAATGTGTAATCCACCAAATAAGTGTATAAATTTGAATATTGAGAAAAAATAGATTTGATCGAGTAATGATATATGGACGATTTGATATAATCCTTAAAATAGTCAGGTACGTAAATTTTAATATTAAGGAAAATTAGATTCGATTGAGTAATAGCTAATTGAACAATGTTTAATCCATCAAATAGTCACGTGTAGGAATTTTTAATATGAAGGAAAAGTAGATTCGATTGTTGAGTGATTAATTTTTAAGAATACACTTGAAATGTAAATAAGGAAATATTAAAAATGGCTTATAACGATTTCTGCTGGAGTTATTATCAGAGTCAGTATACTAATTATCATCAAACAATTTAATTTTATCGAGTTACAATTTAACATACGTGCAGGCGAAAAGAGTAAGTTAATCAACAATTCAAATCTTCGTGACGATGTAAATATTAAAATTTTTTTTGTCAATGACATTTGATGTTGTAGGTAATGTACTTATATCATTGTTTCGTAGAAAATTCCTCTCTTAATGAGTGAATGACCCGATAAGTGAAGCCATTTTATTCGTGAGCTAATTGGCTGTATGTTGTGGAGTGACTTGCTGTTATGTCATATACGTTATGACATCGTGTGATACATGTATAATGTACGTGTATAGGGTACACAGTACCTTAATTAATGGCTAGCCCTTAGATATTTTACTTAATCGACATATTATCGATTAAGTAATTGAATTAAAAATAAGTATAACAAAATAATATAATAAAGTAATCATATATTGCTCTACTTCAATTATATTTATTCTCTGCCGATATTAGAATGTACTGAATAACTTTGTTATAACGTTTAGCTTTGAATAAACGTTAGCAGGGAAGATGAATATAAATTGATAGATTATATGTCATATAAATTACTGTGAATAATAAGTGATTATGCCTCACTCGCTGTATTAATTTATTCATCAAATTAAAAAAAAATAAATTAATAAACGTAAACAACACTTGACAATTGTCACGGCTGAACAGTTGAAATGTAATAGCTGTGTTGATTGTTGAAAGCGGAATTTCGGAAAATTATTTTGAGAAAATAACGGCAACGAATTAACCAAATTACAATATTATCGTGAAAAGAATACGCTTGTTGATATGGAATTATCGCACAAACAGTTGGAGATCATGAATAATAAATATGTTAGAAAAGAAAGAATATTAAATGAAGCGCAGCTGACATTTCCATTGATTAAGAAAAATAAAACGGAAATTAAATTAAATTTGAAATGGTTATGAAATCTGAATATCAACGTAGACGAATAATTACTTACAAATTAATATTTACGGATGTTGAGCAGTTCAGCTCGTGTACATTTAAAAATTTGTCAAATTCCTTTTAACCACTACACGTGTTTATTGAAAAATATAACGTCGATAGATTATTTTACCGACAGTTTCCGCATCTGTAGACGGAAATTACACAGCGAACAAATATACGATTATTAATTATACCAATAAGTAAAATAGTATATTTTCATGAAAACTTGAACTATTTGAACTCAATTGAAAATGTTGTTCAATAGGGATATGTCCGAATGATACAACTGAGCGTCGACGGGTGTTTTCGTAAGGACCGATCGCGGTTGACTCTCGCGCGTGAGATCGGCTGGCGCAAGCGGGCAGATGAGCCGCTCGGAGTTGTACCATTCGAGTTGTGCGAATCCAAGAAGCGGATTTCACCCACAAAAGGCTTCTTTTGTAGCGCAGCGAATGAAAAATAATTATATGTGCGATAGCGCTCAAAGCGCGACAGACGGACGCGCCAAATTTCAATTCGCGCAGCATTGACGTCAAAGTAAAGAAATGAGAAATGTGTTAGCGGGTAATTTGCAAAGGAGTGCGGTGCGCGCGAACATTTATATTCGTACAACACTTGCGATTAGGATTTAATTAAATACTTTTGTTCTCAGTGAGTTCAACTAATTGATTGAATCAATCGGCGCACTTGCGTCGTGCGAGATTCGCGCTCGAGCGAAGCGAGGCTGAAATTGACTTTCCAGCACTAGTTAGGTAACGCACTATCAGTCCTAATAATTATAAATAAAAATAACGATCGCTCAAATACGGGTCGTCGATGAACTTACCACTATGCGCAAAATCATATTTATACGATGACGCAATGGCTTTATTCTTTTACCGTCACCTACTTTGTATTGTAAATTGGCAAAATCTCGTGCTATGGGACGAACACTTGTTGCGGTTTATTGTGCGTTCATTGCAAATGACGAATAACGGTAATTCCTAAATTATGCAAACGTGTGACATTATTACATTCTTGCACCAGATTTTCGCTGGTCGGACATCTCATCGATCGAATGTGTTTAAAGAACGTATAATAATTTAGATATAATTCAATTCGACCAGTAAATATCGATGGCGTATAAGTAATTCTTGAATCTTTTGCAAATACCGATAATATTAATGCGACAGTACTTACCATCTGCGAAGCTTATCTTCTGAATTTATCCGACTAACAATGTCATAATGATACTTAAATGTTTCACAAATTATCATTGTTAATTATTATTATTATTATTATTATTATTACTTAATAGTGATATATAATATGTTACAATATTGACTTGATTAACATTACCCTAATATCTTTTGTCGTTAACATCGACATTCAACGAGGAAAATCGGAGCGATGACTCTTTGATATCGTCTCGTAACGTAACACAACAATACTTTCAAATATTTACTGAACCTGTTTGCATTAGGTAAGGAGCGACTGATTGCGACTGTATATAAGCTCAGAACAGTGGTAGCTCGACTAACAGTTGAATATGAAGTACTTTCGACACCGACAAAAACTGACGCCATGTAAATAATACTCACCTATAGAAACTAGCATTTATATTGATTTCGATAGATACAAATTCGAAATATTTACAGGTGGAAATCGTCTTTGATTCTCGCTGTCGTCGCGATTGCTGTTCTTGGCAAAACCACGTCAAAGAAGAAGGTTTGCGTGGTCGGCGCGGGCCCACCCGGACTTACCACGATCAAATTTCTAACCGATTACCCGCACAAGTTCGAGTGCGTGGCATTTGAGAAAAAATCGGATATCAGCGACATGTGGATCTTCACGAACAGCTCATCGTTCAAGCGCCACATGGCCATGCGCGATAAATATCTCAGGTAGGCTCCAACTTCATTCCAATACTCGAGCATTTTGACGGAAATTTGGATCATTGATACGTTGGTTGCATCCGCAGCTTAATCAAGCACAGTCACCTGTTGCAGTACCTGAGAAACTACACCGAATATTACAAGCTTCGCCAGTACATCCAGGTATGCCGAGCACCAGCTCGTCCCGTCACTTTTTTGCAAGATGATAATAACTCTACCGTTACTTTTTTCAGTTCAACATTATGGTGGAAAAAGTACTACCCCTGTCAAAATTCAAATGGGTCATGAATGCTCGCGACTTGAAAACTAGAAAGCTCGATAGAATAGTTTGCAACGCTATCATACTCGCCACAGGGTGAGCATCGATTGATCTATTGATTGCAAAAGAAAAGCTCCAAGAAATCATTCTTCCAGGCATTTCGTCAAGGGATATAGTCCGGTAATACGCGGCATAGGGAGGGCCATCAAAAAACAGTTGCGCACTCACTTGTACCGCGAACTCGAGAAGTTTACTAATCAAACCTTTCTGATGCTGGATACCAGCTACTCCGGTCGTATGAAACCACATTCCCATGACTTTCACATCAGTATACGATACGGCTAGTAAGTGACTTTCGAATTTCATCCAGTAAGTGCAGGAAATAACGGGCGCCGACGGCGACGAGTTGATCTTGAGCGACGGCCACAGAGTGAAAGTCGACGGCTGATTTACGCTGCGTACCTGGACGAAAGCAGCGGCATCAAAATGAACAAACGGATCGAGTACGCGTGCGAGTACCTGAATCACGTCGCGCGCCTGGCCATGGCCATCCCAAACGTACCGTATCCACGTCTTGCTATTCTGAAATCTCAGGCTCAGTTAAGACCGAGACCGATAGTCTTTGTCGGACATGCAGTTGCGTCCACTGCTCCATGTGAACGTTTCAGTTGGCTTACACATCGCTGTGCTCAGGGGCAAGCTGAAGTTTTGTCCAGTCGCAAGCCGATGCTCAAATCCGCGGCGCTTCAAGCTGGCAAACGCAACAGCGATGCTCACCTCGCGAACAAGAAGAATTTTGCCTATTACAACAACCTGATTCTGTTCGTTTGGTTCATGGCTACTTTCGACAAGAATACCAAGAGGATATTCGCCGATTCTCTTCACTTTAGACAGTAAAATTTCATTCTTTAGAATGATGGTGGTAACCTTGAATTGGTTCATCGCAACGTGAAACTTGATGAAATCATACTTAGTAAAACTGACGTGAACCAAACCTTAGTATTGTCAACTTAGAGGTATTGCTCATCATGGACGTATCAGACATATATTTGTACAAAACTTATTCTTTACGTATCTCAAATGCGATGTACAATGCAATTGATCCTTAGTCTCGTTAAATACTAGATGTACAAACGTAATAAAAGTACAATAAAAATAATAACATGAAAAATTGAATTTTTCTTTGCATTCGATGCTTATAATATAGAATAGGAAGAGCAAAAATGCGATCAAGAGGCAGGTATTGACGTTGTTCAACCTTGGTAGACGTAAACATTGTCGTTGGCGCGAACCGTTCCAGGGCGATAAAGGCCGCAATAGATGCCAATTGTCGGAGCATTCTTTTCCACCGTATCCAAGACGTTGTCCTTTATTTTGCGGTAACTGAAAAGTCAAAGGTAATGGATTTAAAAAACATTAACGAAGCCGAGACGATTTACACTTACGATTTCAATGTTTTCAGTGTTTCGTACGAAGGATCGGGCACTCCTGTATCGGGGTCCACTCTCGTCATTGAACACCTGAAAGTTGTTTCAAGATATACTTTTCATTCCTTTTATTCATATTTTTTGTTATTCCTATGCATTATGATTAAACTATCGTGTTTTGAATCGCCAAGGCCACCTCGTGCATAGCTTGAACCGCCGTATAATCGCTTGGTCCCCAATTTTAATCCACTCCCAGTCATCCTCTGCGTAAGGAACCTCGCAACCTTCCACGACGATATTTGGCCGTAGTTGTAAAGCTGGTATAGGTCTCGACATTCGCTGATTTAAATCGAAAACCGACTCATTTGACAGCAGCATGTAGCTGGCCAAATCGGAGAATAGACCCTGTAATTACATTGCAATCAATGTAGCTTAATCGACAAATAATAAATAATATATTATCGTTGAAAATACGCGTACCGAATCTTCATTTCTCATATTAGGATAAACTTTGGCCCAGGGTTCCCAGGCTCCCTCCGTAATCATTCGACGGTTCTGAGGAATGCGCAGAGCCACCCTCAATCCAGACTCTGTGTTGTTCAGGTATCTAACGCGTCGCGAACAAATGAGCAATGCTTCCGACGGCTCAAAGACTAAGTTGATAAAAGTGACGCGAAGGCATACCTTGAGAGCCACCTGGCAGGTTCGGAACCGCAATCGATACCATTGACACGTTCACCGAACCACATGATGAAAGGAACCGGTAGAGAATCATAATCCGGTAGATCGAACTCTAAAGGTCGCACGTCGTCTGCTTCGAACCTCGCTCGATTGAGATTCACGAAGCTACACTCGACCAGCAGTAGCTTTGGATGACTGCGACCCGTCACGAATTTCCTCGTATTTTCGTCGAAAACGACGAACATCCTGTTGAAGACAGATCACCCTACCTACAGTGCACTCGGGAGATTGGCTGGCTGTCGGAGCATTCACCTGTCTTCGATGTAGCGATCCCCTCCGTCGATGGAAATGCCGTACTCGCCGAAGAAGCACTCTTTCACGGACTTTCCCTTGCCCGACTTCAAGGGATAGCAGAACAGCCGGCAGACATTGGCCACCTTCTTCCACGACGTGTCCGGGCTCGACAGCACCTTTTCGCGCAGTTTCAGCTCGTCTGTTGACAAACGCGATTGTAGACGAACTTGTCCAAGTCGCACGATCGACGTGCACTGTACCTCTCAGCTTTTTGTTTCGCTTGTACCACACCAAGGCCAAGCTCGAAAGCGTCAGCGCGCCAGCGCTCATCAAAAATATTTTCAGCCCGTCCTGAAATCACATTTCCCCATTTTCTTTTTTCCGCGGGGAGGACTCGAAGGAACGCACGGAAATATTTTTTCTCGCTATACTCACGTTCTTCAGCGACATCTTGCACGACTGTTCTTAACGCGCGTCGATGCCTAAATCAGAAACTAGTAGAATTATGAAAGTTCAGATCGTACTACTCGCGTGCACTGTAGTTCACTGCGCTCGTGCCGGCTTACTCCGGAGAAGCTATTCCGCAATCACTTCGGTTTCTTTTTCTTCGCGTAAGAGACAATGTAAATGGTAATTTATCGCTCCGGAGATAGCAATTCTATACGTAAGCCGGAAAACTCAAAGTACACATCTGCGTCGACTACGAGTGCGTTGAGCAGCAATCAATTCAATTAAATAACGAGACCCTCGGTACCAATGGTTTGCTTGAAATTATTTGCGAAAAACAATGATATCCATAAAATTTACATCTTGTATCTGCTGCTCAATTTAGTAAATGAATAAAAACAACAGACACGCACGAACACACACACACACACACACACACACACACACACACACACACACAACACAACACAATCTTATAGTTAAATGTCGCCCGATGAAACGTTTGATCGACGATTGTTCTCACTGGGCGCTGATGTATTTGTCTACGAAATCGTAGCCTGCGTTGTACCTCAATATTTCCTTATAGACGATAAACTATTGGATAAATCTTACGACTTTATTCCCTCTATGTTTACTCTTGAATGAACACAACCGTCATTATTTTTACCTGAATGTGTTCCGATCGGGTTACACATCAATTTGTCGGTGATGAAAAATGGACGGCGGCAACGAAATTGTAAATGTGTCAAGATCGAACAAGAAAAGCGTTACAGGCGCAATCGAAAATTTCGCTCTGAGCGTTCGCAAAAAATAAAACGTGCGTTTCTGAAGCGTCTCAGCTGGCGACTGACATTACAGCTCCACATGCGCGAAGTGAAAGTAGACGTATCGTATAGAGGTAGAGAGGGGAGTTGCGGAAGATTCATGAGCGTGACATGCGCCAAAATTCGAAGACGTCAGAGGGTATAAGATTTTATTTATCCCAGAAGAGATAACGAGAACAACACGTACAGCCAATGTGTATACGACAATCGAGCATCACTTACCGAAACCTCGCTCGATCGTGCGATAAGTGCATAAAAACAGATAGAAATTTGAATATTATTATCTACCGTGCATATCCTAGAGATACATTACGTTATCAAGAGTCGCGCGGTCGATTGTGGGACTTGATCTTTAAACTTCTCGATAAACATAAACATCGTCGTCGACACGAACGGTCCCGGTGCGGTAAAGCCCGCAGTAAACGCCCATCGCGGGCGAGTAAAATTCCAGTTTGTGGAGCACGGGATCTCGTAATTTGCGGTAGCTGTGAAAATAATATTCGTGCGAATCGTTTCGTCTGTCGTGTTTTCATTTCTCGCTCATTACCTGCGCAACGTTCTCAGCGGCTCGCACTTGGGATCGGGTATGCCGGTCTCGGGGTTGACCGTCGTCATGGTACACCTGCACAATGGCAAGAGTGAATTTGCAGCGCCGCTCGAGAGCTAATAACGAGTGCGCCCACCTCGTGCACAGCTTGAATCTTCGGATGATCGCTCGATCGCCGATTTTCATCCAATCCCAGCCATCCTCGGCGTACGGTCCGCAACCTTGCACCACGATGTTTGGCCGCAGTTGAATAGGCAAGATCGGATTGTCCAAGCGCCCGTTCAGGTCGTTCACGGAGTCTTCCGATATCAACATGAAACTGGCTAAATATGCGAATAGACCCTGCGGTATCGTCGAAGCGCGATAAGTCTGATGAAGGCTCCTGTGAGAATTCCGGAACTTACTGAATCTTCATTCCGCAGGCGTTCGTAAGCTTTGGCGTAGGATTTCCATGGTCCATCCGTAACGTTCCGTCTTTGGCCTGGAATTCGTACAGCCAACCTTATCCCGTAATCCGATCCACTCAAGTATCTAAAATACGAATTTTATGGTCAATAATGGATGTATACGATTTGTTTAATATTGGTCATTGATCCACGACAAGAGCTTGGAAGTTAGGGCTACGGAAAATTCAGAAAATCGTGTTGACTTACCGCGAGAGCCACCTGCTGGGTTCGGCTCCGCAATCAATGCCATTAACTTGTTCGCCAATCCACATTGTGATCGGAACCGGTTGCGACTTTAAGTCTGGCAAATCAAACTCCAGCGGTAACGCGTTCTCAACCTCGAGTCTCGCTCGATTTTTACTCACGAAAAACAATTTGACTACGAGCAATTTCCTGTAAGTGCCAGCCGTCACGGATTTTCTCGTTTTCTCGTCGTAAGCTACGAACATCCTAAAGCGACAAACAAATAAGTGTGTATTCGGAAGAGTGCCATTTATTTCATGAAACTCTTACCTATCTTCGATAGGACCAACGTTATCGTCGGCAACGATACCGTATTCACTGAAGTAACATTCTTCCACGGATTTAGCTTTGCCCGATTTCAGCGGATAGCAAAAAAGCTCCGTGACCCTGGCTACTTTCTTCCATGATGTTTCTGGGCTCGATAAAATTTTCTCCCGAAGTTGTTTCTCTTCTGACAACGAATATTATTTTAAATGATAGAGTTATTGCCAATAATGAGCCTCTTAAAATTTACTTGTTTTCTTTTTAATGGCTCCATACCAAGTCGCAGCCAAGCACACAAGCACCAGTACGCCATTGCTAACCAGAAATGTATTCAGGCCATTCTGACGTGAAATCATTCTTTTGAACTACAATAACAATAATAGAAATATATTGAGTAACTATTTCCGTTACTTACTGTGCTTAATGTCATTTCAATTCAACTGTTGTTTTAACAATGGGACCTCTGCCAGACAAAATAACGAACAGGCCGACTTGACTTGCAAATCAAACTATTCAAATGTAGTCCAATGCTTGTCTAATGTTAATTTAGGTTCAAGTAAAAAGTAAAGTATCTATTTTTCAACCTTTTCTTTCGATTAATGAACTATAAGATAATGTTCACTCGCTTAATCAATTGCTTAAATTACAGATTAGAATTTGCAGTCAGTCACAATAAAAGAAGCTGTATTAACTGGGATAACTTTTATCCATCTTACAATTTGGATTATCGGTATTCAAACTTGCGAGCAGGTATCTATGTTACCAAGTGCTTTCGGATGTGCATATCACTTGAATTGGCCGCCTGTAGATGGCAAGAATTTGAAAAGCTATTTTAATAATTGAGAAGAGATTTTAATAAGAAATGTACGTTTAAGTGCTTTAATATTTCTTGAGCTTTGTTGCAAACAAAATAAATAAGAGATAAAAAAAGCTATACTTGATAATATTACAATCGACCTCTACGAATATTTCATATATCTACCTCGTCGATAGTAGTTCTGGCCCACATTCTTTCATGAAGTTTATTGGACGGTTAAAGGGTTGTTCGAGTAAGGCTGAGCCGTATCATAAGTTTGCAATTAGTCAATTATTTTATTGTTCAAAACTTATACAAAACCAGTTGAACTTTTAATGAACGCAAAGAATTTCGTAACGGAAGAACAATGAAATGCAATCTGCATTTAATGGTTCCAATTCGTACGACGAAAAGTGTAATAAATTGTCAATCGCCATGGTAGACATAAACGTCATCGTTCAAGCAAACCGTTCCAGCGCGATAGAGGCCACAGTACACACCAATGGTGGATGCATAACTTTTTAGTTTGTTCAATGCAGGATCCTTTAGCCTACGGTGTCCGATGATTAAAGTTATCTTGTTATTTAAAGTACCTACCGTTTCCAACATCGTTCAGGTACTTACGTTCGCGAGGTTTTAAGTGGTTCGTATTTTAGATCTGGTATGCCAGTGTCGGGATCAAACCTTGACATTACGCCTCTTCGATAATTACAATATTGATAGAACAAATAAAGTTAAGTAAGCATCATGGACCACATTTATGATTGTTTTGCAAAAAGACTTATTCGTGCATCATTTATTCAATGATTTAATATCGATCGAATGTTGAGAAACACAAAGTTCTCACCTTTTGCGCCACTTTAATCGCCGTATAATCGCTTGCTTGCCGATTTTAATCCACTCCCAATCATTCTCATCGCGAGGCTGGCAACCTTCCACCACGATATTCGGTCGCATTGGCAGTGACTGTATCGGTCTCTCGATTGAATTGTTCGAATCGTCTCGCGGCATTATCACGTAGCTGGCTAAATCTGAGAAGAGACCCTGTAGTTTCGATCGAATTAACGAAGAATACCATTGGCAATAGCAGTGTATACTGCACGCTACCCGAGCTTAACTCACTGATTCATCGTCTCTCACGTTGGGGTAAAGCTCGGCGTGCGACTTCCATGCTCTTACGATGTCTCGACGCTGATTAGGCGCCCGCATGGCCAGTCTAATTCCATAATCTGAACCATTTAGATACCTTGCAACATGAAAATTGACCCTTCAATCTCGATTTCAGAGCATCATAGGCACGTAATAAACTCTCGAGAAAAAAGCGATTGGAGAAGTTTTCTTTCCGAAGTGCCGGCGACTTGGTTTCGAATTCTAATTTCTTCCGAATGACAATTGCAATTTTTCAACAAACACGTACTGCGAAAGCCATTTGCTCGGTTCTGGTCCACAGTCGATACCGGTGACGCATCCGCCACACCACGTTATTAACATGACCGACTTCACTTGTCTCACATCCGGCAAACTAAACTCCAACGGCGGCATACTGGAGGTCTCGAGTTTCGCACGATTTTTGGCGAGGAAGGTCAGTTTGGCGAGCATCAGTTTCGGGTGTGAACGCGCTGTCACGAGTTTGCTTGTATTTTCGTCGATAGCTATGAACATCCTGTCGTCGTGGTAAAACACGCGACGCGTAATGTCATTTTGCTGATTATCGTCAATTTATATTTGTCAGATCGGCGAGATCTGTGATATGGTTTTGTCAACGAACCTATATTCCGCAGGACAAACCTCTCGGTGAGTGGTAACGCCGCGTTCGCTCAAGCGGCGCTCTTCGACGGAAATGACTCCGCCCGATTTCAGAGGACAGCCAAGCAGCTTCTTAACTCTGGCTACTCTTCTCCACGATGCGTCTGGACTCGAGAGGATTTTCTTCGCGAGTTTTCTTTCGTCTGTTAACGCGAATTATTTCGCGATGTACACATCGACTACCGAGACAACGTATAGTTTTGTCAAAATATTGAAATGCTCACCTATGATCTTTCTGTAGTTGTCGTACCAAGCAATACCCAAGCTCATAGCGGTCAGTGCGCTTGCACTCATGAGAAACGCAGTCAAGCCATGCTAAAATCGAGCACTCCCGCGTCATTTGGATATCCAACGTAACTATTAAATGGTAGTTCGTACTTACCATCCTTCCGCCAAATAATATACTAAGTGGCATTTTTCAAGGGGAAATAATTTACCCGAAGTCCTGATATTTCATTGATTTTCAAGTAGCTGCTCGGTCATGACGACGAATGACGAATAAAGCAATTGTTAAGGAAAAAGAAAAGGAAGCGATATTTGAAGAACATGCCCGCGTGCCTCGGTCTCGCTCTACCTACTGGACGGTCCGTTCGTTTGCTATCCGTTATCTAAGCGTCGGTGCGCACTTATTATTACCTCGCGAGAACGGGCAATTTGGGATTACTTAAATAGCGATTTCGCGTGGGTCTGCGAAGATTTTCGAGGGCACGAAAGTGCACACGCGAGCGACGACGCGGCAAACAGCTGGCCGGGTAGCCGCGCGACATCTCTCTAGCTCTCGGCGATACTGCGCGATTAGATACGAAGTCCCGTCCGATATCCAGCCTTCGCGAACGCTCTGGCTCGCTGGCAACGAGCAAGGCGATATCGTCGCGACATCCGGGGGGATCGCGAGCGCCGACAATCATGCTCAATCGCGCGACGAGTACCGCAGTGTCGCGGACAAGAGCGACAAGTCGGCGTCCCTCTCAGTGCGTGTCCACGACGCTCGGAGATGCTCGCGAACGGATTCGCGCGCGCGTGCCTCCTCGCGGCGATAATAGCCGCCTCGAGCGGGCAGCTCGAGCGCGCCGACGATGGTGAGCGGCGAGCGCGGCCAGCGGCAAGTTGATCGTCCGCTTCTGCAGTGTGTGCTTTTCTGTGTGTGCAGGCTTCGAGGCAGCCTTGGGCCACTTGCGCCCGAGCGCCTCGCCGGGCGCGCAGACCGACGCGGCGAGCAGCTTGATCGCGAGGCTCTTGGGGAGAGACGCGTCGCGCTTCCGCGCGCTCGTCGATCCGAGCACGAAGCCCGTGGGCAAGGACATTTTCAAGGTGCGTATGCGTGGTGGTTGGCGGTGCGCCCAGTGGCGAGCGAATAACGAGCGACGAAACGACAGCTGAAGGCGATCGGCCCCAACGAGATCAAGATCACCGGCTCGTCGGGCGTAGCGGTCGCGTGGGGTCTGCATTACTATCTCAAGCACTATTGCGACTGCCACGTGTCCTGGGAGGGCTCGCAACTGAAACTGCCGACGCGATTGCCCGACGTCGACGAAACTGTCGTTTCCAACGATCGGTACGTTAATGTTGCCGTTGAAGCCTGACGAGCGCGCCAATGGGACACCGGACGAATGAAAGTACGCGCAGTTTCAGGTACTATCAGAACGTTTGCACAGCTGGCTACAGCTCGACCTGGTGGAACTGGGAACAATGGGAGAAGAACATCGACTGGATGGCCTTGAATGGCATCAACTTGGCATTGGCGTTTCTCGCGCAGGAAGCCGTCTGGCTGAAGGTTTATCTGAAGCTTGGCCTCAGCAAAATGGAAATCGATCAGCACTTTGCCGGACCGGCATTTTTGCCATGGTAAACGCAAGCGACGTCAGGGCGGCTGGCTGCGTTCGCCGAGCGTCAATCTGGTTTTTCATCAGGTCGAGAATGGGAAACATTCGTGGGTGGGGTGGTCCGCTGTCCGAGTCCTGGCACGGCTTTACGATCCAGCTGCAGCGTCGGATCTTACAGCGTATGCGAGAACTTGGCATAGTGCCCGTGCTACCGGCTTTCGCCGGACACGTGCCACGGGATTTCGCACGAGTTTTCCCGAACGCCAGCGTGAGCAAAGTCATGCGATGGAACAATTTCGATGATAAATATTGCTGGTAAGGCTCGCGAGTTGGATACATTGTTGTGGACTTTCTTCGAGGGCAAACGTTTGTTTGTTTTCTAGTCCGTACATGCTGGATCCTACCGACCCCTTGTTTCAGACCGTTGGCGAAGAATTTTTGAAAACGGTAAGACTGACTTTTTGTACAGACGCGCCTTACTTATAATGCGATTTGGTTTTGCAGTACATCGAACAGTTCGGCACCAACAACATTTACAACTGCGATTCGTTCAACGAGGTAGATCCGAGGAGCAGCGATCCGGAATACATAAGGCAGACCGGCATGGCGATATTTTCGTCGATGCGCAAAGCCGATCCCGATGCCATTTGGTACGATAGCCGATAACGTTATCAAGTGCACCATTCGATAAAGTACCGGAGATCTGTAATTTCAGGATGATGCAAGGATGGTTATTCGCTCACGCTGCTGACTTTTGGAAGAAGGAACTTGTGAAAGCTTTGGTGACGTCTGTGCCTATTGTGAGCATTGTTCACACTTCGAATGCGATGTGGTTCTGCGTTTGCAATGATCAATCATGCTTGTATTTCTGTCGTGTATAGGGAAAAATGATAATATTGGATCTCCACTCGGAAAAGCAGCCTCAATATCACAAATTCGACTCTTATTACGGTCAGCCATTCATCTGGTGTATGCTACACAATTTCGGTGGCACGCTCGGAATGTTCGGATCCGCAGATATTATCAATGAAGTAAGCCTTCTAATTATATTATATTTATTTTAGGAGTCTCAGAGAGCTTTTTCTAATTACATGCACTCACGCGTAACTGATTTAGAGGGTTTTCGAAGGAAGGCAGATGAACGGAAGTACTATGATTGGCACAGGACTCACTCCGGAAGGGATCAACCAGAATTACGTCATTTATGACTTGATGAATGAAATGAGTTACAGGAAGAAACCAACCGATCTCGATAATTGGTGTGTACTGCAGCTGCTAGGGTATCAATTGTTTTCAAAACGCTAAATAAACGTTTTCAGGTTCGCTAAGTACGCAGATCGAAGATATGGGGTTGTTGACGACACTGTAAGAACGGCGTGGACAAATTTGGGCAAGTCCATTTACAACTACAAAGACCCTCGTAATATCAGAGGCCATTACGTCATCACGATGCGTCCAAAGATCATCATCCCAATATGGGTAATATTTCAAGTGTAAAATGTAAGCTCACGACGTAGTTTCTTTTTTGTTCCTAACCCAACGTCTTCTTTAGTACTGGTACGAACTGAAGACCTTCTTTGACGTGTGGACGGACTTCAACAAAGCGAGCAATGCGACGACAACCAGCGAATTGTTTAAGCACGATCTCGTTGATGTTTCGAGGCAAGCTTTGCAAGTCTCGGCTGATTTTATTTATCGCGACATCAAAGAGGCGTACTTATCGGGCAACATTACCAAACTTCGGTAAGCACTGAATTTCACGATGCACAAACAAGCCTTCGTCTCGATAAATCTCAACAAATCGCTGGCCGATCCACAAACAAAAGCGCGCGCAGGTGTATTTTATTTATTGCGCCTGATAAAAGCGAGTAAGGTTTTCGGCTCTCACGAGATAACCTGCGTAGATTGCGCCCCGAGCATCGAGAGAAGATAACGATCGAAAGCTCTCGGAAATGTCCGAAATGATCAACGAGATGAAAGGATATCGTTCGGCGTTTTCAGGTCCGCGAGCTCTCTTCTGCTAGAGCTTTTCGACGACCTCGAGAAAATTTTAGCCAGCAGTAGAGATTTCCTCTTGGGCACGTGGCTGGAATCGGCCAAATCCGCAGCACCGAGCAGCAGCAAAATCGAGCGCGAAAATTTCGAATTCAACGCGCGCAATCAGATCACGCTCTGGGGTCCGAGCGGCGAAATAGTCGATTACGCTAACAAGCAATGGTCGGGCGTCATGAGAGACTATTTCAAAGCCAGGTGGGCGATATTTTTAACGGCGTTGGAAAACTCATTGCAAAGACACGTGGCGTTCAGCGGACGCAAAGTCAAGCAACGAATTTTCAACAAGGTGGAATTGCCCTTCAGTTACTCAAGGAAAGCTTATCCGACGACACCGACAGGTAATGATACACAATTATAATAAGTCATATTGATTGGAAGCAGCGTATATGCGTTTTATAGCGTGTTACAATCGACATTGCACGTTTCAGGTGACAGTATACTGATTGCTGCTAAACTGTACAACAAGTGGCTGAAACTATGGAAATGATCAGTCATCATATGTGTATATATATCATCCGCGCTCGTGTATGATGGAAGTAAACAAATATATATATATATATTTATATATATATTTTATGTGTGTATATATATGTGTATGTATATATATACATGTACCTACACGTGTGTTTTTTTATTATTGATTGAGTGATATATATAAATATAACTTTTTTACTAATTGCAGTTGCGTTATTTATTGTTTATATGGCACCTTATCAAAATTGCTGTTGATATTGCATCCATATACGTGACAATTGTGTATACTTAATTATAATTCTATCATACATCGTAACTAAATGATTATAATTGATTCTTACAATTGGATTTATGATAAGAATCGAAATATTTTTTAATATGGATACAGGAACGTTTTCTTTCGCTTAAATGAATGACACCATGACTAATGCAGCTACTAAATGCAATAGTTATTTATAAACTGAAATTAAGTTTTTTGTGCCAATCGCCACTAAACCAATTCCCTCTCTTCCCGTTTTTGTTTCTAATCGCATAACAAATTTTTTTATTTCTATCCAAGGGCATCATAAAAATTTTTAATTATAAAAAATAATAAAGAAAACAATAATATTAATTAATCTATTTGTCATCCGAAACGGGAGAAAACCGCATTCTGAAAATTAACGCCGAAGGCGTACATAATAATACCATGATAGCGTTAATTTAAATTATCAATAAGTAAGGAAACTGCTTGATCGGTAAAAGCGTGTCATATTTAGTGGCGTTGGTGCGGTGGCTTAAACGCGCGCGCGTGCATCGTTCTTATACGTATAGTACCGACCTTGTGCATTCCGATCTCTCGTACTTGTGTATTCTTTTAACATAGCACGCACACAATATATATGCATATATATACAAAAAGAGAGAGAGAGAGAAAGAGAGAAAGAGAGAGAGAGAAAGAAACTCCCACTCTATGACGGTGTGCGTCGTCCGTTTGAGTCTCCCTTACTCTTTACTCCCCTCCATATACTAGCTAGCTTGTCTACATCAGTGCATGCGTGTACACATATACGTTGCTGCTGCTGCTGCTCTTCCGAGATTCCGAGGAGACGAGAGACGAGACAGAGAGAAAGAGAGCATTGCACTCATTGGTGTACGTGTTCCTGGCTGTTTCGCCGTCTCTCTGTCCTCGACATTGGTGAAGCTGCATGCTGAACCTACAGCAAGAAACCGTCGTCCCTTGGTACGTTTGCCTTCTTATGTGAGATATACTCTACACGCAAATATATATGAATGTATGCGCGAGCGAGCGAGATAGACATTTGCATGTTCTACTGGGGCGAGCGAGAGAATGAGAGTATCTTGACCCTGGGACTCTTCAACGCTCAGCATGATTCTCTGGTGAAGTATTCGGTCTCTGTTTACTCCGGAGCAAAAGTCTATAAATACAATGACGGAGTTCCGTTTTTTGACGTTTATTCTCTCTCTCTCTCTCTCTCTCTCTCTCTCTCTCTCTCTCTCTCTCTCTCTCTCTCTCTCTCTCTCTCTCTCTCTTTCGCTCTCTCTCTCTCTCTCTCGCTTGCTCTCGTGACACACCATCGACTGTCTTACGAAATACGTGCAATGACGGCGATGCCTGGGGCTTTTTTCGCATAGACCTGTTGTGCTCCCTAGGTGAACGAAAATGTCTCTGAGGGATTTGGTGGAAGGTGAATGTGGAGGTCCGAGTCCCTTGATTCGTCTTACCTCGCACTTTGTCAAGGACCATGGCCTCAAGGAGGAAGGGGTTCGAGAGCTATTCGGCTCACTGGGACCCTTTGAAGCTGGAGATTCAGATCAGTTGGTCAAACAATTCCTCGAGGAAACACAAGCTCATCCTACTACCTTCAAGATGGATAATCTTCTGCAGGAGATGAGAGACATTGATCACAGCATACATGCTCCTGTCACTGCACCTGGTGTTGTTCAAGAGTTGACTAGCCAAGACACTGCTTGGGCCAATCAGTATCTGCAGTCTGGTGGCCATTTTCAAGTAAATTTACATATACCTTCTAATATGCTTTATCTTGTGCAATGTGACTCGCCATTTTCTTTATTGTATAACAATTGAAAAAGTTTTCAATCTCTCAGATAATATTTGTTTTATAGGAAATACATTCAGATGATATCTGGAATGTCCACCCAGTTGGAGATACCAAAGTTGCCTTTCCAGGAGAGACCCGTGAGCTGGGTCTTGGTCCCCAATGGGCAGAAGAATATTTGGAACAACGCATTGAGCCTGATGGCAAAGAAAACTCAGAATTTGCTTACTCAAAGTTCATGAAATTCATGCGACAAGAGGGTGATTTACCATTAGAATCAGCTCCAGTTTCCAATGTTCAGGAATCTTTTGAGAAATGGACATCTGAATTCACTGAAACTGAAAATACAAAACCAGCTGAGGTTGTTACAGATGAGAAACCCAAACAAGACGATCCAAATCCTTTGAGTGCTGTTGATGAACAGAATGCTGTTGCTGGTAACTGGATAGACGAGTTCACAAACAATGACAATCAAGGTAATATTAGTAAAAGGTTCTGATTTTCAAATTTCAACAAATTGGTTTTTAAAAAAGTCACTTAAAATATCATATCTTTTTCAACTAGAATTAACACCAATTGGCAACTTAACAAGTGGTTGCCAAAAAGATAAAAGTATAAGATAAGATTCACTAAGTTATTAAGAATTAGGCAACTAAAGAAAAGATTATTATCGTTTATTTTATTAAGCACATAAAAACAGTTACCCATAAAGAAAGTACTGAGTATTATAGACAATATAAAAAAACGATTAAAAAACAAAAACAAAACCCGCAGAGTTCTCACATTTTTAAAAGAGTACTCGTTGGGCGATCATCGAACAAACGAATGAACAAAAAAAAGCAAAAGACCAAAAATAAACAAATTTCTTTAGCCGTAAAATTTAGACTTAAATACAACGAAGAGAGCTCATTATTTGTTGCACACTAGATACGGAGAGTTACGAAGCATCGTTCTGGGACCGGCTGCAGAGCGAATGGGAAAAGGTATCCTCAGATACTATCTCGACGAATCATGCATGGATCAGCGAGTACGAGGATTTCTATGACCCGTTCAAGGAATACACATTCAGCAAAGAAAATCCCATGTCTGATATGTCGAATCCTCTTGAAGAGGGCAAAAGAAGTCTCGAAAAGGGTGACCTACCCAGTGCAGTACTGTGCTTCGAGGCAGCTGTCAAGCAGGATCCTAAAAATATCGAGGCTTGGTTACTACTTGGCAAAACACAAGCGGAAAACGAACAAGATCCGCTTGCGATTTCAGCACTGAAACAGTGTCTCAGTCTTGATCCGACAAATCTCACAGCCCTCATGGCGTTGGCAGTTTCATATACCAACGAGTCCTATCAGAGTCAGGCATGCGTCACACTCAAAGACTGGTTGATGAAAAATGAAAAGTACCAACACCTCAAGTCATCGAAGTCTATGACAAATACACCGCCACAGTTGGGCGTCTCAACTGTTTTATTTAGGTGAGTGTGCATGCAAGATTATTTTTATTGCATGACTAAGCGGAAAATTATGATATATCAGCAGAAGAGTTTCGTACAATTTTCGTTGATAACGAGTAGATGCATTCGCTAAAGCATTCAATGATTTTTCTGAAATTTCAAATTTATCAGTCGGTAACAATTATATAAATATTGAAATTGACAATCTCGTGAAAATTTTAACGGATATCGTAGTCGAGTAAATAATATGTGAAGTTAATAATTGAATTATAGACTTCATACATGTTTTTATTTTGAATATAATAGTAGCTTACATTCTTAAAAAATTACATTTTTGTAATGTTCTTGTAATGTTGACTTTGTAATATTCAAGAAACGGATTATGAAAAATTTTCTTTATGACAAGTTTATATTGTCTCCATATATGAGTTTACCTACGCGTCTTTAATTATAAAAGAGAACCCAACGGTTGTATATCAATATGACAATAAAACATTGCAAAGTTATTGGGAAAGTAAAACATGGTGACGTTATATTTTTAAAATACTTGTTGCGACTTGAAACAAATCAATACAATAATAATTTATAAAAGAAAGATACATGTGCTGCCTATTTCTTTTAATCAGACTCGGAGAACGCGATTGAGCAACACGAGTAGTATTCCATTAGGTTGAGATTAAACATCAGTTATGTAATTGGAATTGTACGATTAATAATTATGCATATTTATTTTCCACCTAGTGACGTTCACGAAGAAGTTAAGGACTTGTTTATTCAGGCGGCTCGGATGCAGCCGTACGGCACAATTGACGCAGACGTCCAATGTGGTCTCGGTGTTTTATTTAATTTGTCCAGCGAATTTGATAAAGCTGCGGATTGCCTCAGCGCTGCAGTGCAAGCCCGACCGAAGGTAAAAATCATTATAAATGTATCTATTAGAATTAAGAAAATCTGGTTTCTTTTCTTTCACACTTGCAAATATAAACTGTTTAACATTTGTATTTTATATTATGGTAGGACCCTATGCTGTGGAATAGATTAGGGGCAATCTTGGCAAATGGTCAACGTTCCGAAGAAGCTGTAGACGCCTATCACCGAGCGTTGGAGCTCTCGCCAGGTTTCATTCGTGCTAGATACAACCTTGGCATCTCGTGCATTAATTTAAATGCCTACAAGTAAGTTATTTGTTATTACTACTATCAAATTATATGACAGTACTTTTCAAATGGATATTGAATTTCTTGCATGTTGACATTTACGAATAAATCAATGCAATTGATAATTTAATGAGATTTTCTTTTAAGTTTCTAATAAAAAAAGTTATCTTACTTATAAAATGATTATTAATAAATACACATATAATTTTGTTTATTATAGAGAAGCTGGAGAGCACTTGTTGACAGCGTTAAATCAACAAGCTGCCGGTCAAGGTGCATACGGAGAAAGGGCACCAATGAGAGTAATGTCAGACACTATTTGGTCAACCCTTAGGTTGGTCATTTCCTTGATGCACAAATATCATTTGACTGATGCCGTAGAAAATAGGTATGTAGTCAGAAATTATTGTATTAAGTTTACGAAAGAGTTTATAAATTACAAAATTACTTAAAATTATTATAATTTATACAATTTCATTTTTTCATGCGTTTTTATAGAGATTTGGAAAGGCTAAATAAGGAGTTCGATATGGACTAAGCTGAATAGAGCAGAATGAAACATGGCAGTAACATTGTTGATTGAAAGGAAATACGTAAAAAAGCATGTGAGATGCATTGGTTTTGGGACGTTGACTGTTTATCACAGACCAGTGCACATGTTTTTTATAACGACTCGCGTTACGTTTACTTTTTTGTTGATGACATCTCGTTTTCCTCTTTTTTTCCCTTTCATTTTAACGAACATTTTCAAATTAATTGCAACTAGAATAAATTTACAGATAAAATAAAAAATAAAAAAAATTTAAAAAGAAAATAAAATAAGATAAAACTGCAAATCGATTTTTCTCACTTTAAATCAAATAAGTAATTTATCGAATTCGATTTTTTTTTCGAAGAATTTACTATGTATAATTTATGGAAGTATGGTGGATCGTAATTGACCTGAACTTTGTTAATAAATATTTTTCATAAAAAGCCAAAAGAAAAAAAAATTGTCGAACCGACAAAACAAAAAATGTCTTGCGTTATTATTAAAAACACTCATTATTTTGTAGATTTTTTCTTTGATTTACGAGCGTTTTCGAGCTCTTTCAGCTTTTTAAAGAATTTATCTTTTTCTTTTGTTGTAGTGGCTTCTGGTTTTCTATGCCTAAAGTCTTTTTGCGCTTTTCGACGAACTTCGTTAGAACAGCCGTGAATTTCTTGTAATCCTATTACAAATTATTGTTATTATTCAACATTTATTAAATGAATTAGTGAATAATTGATAAATAATTCATATATAAGATCTTACCATGTTCTAAGCAATACCATTTTTTACAAAACTGACAAATTAGTTTGATGAGTTTCGTGGATTTTTTGCATCCCTCAAAAGAGCAAATTGAATTTGACTTTTGAAACTCTTTAACTATCTTATCGAAGTCATCTTTTTCTTCAGGCTTTTCTTGTGATTTTTTTGGTTCTAGCTTCGATTTTTCTATTTTGCTTGCGCTTTCTTCTAAATCGGCCGGCTCAGTATCTTGTTCAAAATTAGAGGTTTCTAAATACAAAATATATTGAAATAATTGTAAATATAAAATATTTGCACTTTGTAAAAGTTGCTAAATTACCTTCATCGTCACGCTGACTTGAAGCAATGGTATCAAATACATTAAACTTTTTTCTATTTACCATAGTATTATTTAAATTCATTCCTTCTCGAACCATATTTATAATGTTATTCTGTATTCTTATCATTTCCTTGGCTTTTTGAACATTCACTTCCTTGGGAGCTGTAGTTGGTGTCTGTTTAATAGCTTTCTTAGTAACTTCACATTTAGATGATTTATTTTTCCCTTTAGATTTACTTTTAGGTTTTACATTACTTTGTGATGTCTGTTCCATTTGCTCTATTTCCTTATCAATATTTTCAGATATATATTCCTCTGCAGTTTGAAGCAAGCCGTGATCTTCAATATGTTTTAAAAGGCTAACAATCAATTCATCTTTTTCCATAGTTTCACTGTCTGCAATAACTATCAGTAACCTTCTTGCACGAGTGACAGCAACATTTAACCTTCTAAAGTCTGTGACAAATCCAAGTTCTTTATCTTCATTACTTCTTACCAATGATAATATAATAATTTCTTTTTCTCTTCCTTGAAAACCGTCTACAGTACTAACTTCTACTTGCAGTGATTTTGCTACAAATGATCTGCGAATAAAATCCACCTAAAATCAATAATTCATTCTATTTTTAAACACCAAAAGTGTTTCAAGTTTGAAAAAGTGCTTTGAATAATTGTTTACTTGTAAAGAATATGGAGTAATGACACCAATATCTTTCTGAGATACACCAGCCTTCAATAAGTTTGCAATAACTTTGTCAACTACAACTGCTTCACCCAAGTTTCCCTTTGAAGCAGCTTCTACTCCAGTATTAAATTCTTCACATTCACAACCACAGGTGTCAATAAATACAACAGCCTCATCTAAAATACAAAAATTATATTTAATACAAGTTGGATAATATATTGAAACAGTTGTTTAAATAATGTAGTCCAAAAAGTATAACATACTTGTTAAATCATCTGATTTAATTAAAGGTAAATCTTTTAATAGATGACTTTTTACCGAAGTATCAGCTTCGAGAGTATTATCATAAAACTTTTTACTAGACCAAGACATTATTTTTTCGTTCATTCTGTACTGTCTTGTCAATCTAATGTAACAATCTTCCTTCAAATCTTTTATAGCTCTTTCCATGAGACTCACATTCAAACCACCTTTCACAGCTTCTTGACACATAATTACGGGTGGCAATTGATTAATATCTCCAGCCAAAATTACTTTTGGAGCATTTGGTATGGCAATCCATGTTGATGCTTCCATAGCTTGAGATGCCTCATCAATAATCAGTACATCAAAATGATCTTTTGGGACGTTTTGCAACTGACCATCGATTCCTGATGCTGAATTTAGAGTACACAGAATCACCTAAATACATAAGATTAAGTAACTTGCATATAAATAAGTAGATTTATAATATTTCACAGTTAAATTTAAATTCTTACAGATTGATTTCTAAGAATATCACAAGTTATTCTTGTCAATCTTTTTTTATATTCCTTTTTCAATTGCCTAACTTCTTTAAAAGTATATTTTACATCTTTGCTTTTAACTCCTTTATTGTCCAAACTCTTTTCTGCATCTTTGATACATTTTTTAATGTCTCTCAAAACCGTGAAACCATCACCTCTTTCTAGATAAGAATCTAAAGAATATTTAAGTGCATCCTTAGCAATTCTTATTGGATGACCAAGTCTCAAAGGTTTAGCTTCTGTATTAGCAAGGCGTACAACTAAATTATCAACTGCTACATTAGTCGGAGCACAGATTAAAACCTGTCATAAAGGAAAATATAACAGAAATATATTTTGAACATAGAAATCTCTTAGGATAAAAATAAAATTTTATTATTTACTTTTTTCTTCATTCTGTATAACTGCACAATAATTTCTATCAGTGTTGTAGTTTTACCAGTTCCAGGAGGACCTTGAACAATAGCAAAATACCTCCTTTTTATAGCAAATTCCACACCTAATCTTTGATCCTCAGCTAGATTTGTATTTGAAAATTTTAAATTGCCAGTGTCATCCAAGCAGTTTTTAGGAATAGGATTTTCAAGTGTTAAAAGACCATGTATTTCATTCTTATCGCTGCCAAAAAGAATCTTCACTATATCCAAGCAGCAAGATGAATGTATATCTTGTTTTTCAAGGTGACTTAAAGCTCTGAAAGAATATGAATCTTTCATAAAGCAAAATAGAAAATTAATATTGATGAAAAACTAACATTAGTAATTTACCTGGTTTGAGTTTTATATGTAAAATCAGAATCAGTTTTAACAATAGTAAATATTTCATCTTCTTCAATATTTTCATATTGGTCATTAGTACTAATACTTAGATTAGACTCACCCACATCGATAACAATGGCTTTAATATTATGTCCTTTCTCTTTTGATCGAATACAAATAACAAGATCACCACTGGACAATCCATGCTCAATAGGTAAACCATCTGCTCTTTCTAAATCAATCTGAAAGCGATCTGGTCCTTTGTTTGATAGATTTGTAATAGTTAATTTACTTAATGCTTGACCACTACGTTCTAAATTGTGCAAAGTAGTAGGTGAAAGATCATTGAAAAAATGTTGAAGATTTTCTTCTCGCTCTAGTAAAAGTAATTCAAGGTGTTTATGTACAAATTTTGTTATATTTTTATCCATTGTATTTCGCTATAACTTAGATATCTTGAGATTAAAAAACTAACAACTTATAAAACACTCAATATAATGTTCTATATTGTTATTTTAGAATCAAATTATTTGATAAATAGAGATGAATATTCATCTCTTATTAATAATTATCACTCAAATTATAGATAACGAATTTTCAATAATAAAAATATGTTTAATAATGACATGTTGCTAATATTACACTCTTCAATTCTTATTTGGTTCTTATCTATAGTTAAGGCTGGTTTAACTTTCCGATCATATGTTTAACCTTTTTGAGTATGTACGAACTATATGTGATGTATAGTATGTAGATGTCCGTGATAAAATAGACGAACGACGAATCGCGATATGGCGCCTAAAAATTTTGGCGCGAAGGATTCCTACTAATATGGTGGGAGGAATTAACTCGTTTCCAATGATAAAACGTGTAGATATTTGAGTTAACAATATGTAATAAAAGTAGAAAAAATAGCATAAAGAAAAATTATATCGTTATGAATTCTACTGAAAATAACAAGAAAACAGAGCTATCTCCTACAAAACAGGTAATTACGTTGTAAATATAAATGTTATGTCATGTTAGCAGACTTCCTGCGTGATGACTAGATGAATGATTTTTCAATTTACATTTGCAAATCAGCGTACACCTCGTCAACTGCCAGGTCAAAAAAATGTAGGTATTTACTTTGCTCAATCTAAGAGAACAATTGCTATGGCATCAGTCTGTACTGATTCAGCTTCGAGTGATGAAGATGAAGAATCTGACGAATCACAAATTGCACAAGATAGATCTTTAAGAAAAAGGAAAAGGATTAGTAGTGATCCTATGACTCGAAAGATCAGAAAGATTAGAAAAAATTTTGATGGCAATATTACTTTTGTTGATGAGGAAAATAAAGAATTCCTAGAAGCAGAAAAGTTTCCTGAAAAATTGCCTTCTGAGAAGGTACTACAAAATAGTTTATCATCAAATATAGAATTAACAATAAAAAATAAGTCAGCAACAGATAATAGTAGTAAAGATAAAGAAAGTAACTCTGAAACTCAAGGAACCGATACTCTTGAAGGATTAGATGATCTTTTTGACGAAGAATGGACTTATAAGAAGGATACGCTTGAGGAATTGAATGGGTTTTTTGAAGAAGAGTTTTCTTATAAAGAAACTGTTGTAGATTTTACTATTCCAAAGAGATGTATTATTATTGATATCATTTGGGAAAAAACTGATATCACTTTGACTGTCAAAGAAGAATATAATGAAGCATCAACTATTGTCAAGTGTTTTGGGATATGGTAAGTAAATAATTATTTAAATCTTTGTAAGTATTGGAATGTTTAAATTTTGTTTTTTCAGGCGATACACAAAAATTGAACCTGGAGAATTTATTGTCGTAATGGCTAAAAAGGAAACACCAGATTCAACGTACTGGATAGTTGACAATAACTTTGGATATATCATTAATCAGCCTGACATACTTATCTCTGGTACATCAGTAGTCAATTCATTGTTTTGCAGTAGACAGAGTCTTTTACAAGAGAAATTCAGACAGATTGAGAATTTGCCATACAACAATATTAACAATAGTTATATGCTTGTTGGAAGCTTATCTCATGAACTTTTGCAAACAGTATGTATATTTGTCAGAAAAGATTAGTTGGAAGTATACACTTGAAATTTTAATTAAGCTATTAAAGCCCAAACAAAAACTAAACTAGATATCATCAAATTAACTTGACTATTCACAGGCAAATTGAAAGAACATTTATGTTCTTTTTTTGTTACTAAGCATTGTTTATCAAAAGTAATTCAAACAAATTGTTGAAAACTTTGCTTTTAAAAAATAAATGCAACAATTTATTCAATATTTAAGCCAGGTATGGACAGAAACGTCTTTAGCGTCTTTGTTGTCACATTTTATTTTGTTTATGCAAAATTTTTTAAATTTGGTTTTTTTAAGTAATTACACTAATTAACTATACAATTGTATAAAATAAAATGTTTTTTATTACGTATTGTAATAAAAAGTTTGTTAATTTTTTTAAATGGCTTTTTATAAGCAATTAGAATCTACAAAAGAAAAAACTCGGGTAATTTTTTTCAATTAATTTATCTGTGCCCAAATCAATAGGTTAATCATCCGTTTTATTTTAAGGTCTTAGAGAGAGGTATTACAGAAATTAAAGGAATCACAGAAATTCTAGATAATCTTCTCAAGTCAAAACATGCCATTATGATGATGTACAGTGGTGGAGTTTCCATGCCTGATTGCAAAAATCTCATGCGTCCTGCTGTTGTTCAAATTTACAAATTCATACAACGTTACATCAAAGGTAAACCTTTAATCAAAAGTTAAACCTTTTTAATACTTAATTAATTATAATATTAAATAATAATAGAACCAATATTATATGTAGGTGTTGTACCGGATTTAAAGGATGACAATTACGCTGGTAAAATTGAAAAAATCTGTGATATTGAAGAAAATGTTTGGATTCCAGAACTGGGAATAAAGGGAAAAATTGATTTGACTGTTGAAGTTATTAATCAAATAAAAACTAAATCATGTCCTACAATAGAACGTAGGGTACTACCTCTTGAGTTGAAAACCGGTAAAGCTTCGTTTTCAAGTGAACATCACGGTCAATTAATCCTCTACATAATGATGATGAAAAATACTGGTCGTAACACAGATTCTGGACTTTTATTGTATCTAAGGTAATCAAACATTGATTGAAAATTGCAACAAATTGCAAAGTTAAAAGTCATTTGTACATAGACATCTAACAACTATTATTTATATTTTCTAAAGGGAAAACATCATGAAAGAAATAAAAGGCAGTATCCATGCCCAAAGAGACTTGATTGCACTTAGAAACTCTGTAGCTTATTATTCAACGCGCCAACCAGTCGTAGTTAAAATTAAAGAGGAAGAGACTGTTATGCCAATGGAATTTCCAAAACCCATCAATCGTCGTTCATGTTCTACGTGCCCATACAATACTTTATGCTGCACATATCTTTCTGATGAAGATAAAAAAGAATTGCATGAAGGCCATCATCTTAAAGAGCTTTATAATAATATCACAGGGCATTTGAAACCTGAACATAGAGAATATGTGATGAAATGGGTTTCACTTTTACAACTAGAAGAGACTGCAGAGCGCCAAGACCAAGTTTCTTGGAGAGATATCTGGACTTTGAAACCTTCAAAGAGGTATATAGGTGATTCTTAGCTATTTTAACGGCCCTGAAGACAGTTTTTCAAGCTTTGCACAACTATTGCACAAATAGAGGTCATTTTCCCTAATTTTCATACCAAAATATTAATTACTTTTTTCTTAAACTATTGCGAATAACTGAAAAAGTGGTTTTTTTTTTTAATTTCTTGCTTCTACGTATTCCCCAGGGTTTTTTTTTATATACAAAATAGTTAATAAATTCAATTACCCGATTAAAGAAACCCTTGGCACTGATTACAAGAAGAAACCCCGCCGTGCGGCAGCGAAGGCGCCTAGCGCTTAGATGGACGGCGCTGAGTAGGCATAGTCATTATAGAAAACTTGTTATCCCCTTTTTGGGCATTTCTTCGATCTGTATAGCCAAAACTCGAGCAGGCCATCACTTTAATAACTTACAGGTATTTTAAATTGATTTTTGTTTTGTACAAATTATTCTCTAATTTCTATTTAATTTTATGAAAATATACGATTTTTACATTGAGAATATGACAATTAAATAGGTCATTGACTATACCGTTTAGACCAAGTATTTTCATATTATTTTACGAAATTGCCTCTACTCTACACAGTTAACTTTGAATTTAAAAAACCGTGAGGAACACGTATAGAAGCAAGAATTTAAGAAAACTACATTTTGAGTTATTTTCAATTGTTTATTAAGAAAAAAGTTAATAAATTCCAAAAATAAAAAATTATTGTTTAATCTTGCAATTATTTTCAAAGTTTAAAAAAGTTGATCGCTATATTTTTATTTATAATATTTGAAATATAGCCTTTTGATAAATTTTTATCGTTATTTGCCGAAAATTGATAATTTTATATATAATGAATATTTTGATATGAAAATTTGGGAAAATGATTATTTTTATGTGTGCAAAACATGTGCAAAATTTGAAAAAATCGATCACTCAGTGTCTCCAGGCTCATTGAAATAGCTAAGAATTTCATATATTTGACTAGATTAATTTTGGTTATAGAAAATTATATATTTTACTAATTTTAGAGAGAAAAGAGGTTCCTGTATTAGTCACTTAAATTTAGTAGCAGTTCTGGAAAAATCTAATCGATTTTATCATGAATTTCAAAGATCAAAAGAATCCGATTTGAAGGTACCTAAAGAAATCAATGCAGTAGATTTTGCTGAAGATGAATATGTAATTGTTAGTACAAGCAACAGGATCAATATCATTGCAGGATATATTGACATTATTACTTCAACCTCTGTTTTTGTACACTGTGATAAGTATGCATATTTATTAAATATCAATGGAATTTCGAAAACAATTATAGAGTGAGCTAATCAATAATTATATTTTTAGGAATATAAAAAAAGTTTATAATGACACTATTTTTCATATTGATAAAAGTTCATACTCTAACTTTCTGATGCATAATATGTCACAACTTGGCGGTCTTTTAGACAATTACGAGATCTGTAGTAACTTACGTAAAATTGTTATTGAAAAGTATAATCACCACTATTTAAACAGTAATATATTTTATATAATAGAGATTTGTATTTAAAATGATGAAATTATAGGCAACCAGCTACATTCACATCAGAATTACCACCTTCAACTGGAAAAATTGCTGGCGAAATTATTGGCAAATTGAACAAAGACCAAAGAAAGTCTGTGTTGAAGACACTAACAACAGACAATTACATATTAATAAAAGGCTTTCCTGGAACCGGAAAAACTCAAACTCTTGTTGCCATGATTGAATTATTTGTAAAACTAGATAAATCAGTATTGGTTACTGCTCACACAAATATAGCTTTAGACAATATCTTGCTGAAATTGCTGGATCGAAAAGTTGACTTCATAAGACTTGGATCAAGTATAAGAGCACATCCTGCATTAGTTAAAATGGTAGATGATGTTCTGACAGCAGATTGTCAATCACCTGAAGCTTTGCACACTCTTTATAGCAGCAAAGTTCGTATAAAGAAAATTCGTCTTATTAAACTAAATTACACACATAAAAAATAAATAATTTTATTAGTTTACTTTTATTATCTTCAGAAAGTTGTCGGTGTGACTTGTTATGGAGCGACACATCCACATCTTGCAAAACGGAAATTTGACTTTTGTATAGTTGATGAAAGTACACAAGTTCTTCAGCCTACTATTTTGAGACCTCTTTATTGTGCAGATAAGTTTGTACTTGTAGGAGATCCAGAACAATTACCTCCCATTGCAAAAAGCAACATTGCAAGGTAATTTTATGATTTACGCTTTTAATTTTTTAGTTTACAAATCTTCTAATTATGCAAATATTTAAAATTTTCAGAAAACTGGGCATAAATGAATCATTGTTTTTGAGATTGGATTGCGAAAACAATACCATTGCTTTAACTTTGCAGTACAGAATGAACAGTTGCATTATGAATGTAGCAAATAAATTGACTTACCATGATCAATTGCAAGTTGGTAATGAAGAAATTGAAAAAGCAATTCTTCCCATATCTAATGTGACAGTGAGTAGTTATGAACATTTTTCATTTCAAGTAGTTATGAAATAACAAATTACTATTTCATTTACTTTTTACCAGAATTTGGAAAATTGTGAAAAATGGATTAGAAAATCACTTTCATTGAGACTGAAAAATTCGGTAATATTACTGAACACCTCCCCTACATATCATCGATCTCTTGACCCATCTTTACAGATAATAAAAGGAAATTCCAATTATTGGGAAGCAGCTGTTATTGTTAAATTGATTAAAGTTATTAAAAGTGTATGTCCTATTGTACATTGATAAAATATGTTGCGAAATACTACTAGTAAATAATTTATTAAAACTATTTTAATGTACGTTTACAGTTAGGAATTGAAGCCAGAGACATTGGTGTGATTGCACCTTACAGAGCTCAAGTACGCTTATTACGCTCAATACTTTCTAGCGATATTGAAATAAATACAGTCGATCAGTATCAAGGTCGCGATAAGAGTATCATCATTTATAGTTGCACCAAAAGTATTCCAAAAGATACTAATGTACAGGTATAAATAATTTTTTTCCTAATTTGGATAATAATTAAAATCATACTAATTTGAGAGAATAAAAACATGGATTATATTTCAGGAGTTTGATATTTTGGAAGATCAACAGCGTCTTACTGTGGCTGTGACTCGCGCTAAACATAAATTAATTATTGTAGGTGATCTTTGCACGTTAGAACGATTCAAACCATTTAGCAAGTTAATAGCAGTATTAAAGAGTGAAAATCAAATTTATGACTTGAAAGAGGGTGAAGACGATTTTTATTTTGATGACTTGATTCAATTATTACTTTGAAATTTTAATGATTATTGTATTATTAGATTTTTTATATGATAATTTTGTGATACCAAATGAAAGTAATTAATGTGCTTATTTTCAATTCTGCAACAAAAAATTTGTTTGACTAGTATTTATTTGTAATTTTTTTTAATAGAAAAATGTTCAAAACAAATGTGTTGTTTGTTTTCTGCAAAACTTTATTGTAACGACTTTTTAAAAGTACAATATTGTTATATATTTTCATACTTAGATCAAATTTACTTTATGCTTCTCAACATTAGAAAAGTCTCAGCAATCAATTCACACAAAAGAAAAGCTTAAGCTGGGTTATCAAGCTTTAATGCAAAAAAATGCAAAATTTTTCATCTTCCAACTCAAGATTTAAGCCACCAGTCGTATATCATTCAAAAAATCATTGAGGGCTACTTGCTTGAGACATTGGAGAGTTTAAATAATAAACATAAAACACATAAATAACTCAATAAAGTATTAAAAATGCACTTCTGCATGAAAAAAGTGCATTTTTTGCTACAATAACTAGCATCATATCCCAGCTTATAATACACAGTGTTATTACAACATACGTTAATTCCTAAAAGTTTGCCTTCTTCGTATAAATAGTACAATTTGCGTATATTCCTCATCTTCAGCAAAAAGTCAAATTATACTGTACAGAGTTCTCTCAGCCTGGCTCCACTTCTGAAGAACTTTATCGCTTAGGGTTTTGGAGATAGGTGGCAGGCATCTTGGTATTAACATGGCTAAGTACGGTTAATCCATCGAGGACATGTCTCGCCTTTTTTCAGCATACTTCTTTGTATATTCTTCTGCATTTTTCAGAAACTTCCTTTTATCTCTCTGAAATTCCTCTGCCAAGTCAGCCCTCAATGGATGTTCTGGTTCAGGATCATTTACCAAAGCGATCAAAGATTGTATGACTGAAAAATTTTATTTAATTAATTTAATTGATAACTTTAATGTATCGAAGCATAAAATACTGAACGAAATCCAGTAGAATTAAAAAAAAATTTAGATTTATTAAAAATTTATGACTACAAAACCAAATCATTATCTCAACTTTATCAAAGTACTTTGATATTCTTTGTACATATTATAAAAACACAAAAAAAACTTGTTCTTAACAATATTTTATTGAATAATTCAAGCTAAAAGAAAAACGGATGGAATAATTGCACATTTCACAATACATCGAAATTGGACTTAATAGCATTATTTCTATTGCTGTCTGCAATCCTAGGATAAGACAATTATAAAATTTTCAAGTTTAATATTTATTAGAAGAATGGTGAATAATATCAACGAATACTTTAAATTTATGATACACATGCATTACTTTGTTCAATAAAAAATATCTATAATCGTAATACTCAATGATTGCAATTATCTCTTTAAAGTTAATCTTTTCTACCAAAGTGCTGATTGAGGTTATTAAAAAAAAAGTTAATTAATATCAACTAACCTTGGTCTGTTTTTGTCGCTGGTTTCCAGTTTTCTGCACTGATAATTGGCAAACAGACCTGGCCCTTTTCATCAATATTGGGATGATAGATCTTTGTCTTGAAATTTATCCTTGGTGGCTTGAAAGGGTACTCAGCAGGGAAATTGATTTCAATTCGGAAAGCACCTTTGTTGTAAGGTGGATTGTCCTAGAAAAAACGAGCGCGACCCAAAGATTAGAAGTGAATCAGAACCAATATAAAATTTGATGAATCATTGAGGCCCGGATTAAGTTGCTATTTTTTCTAAACGGAAAGGACAACTTACCGGCAATATGAGACCCTGCCAAGTGAGAATATTCGTTTCGTCCACCTGTATGTTTGTGAAATTCTTCATGGCCGAGGCCCTGAGATCTCCCAATTCCTGAAGTACGTGACAACAAACGAATGTAGCCGAAAAAAATAGAGAGGAAAAATCTGGCTTATTAATACAGAGTACCTACCTTCTGCAACCTCCTCGTAGCTGCCATTTTGAGGGACGATGTTTCGTCGACGAGAGTGGATTATGTATATATATATGTATCGGAACTTGCGAGCTGAGTGCGGAAAAACGTAAAAACGACTTCACGTACCTCGAAGACGAGTTCGTACTCTGGTTAACTCGTACACGATGAACTGTGACACACTACACGGCTGCTGCTCTTCCCTGTACATACATACATACATACATTACATACCACACTACATACATGAGCATACATTGGCCTCCTGGTGGCTGTTCACTTACTCTTGCTCATTGGTATCGACGTCATGGGTTAGACAGCTCACGTAGACCGTAGTTTCCACTGCCTGTCCCCGCGAAAACGACGGCCGCCGGTTACGACCTGCCGTAGTCGATTTTTACTATTTACATAATTTACATAATATTTTATTGTGATTTTGCTGTGGAAATTATGTCACTTGAAACATTTATTCGTTTTAAAGTAAGTGAGAAATAAGAATATGAATTTTCATTGTCAGTGTATTTCTCATGTTACGTTTACAAATTGACAAACATAAACAAGTGAAGTTTGGATTTAAGCGTTGAAGAATCATTCTCAACTAAACGTGAGTACTAGACATTGATTCATTGCTGTGATAACTTTACCTCATTTTAGTTATTTAAATATTCATTATTTACAGTGAATGAAATTTATAAAAACATTATAAGTGAATCTGAATACCCTCAGATCTCGACCATTTCAAACTTATATTATTTATTCTGTTTTGCATAAACAATTGAACATGTTTTTTTTTATTTTTGAACAGGAATGAGTAATATAACCCCTTAGAATAATCATCGTTCTAAGTTACTCGGTAATAAAACTATATATGTTTACTGATCTAATACAAGATTCTGATACATTAGCATTGTTCCGACGGTACGTGGAATGCTCTTACGCGATTTTGAGAGAAAGCAGTATGGAACTCAAATACGAGGATCTTACTGCTATTGGTTATTATTGTTTCTTATTGGGTGACTTCACAGTTTTTTGAGATTTATTTGTACTTCGGTGCTATAGTGACTCTAATCTAGTTCATGATCACTATAATCTGATAATTTTTATTTGCAAAGATTTGACGATACCTGACGACCAAGTCTGATGTAATTAAAATTTTAATGAAATATTTTATCATTAAGGTATTACTAAAGAAATAATTGGTTAAAAAATAAGATACTTTCATGTAAAATATATAAGCATAAAAAATTATTATTTTATAATCATTTGTAGAGCTTTCACGATTTCAATATTCTTATCTTCATTATCGACAGAATTGAAGTTTAATTATCATTTTCTTTGTTAACGCCAATGATATATTTTTTAATTTGACTTATTGCACGAAATAATTGTAGCGTTAATTATTAAATACAATTGAAAAAATAAAATTTTATCTTTTATTAACTTCACTTTTAAAATTAATTTCGATCCATTTTCTATGAATCACCACGTATACGTTCCAATCTATATTATTTTTTATAATATTATAATGCGGTAAAACTAAATATGATTGTGTTCTAACAAACTTTTGATGGTCTACTTTAACATTTTTAAAATTAATGGCTTATTACTTCCAAACACTTTATTTCACTAATCGTATATTATCCCGCTATTATACCTAAGTACAACGATTTAATTGTTTTATATAAATGCTAATCCAATATAATTAAAAAATTAGAATTGTTAATATTTTTGTAGTTTATATAGTTTGATAATCTTTGTAAATAGTTTTTATAATTTATTATTCATTCGAACGTCGTGATCCCAGTATGAATAATTAGTAAAGCAATGCTATAGTTTAAAATATATAACAGGGAAGGTTTCTTACTTCAAGTTTATAAAAATACTAATATTTTTATTGGACGAAATTTATCGCAAGTACTACAGTGTCCGAGTATCATATCGTGTTTTCTTTGTATGGTAAGAATTTTTATATTACAATTATTCCAATTATTATCATATATTAGTTTCATGTGTAGATTTTTATTATTATTTTAGTCACTTCACAGTCGTGATTTTTTAATCTTTTCTGACAATTACGTAAAATCTCGGCTGACAATGTTTTGACCTTCACCTTCCGTCAAAAATCCTCACAAAAAAAGTTCTTCGGTGGCGCTGTTTGCCGTTGGGATTCAAACTAGTGTCTAGAGTCCCTAATTTTGAACCTCCTGTTTCGCTGTTTCAGCCAGATGTAAATGCGTTTATCAGGAACTGGCGCCATCTAATGGTTTATCTGAAACTAAAGTAAGTATATAATAACTATGCTTTCCATTATACCGATTCCTCCATACGATCTTATACAGTGATTCCAAAGTTTTTTAAGGTAAGAGGGACACTGTTTATTATAATGTAGTCTAAATATTTTTTATCAATAGCCAAAACTATTAATTATATTTATCATATCATATTAAATTTATAGTTCACTGGGAGGTTAGTTTTTTCTGAAGGCTTCGCTAGTCATCATTGCAAATATTATTCGGCCATTTTGTGATCATTTTGATGCGGTATCAAAGAAATTTCAACTCTAAGATAAAAAGAATCGCTACTTATATCAGGTAAATATCGTTCACTTATATTATTATTAAAATAGTTTTTTTAAAGAACAAGTAATGTAAATTGAAAATCATCAAATTTTTACAATATCCTATTTCTTTTGTTAAAGATTTGAAATGATCGATCCCAGGTATTAAGAAAATATAGCCTTTACTATAGTTTTAACAAATATTAAAAATGCGATTTGAAATAGACCTTATCAAAATGGCCCAAAAAAATTTTTTAATTATTTGCAGTCATAAAAGAACACGTATACATACCTATTAAGGGCCAAAGAAAGCTTAATAAAGAATCGGTTAGGGCTATTCAAGATGGCGACCAATGCGTGTCTTAAAGGATTCCAGCTATATTTAATATTTTCGTCGGTAGACTGGAGAATATGTTCTATTGTTTATAATAACAGACGCGTGATAAATAAGATGTGATACTGATATATTTCTGTTGGAAGTTATTTGATCGTGCGAGTTGAATATACGTTTTAATGTCACGATAATCATATTTTCACGTTGAAATTACTATAAAAAGTTTATTACTCATGTAATCTCCTAACAATTTAGCCATTTAATCAAATCTGATTCGACTATTATGATCGTTATGATATGCTATCGAAATATATGAAGAATCTTGGATATAGATTCTAGATGCTTCCAAATTCCCAACAAGGCCCCCCTATCGATTGACTCTGATACCGTCACGTACACGACAATAATAATGTTATGCACAATAATTCTTCGTATTACTGGCATTGCTGAGTTAAATTCATACATTATTAATTTATTATTCATTATTTACCGGATTTTGCTATAAAAATATCAAAAAAAGTTTCTGTATCAAGAATACAAGGTTATCGACCTTAACGCATCATCGGTCTCGAATGCGTTTTTCCCCGTCAGAACTCTACACAGCACTTTTAGCCATCTTGCTTCAGTATTGCGGACAGATATCCGCCATGTTGATTTATTCACATGTTCTTTTATTAGCCACGGTTCTTCCGTGTAATAAATGTTTTATTAAAAATTTATAAACAATCTAATAAACATGATTTTTTCATTGAATTTTATTTGCCACATAAACATTCTAGTAATATGCCCGTAGTTCTGGTTTACAGTAGCAAGATTGATGTTTGTCACTAATAATAGTTATAGATGTGGTTAAAAAACCGAATTTTTTATATAAATCATTGGATTAAGTTGCGATCATCATTAACATTTAATTGGTGTCATCGAATAATTAACTAAAATTTAAAGTAACTAAAGTGGTTCTGTTTTTTTCAATATTCACCTTGAGTTGATAACATTATTCGATATTTATAGGTTATCGTTCATATTCTTCTTGAGTCCATTTCATTGTAAACTTTACAAAATCTTTTTAAATTTTTAAGTTAAGGTTAAGACCTCATAAATTTAATTAATTTGGCAATTTTACTAATGAGTAATGAACAACATTAAAACTTAATTGTTTATTGACCTATAAGGTATTGTAATATCCCGTCATATTGAAAGTAGGTAACATTTTTATAAAAAATTCTCCATTAATTCGTATCCAAGTGACACAATTGCGGCAATATTTTCATTTACATTAACCTAACCTTATTAAAATTTGCAAATCATTTGTTAACTATTTGTAGTTGTAAGATTTTAGTTTATTGGTCTATAAATTAGTTTTCAATATTTGATGTAAGAACCAAGATGCATGAGAAGAAAGAAAGGTATTATTAAGCTTCATTTAGAGCCTGAACAGAAAGGTTAGTATTTTGGAGCGTTGGATCTGCCAACAAAGCGCCCTCTTTGTGCGTCCATCCATGAGCCAATGTGTGTATGTGTGATGTAAAGTGAGTGGACTGTGGAGCGTGGATGCGCAGCATGAGTGCCTATACGGGCGTTCGCGTTACGAGTTTAGTCGGGCGCAGAAGCTCTCACGGTTTTCACTTGCTGCTAGTCTGCTACAAGTTAGCAGTCAGCTTAGGCTGCTAGTGTGAGGAAGGATAGTTTTCTCTGCTGCAATCGCAACGAAGCTTTTAAAATTAAACTTCTAGACCGTTATTAAACACTTGTAAATTTTATTTCTGACAAAAAAAATTAAGGTATTATTTATTGAAAAAAATATTATTTAGAATTTTTAAGAGTGCAGTAAGGTTGTTGTGTTATAAAACCCGCGCGTCCGCACATACACACACACAAAGAAAAAAAAAATCGTGTTTCCCCCCGAGTGTGAGGTCTGTTAAGAGAGCGCGCACTGCTCGCTGGTCGGGGCTTTCCTTTCGTTCCCCTGCAGCTCTCCGCCATTTTAAGCTACGTAGTAGGTACGTGAAATAAGTGTCTAGAAACTGGTGCTTAGAACAACGAACTGAGAGTTGCTTGTCTTTTGCATTTTCCAAGTTTATCACCAGGATCCGCGCGGACCGTTACTCCGTTTTGCTCCACTCGCGCATACCAAATTTTTAATCTGCTCCGTTCCTGATTCCATTTTAAATTTTCTACCTTAGACAACTGTTCTATTTTCATAATTGAGAAAAATTCTAAAGTAAAAAATAATGTTACTAATTTTAATTGTGCTTGAAAGGCAACAATCACCTTGTCTGGTGGGAATCGATCACAGTTGTTGATTATCATAGAGCTGCTTAGCTGAAGGGAAAAGCCTTGTAATGATTTGAAATATAGAATTCAATTGGAAATTATTTTTACCTATTTAATGATGATCTTATTCTATTGAAAATTTTGTTTCTTTTGTTTATTTTAGTCCACAATGGAGTACAATTGTGTACAAAACTCAAGTGTTAATGCATAAAGTAAGGAGAGGAGGTGTCAAAAATATAAAGATGTGGCAATTACTGAAAAAATGAGGTATTCAGCTTTCCAAGAGGATGGCTATGGGGTTGGCTTGGGGCAGGAAACACTCCCCAATGAAGTGGACGAAAGCATGATGGCTGCCACTGGGGACTTAGAACCAGGTGGTGGCAGTGCCACAGAGGAAGGTTCCATGATATCCAACCTTCCTTTGCTATTTGCCAATGGATATCCCACATCTTTAGAAAAGATCACATTGGTATGTGCAATATTATTTAGTAAAGATGAGCTTGAACTGGCTCTGGAAGCCGTCAAGTGCTCATTGAAAAACAGAAGGTATTATGAAAACTTTGATTTGCATCACAGTCGGAGTTGGAACGATTTGTTACATTCATGGTTCAGTGTTCTTTGGGACATGACACAGCAGAGGTGATTAGCGAACCTCAGTGGTGGCCCAAAGAAATTAAATTTTCCATTCCAATAGTGAGACCCAAGAAAGTCAATGAAGTAAGTAGCTTATTATCTTTCTTCTACAAATAATAGTTGTGCATGATTATGGGAAATATATTCTGAATACTCAATAACCCACACCTTATAAATTTTCCTATACATAAGCATTGCTTTTGTAATCAAGAAACTTTTGCATGGTAAAGTTTGTGTGACTATTTTATTAAATATTTTTCTCTTTATATTACAATCTTACAATCTTTTGTATAATTTTGTTGTGGTTATTACATACCATTGTTCAAATTTCAAAACCTTAGTCTAAAATAATTAATATTATAAATTAATATTTATTAAAATAAGATCATTGCATCACATTTATTGTCTTCCTGAAAAACAATCAATAATTTTTAAGAAATTTGCAATTTTTTACATTGAAAAATTTCTAACTTTCTTAAATGTGAACTTTATTAAACTTGGGAATTTTTTCAATTTTAATAAAAATATTTCAAGTTTCTATAGGAATTATATTATATTAAAATCTTTATAATAATGTCAATCGTACTATTACCGTGAATTCTGATTATTTATATTTGTAGTTACTCCAAAATTATAATAAATATTTTTTTTATTTTCAAATTCTAAGTAGACAAATTACAATCATCAAAAATCAAAAATTCAATAATATTGATTAATATTCTGTATTATTAATAAATATTCTATAATATTAATTAATGTCGTAATTGGTCAAACATCATTCAACGTATAAATAAGTTTACTCGTATATAATGTAACCAATTACGTGTTTGTTTGTGAACATATATTAAAATTAAGTGATCTTGTTACATATTCAATAATAAGCACAATTTACAGTAAAAGTTAAAATTACATAATGTTCAGGATTGGCATAATTTTAGCCTGACCTGGCAAGAAAATATATATATCCCGCAACACCAAAAACGCCTTAAGTCCGCCATTTTGTTCTTTTGCGCAATCATCTCTCGTTGTAACTGCGCAGATATCGAAATGGCGAATCCGAGACATCTTTATCATCATGTATTTTCGCCCACTAAACTTTCACTAGCTCGGTTAGCGGACGACAGGGGTAAAGCGTATTAGCTTAAAATAATTTTAAACATTACGTACATCACATTTTAATAAATGCAAAGATATCATCTACAAATTAAGAAAATAAAAATTAAACACCAATATAGCTAGAGGATTGAAGACTTTATTTTTATTAGCCATTATTTACCAAATTCTAGAATCTCAACTTTTTTAGAATTGGTCCTAACATGACGTCACAAGTAGATCAGAATCTTATAAATCTGATGTATTTTCCAACTGTATTTTTGAATTATAGATCATTATGAAACTTTCAGTCAAAGCAATGTATTTAGTCTTATTTTTGGAATTTTCTTTCTCTTCCTAGTCTTTTGTATTGTCTGTTTGATTTACTCATGTGTAAATGGCAAACTTACTTTGTTCATTACTAACAAATAAATGAATAAATTATTAAGAAATGTAATCTACAATCTTAGTCAAATCAGTTATCAAAATCTGAAGTAAATCAAACCAGTATTTCTGGAGATACGCGTGGAAAATCCAGAAGGAATTCGATCGATGTCGAGAATAAAGGGATTCGCTTCACTTTAGCTATAAATATCGAATATATCGAAATTCGAAGTTAATTGCATTAAAAAAGTATTTATTTAAAAAAATTTGTTTTGTTTGTTTTTTGTTATGAAAACAAACCAAATAACAAGAACAAATTTCTCTGTCTAAAAGTTTCATGATGGTCCAGAATTTCAAACTATCTTGAAAAACACATTAGCTTCTTGTGCTCGAGATGAATTCTGATCTATTTATAACGTCACCGTTATCACGTGACCGCCAATCTTAGTATGTTATATAATTGTTGACAATATTTAGTAATAAGTGATCAAAGTTCACTTTCGATTGTAATAACTTTTTTGTACGACTATGAACAAATAAATTCTTGGAGTCAGATTTGGGTACCAGTCATGTGAATATTTTCCGAAAGGAAATATAAAAATTTCCTTTCGGAAAATTATTGTTTTTGATGGTTCAGATTTCAGCTTCAATTATAAATTCAAATATGATACAGTTACAAATTCTCCTTCCACGCGCTTCGAAAATTAGGGGGAGGAGCTAGTTTGAACTTCTCTCATTAATATAATGAGCCAACGTTAATGCGTCTAAAAACCTAGCGTACCTCTGTACGTTCGAAATTCACCTGTGTATCGTAGTTCTGTAAAATTAACTATATAGACATTGCAAAAGAATAACATACAAATCAGCGTTGAACAGATAATAACTATGAAGTTATTAATAAAACAGTTTTCAAAAATGTATTTTTTATATTTCATAACTATACAAGATATTTTAAAAAATAATTTTTGACAAGATTAATAATTCCTTAAATGAGTTATAAATTTCGTAAGACAAGATTTATTTATTTTTGTTTTTTTTTTAATTAATTATACTGATTGATTCTATGGAAAAAAAATCAAGGTTATTTTTCTAATAGAATTGATCGTTTCTATTAATTTTTATAGATTATAAAATTAAAGAAAAGTTTATATTAATTTTATCTCAACAAAAACGTTAGAGAAAAAAATACTATAGAGGTTTTTATATTGAATTTTCTAGTAAAATCGATTTGTGCAATAAGTGTTTTCAGTAAATACAATTGTTGTCAATTTGATTCAATATTTTTTATAAACAATTGACTTTTATTGTATATAACAATTTATTTTTTATAAACAAAGTCAAAAGAAAAAAATTGTATGATTCTTTTAAATATTTTTTCTGAACTAATTTGATACTATTCAGCCTAGTTTTTGCCTAAGCGTTTATGGGTCAGAACATTTCTTACAGTGCAATGGTATTGTTATTCATTATATTATCAATAGCCTTCTCAAGCGTTATTCTTTGACATCTATGAATATTTCTTATCTTAAGAAAATTATGAGTCTTCAATATAAAATTTTCGTATACTTTAAAATAGCTATATTATATGTCTAAAAGTGTGAGATTTATATTTCAGCAGTAAATGAAATTTATTAATAATTAATATGGATGGAAAATTTCCTTCAATTCATAAAATTAAATATAATATTATATAAATAAAAATTATATAATTAGAAATTAAATTTAAAAAAAATTAATAAAATTATTCTTATAAATATAATTATTTCATTTTCAGCAATAAAAATTAATGCAACTCTACCTCTTATATATTCTGTATTAAAAATGGAAATATACCGTTAATAAATCATTTATAGAAAACAAGAGGTTATTTTTTCAAATTACGCTGAAATAATTATTACGATTCAATAATTTGATTACCATCTGTGAAATTAATAGTTACGTCTTAAAATGTGTTTGGAAGAGAGAAAAAGTTAATAGAATAAAATAAATTAAATTACATTTTTGTTTTTTACATTGTAAAGTGAGAGCTGCGCGGGAACTGGAAATTAATTACCAGAATATTAAATTTAAAGGATATTCACGGATGTATTCAACGAGGCAACAAGAGAACATGATGTTGAAATGTATTACTGATATTTATATAACATCGAAAGCGTAGAAAGTTACTGCCATTGAGTAAATTTATTATTGTATAAATAATTAATAGTTAAAATATATATGAAAATACAAAATAGACAATTAATGAAATTAGTATTTAACTTTTGTGACTCATTGATTATTACTGATTTAAGATAGGAAATATACGTCAGTACACAGGAAAACCAGACAAATTTTGTAATTTTTCAGATTATATTCTCCCCAACCTTGTTTTACTCATTTTTAATATGAGAAACTTATTGTTATTGTTATTTTAATACTATCATTAGCGTAATTCAACAATCTGCACTCATTTGTTTTGGTTTCCTACAGTCATGAGAAGTATATAACTAACTTCCCCATCATTTTTAGAAGTGTATGGGAAAGAATTTTTACATACATCATGACAACTTACTTTGGAAGATGGAGTCCAAACCATTAAGAGTCATAGAAACAAGCTCTTACTTACTAAACTATCATGATTCTCTTATTATGTTTATTACTAATAAATATACTAACGTATTGTTATATAATTAAAACAGTGCGATTTACAGTTCCAATAGAATAAGTTATCCAAATCTACAGTAAATAGATAAAATATTTTTTTAGGAGAAACGAGCGTAAAGGCAAGTGAAATCCCATAAAAATTGAGAATTATCGCATTTCAGAATGCCTGAGTTCGTTTAAATCGGAATTGGAAGATAATTGAATCAGTTTCAGAGTTTGCCAAATTAAACCGATTTAATTATATGGAATCTAGGTAATTAAATTAAACATTATTTTTACTGTCACTCATAGTGACAGTCGAACAGTCAACAGCATGAAAATTATAAGCGTTCAGCGTTGCGAATATGAAGCTCGTATTATAATAAAATCATCAAATTATAATTTTTGATGTATTGTTACTCCGAAACAAGATGATGATTTACGTATTTTTTAAATTTATTTCGATTCTTCAGTGTTATTTAATTTTGTTGAGCTTTCAGAAAAGACCGCGTTGCTTTTCAATAGATGGCAATTTATTTTTAAATTTTTCCCTTCTTCTAAGAGGTTGATGCAATGATTCCCGCAAGATACAATGTTAAATATTAATTTTTTAGTGATGGTAATTTCGGAGCTGACAGTCAGCCGATCTCCAACCTGGTACACATGTTAATCAATATAAAAATAATTTTTATTCAAGATTAAGAACATTCTCATTCTTTTTTGTTTATTATAGTATTATTTTAATTATTATATTACTACTTTAAATAGACCATAAATTGAATGATTTACATAATCGGTAAAACCAAAAACGATGGTTAATAAATGAGAGGAAGTGGTGGTTCTACTAACGCCTTGTATAATCAATAGTAATATCCTATTTATTTTAGTATATTTTTTAGTATCTTTTTATAATAAGAATTGCTCTTATATCAAGAAAATATCGTCTTATAATAAGCTCGGCAATAACGTAAAATACCCTTAAAGCAAGAAAACTTCTCTAATTACAAAAAGACCTGTAGCGTAGTGTTCTGGTAAATTTACTAAATGAATAATCACTATGCGCGTTGCGTGTGCTGAAAATTGTCAAATTATACAAAGTATATAGATAACTTCAAATTCTCGTGCCAAATCATTACGTCGTATAAGCAAGCCCATCACATGCCATAATCTCTATCTTTAACTAATAACCATAATAAACAGAGGCTTCATAAATCATCATTCTCCTTTTTAATAAGGAACAAATTTTAATTGAATGTTCCTGACTGTTGATGTACTATCTGAATCAAAATAATCAAGTTATAACAATTACTACACTGAAGCCTTCTTATTGGTAAAATGGACATCCGCATCTATTTTACAGTTTCTAAAGCATTTAACTTTTATGCTAGTAAAAGGCAATGAATTTGCTGCAGAGTATGAATTATGTGAAGTTATTGATCATATTATCTTAAAGTGAAATGGTTGGGTACCTCTAATTACTAATAAAAGAAGGTTTTATCGACTAAGTACTTGATTCACAATTTTTGTGTTGTAAGTCTCTGACTTGCACTCTCTACAGCAGGTCGGATAATTGAAAAGAGAGAATAGTAAGAAACGCACATAAAACTACCGAATTTTATTTATCATTTATTACATTATTACATTACTAACATTTATTACACTGTTGTATAAAATAATTAGACAAATAATTACTGTAAATAAAATTTCTATTTTTCCTGTTTTTTATCATTTCTATAATAGCTTCATAGTGAATTAGGTACACATATAAACACTCATCTTTACAGGGTCAAGTCTGTTAATCGAAATATTATTGTATATGTTTAGTGGAATCACTTGTTTGAAATATTAAATTATTGCTAACGAGTATGAGAGAGGAAATTGATGATTTCAATATTATAGTGCACTAACATTATTATTTTCCGGGATGTGTATTATTAATAAAAAAATTGTATTAGTTTTGAGTTTCATTCACAGTAACGTTTTATCTTTCACTCAATAGCCTTGTATTATATTTTTCGTGTTGTATAGAAAGGATCCTAAAAAATCAATGAGCTCAGCCGCTTGCAAAGCAGTGGCTCTCATGAACTTTTATCTAGATTTTATATATTTATCGTGATAGCGCTATTTATTTTCATGTTTATCAATGTTGATTAAAAAACTTAGTATTGTAGGATCGGGGTTGGGATTGATGGATACGATGAGGCAAAAATAATTAAATTAAATCAAGGAAGTTCTATAATGATATAACAAAAAAAAAAAGGAATTCGTTATTCTTGAAAAGTATGCATGTGCATTGTACAGAGGCTGTCTAAACACTGACGCTAACTGTCTTTGTCGCTAATAGTCTCATTCTCGGCTTATCTCTCACTCCAACGCTTTTTCCTTTTTATATGACTTCTCAAAGGTCAACCCCAAATATGCTAACCAAATGTTGACAGAAAGCATACATGCTTTGTTCTTTCTTTAAATAGAAAATCTGTAAACACTCGATTCATAGGCTCTGCCTATTTTCCCCACTATTTTGGTAACAAGTAACAGAAATAGCGTGAACCTAAGGTCTTAACCTAGAAACCTAAAACCTGAGTCATAACTTTTTCTTAGTTTGGTTATTGACTCTTCCCGCGGAGTTTTATTTATATACGGACGTAGTGTTTTGACAACACGAACGAAACAGCTTGTTTTAGCTCAGTAATTGTATTTATGATTGTGAGTCAACGCCCAAGTTCTGGTGTAGTCAGAAGCTGAACAAAATGGCCGGCGATAAGTAGTCGTCGCTATATAGCACACGAATACAACGATTTTACTTGGCTTGCGCTCGCGTTGCATCGTGAATCCCCCTCTCGGAGAAACTTCATTACTTGAAGTAAACGTTGCTGCGCCCGCGCGCGCGTGTGTGTCTGCGTGTTTAGATGTGCGTTCTATATATAGCTTGGCTTAGTCCTCTGTTAGCGGACAAGGAATTTGGATTTTTTGCTCACTTTTGTAAGTAGTTTAGGTGTGCGTTAAGATTTTTCGCAAAAATTTTAGTCTAATTTAGTGATGATTTCTAGACACCCATTTGCAGCAGTAAAGTCATGGCCCGTTTGTTTTTTCAGCTACGATATCCTGGTCTATTAACGATGTTTATTACTTTCCATGAATGGAAATCTACCAAATATTTCACACAATTTTTATATTTTCATGTGAAAGCTGACTTTAAATAAATATTGGCGTTCACGATGTTTTATTGCATTTCAGGATACTTTGGTTCAATTTTTTTATTTACTAGTTCAGTACTAGCAGCCGAGCAGTTCAATTTTATCTACGTATAAGCATACTTTTACTGAACAATCAATCGTGTACAAACTGGGGTCCCTCTTTTCCACAATTTCTATTATTACGAGTATTAAAAATGTAGCGTGCTTTGAAAGTTTCATTAGTACTATTGCATGTTTCTTTTTTTTGTTTCTGCATGAAAATTTTTATTTTCGACGCTGCACTTAGATCTTTCATTTGCTGAAAAATGCTGACTCAACTTATTTTTACATCTGGAACAAATAACTATTATTAAGAATAAAACTTTTTCTCGCGAGTTACAAAGTCTTAACAAATGAGATAAAGAAATATTTTGATCACTTTTCAGACATACATGAGTAATTTGAAGAAACTAGTTTTCCGATGCTACACGTACCACAGAAGCGAGTACCTTCTTCGCTTTTGTGCGTACTTAGCACAGTATCCACGTGATAAACTAGAATATGTAAATAACTGGGACTCAACCACAAGCCTATATTTAAAAACCACTGGAAAACTGCTTGTTACTTTCCGCAATGAAAATATGGTAGGTTGGAATTTTGATTATTATTTGTTCTTTTATATTTATGAAGTGTTAATAAGTTATTTTATATTTATTTATCATTTAAACTTATGAAAAACGTCATCAAAATACTCACGCCATTCAGACTGATTAAATCCCTGGACAATTTATGTTAATTTATTTACTGATTCATCGAAAATTTTATATGCATTATTCTGCAATTATTCGTAATGATATCCCGCGACTTTTATGTCTAGCGAACTAATAATATTCTACTTCGATAACAAATCCTAAATACACTAAGTTCATTGAATTTGAAGTACCTAAGCTCGCGACGTTTAACAAGTCTTATATTCACAATTGGCTTTATAATAGAATAAAAAAAGTCGGAGTGAAATTAATTAATTTGATCTAAAATTTGTTGAAATAGGATAATTTGAGTTTTTTACTTTTAGTAAAACGATTAGATTAAAATTGGCTTTAACCACAACTGCGGTTGGAATTTAACTTTCATTTGTAGTTTTTTCGGAAATAATAAAACAAAACAACCATAAAATATTTGAAGCGAATAATGTTATAGTAAATCGACAAAGTCCAAAATCTAACTAAGCAAATGAAAACAAATAAAATAATAACTATCTAAAAATTAAATTCAATAGCGAGAAGAAAAATGTATATGTTTAGATGAAGACAAAGAACAATATTGTCGTTTTGTAGAATTATGATAAAAAAATCGAACAGCCAAGGAGAATGCTCTTAGCATTGGCTAAGTCGAAGAAGAATCAACCAAACAGCACAAAATGTTTACGAAGACGTTCAGCGAAGCAGGCACCATCACCAGCGATGGTCGAGCCAGCCATGGAGGACATCTATCTCTGCGACAATTGCGACGACGAATTCGTCGGTCTCGACAAAATGAAGGTGAACACTGAGCGCGAAATTATTGTTAACCAGACTATTGTAATAACTCTAGCTTTTGTAATGATATATGTCAAACGTATACAATGAGAAATTTGAATAAACGGAATCCCAAGAAGAAGGTATAACGTTGCAAATTTAAAGAAAAATGTGAAATTTGCTCCCGAACCAGGAACACGAAAAGCTGTGCTACCGTGTGGAGCCGCGACCGCCGACGCCGGAATACGAGGAGGTTCCGGAAGTTAAGCAGGACCAGTTCATGGAATACTTCAAACTCAAATCGACAACAACCCCAGCAACAAATCATAACCGAGATACCAGCAACAAAACTCTACCATACGATCCAATCTCGCAAACGCGAACATCCTCGCGAATACGTGGCTCGATCAATCTGACACGTTGTCCAACCATACCCTTCTCATCGCCAGCTGGACTTGCACTTGGTAAAAAGTCTAAGATGATGACTGAAACTATACAACAAGAGAGGCTCGACAGGATAGAGAGACATTTGACTGCACCACCACTCTCGTTGGCTATAAAACCCAAGTGGCTTGCTAAGACCTACGAATTCGACAGATGGTCTGTTACCTATAAACCCAAACAGCAGCCTGCCGACAAAACTAATAATAACACCAATAACGCTGGCAAGATTGCAGACGAGTATGTGCATCAGTACAATTTCCACAACTACAAACGCAAGCCGAGTAAGTTATTTATTGACAGCTGCTTTTCTGATCTGCTTGCTGCATTACTTTTTCTGTGACTTCTCATACCAGTAGTTAACTTTTAATCCATCTACCCACTTTCAAACATCTTACAAAATCATGTCAATAGTGAATAGTTAAGACATATTTTTGTATATACGTGATTTTTTAGAAAACGTAGTTGGATAAAGTAAAACATTATTTATAGCTCAATTGATGAGACTGTGAATTTTTCAATGAGACTAATAGACGATATTCAATTTACTTGCAGTGATCGACATCCGTTCGCAACTGTTGTATGTAGCCTGTAAACCGCTTTATGTAAAGATGATCGAGCAAACTGAAGAGGAACTCGAGGAGTTAAAGTTCAACCCGTCCAGATACAGGACCCCAACGCCAGAAGTACCACGTATACGAGAAAGATCGCCGTCAATTGAACAAGACTACGACCCTTTGCCAGGTGACGAGAGCAATCCGATCATCATTGACCTCGACGACGATGACGACGACTTTAATTACTCTCATCCGGCACGTCAACCTATGCCAATGGAACTTGATCGTCCAGCAATACCTATCTTACCATCAATAAATCAACAATTATCACATTGCAAAAGTCGCTCGGTAGCAAAGGTAGCACCAACGAGGCGAGCAGCAGAAAGACGACCGAAATCTATGCCTGCTTCTGCTGCTGCTGCCCCTGCTTCCAAGTCAATAGTTGTTGTGGATTTGATTTCCGACGAAGAAGATGAGAACTGCGATCCTTTGCAGAGTGGTGGCTCCTCCGCTCCGGTACCCGTCACCGAAGTGATACGCGTTGATCCTAATCTTATGTGCGGCTCAATTGTCACCTCGAGCAAGCTTTTGCCAACAGGAAAACCTTGGGGCAAATGGTACACCAGTGTGAACTTCGATGGTAGATGTGGATTCTTACGCAAAAGTACCCCTTGAAGACATGTTGCATTGGTTAAATTACCCGTGGCCACGCATGCGCATTAGACGTGATTTCAGATCGATTCGCTAGAGGAACGTATTTTCGGATTTTAATTCCAGATTTTTTATTTTTATTTGCCATCCATGAGCTCCAATTATTCGTTCTTCTGTCTAAAGATTAAAAATCACGCGTGTTCTTTGCTATTCATAAGAAAAATTCTTGATTTACTTTTGACTGGCAGGAATATTTCATTCTAAAAATAAAAATTTTGTTTTTATATTAACCAGCGGGCAACGATAATTTTATCTATGTTGCGTTAGGCAGTGGTAATTTTTCTTCAAACTAGAATCAAGGTGATAATCTAATTACTATGCAAAAATAAATGGAATTAGTTATATTTTGCTGACGTCAGGTGTTTTAAAAAACTACACGTGAAATAAGGCTAGTTGAAAACGAAGAAAAATTGTTTGTTTGCAACTACAGTGTTGCTAGACATGAAACGTATTAAAATTTCTGTATAACTGCAATAATACAAAAAGTATAGAAATTGTACATGAAAATGTGAGAGGTTGCATTTTGAAAGTGAACAACTATGTTTTGTGATGCCATTTAACTCCCTGGGGGTCGTTTAAATCAGGTTGTACGCGAATTTTGCTGCGAATTTGTTGATTTTCATTCAAACTTATGATATTTCAAGATTTGATAAATCCATTGACTCTGTGTAAATGCTTAGTTCAAATGTCATTAAATGACTAATTTTAATTAATACTATAAGAAAAATATTTCATTCTCAAGATCTTCGCTGACTTTGTAATGTTTTCTATTTAGTATTCATATCATTCATTATGTTATTTTTGAGTTTTCATTCACAAATAAATTCTATACTAAGAGTCAAAGGAATATAGTCACTTTTCCAAACAGACAAGTATAAACAACAAACCATGTTTTCACATATTTTAGAACGTTTATTTAAAAGAAAACGTATTTTGTTGAGTATACATTTGTGTTTGAAATGTGAGTGACGTATTTACTGAACATGAAGTTAAAATTGAGTAAAATTATTCAAGCTTATAATGAAGAATAAAAATGTTGAATGAATTTCGTTCATTTTTCATGTTTATTACTTGGATGAAAATTCAAAAAATTGGAAACAAAAAACAAACTTTCTTAATTCTATTATTAATTAGTTATAAAGTTCATTTTATTGATGCAGTTGAACTATAATCATCTTAAAATAATTTTACAACTTTTTCTTTAATGAACATGTATGCCATTGAAATAAAATCATTCTCAAACTCGTCATTGTAATGAAAATAAAATATTATATCTAAGTTATCATCAAGTTCACTAATCCCATAATAAAATTATTTGACAATTAAAAATCATTATAAAGTTTTCGATACTAAATAAATGCTTAACTGACATAATTCATATTGTTCACAATGCATATAGTCATTCTTTAATTGCTATGTTCACTTAACTATCGACTTTTTTGTATAAACTTCTTGATATTATGACTTTTAGATTAATAAAATTATTTTCCTTAATTAAGCTGGTCCTATTTATATCGTAAAAATCATCAAATTCGCAACAAATTAGCTCTCTACATGGTAGAGAGCTAAAGTTTGTATTAATTACTAAATTCACAACGATATAACTCGTAACCCGATCTAATCGTTTAGGTAAAATAATAACACACGATCTCCAAAGTTAAATTTATATAGAATTAAAAAAGGCAGTTAGATGATGAAGAACGTGTCTTTATGAGATAAATGAGCAGTTAGCCTGTGTACCCATTTGTCTTAATTTCACTTGTAATCCCCAAGCAGCCACTAAGTAAAGCTGAGTGTGACTTTATCCTTTTTTTCATTGTTCGTAATGAACTTTGCATAAAAAGTATAGAATAACTTTAAAACAATGAGACCGCAAAGTATCAAGCAGGTTCGTTAGTTTCGTTGTAAAAACTTTGAAGTGAGTTAATTGATTTGTATATAACGCGCTACACTGAGATAGAGAGTGCAGTAGTCGAATTTTTATAGAATCGAAGATAGTTATTAATTTGTTAAGCGAATGTCAGATGTGACAACAACAAAATTTGTCTACTCGTGAGAGCGTAATTTGTTTTTAAAAATCGATCGTGAGACAAAGATAAATGAAAATCGGTATGATGTGTAGATGAAGGAAACAATGTATTTGAGTTGTAACTTGCCTATTGTGTGTTAAATATGTGGAATGTATGTAAAAGTGCTACATTATACGTATAATTAGTTGTGCCGTCAAACGGGGATTACGAGACGTACTAGATTTTTCACTCTATATTTTTATATAAAAAATTTTACTTAGAATTATCACGAGGACTCTCGTCTATTTTACTTCATTCGAATGGTCCTCATGCTGCTTCGTCATCATTTATTATTTACTTGAATGTGTCGTTTGTTCGGCATTGTGAAATGAAGTACGTACATTATCGCTGTACGGGAATATAATTGTCATCTCAAACATAACTTTTTGTTCCCTTTTGTTGGCGCTATAAACATTTGTATTTCAGAATAAGTAAAAGTATAGCTCGCTTTTATTTTGAGATATCGTTTAGCTTTAAATATTATCATTGTATGTACCTAAGCATTATCGCGTTAGTATACCTATGAAAAGTAACGATAAAAAAATCAATAAAGACTGCTGAGAATCGCAAACAAAAATATGACGGTTTATATACATAATAGTATATCTTAGAGATTAACTTGAGCGATTGTTGAGAGAATGAAGAAAATTTTGCGAGTAAAATTATTATACGTTACTTTATGATTTTGTTCATTCTTCGAACACACACACACACACACACACACACACACGCACGCGATTGTAAACTTAAGGATAGATTAACTGAAAAAAATTTGCCGAAGAATGAGGGACTTTCTATATAGAAACGTCGGACGTTAAACACCGAACATTAGATGAGTACGAAGATGAAAATACCAGTTAATTGTTTGCCATTACTTTGTCAAAGATTTCTAACTAGTCGATCATTTACAGATGTCTTTGTTTCATAAGTTAATACCAAACGATCAATTGATATTTCTATCTCCATGCGCATCCAATGTATGGTGTTTAACGTCCGTTGTCTTTTATACGTATAGAAATTGTGTTAGGCTGCGCCTACAATAAATAACACGTAAAACGTACACATGGGTGATGGTCTTGCAACCTTTTCTTAAACATTTTTTTCTACAAACTTGAATTAAAATATTTATAGCCATAGCTTTCAAATTAATGCTTATTTGCTTAGTAGCCTGACAATAGTATTTCCCAGGCTCGGCTCGATCGGTAACATTCTAATTTCGGCCTCGTTGGGAAAAAATAGATTACGTACCCACTACACAGGCCAGGGAAGTTTGGTAAATCAATAGCATTTGAAAATTGACAACCTAGACTTGCCAATTTCCTGGCTGTGGTGAGTATACTATTTTCTTGTTCAAGCTGCATCTACGCAGAAAAAATTAAAAATAAAAACAGATTACAACGACGTTGATTAATAAATATTTACAACTACGTTTACACGTGTTTTACATACTATTGTAGACACAGCCTTATAGTAATATAAAATTCGCGCCAAAAAATTTGTAAATCGGCCATTGTTATGGCGAACACGCATGTGAACTGCGCGTACGACTATAATTTTGTTGAAAACTGTGAAATCGATCGTATTCTTTTCGTTTGCAATCACGAAAGTTTCTATATATGTAATAAAAAAGAATTTTGTAAAATATATACATTTATCTTCAACATTGACTTTAATTTGTTCAATTCATCAACTATAAAAAGTGATAAGAGTAAAAGTAATAAATAAACTTATGAAAAAATAGAGTTCTTAGGTTATGTTTTGACATTTAGTTTAATGAGTTATTTTGTTGAAAACTGTGAAATCAATCACATTCTTTTCGTTTGCAATTAGGAAAGTTTCTGTATATGTAATAAAAAAGAATTTTGTAAAATATATACATTTATCTTCAACATTGATTTTAATTTGTTCAATTCATCAACTATAAAAAGTGATAAGAGTAAAAGTAATAAATAAACTTATGAAAAAATAGAGTTCATAGGTTATGTTTTGACATTCAGTTTAATGAGTTAATAAATTTATTAACTTGCTGTGATAAAAAGTATTATTAAGGATTTTTAACAATGGCTGTTGTTATTGAAACAACTATCGGTGACTTTACTGTCGATTTATATTTCAAGGAGAGACCGCAAAGTAAGTTTTGATAACTATAAATATAACCTTAAATTGTTATCTTTTTATAAATTGTAAATATATAATGATTAAATTTAGGAAATTAATTTAGAAGAAATTAAATTATAGCTTAGTAAATTATTGAATCTTCAATTTTAATAGGATAAATATTATAAAAAATTCTGCAAAACCATAAATAAAATTGATTTAATTATTTCTTTCCATTTTTTCTCGTTATGAAAAAATCAATTAAACTAGATTTAATTCATACCAATTTTTACTAACTATCATCAGTGATAAAGCAACAATAACATGGTTTTTTTCTGTTTATAGCATGTCGGAATTTCTTGAAACTATGCAAAATGAAATACTACAACTGGAATTTATTTTTCTCCGTTCAGAGCAATTTCATAGCTCAAACGGGGGACCCATCAGCTACAGGAAAGGGTGGAGAAAGCGTATATGGGATTGTTTTAGGTGAACAAGCACGTTACTACGAAGCTGAGAAGATTCCAAAAATCAAGCATGATAAAGCTGGTTTAATTTCTATGGTAAACTGTGGAGATGATATGTTAGGTTCACAGTTTTTTATAACCCTTGGAACTGATCTGCTGTCACTGGATGGAAAGCATTGTGTTTTTGGAGAAATCACAGAAGGTCTTGAAATAATATTAAAGTTAAATGAAACTTTCTGTGATGACGGTCATAGACCATTCCAAGATATTCGTATATCACACACAGTTGTTCTTGATGATCCTTTTGATGACATAAAAGGGCTTGAAATTCCGGACAAAAGTCCATCACCTACAAGAGAATGTTTAGAGGTATGAATAGCCAAAGTATTTGTAATTTTAAATGTTTATAAATTAATCTGAAAATCACTTATATATTATTAATATTTTTCTCTTATAAATATTGTTAATAATTTTTCATCTACATGAAATTCCTATTACTTTTAGAGTGATCGTATTGGTGCAGATGAAGATATTGATGATACAGCAGGAATGACAGCAGAAGAGATTGAAGAAATACAGAAGGAGAAAGAAGCCAAGGCTAGAGCAACAATATTAGAAATAGTTGGGGATCTTCCAGATGCTGAAATGGCACCACCTGAAAATGTTCTCTTTGTGTGCAAATTGAATCCAGTTACTAATGACGATGACTTGGAGATTATTTTTAGTCGATTTGGCAAAATAATTGGGTGTGTACATCATTTATTCATTCTTGTGCTTTTCACAACAGATTATATATTGATTAAAATAGTTTTACAATAGTAGATTTAGTTCATTTTCAATATTTCAATTGTCCAATTAATGATCATAAGTTTAGAAAAGTGATATGAGAAATGAAAACTATGATTCTTATGGGTGGGATTTATGTTTCAGTTGTGAAGTAATAAGAGATCAGCAGACTGGCGATTCTCTACAATATGCATTCATCGAATTTGCCGATAAGAAAAGCTGCGAGGAAGCGTATTTTAAAATGGACAACGTGTTGATCGACGATCGTCGAATACACGTGGACTTTTCACAGTCAGTAGCGAAAATGCGATGGCGAGGAAAGGGCCGGGGAATTCAGCACTATGACGAAGATGGTAATCCAGTAAGAAAAGGAAAGCCACAGCAAGAAAACAGACGAGTAAGAAATAAAAGACGTCGCAGTAGGTCGAACAGTCCCAGGAACCAACGAAATAGAACCGATAAAAAAGACAGGCGGGCACAGGATGTCAATAGGAATGGTGAGGGCATACGGCAAGACGATCAAAAATTAAATCGTAAAAGGGAAAGAAGTAGAAGTACGGAGAGAAGGTTAAATAGAAAGGAAAGAAGTCGCAGTAGCAGTGTCGACAATAGTCGTGGTAAACGAGACAGGAGTCGAGATAGAAGGGACAGAAGTCGGAGTAGAGAAAAAACAAGAGACAGGAGAGATAGAAAAACCCGTAGCGAATTGAAAGAGAAACACCGAAGGCGCGATTCATCAAATGAAGATAGAAAAAAACGGCACAAGTCAAGAGAACGTTCTGAGGAGAAATACAGCAGACGCAAGCACAAGCACAAGAGTCGATAATTGTTGTACATACGTGCGTGACTGTCAAGAATGAATGAATGCCCTTTTTTATAACTATGTATAAAATCAGAGAAGTTTCGTTTCAAATACAGTATGTATGTTCACCTCAAAATAGGAGCGTTTAAATTATTGTATGTGTATGTGTGCGTGTGTGTCGAGAAAAGTTTTATTTACAATGATCACAGAGTACAAAATGAAAGAACGTTTTACAATAAAATTGTACATTCGATAAAAAAACTAAATTATTTCATCTGTCGTGTATTTCCCTTGCTTTCTATTAGTCAACCATAAAAATATTTCATTTTATATAAAAAAGTAGCCTGTAATACCAAATACAACTGAAAGATGTCATGTACCTACATGTCACTTTCTGTGTAGAGCTTCTTAGAAAGGATGAAGAAAGCTTTTAAAAGTGCATGCGTAGAATATAGTTATTTATTTATCCTCTCTCGTCCTTACACAGTTTAGAAAGCGTATCAGCTCGCACACAGCACCATTTTTTTTTGAAAAAATTTTTCTCTCGCGGTCAGTCGGGTCATCTCTCGAGACGAGGATTCACAGATATACACGAAAGTACATAAATTTTTTTTTCTGCTATATTCCCACTTTCAACTTGCAATTCGTTTCTTTTAAAGTCTTATATCTATCTAAATACATCATTCTTTTGCTTATTGTTGGTACATTTCGTATCTAAGTTCACCATACTCTGTGCTTTTACTTTGTGTGTTTTTATCTTTTTTAAATATATCTATTTTCAAGACTTCTTACCGAGATCTAAAATATATTGTATATACGTATATTGTATATATATATTTCATCTGTTAAATCGCTTTCTGTAACGCGATTGTTATTTTAATTATATATATATTCGAACTTGGATCACGTTTTTCAAGAATGTTTTAAGTGACTTATACTTATAAAAAAAGAAACTGTTTTTTTTTTAATTAGTTTTACAGATCTGCAATGACAGATCTTGTTTCGGAAGTTTGAAAAGAAAAACAGAAAAATACATTTAGCAAAATCGTTAATGGAAACACTGGAAAAGTATATAAAATAAAGGTATGTCGTTCTCATCGGAGACGTACAAAGGATGGAAATAATGAACAAGAGCATTACAATCACGTTGAGAAAGTCTTTGCGGGACAAATATACGTCATACATATGTGTATTTCAACAGATACACACGTATATATCTTAAGCGGCCGAGTTGACTCGTCGAGCTTAATTATATATAATTGTTTTTAGTACTATTTCTCTCTCTCATGTTTTTTTTATGTTTGTTTCGAAGTTTTCGCAACTTACTATGGTTTTTTGCTCGCATCTTTCGCCGCGGGGCAAAAGAACTTGTGTTTGGCGATGCGGTCGACGCGTAAATTTACAGTCGTATGACAGCGGTGGAAGCAACCGAAGAAGTACGCGCAAAGCTGCTAAAAGTTATTTGAGCCGTCGCTGATAGTCTAACGATTGAGTATACTATTGCGATGTACTATTTATCGGTGTACATACGGGCGTTCATTTTATTTGGACTTTTTCTCTGAACATTGTCGATATTACATTACCTTTGCTTTCTATGTATAGTGAATCTTATCAAGTATAACAGATACTAATTATTATTATTATTATTAGGGCTTTAGTAAGCAATAATTAAATCTCCTGGATTTAGTAATCGAACTACTCGTATGATTTGCTGGAAAAGCTTGTGAGTCTGCGCTAGCGACTGACATCGATAAAAGAGCAACGATCGTAGAAGGCAATGAAATATTGAATTGAAGAAATTGAAATCTATCGATCCGAAGAGAGGACAGAAAAGAATTTGAAACTTGATCGAGAAAGACAATCATCTGATAATCGTCGTGGACACACGTGACAATATTGTTCATCGTAGAACTGATAGTCTTTGTTTTCTCGCAAGCTTCGCAAGCTAAACTCCCGAAGAGCTTTCGGTATGTAATATCGAACGTATCCACGCGAAACAAAACGCTAAATCTACATCTTTATTCCAGTCGCGTGCGAGCGTCTTGTTGTGCATTTTGAATTCTGATATGCTCTGGAAGTCCAAGTGTCTCGCGTACGTGAAGGTCGGATGTCCAGTTAGCTCTGGCGGGTCTTGGAGAGGAAAAGCGAGCGTCGCGTCCCGCTTGGGGAAGGAAAGCCGCGGAACAACTGCGCTCGTACTCGCGCCGACCGGGGAAGAAGACGCGGGACTGGAGGGTCGGCCAAGTGCGAGCTCGGTTTTCCCTTGGAGATATGTGCTCCTGCTCGCCGCGGGACTCGACGGACGACCCGTCTCCTCGTGTTCGGCTCGCGCGGCTTAGTAGAGCAGGCGGTGCTGGTAGGTCGGATAGCCCCGCGAGCTCATCATCGGACCGCTCCTGCCGCCGTACGAGTCGTAATTCTGCAATCAGACGGGTGAGGTGAGCGATCCGGCGAGGCGCGCTCTCCCGCTCGAGCATCCCGATCCCGGCACCTGCGATCGTTTCCTGGAGACCATGAATCTCTTCTCGGCCGGGTAGTAGGCGCGCTGCACGTACGGCACGCCGTACTGCGCTACGCCGTACTGCACGCCCGAGTCGTACTGCTGCTCGTTGGCGCCGAGGTTGCCGTACTGTTGGCCGAGATATTGCTCGTAGTAGTTGTTGGGTCGCGAGCGGCTCAAGGCGGCCAGTTCGGACGCGAGAACGGGGTCACTGCTCAAGTAATGGTGTTGCTGCTGCTGTTGGGGATAGGCCAATTGCTGGTCGAGCCAGGAAGCGCCTACGTAACGATTGTTATTTTTTATTTTTCTTCGCTATCTTTGGTTTAGAACCAGGCGATCGGCAGGACACTCACTTCGCGGATCTTCGTCGTCGAGACCGATCAGATTGGACTCGTCGTCGGCGCTGTCGTAATCGTCGCCGTCGTAATTCCGCCAGTTCCTGCAACAGACGGAACGCTTAGTCGTCCGCTGCCGTTGCTTGCTTGCAGTGCCGTCGATTCGCCGACAAACCTTCGATTGCGGCGTTCGTTGTCGTACAGCGAAAGCAAGGCAAGGAAATCCTCGGGCTCGAAGTCGGACTCGCGCTTGTAGCGTGGATCTTGATAGTACGACGCCAAGCTGCTGCAACCAATCGATTTATTCGTATATTTTGTTTTGCGCGTGGCTGGCCGGACCATTCGCGCGTCGACATTCGAAAGGATTATTCGAGTACTCTACTTATTCGAGCCGCCAAGCATGCCAATTGGAAGCCTGCGCAAAGTAACTTTCGCGGTACGGCAAAGTAGGGTGGAACGTCCGCACGAGCTCGAGTGCAGTGCACTTTATTTTTCTCTCCCTTTCGCTCTCCTTGACTTTAATGGCTTTCTCTCTCTCTCTCTCTCTCTCTCTTGCAACGAGTTTCCTTGTTCTGCATTCGTTTTCACCCCGCGGACAAAAGCAGAATCGTTGATTGCGCTGTTGCGCGCGGCGACAGTCAGCCGACGCCTGGCCGGTGGTTGACCCGCACTACTCGGCGGTAAAATCGATGCTTGCCCGGGCGGAGTGGAATATATACATATATACATATATACATATATATATATATATATATATATATATATATATATATATATATATATATATATATATATATATATATATATATACATATGGCCGGCGTCCGCACAGATCTTGGGGAAAGGGGAGGGATTCCCGTGCGTTTATGTTCGCCGTGACCGCGAGCTCGGCAAATCGCCCGCGTGCAGCTGCGCGGGGCGAAGCGCCCACGCGTCTCGCGAGCGCCCGAAGATCCGCCGAAACACCCAGCCGGCTGGCAGCCTCGCTCGATCGATACAGTCGACCCACTTGGCCCGCGCTCGCCCATTCAAGTGCACCCCTCTCTCTCTCTCTCTCTCTCTCTCTCTCTCTCTCTCTCTCTCTCTCTCTCTCTCTCTCTCTCTCTCTCTCTCTCTCTCTCTCTCTCTCTCTCTCTCTCTCTCTCTCTCTCTCTCTCTACCCCTCTCGCGCGTGGCTTTTTTGGACTACTGGCGTGTACTCGCGCTCGTCATTACAATGGCAGCGTTGACGTCGTAATCTCTGCCCCTCCGCTCTTCACCTCATCATTGCCCTCGCTTTGCTTTTTTTTGGCGTTCGCGTGTCCGATTGATTACCGGCGTGCGGTCACGAGTCGACGTGCGCGTTGACGCAGGCTGGAAGAAATTACAATGCCGGCAACGCGTCGATACCCCGGCCTTCGTTAGGGTTCACGGAATTCCACGCCTGTTCTCCGATCAACGCAGTTACGACGTACGGCTCGCGCCTAATTGGCCGTCCATCATCGACGAGTGAGAGCTCGAGAGAGAGATAATTTGGCTCGGGAGCTCGGCTCGCGAAACGCGCGCGCGGGGGTAGCGCGGAGCTGCTCCCTAATGGGTTTCGTCGTCGTGGCTGACGTCAAAGCCGGAACGCGCGCACCGGGCTATTAATAGCCTCGCGACGCGATCGTTATCGAGGATTCTGACGCGCGCGCGTCGCACGATGGTAACAGTTGGCGATGTCGAGCGGATGAATGGAGCGCGCCGCAAGAGGAGGCGCACCATCTCCGCGACGGCCGGAAAGGGAAGAGGAGCGCCCTCCGCGCAAGGCCGGGCGGGGAGCCACAGGTGGGCGAGCCTATGTTTCGCGTGTGTGCGCGCCACGCGCCCGACGAACGACGCGCGGAACGTCGGTCGGCGAATCTCTCTTCTGCTCTCCCTGTCGCCGAGTGGCGCAACGATTTTGCACGAGGGAAACGGCAAGGGCGCGGCGCGACCTCCCCACACTCCGTCCGGGAGCGCCGTAGGGCGAGCGCACGCCGGAGCCAATTATTTTATTGTTAGCGCGGACGGGAGCGCAAGAAAGACCGTGAAGAATTTTGCGAAATTTCAACCACCGAGAAACGCGCTTTTTCCTCGCGTCCAGGTGAGTCGACGCGTCGCAAGCCCGAGATCCAGGCGGAACCCGACGATTCGACCCTCGTCTGCCTGCTCGTCCTAAATAAAGCCCCGTCGCGCCAACTCGTTAGCTCGCTAGTTCAAGGGCGAACACCTACCTCCTCTTGGGCTGAGCGATCATCGATGCAGCGGCGCCAGACCGAAGCGCCGACTGGTGCTGCGCTTGCGCCTGAGCCGCCGGCGACGCGGTGCTGCCGGGCTCCGCGGCGGCTGCGCTGCTCAGCGCGGGCGACTCGTTGGACCGCTTGCGCCTGTCCTCGTCGCTGATCGCGTAGTAGCGTCCGTAGGCCGGCAGATCCCAGACGCCGCGCACGTGGCCGATCTCGTTGGCCGACACTCTGCCGTACCTGTCGCCAAAGGTTTTGCCTCTCTTAGCTTGCCGCTCGATCGCAGGGGCCCCGGCGATCGAGCCGCCAAGTCGATCGGTCCTCGGCTGCGAGACCGAGGTCATCGTGGACAATCACGATACGCGAACATTCGATAGCAGGTGATACGCGACAACCGGTCGTTGTTGCTCGTCCTCTGCTCCATCCGCGACGTGATATTTTTAGCCGAGCCGATAGAATGAAACACTTACCCATTCTGTCCTCGGTGTGAGAGAAAATAACAATAATAGTAATGATTTTTCTTCCCTCTCGCACGAAGCTCGTATACATACGTAAGCAAGCGTATACATTTGTATAGAGAGTCCCTCGCACTACTCACTCGTTCGCCCGTTGATCCATCGCGTAGCCGGCGATCGGCAATGCCTTTGGTTGACCGTCGTCCGATGACGCCGCTTGCTGCTGTTGCTGGTGGTGGTGGTGCTGCTGCTGCTGCTGCTGATTGTCGGCCGCCTCGACCGCGTCCTCCAGGCCGGAGTCGCTCAGCGTTCCTGCGTCAGCGAATCGGTCGTTTGAGGGTGCCGGCCGTCGCCGCCGATTCGCACGACTACGGATGCGCGACGCACACGGAATATCGAGAGACGAGCGAATCGGCGGCGGAGCGCTCGATGATGGGATCGGGGCAAGGTATTCGTCCTGGAGGCGCGACTCGGAAGCGACACTCGGAAGGAGCCGCGTAGCGTGACCGAAGTGGTGGTTTCTTACGTTTCTCGGCCGACGGCGACAAGCTACTGGCGCCGTCTCTAATCTCGCCGGCTCGTCGACCAGTCTGGTCTCGCTGGCTGCCGAGTATCAGCATTTCCTCCGAGCGCTTGGCTACTAACAAGAACAACAAGGTCTCGAGTTAGAGGGTAGGCAGGGCAACGAGGTCCGCGCTCGCGAGGGATCGCCCGATCCGGGCGAGTCGCGTGGTCGTACCTTTCGGCTGGTCCATCCTCTTGGCCTCGTCCGCCGTCGGCATGGACTGCACGGCGACCAGCGTCGCGCCGAGCGCGATCAGCCACAGCCAGTCGGATGGCATCTGCAATCAGAGCGCGCCGTGCGCGTGGAGACAACGGGAGAAAGGTCGAGGCGAGCCGCCGGCGATAGCGATCCCGATCGACGAGCGCACGCACGCGAGAGGGGGAGGGCCACCGCGCAGCCCAATTAACTCCGAGGGCCGTTCGATCGGACGCCGCTGTGCGCGCATCCCGAGGCCGATGCTAATCGAGCTGTTACTCGACGTCTAGTCGCGCGGCGGCAAACGCGTATCTCGCTTCCCGGGCTGCAGGTCGACGGGCGCTTCGCGGGACGGAAGCCAAACGCGTCCTCGCTGGCGTCGCGATCTGCATTTTTTCCGAGGGCCGCGTGAAGCAACTGACGCCGCGTCGAGGGCTCTCGAAACACGGCGGCAACGACGTTGCTCCTTGGCCGCTCGCTCGCCGGCGGGCGTGTCTACTCGCTCTCTCTCTCTCTCTCTCTCTCTCTCTCTCTCTCTCTCTCTCTCTCTCTCTCTCTCTCTCTCTCTCTCTCTCTCTCTCTCTCTCTCTCTCTCTCTCTCTCTCTAAACGCGTCTCGCGCAAACGACACCGAGCCACCCGTCGACGGAAAAATATCCGCGCGAGTTGCGTCGCTGCTCGTTCGTTTCCGTCTTTGTTTCTCGTATAGCGACACGGCACGGCAAATAGATGGCCTGATAAACACCTGCTGCTGCGTGGCGCGCGAGCGCGTCGAAATTACAGGGGCCAAAAAAATCACAGAGGTGACGTCAAACCGAGCGCTCTGACGTCAATCCCCCCGAGGCAGCGCCGAGGGTAACGCGTAGGCCGCAGACGCGGCAACTTGTTGCGCGTGCAAGCTTGCGTTTCTCGATGAATCGACGCGTCCGTCAGCCAGTGGCGATGATTCATCGGGCCGACCGACCGTTTTGTTGTCGCTCTGCGGACGGTGGGTGGGTAGCGCGAACAATGCGCCTGGGAATTGTCGGGAGGCCTCTTCATTTCCGGCAGTTCGAAGTCGAAGGATAAAAGCTTGCGTCGGGTGCTCATTCATTTTTTGAAAGCAGTTTCCCGGCGTTTCGGGCGCGACGCACGCAAAAACGGAGATCGAACGAATACGCGACGGCGCAAGCGTTCGGCCCACCGGTCGTACGAAACTCATTGGAAAGACGTGAAATAGCCGCGAAAGCTGCTCCTCTTCTCCGATAAGCAAATAAATAAATAACGATGAATACTGACACGCGGAAAATGAATACTTCACCGCACGTACGAGTCGCTCCGCGCATCGACAAAAAGAGATCCGCACTTGCGTTTAAAATCGACGAATAAAAAACGTACCATTGCAAAGAAGTAAAGAACGTACCTTTCTTCCGCAAGACAGCTAGCAGCTGGTCTCGGGGATGGGGGTGGGCCAATGAAAAAAGATTGAAAAAAGACACAACCCTCTGCGACGATGAAAATTGGTCGAAGCTCGTGCGTGCACGCGTGTGTCCGCGCGGACGTTCCAGGTCGTAATGCCGCGGCGGAGCGAGCGCTCGCGCCGCTGCTCTCGCGAGTCACCCCTCTCCACCCTCGCGCCCACGCAGCGCAACTTCCCCTGAGCGGAGCGGCGGCTGACGCCACCCCATTCTTGACGCGCAACAGCCACGGACGCGAGGGGGCCGAGCTGGCGGCAACGGCGCGCCGATGTGGAGGCAGGCAGCTTCTGTCTTTCCTCTCTTTCCTTTTTCTGGGCTTTTGGCGCGCGCCAAACTTTCCTCTCCTCGTCCGACGGAAACGGGCTCGCTGCTGCTCCTCGCTAGCTCGCCGAGGCTGTTGCCGGCGGCTCACCTTTCCCATTCGGCGGAAGGGGCAGCTTGGCGACGATACGGGCAAAGGCGGCGGATTTTCGGGAGCGTCGCGTCGAAAAGCCGAATCGATCTCCCGTCGAGAGGTGAAGGGGTGGACTGAAGTTCGAGCAGCGAGAAGATTCGCGGAGGGAGGGGGGAGTCACGCGGGAAGGCGATTAGAATTCGTAATTCACCTCGTCCGATGACGCTCGCGATGTCGAAATTTTGCAGCGAGTCCAATCGATACGAGCAGCCAGCCCGCCGAGGAGAGCGAGGAACAGCGCGCGAGCGAAAGTGCTCGCGTGTACGTACAAGGAAAGCGCGTAAAAGTACATAAAGGAGGTCGCGCCATAGTGCGCCTTCCCGCGATCGCGAAGAAAAGAGACAATAAGCTTCCGCGCCAGTCGACGAGAACGCAGTCTCGCGGGCGATTACCGGCAGGGAGATTCATTCATCGGGAATGTGGAGCTGGGTGCGGGTGAAAAGGCGACGTCGGAAGAGACACACGCGCGGAGAGCTTTATTAATACGATGGGTTTTCGAATAGTTTTCCCACGATGAGTTTTTCTTCTCGCCCACGCGCTCGACGTAAGAACGCGAGTTGTTATTATTATCACGGTCTCTCGGCGATTGTGGCGCGGTATCCCCGCTCGGAGCTGTCCCCCCGGGTGTTAACTTGGATTTTGCCTTTTGTTCTCCTTTTCTCGATAACGATTGTTTCCGATGACGGAGCTTTGGCCGATGATATTGCGCTTTTATCTTTATCGCGGATGTGACACTCGGTGAAAATTGATTTTCCCTCGCTCTGCGTGTCGGTCTATTTGCGGCGCTGTATTTCTTTTATTTTCCACTGCGATTATTGTCCGCATGCGCAGCCAGGTGCAACGTATTAATCTGCGACTCTTTCCACTCAACATTGCGCCACCTTCTGTTCCCGTCAAACGAAAGCAATGATGCTTACAATTCATACCCTTCGCGTTCGTGAACTATTCGTGTCCACCCGCTGTAATTAACTTGATTTAATTTCCGCTACCGAGGAAAGACTATCATCAATTCCGCTGGAAGAAAAACGGGAAATAAAACATATATACATGGAACAGCGCGTTTTTCGACAAGCCACCGAGAGCTAAAGACAAATATGCATGGCGATCGGTTTCAGATTCTCGCTCTCGCTCTCTCTTTTTCTTTCGAGCTCGTGCGTTTTCGGATAAATCTAGTGAATTTGGCAGATACGGTCAGCCGATGACGAGAGTTTGTTTAATAAACAACATCCCCGGCCCGGAAAGATTTTCATTTTCCCACGAGTTTCCGACGCCAAATATTTGCAGGCTGAATTGCGATTCCATTTGCACCACCACTCCGAGTTCTTGGAACGTTTGAAAATTTAGCGCACGTTTTTATTGTAATCTCCGCGAGGGGGCACGCTCCATAATTAGCTCACGCAATGCTGCGACTGTAAAAGCTTTTTGCAACTCGTACACGCGACGGAGAGAAAGTCTTTCCGATTATGTACTTTGGAAACAACGATATAAAAACACCTCGATATCCCGGCGAGCGCGAAAATTTCATTAGAGAAGCTCTCTCTCTCTCTCTCCCTCGACAGCAACCACAATAATAACATTTCCTTCCATCTGCGCCACGGCACGGCTCGTTAAAGCAAATGCAACAGCCACGCGCAAAGTTGACCGACCACGCTTCTCTATGCGACATATATTAGGTTTTAATCGGTGGCTTTATTTCTCCGTTTGCTGTGTCGCTCTATCGAATAGCACGTTTAGGGAGAACGTTCGAAGACGACGATTGAGTCTTGTTATAATTGGAGAGCATGCTGTAATTGCGTAACGTTACGTTTCGCGCTAGACTTGAGAAAAACGAACTGCTGCAAATTTCTACTGTAATCGAAATCTATACGTTACGGTACTTGGAAGGGTAAATATACAAAGATTATTGGAATTGGATGGATTTATTGGAAAGGGCGCAAACGAAAGCTAATTATGGATAAAGCTAATTAACCGATTACATTCAGTTTTCCTTCAATTCTTGCAATATTTGCGGAAAGTCATAATTGTAAGGATGCCCTCTGTGCGCATTACATAAATTTCAAGGTATACGTATAATCCTGAACGCCCACGTTTCCTAGTAACCGGAAGCTTAAAGATATGCATTGGAAAACCCCTCACAGAAGAGATCCCTGAAGCATCAATTGAAGTAGTTGGCACGCGCGCACGTGTGAAATTTTCAAGTACCTCTACGTGATCGGATAAACTAAAGTAATCTTGGAAGATACGTGCGCGCGCTTGTACAGCATATTCGGGAGGATGCGATACAAGCGCGTCGACGTCAATTTTTCCATTTTCGCTGATTCCATTAGATATTGGCAAGATGTGATGTTGCACGAAGAAGCGGGGATGATAAGTTAGTACGTTCTATTTGGGCTTGGGGAATGAAATCTTTATGTGGATGCAACATGAAATATGTTCCAAGAAAAATTTTTTTTTTTTAAATACATCAGATTTTCCATAATTGTCAAACTAAAAATAAATAAAAATGTGATTTCCAGTAAATTTCTTTATCAATTATATTTCTCTTTGTACATGATTCGTGTGGCTTCCTCTTACATCCGTAAGGGCGATTCGTACATCTGTATCCAGATGGCGTCTTGCCAACTGTATTTGCGTTCTGCAAGCGACTGGGTTAGCGCGCTCATTGATATATAAGTTGCCTTTGAGCGTCTTATACAAGGGTTATTGGGTTGCCATCGCATCCGTGACGACTGGTTCCTCCACGTCATCTTCATAGAATGATGATTGTTCTTCGGAAGAATCATCATCGACAGAGATTTTCGTCGTAGTCGGTTTTTTTATTCAGTGTTCCGACAGTAGCATTTACCAGCCGCGGTTCGGTCGGTAAATACTAATTTCCCGAAAGTAGCATTTCTTGATTGCGGCTCGGTCGGTAATATGCTACTTTCGGCCTCGCTGGGCGAATCAATAGAATACACACGACCGGAGTATTGGCAAGTCCATAAACATGTGTTTGGCAGCCTCGGATTTCAATTTATACGTGCCACGAACTCGCTAGTACTTTTTCGACTTTCTATTATAATCTACTATTTCACTCCAGGCGGCCGTATTCGAGTTAGTACGTGCACAAAATGCTCAATCAATAAATAGCTGACATACGCGCGAGTCTATACCGGCTCATTTTTTTTGTCAAACAATATTACCAGTTAGGATTATCGTCTCTGAAATATCGGTGTTATCTTATAGAGCCTTGAACAGCGATCTTTCCATAATTGTACTCATTTCCATCGGAAAATGAGCCCCTCCAAAAAACATTTTCGTTCACTCTAACAATTAATAACATTATTTTGATAGTCGCGGTGGATTGATGATTTGGACGACACTAAAAGCATATTTGTTACTTAGAATTAGGACTTTACCTGAGCGGTGATCACTCATTGGATAAGTAATTTTGAAAGATATTGAGCTTATTCTGATATACTTACATGCACATTTCATTGCTTCTACGATTGTGTGCACCAAATAAACATTATATCATCTGAAACTTTGTGTAAAATTTAAATTCCTAGTCACATATTACATAATACTCCGTCGCATCTGGTCTTCTTTGAAACTCATATATTATATTACATACCCTGACTAGGGAAAGTACTCGTATTGGTTATATTACTGGTAAGTCCATAGCATATGAGAAATGACAACCGAGATAACGCCTTCATCTACAAATGATCCAGATTATTTTGTTCTTGACATTGAACATCCAGGTTCTTATTCTGATCTTTTAAATTTTTCTAATTTAAATTCTTGGAGATACAAATTTCTATAATTAAGATGCGTAGGTAATCTTGATACGACCTTCGTAGCTTAAAACCAAATAAATCTTCGGGAATATGTACTTTGTTATTCCTCGCAAACCATTGCAACCTATCGTTGATAATCCTTTCTATTTTAATAAGCATCTCAATCATTAAAATTTGTCTGAAATATTTACTCCTGGGCTTCAGCATGAACGCGATATCACACTACGACCACGATTCCGGGTCTATCTCCGCACTCGGTATCGCATTGTAAGTCTCGATCAATTTATCTCGAACTTGTTCATTCTTGTTTCCTTCCCAAATGCCAATTACCATAGTCACAGCTCTTTACGATTCTGTTAAACGCGTTAATAAGTTCGTTGATATTGTATACTCGTTCAAACTTTCCGGAGTAAAGTTCCCCAAAAAGATATGAAATTTCTCTTTCGTCAATCGACTAAGTTACTCTCGTTTACTGCCTAGGAAATGTTTATCGCCCTGACTTTATCTTGGAATTTCCACTACTCAACTCTGCAGAGCCTAATTAAAATTTTGTGCTAGTCGTCTTAGTAAATTTCGTCTCCGCCATTGTAATTTCCACCGGGAAATGATCCCTCGCCCCAGGGTTCCAATTCACTCCAGTTGAGAACACTTATTTCCATAAAGGGGCAACGTCGGAGCAACTATTTCATCTACAAATCTTCATACAAAAGCCGTCATACAAACTGCCATAATTATCCATGGTCCTGTATAAGTGCTCACCCAGTGAGTTAGGTTTGACTTTCCCGAGGTTGATATATTCCTTCAGAAATTTATCACCTTTAGCTACCAAAAAAAATTTTATAGAGGATCATATATGTATAAAC